AGGGCCGGTAGACGCTATTCCCTCTGGCGCCACCAACTCAAATCTCAAATCAAGAGGCCGGGCCTCATGGTGGGGCTCTTTGCAGACCTGGCACGCCTCCTCCCCTGGCATGCACCAGCGCCAGTGCGGCTGGTCGTCCAAGAACTGGCTCAGGACGCCTCGGGAGCAGTATTGCTGGGTCAGGTACAGCTGCATGGCCGCCTCGTCCGGGGACAAGCCCTGCTCGAGTCGCGGCTGCCACGTGGCGCTGAGCATAACGATAGAAGAGGCCTTACTCCCATCCCGGCCAGCCCTACCCGACTCTTGGGAGAAGGCTGTAGCCTTGTCAGGTGCACCGACATGGATCACCCATCGGATGTAGGGGTAATCAAACCCGATTCCCAGAGCAGACGTAGCTGCAATCACGGGCTGATCCCTATTACCAAGCTAGCCGGTGATAATAGCAGCTTTCTCCTCCTCGGTCCCCGATCGAGACGTGTACATAGGGCAGCGGAGGAGCTCGGCTAGCTAGGCTACCTCTTCCCGGGTCCGGCAGTAGATGATAATCTTGTCTCGAGCGTGGTCGAAGATCGCTGGCACAGGCTAGCATTCCTAGACTAGATGAGCGGCTCTCTCGATTAGAGTACTAGGCCCGGTTTCAGAGCTAACCATGTACTTGATGTTGGGCTAGTTAACCGATTCTCGGATGATCTGGGGCTTTACAAGCTTATTATGCTCGATAAACTCCTCTTACATTACAGGAGGGAGCGTGGCAGTCAGCCAGACCGTCTGGGTCCTAACTTGTCGGACGTACTAGCCTAGCTAGGCCATACAAGGCCGGTAGTCGCTGGCAGTAATGGTCAGATGTGCTTCATCAATGACAATCCGGTCCAGCTGCTGCCGGCTGACCAGAGTCTGGTAGTACTCTAAGAAGCCGGGCGTGCATACGGCCTCTGCTAATACGATGACCAGTGATGCTGACTGCTTGCACTCGACTGACCAGACCAAGGGTCGGATACCGACTTCATGAAAGCGCCTCAGCATGTCACCCCGCAGCGCCACTATGGGCAGGACCAGGATGGTGGTCCCCGCATCTACCACAGCCGCACTGATCATGACAACTAGCGTCTTGCTAGAGCCGGTCCCGATTACTAGCACCACCTGCTCGGCTAGCTAAGGTCCTATGATGGCTAGTACGCCATTTCGCTAACTAGGGACCCGGAATTACAAGTCTGGTGCGTTGTACAGCTTTCGTGCTACGGCCAGTAAGTCAGCCTCAGTATAAGCACCTCTTTTACGCACTTAGCCACGCTTAGAGGCATCGAGCATACGCAGCGAGAGCGTCTCTGAGGCCCCGCGCGGCCGCTTGCCTTAGAGCACGCGGTCGAAGCGAAAGAAGGTCTGCTAGCTCTCTGAGGCCCGATAGTTGCGGTGTAGTAGGGCACTCATAGTTAGCGTGGTAGTGCCGGCGTAGGCCTGGTTGAACGTACGGTAGCTGTGGTTGCTCTGCTCGGCTATGGCGGCCAGCTCGAGCTCTTCGTTAGCTAGCTCCTCTGCTAGAGCGCCCTCGAGGTCGAAGCTGGCCCGCTCCTTGGCTGAGAACTTCTCCTTGCAGATCGTAGCCGCAAACTGGCGCTAGTTGGAGGTATGCAGCCGCGGCACCTGGGCCCGGGCACAGGCCTTGGTCAGGCAAGCCGTCAGCGTCCCGTCCGGCCAGACGGTGCCGTCGAGCTTAGCCCAGAGGTAGGGGGAGAGGAGGGCGCCCGGCGTCTGCTGGCGGAGAAAGAGCTGGCGGAGGGGTAGGACGTAGGCGATATAGTCGAGTAGGAGGTCCCCGATTGCCTTAGGTAGGAAGCGCATATTATCCTTATAAGCGCCCGACTGCTGCTGGCCCTTATGATATTGTGTATAGAGCATGACTAGCTTCTCCCAGATAAATAGGTGGCGCTGGCGGGCGGTATTGCACCAGGTAATAGACAATAGCTCGGGCTCCCGTAATGGCTGGCCGGCGGGGATATGGCAGAGGATGAGCAGGCGCCTTAAGAAGTCTTGCGCTTGCGCTTCATAGAGCGCCATCGCCTTTGGATGCAGCTGCATGCTCCCATCTGCTGCCTCGGCCAGGAACATGGCCCGCAGCTCACTACAGCCCTGAATCCGCCGGAGGAGGGCTAGCTGGGCCGTCTAGGTCAGGGCCGACAAGTGGCTGTTGTAGTTCCCCGGCTCCATCCACTGCCCTTGCCCTACCCCGCTACCCCGCACTTTGCGGCTGAGCATGGCGCAGAAGCTTAGGACGGGCGACTTGAAGGGCACGCTGCCAACCGTCTGGCAGATCAGGGCCAGGTAGAGCCGTCGAATGGCATGCTTGAGTGCTAGCAGAGCCTCCTCCTCGTCGTCCTCGACGTCCTCGAGAGCCAGAGCTTCCATAATCTCGTCCATGGCTTGGACCTGCTGCGCAGTAGGCTGGATGATGTCCTGCGGCAGCTTCTGGTCTGGCTAAGCTCGCGTAAAGTGGCCCTCCTCGCTATAGACGACCCGGTAGTAGTATACTAGCAGCTGCTTTATCGTAGTGAAGTACTTGGTAAGCGTAGAAGCATTCTTATAGTACCGGAAGCCGTCCGAATAGCTTGAAGCGCCCGCATAGAACTCATTTAGGATGTTAGCCCGCTGCTAAGTCATTTTGCGGTCTGAAGAGGTGTCGCTGTATAGCCGGTAGGCGTCCCGTAGGACGGCCTCAGCTGCGACTAGAATGCGAATGAGATTAAGGTTCAAAGCGGCCGCGTCCTCTTCGATATCGTCCTTAGCATTAGCGCCGGCATCTAGCACCTTCTTTGGCGGTAAGGCGTACGAGCTTTTAATCTCTTTGTCTTTTAGCTTAGCTAAATGCGAGGGGAAGTCGGTCCGCTCGAGCCACGGTACTCGAGCTGACCTAGAATCGCCAAAGTCCTAGACAACACTAGCCTGCTCTACAAGGTCACGTTTTGCCTAGTTGTTATCTTGCTCAAGCTCTCTAAATAAGGCCGTATCCTTGTCGTCTAGCGCTTTGTTTGGTGGCGCTTGGTTGTTACTATTACCTTTATCTGCAATTACACTAAAGTACCGGATATACTGCTTCTCGGCAAAGAAGGTCTGGACAATGCACTTTTGCCACGAGCGGCCCTCGATTTGCTGGGCCGGCTTTTGCTAGTGCTCCTTTGATATATACACTTATAGGGCATGCCTCGATCGGGTGAGGTGGCTAGTAGTACAAAGGCTGCACGCGAAGGCATCATAATAGCGTAGCCCCTCGATGGCCGGGCTAGGCGGGAATGGTAGGGCGACCTGATTTGGCGCTTGGAGCTGGTACGTGACGAGGAGATCGAGCAGCGCCTGTAGCTGAGGCCCTCTCGAGGAGTGCGGTGGCTGCCTCAGGTGTCGCTCCTGGCTGCTGCGGCCAGGTAGGAGGCAGGTCTGGCACTCGATGCAGATGACAACCTCGTACGCGGCGAGGTACCGAAGCCCGGCTACAGCCATAGATCTGGACGCCCTGCGGACCTGCGATTCAGACGTCGTACGGCCCCTCTGGCGCGCCCTGATCGCATGGGGGATCCCTTTATAGCATGAAAAAATATTTATGAAAGAAAAGGCCGTGCGCGCCGCGCTCGACCGGGGTCCGTAAGCGGGGGGAAAAAATATTTATGCCATAAGAACGCGCCCGGCATAAGGGGTAGTCAACAATCGTCACCTTTCCCTTATTCCAGTTCTTGGCATAGCTCTTGTACGTGACCAGCAAAACTTGCTTGATATAAACAGTTGTCTATAAATGCACGTTGTTATCTCCTAACCTAGTATAGTCGCCACAAAATATTAACGTCATTTTACAAGTACATAAATGCAGTTTGCTTCTCAGATGAGTCTCAACTTTGCCCTCTGAAGACCTTTCAATTCAGCCTCATCTTTGGGGATAGGACAAACCCATTGATTGGATCTTCTTGACTCTGGAAGAGTTGCCTTGATTGTAGTCGCAGAACTCGAGGATAACATTCAAGAGATCGTCAATATGGCGAGGCGTCAATCTTGTGTTGTCACTAGCTGCCAAGTGCTCAGCCATCAAGACAACGTTTCTGATCTGCCGTCCATTAATTTCAGCTTCGGACCAACGATACACCTCCTTCATCAATGTCTCTTTGTACGCTGGGAGCATCTTCATATCTTTGACAAAGTCTGACCAGATCTGAAGGCGATCATCACGGCTGAGTTCGCGAAATCGCACTGGATAGCTAATGCGAGATTCGAATGCTTCGTCGATACAATCAATCAAATTCGTTGTGAGGATCAAGATACCCTTGTAGTACTCAAGCTTACGTAGGAATACTGTTATGGTTAGCAATGCTTTTGCTGCTGTCATCGTCAACCTTACCTGAAATCCACGAGTTCTGAGTCATTCTCTCAAATGTTCGTTTTTCCAAAACAATTTCAGCTTCGTCAATCAGCAGGATTGCTTTCCAGTCTTCTGCATTTGTGAAGATCCTCTCAAGTGCTGGCTCCCATTTCTTATGGCTAGCAATTTTTCCCAGGTTGATCTTCAGTAATGGTCTTTTGGTGAATTCAGAAAGGACTTCCGCTGTCAACTAGATTCATCAGCCCAGAGCAAATGGTCGCAACAATTGATCTCACAGTTTTGCCCACACCAGGCGGTCCATGAAACAATAAAACGACGCCCTTGCCCTTCCCTTCAATTACATCCCTGGACTTGTTCGCTTGGAACTGCAAAGAGTTTGTAGTCGCTAGGTGGATGAGAATGGATTTCGTGGCCGGATCAAGCACCAATCTATCAGTAGTTTTCGGCCTCCATTGCTTGTCTTCCAATCCGGCAACGTCGACGCTATACCAATCCTGATCGTCGAGACTGAATACTGTAATACTTGCAGGACAGATCATGAGATCTTCCTCAGCAAACTCTGTGATCTCAGCAGTATGAACTATACCACCATCGTGGAAGACAGGGTGCCACAAGCGTTGCTTTTCGTCGATGCTTGCCTGAGCAATAGTCTTGCTTGTTGCCCCAGAGTCTACAATTACAGTAGATGAGAGCTAGATAACGTTAGTAACGCTTGCTAGTATATTTTGAAGAGTCTGAACTTACACTAAGTGCATTATAATCTCTCTGGTCGTCCCCATCTGGTATTCTATAGCGTGTGTTCATTGGTGGAGCGATAGCCACCAAAGGCAGCGCTTGACCATCATAGCTCATTACCCTTGGCTCACCGGAGCAGTATTCCTTCCAAGCTCGACCTCTATCTATTGATTCTTTTTTCAGTGTTGTGGGTGACTCGTAGTGAGACAATGGATAGAAGTCCAAATCCGTGATCCTCTTCGAGTCAGCGAAAATTTCGATACGCCGCCTTGTAGATACTAGTCTGAAACGTCCAGCATTCCATGTGATCTTCACTAACGTCACACACCAACGGTACTCTATCTCACCCCCGACTCGATTCTCTTGCTCATATTTCACGGCGCTTATCCTCGAAATTTGTAAATGGCCGATAGGGTCCATCGAGACAGCCAGCTCTCCCGGTTTGAATAGAGCCCAAAGATCCTCGTACACGATCAGTCCTCGGGAAATCTTGCTTCTGACATCCGCAAAATTAATTGACGGCCACCCCAATGTCGTGAAGTAAGACAAAGCCTTCATGTGATTGACGTCGGCGGGAGTAGCTTCTGTATCTTTCGCTACACTCTCATTCATTTCTTCTATGAAATGATAGAGTGGAGTGAATGGATAAGTCATGAACGTCCTCGATGCCGAGAGATGCACGCCATGACAGTATTCCAACTGAACGACTTGCCGTAGCCTTTCTTGCAAGTATGGGGACCTTATTGCCAGCTCAATCTGGCCACCAGGTATTTTCGTGAGGCCAAGAGCCTTTGTCTCTGAAGGTTGGACAACCCGAAATCCCTCGTTTGGTTTCGAGATAATCAGAGGCCCATGCTTTTGAAATTGCGTTCTGTAATAAAGAAAAACTTCCCAATTCTCTTCCGTGCAGGATTCTTCATCCTCGGCATCTTGAGGTGGAAGCGACGGAGAAAGCGTTCTTATGTCAAATGAACCACGACGGCGGGGTGAGCGTGGGTAGTCTGCTTCGGACTCACTCCAATCGTCCGATGAATCAGCGGGCTTCAAGAGAAGTTTGAACTTTTTGGTATGTGTGTCCTTGGATCTTGGCACTCGCAACTCCACCACGTAATCATCAGTGTCGCTATTGCCAGCGTTCACCGCAATCTCTTTGCTAATCTCGGAGTCTGGGCTCGATTTTCCTATTGTTGCTTCTGTTGTGCCATCTGTTGAGCCTTCTCTTGTGCCTTCTGCTATAACGTCAGGCTGCACAGACTCCGTCTGGGGGCTCGTTGTAGGGTCAAGTTGATTTTCGGATGTCCCGTCTGTCGACGCCGCCATGTTCATGAAGTAGTTTACACTGGAAGTAAGCCCTATCAAAGTGGCTACTTCTGGTGGCTCTCTGGCTACAGCACTGCAGAATAATTTAGAAAGAAAGAAAAGAAGGGAAACTTTTCTCTGAGGTAGCCAGCCTGATCCAGTATCCCGGCGGCTTGCGCGCGTGGGGTCGGAATATCCATGTCAGTGAGGCTTTCGAGATGCGATCTTGACCAATGGTAGGGATGGGAGGCTGTGCTCAGACCCCAACAACTTCCCGCCTGGCCTGCTGCCTGCGCACAGAACAGGCTGCGATTTACAATTGAAATCTTCCTGGTAAACAAATGTTTCTTAATTACAGCTCTTATTGCAAGTTGTTTCTACAGACGCACTTATGGCTCAAGAGACGTTCCTCATCGCGAAGTCCGTCTTGAGGAAATTCAAGGACCCTCCAGAGACACGCCGTCTCGAGTTGTATGTGCCATGATATCATAAGATCAATTTCTGATACGCTGCTAGCATTTCTCCAACCACTCTCGAGGCATGCTCAAGGGCAGCGAGAAATTTACAGCACCTGGAAATGACCAGCGAGGAGAGCGAGATTCTAGATCAAAGTCAAAATATTGAAATGGTTCGAGAGTTTATTGCGCAATATGTAGCAGAAGTCGACAAGAGGCGACAATACAGCAAAACGTGGGGAAAAGTTTACGCTTTCTCCCAATTTGCAGGTCCTGTGCTAGATGTATTCAAGCAAGCAAACTTCAGTCCAGAATGTTCTGTGGCGCTGGGTTTGATAAGTCTCCTCTTAATCCAAGTCAGTGAATCTCCACGTCTTAGCGATTGGCACTGAGGTTTGTGAAACAGCCTTTGAACAACAAGTCAGATATTGAGGAAAGACTTGAAAAGGAAATAATGCAGCTAAAGGATATCATCTCTCAAGTTGAATTCTCGAAAAGCAACATCAGAACAGCCGAAATTGACGCTGAAGTTCAAGGGTTGTGTGGCGCAATCATAGACTTCCTTGTCCATGCTTTGCAATATCAGAAGAAATGGGGCATAGGTAGGAGCGTCCCGAAATTCGTAACATCTGCAGCTAAAGATTGATGCTTCACAATAGCGAAGGTCTTGAGTGGTATCCTTGCCGATTTTGCTAAACGCTTTGAAAGCTTTGTGACCAAGATCAAAAGTCATGCGACGAAGATTGGGGTTTTGGCCCAGCGCGGATACACGACAATACTGCTGAACTCCAAGGACATTCTCGATACAACAGCTCAAGGCAAGCGCTGACCTGCTCCGAAGTGTATTGTATTTGCTAAGCTCACAAATCAGCTGTGCAAGATCTGCAGACGCACGTAATAACCCAGACAACAATTTTTGACTTGAAAGTTGCTAGACTTGAAAACAAAATCTCGCAATGTAAGAGATTAATGGACAGTGAGTATATACTAGGCTTTACGCTTTGCCGCCCTTGTCTCTCTAACTGACTTTACATTATAGCATCCATTACTTTCTCAGCAATTCAGCACGCCCAGAGCCTTTCCGCTATTCTTTTTCCACATTTGCCATCTCTTGAAGACCAAATGATTTCAATTCGACAGCGAGAGACTCTTCTCGCTCCTAGAGAACACTGGATGTCAAATGTGTCCGAGATCCAAGCACCAGGTTGGCTATCTCATTCTCCACGACCACTCCTCTGGATCGGAGGGAGACGAAATAGACGGGGTATTAGCTGGGTCTCTAGCTTTACACTTGACGTTGTCGAAGCTCTCAAAATGGAACCAAGCGTCAAAGTGGTATATACTCTTTGTGATAATGCCGCACTCATGTCACAGCTCATTGTGTTTAAACACTTGATAGTTCAGCTACTTCGAGCATATCCTGAGATCCTGCTTGTGCCGGAGAATTTGAATGATCTACCTGTCCAACGCCTTGCAGGGATTGGAGATTCGACGGAGCTTGCGTATCGAGTTCTGGCGGACATTATACGTATGGTGAACCAGCAATGTCATCGAGATGGGAAAGAGGTGTTTTTATTGATCGACCGTGTGGATGTTGTACTTACCATGGAGGACTCTAAAGGCAAATTGAGATTCTTGAAGGCCTTAAAGCAGCTATTGGTGGAGTATAGAGCGTTACGGATGATTCTTACGAGTGAATATTCCATGGAGGAGATAGAAATTGGAAAGGAGGGCAGAGAGGCAACCGTGGAGATTTGGGTTGATACAACGAAACCTGTTACAATGCATTCTAGACAGTGATCAATTGACTCGTTTGCAGGTTTTAATTTATAGATGGAATTACCAGAAGAATACATACTTTTAAGCTATTCTCTTTGTTGGAGAACTGATCTTGCTCACTTCTGAAGCGAATCAATTCATTAGCAAGATCCTCCCACTATGAATTTCCACTCATAACGAAAAGACAGTATACAGGACTCTACTGCAACCAACTGCGGCTTGAAACACCAAAGCGGGCATAGAGAGGAAGATTAGATCTCTGATCGTCTATTCCCAAGTAATACAGGGTTATCTCGTCCTGTGGAGGGATAACCATAGTATCGGGAGACTCAGATTCTCTCGTTATGGGAGAACCGGGGAAGAATAGCTCCGAAATTAGATGGTTGTGAGTTCGATCTGGCGTGCCACTTCGAAGATGAGATGGTATTATGTTGAAAATTAGATTTGATCTGACGTCAAACTTGGAATTTTGCGAAAAATAAATAAAAAAGTATTTTCAAAAGAAGAACGAGCTGGTACGTATTAATAGACGGTCGAAAATTGAAGAACTAGCTCCTGCTGTAGGGAAAGGGGCTCGCTTATGGTTCTTCTTGCGGCTTAGCTCGTACTCTTGCTTTCAACAGTGAAGTTCAAGTCGCTGTCGTCTATAAAAAAGCCCAAGATTTCTCAAATTTCGAAATTTCGAAACTTCAAACTTAATTTTTCCTCACGGAATCGTTCCCTCGTCCACAAAAACAACACCAACTCCCTGCAACGCAATACTCGTTAAGACAACATGTCATCGTCTATCAACAAGAAAGGCAAGCAAGCAGAAGTCAAGACATCTGATCTGCCCCCTCACCCAACATCTACAACAAACATCCAGTGCGAGATGATAGTCCAAGCTATGTGGATGGAGAATACGGAGACCATTTAAGCCAAGGCCAGATCAACTTCATTATTCAAGCCTACTCGCTATGTGGCCTCAAGTTGGATCCAGAGGAGATGGTCAAATGTTATCAAATGTTTATTTGGGGCGAAGGCATTGATAATATTCGTCTCTGGGCTTCAACTGTGACTGTTGTTGATGGATCAAAGATCACAAAGGATCTCCTCCGTGCTATTGGCAATGAATTGTGGGGTGAGGATGGAAAGCCATGGGGTAGCTTCGATGCTGATGGTGATACCGACGAGTATGATGTGCGCATAATTGAGCCAGGAGATTGGTGTACTTATGCAATGGCATGTCTTTCCCATCTGGATGACCTGAAGTGCATCAGCTTACAACCTTTGCAGAGAAAAGATTCGGCAAGCACAAGTGATGCAACCAACTCTCAGCGCTCTGCCAAACGCGCACGAGTGAACTGTAAGTAGGCCCTTGAAACCATCAATAACCACGGCAACATCTGACTTGACCATCAAGATTAGACACCATCTCCGAAACTTCCCCCAATGGGATTGCTTCCAAGTATTCGACGAGCTTTGACGCTTCAACAATCGCTTTACCCCATGGGTCAGTGAGATTCATTAATCGAGCTGAGAAGTTGAGCACGCAGAGGTTTACATGAGATGTTGAGATGATAAGTTTTCAGCAATCTGAGGGGATCTCTTTCGGATCTCATGCTGCCTGGGCTTGTCGGGGGAATCTCTTTCTTTTCCTTCTGCATCTCACGAACGTCTGCGAACGTTTTTCTTTCTTTCTACTTGCTTTTGATATGATGCAGCATGTGCCTGTTGGCGTTTATTCTTCAAAAACCCTCACACTCAGATAGCTTACATATTTGCTGCGGTGCTTTCACAAATGCATGGTATTCCATTTTCAAGTGCTCTCGCACCTTCTCGAGATTGATATCGAAGTAAGTGTGAAATTGTCAGGGGAGCAAGGATGATACATTCACTTCACTCGCCGGACTTTCCCAAGCTTCCACTAAATCGTAATAGCATGCCGACATGCCTTCAACAACAACATCTCATACGCATCCACAGTCGTCACCTTTCCCTCATTCCAATCCTTAACATAGCTTGTGTATGTGACCAAAGATGGTATCCTCCTCGGCCCTTCCACTCTATCCCAATCATCTGTATTCTCAGACACGGGTAGCGCAGCCATTACCGGTACCAAATCCGACATGCCATCCTTCAAAATCTTATACAGACATCGAAATAGAACTGACACCATGAGCGTTCGCCGAATGCTTTCCATCAACAACCATTGGTGATGAGAAGTAGAACGACCAACATCGACTTCCTGCAACTTTCTTGACCAATTCTCCAACAGATCAAAGTCTTGGTCTGCCAATTCTTCCTGCTTCTTATCCCCATCAAACACACGAATAATTTGATAAATGATCAAAGTCTGTACAGCGAGCAACCAATCCTCGGGCTGGGTGAATGTCCGAGAACTTGAGATCAACTTCTTCAGTTTGATGAACAACATTCGAAACACAATCATAGAATTGGTCTCTGTTTTCTGATTGTACAAACTGCAAATACTGAGAAGATCTTGATAAGTGTCGGGCATGGTATCGTGATAGAGATCCGAATGGATGAACGGAGCTCGGCTTTCCATGGCTAAAGACAGCACACATCTCCGTAATTCAAAGACACAGTACTCTATCTGGTGTGGTTCGATGACTGCAAGCTCAGGGAACGGAAAAGAATCGTATGGGGACGTGAGGAGTTCCGCCGCGGCAGGGTCATGATTTGGTGTCTCACTGATCTTCGCATCACCAGCAGCGAATGCTACTAGTTGGTCGTTCTGTCCTTGTTAGAACGGATCGATGCCTACCGAGCCACTTACATAGCTACAAAGTCGATTTCTTGCCATACATCTCGAGCAGGACGGAATGGTCAAATCACATCTCCGCTTTGCCTTCACGCACCCTGTACATGCCTTCTGCCGGGTAGTACTTCTATGGACGAGCTCAATAATTTGTGCCATAGTAGATCACTGAGTGGAATTCCACTTCTGGAGACAAGCGGAGGTTGAAATGGGAACAGAGGTTCGACTCGTAATCACGTAAGCATTCTCCACTTTTATTGCGGAATTCCGCCACACGTGATACCCCTGAAGGATTGGGAAGCTGCTGAATGTATGTCTGATATAGTTATAAATACGACATTCCTTTGCTCATCTACAGGAATTGACCAAAAACAAAATGCCTTACACCGAGTTCGTAATCCCCTCCCTGAAGCAGGATGAAGGATCGAAGGCAGCATTTCTTTCAGCTAGTCCGCTTCTAATATCAGGACTTGCAAAAGCCTCGGGATTCAAGCAGCATGTAATTGGTACAATAATCAGTGAGAACGGGGAAGATGTCAATCCAAACAGCCTGAAGATCGCCCTTGGAATAGGTTCGTCCTTGACCTTTCGTGAGATCAAATCTAACATGAACATAGAATGGGAGCAAGAGAAGAATTTGTACGACTTCCTCGTTAGTGAAGACTTCAAAGCCTTCGCAGTTCACGCAAAATCCTTTTCTGCAGCTCCTCCGGATCCACAACTATACAAGACCGACCTAGAGCCCACAGCCATCTTCACAGCTCCCTTGACGGAAGTGATTCGGATCCCAATGGAGGAGGGACAAGCCGGAGAAGTTCAACTTATCTGGAAGCAATATATCGATGCTATTGAGTCCAAAGAGAACATTCAGATCAATGCATTATGTGGCACCAGCCTGAACTTGGAAAAAAAGCACTTCGTAGGGATTGTTGGGTACCGGGGAATCGAGGTGAGTCTAAGAAGCACTTGCTCGTTCATCGCTAACATCTCAGATGCGTGAATCGATCCATGAAAGTCTGTCCGTCGGAGAAGCAAAGGGAAAGTTGGAGAAGCTGGGAGCAAATTCATTTGTGGTATCATTTTCGAAACCCTGAACCCAAGATTACATCAATGAAAATCTCCTCTCATCTCGAGGCCTTGTGATGTGAAAGAACATTATGATATTTGATTACAGAGGCTTACTCCTTGGAAAACAATTTGTGGTATCCCCAAACTTGGAAAGTATCCCGCTCCAAAACAACAAAGGAAACCCAGGGTATCTTTTCGAAAGTAGTAGCTCAAAGCTGATTATCGTACTCTCCTCCATTCCTTCCTCCTATACGTGGTGAACTTCCACTGCCGGGTCGTGCTTGCCAGATCTTTCATTGCGTGTGCGCCAGCAGTAAAGTGCTGCCATGATTGTAGTCGCAGTGAACAGAAGCCTAGTCTGTCAGTCAAAGCTCAACCCAAGAGTCATCCAACTTACCATTCAAAAGCAGCAAAGACATCTCCAGCAATCGAAGCACGGCATGGTCCCCAATATTTCCCTGTATGCGCAGTACAGTCGATATCCGTCAACAGTACAGCCAAAGCAATGAAGCCTGCAAACCAGAAAAGCATTGTGATGGTTTCAGCAGCGAGGATTCCAAACTTGTGGGCTGCTGTCTTGAAGTGCATAGGAGCGATGACGAGGTATGCGACAGCGAGTAATGTCCACACCGAGGTGAAGATCAGGAAGTTGACCTGAGATGGAGACCAATAATAGGCCCAATCATTTGCAGCTGGAGATAATCAGGAAAGAGCGCAACAAGATCTGGGATTGTACTCACCATATGCCAGGACACCGAGAACGATGATGGCAAAAACTGCTTGAATGACCCGAAGAGGGAGGATGAGGGCTTCGATGAATGCCATGGTGGATCGTTTTTCGTGGAGCTATGAGTTGTGGATACTTGATGATCTTCTCGTGACAAGGAAGGAAGAAGGTTGAAGATCGCAAAGAAATGGAGCAGAAATGGAGCACTTGAAGGTAGGTTTTATTCACAGACCTTCTTTATGTGTGTTGTGGCTTTCGTGATTCAAAATACGTGTAATAGTGGCGCATGCTTGGAATGCGGGGCAATTCCAAGTTTTTTCTGACTGCTCGGTCACATGTTGTATGACGTCGGATTGAGATTTCAGCTGGTTGTGAATGGCTTGGAGAGACAAGGGGCGAGTAAAAACCCTGCTGCGGATGCGGGGTTCCGAATAGAGTAACACGAACAAGCTTTTGATCGTTATGAAACATTCGTATTATCAACACTAATGACGACGATATAACTCAACGCGTATAACTCCAAATCAAGAGAAAATCACCTGTCATTTCAAGTGACACAACAATGACTGACTTCGGTTCAAGTCAGGTCGCAACATATGGTAAAAGCAATTAAATTCAGAGCTTGCTGGTTGTACCACCCAACTCAATGACCAATTTCCCAAACTGGGAGCCATGCCTCATATCTTCAAACAGGCCATCGATATCCTTGAGATTATCAATGCCTTTGACCGTCCTCGATACAATAGGCTTGATGTTCTTCTCGTTTACAAAAGCGACCATGTCTCGAAACTCTTTTCTCGAGCCCATGGTTGAACCTCGAAGCTCCAAATTGAGGAGGTTGGCACTCATCAACCAATCCATCTTTGGGGCGACAGTCATGCCATATTGAACAATAATACCGCCAGGCTACGCAAGTTAGCAAGGGAAATCCGCAAGAGTAGTCACGTACCTTCAAAAGCCTCACAGCCTTTGAGATAATATTCCCTCCAGCGCCATCAATAATGGTATCAAGGCGTGGCCTATCCTTAGGCAACTGATTCTTCAGCTCCTTCTCCCATCCCTCATCTTTGTAGCTTACTCCACCCTTCGCTCCCATACTCTTCGCTTTATCGAGCTTTTCTTGACTCCCACTTGTGACATAGGCATTCATACCAAGTGCCACGGCAAATTGCAAGACGTTCAACGCAACTCCTCCACCAATACCAGTAATCAGGACATTCCTACCCTTCTGTGCATTTTCGCTCTTTGTCATTAGGGCTCTCCATCCCGTCAAACCCGTCAATGGTAAAGCCGCAGCCTCTGCAGGACTCATATGGTTTGGGGCCTCATCCACTTCATCCTCGTGAACGCAGAGAACTTCCTGCAGTGTGCCTAATTGGAATGTCTTAGTGCCTCCGAGAATTGCATATCCCGTGGGCGATTCAGGACCTGCTGGATCATCCTTCCAACCCCGGCCTGGAGTCAAGATGACCTTCTTCCCCAACCAGGACTTCAAGGCAGATGAGCCCACAGCGGTCACTATACCATATCCATCTGCGAGGAGAGGTACGTCGAAGGAGGGGGCGGGGTAGAGATGTTGTCGGAGGAAGAAATCGCGATGATTGAGAGCAGCAGCGTGCATCTCAACCACCAGATCATTGGGACCAGGATTTGGAGTTGGTACATCGACGAGGGAGAGCCTACAGATTGGCAAGAGTGACTGTTGAACGTTCAGAGGAGCTTACGGATAGTAAACCTTTCCGGGCTTTCCTCCCTCAATATGCTGCATCGTGATTGCTTTCGGCATGATGGGCGAGTCAATCGTATCTCGGATGTTCTAAATGAATTAGTTGATTGATAAGTTTCAGCCCTCCGGGCGATTGAAGTTCAAATACATGTCGCACACGGACTGAAAGGCAAAAGAATGACGCTGGGAACTGATTTCCAAGCTCCCCGCGAACTTCTGCCGAGGCTAAAAGGGGCCGAATACGGAGAGAACATTGGTTAGAACTATTGACATTGCGACCGAGATTGTTGATGCACATCTTACTGGTTATCTGCATTTTCACGTACGGGGACGGTGACCGGTATTCCTTTTGAGTGTGATTTTGCAAAGATTCATTTGATACAAATTTCAAGTCATTCGTTCAGTACACCACGCAATGCTACCTCGAACGCCTTCAACATGATCATCTTCGTCTTTTACCACCTCCTTCTCCATCAGTTTCTGCTCTCCTCTTCTTCCCCTCTTTCCTCCAATATTCTTGCTTCTCTTTCTTCTCCCTCTCTCCTCTCTTCTCAGCATTCTCCTCAACTTTCTTTCTGTATTCCTTTCTCTTCTCTTCCTTTGCTACCCGCCTCTTAGCAACCTTCTCATTCCTCAAAGTCATGACCTTCTGCATCAAATCCCTAGCCTTCTTCTCTTCGCCACCAAGCACAACAGCACGCTTCCGCATGTAAGTCTCCTTGGACTGTTTCTTCGTTTGAACGATCTGCGATTTGAATGGTAACTCAGCAGCAAGTGCTCGCGGGACACGCAGAGGATTGAAATGTCTCGTTGCTCTCTCCACGGGTTTGTATTGACTGTTCTTCTGCTGCGGAGTGGGAAGACCTTCGTCACGACGGACTTCACCAGTCAATCGCATCCCTTCCCAACCAATCAAGTTCATCACAGGATTGTAGAAGCGGTGAGGTTTAACTGGGTACCATGCACGGAGGAACACAATATCGCTCATAAGAATCTTGTCCTCGAAAGTTGCTCGGAAATAGCCTTCAGGTTTGCTGAGTGCTTTCTTGATCTGTCCACGAACGCCAGAGACGGTCTTGATGGAAGCTCCTTCAAATTTGGCAATCTCAACAGCAGTGGTGAACATATCTCTGATGAATGCAGTGTTCTTGAAGATCTTGTACGGCGCACCAGTCAACTTGAGTTTCTTCACAATCTCAGTTGCTTCGTCCACATTCAAAACTGTCCCGGTAGCAGCGATTCGAAAACCTGGGTTCTTGGATGAGAAAGATTGGTAACATGAGAATCCACTGTTTGGTGCAATCAGAGGTCCGTAGAATGTTCCAAAGCAGTGCATGTGCTCAGGGGTGTATTTAAGCATTCTGTTTCGTACTCGAGAATCTGAAATGCTGTAAACGGGCATTGTCTGAAATCTCCTCCAGCCCATTGAGAAGATCAATGGATCATTCGTCTTGAGGATCTTCTTGTGCCATCGATGACGCTTGATCCTGACTTGAACGAACCCAAAGCGATCCTCTGTAGCGGATAGGCCACCGACGATGATTGGCATCCGTGGACTGAATCTGGTAACAAATTCAGAAGCAGCCCCTTCGATGACAATCTTGGCGTACATCCCAGCTCGAAACCCTTCAACATTGACACGCTGACTATCTTCCAGCAGCTCAAACTCTGCTTTGTTGATATCCAGCTGTTTCTGGATCCGTGCTTTCTGGGCATCATACCAATCATCTTCGCCAAACTCTTCATCCTCTCCAGTCTCCTGCCGAGCTTTAGCTTTGTCGTTATTGAAGCCATCTCGATCCTCTTCCTCGAAGCGCATCTTCAATTCCTCCTTCCGTTTGGCATTTTTTGCACGCTCGGCCTCAAGATCATCATGCTTATGTCCTTCACCAGTCTCGAGATCCTCAAATGCTCCATCTCCCTCATCGGAGTCCTCTCCCTCGCCATCATCACTGCCGCTCTGGTCTGCCTTCTTTTCGCCCAACAAATCCGCAGTCGCAAACCGTTGCCTCAATGCTTCAATGTTATCATCCACAGACCATTTAGCTTCCAGGGCATCATAATCCAAGAATGGGATCGCACGATCCTCGAACTTTTCATCTGCTGTCTCTCGTCCTGATTTCTTGAAGAAGGCCTCGTCATCCGAATCTTCCTCGATATCCTCGGCTTCCTCTACCTCTCCTCGCCATCTTTTCAAGACTTCACTGGCTGTGAGAGACTCATCGTACATCAATTTCGCGAGGTCTGCGGTTCTGTATGATCTTCGCTTGCCCTGGAGTTGCTGTGCCGTCTTCAGCATGTTCTCTTTCCACCGAGTGTCACCGTCTTCGTCGGAAGATTCGGCCTCTTCCTCTTCTCCGGAGATAGAACCAAGATCCGAATCACTGTCTGCAAATGCAATATCTCCGCCCGCTGGATCATCGGACTTCCGGAACGCTCTTCCAAGCTTGTCGTCCGTGAGCTCAATTTCCTCTGCCGAATCATACTCATCACCACTGACAAATCCTTCATCATTAGGCTCTTCGTCAGACTCTTCGTCTCGTTCGACAAAGCGAGCAGAACGTGGCTGCTTTCGACCTGAATCTTCCTCTGCCACACTCGTTATAGCATCTCCATTACTAAACAGCTGGACACCCTCGACTGCTTCACCCAGAAGCTTCCTTTCATTCTGTAGACTAACAATCAGCTCCTCGCCTTCACCACGCTCTACATCTTCAGCGTCTTTGTCGAAATTGAATCCCTTCTCTCTGGTAATCCAAATCATATCGCCATCGATCTTCAAACCACTCTTGTCAGACATTGGTGCGTGAAGCTTCTTCTCCTTCTCATCCAACCGTCTTCGGCCAGTCTTTCCTGAAGCTTTTGCAAGAGCTTGGTCCATATACGGTGTCGGACATGGGTCTGGCAGAGACTCCATAGCTGCGACTGTGTAGTCCCCCAATCCTGGTATATGCACTCTTTGACCCTGCGCTGCAAAATTTGTTCCTCGTAAATACCCAGACAGCACAACTGTCCTATCGCATTTTGGATCTTCTTCAATCTTCGTAGGATGAGTGACATCTCGAAAGCTATCAATGATCGAGTAGGGATGCGAATTCCGCCAGATCAGAGGTCGTGGGTTCTTCATGACTGAAAGAAACCTCGAAAGGTTGTGGATTTCGCGGTCTGGGTACCTCCCATTGATCACTCCTGACAGATAGAATAAATGTGCGCCTTGGTATAGCTCGCTCCAAAATCTGTTCTTCAACCGCTTCTTCGCATCCTTGAGGGTTTGTGGTTTCCGGAAAAGGTCGAGATGTGTGAGGATGCCAAATACATTGCCTGGCATTCCGCTCGAGGCTAAGATATTCAGGAATTCCATTGTCTCCATTTCGAATCCAAAGTTTCCATCAATCATCAAGAGTACAATATCTGCCACCTTTGACATGTCCACCATTGCCTCCAGTTCATTGGGACATTCCACGAACGTAAGTCGTTGTCTCTTGGACGTAACGACGGTAATAGGACCCTGTGGGTCGGACAAAGTTTCTTTCGCATATCGTTTGACGAGAGATTTGAGGAGCGTCGTCTTGCCTACACCTGGAGGTCCGACGATAGTAACAAGTCGTGGTGGGGGTTCTTCTGGTATGCGATCAATTTGAGGAACATGAAGCCGCTTCTCTTTAATCTGTAGAAATTGTCAGAGAGATCAAAGCGTTCCTCGTATATACTAACATCATGCGATCGAGCAGCGGTTTTCGCCAGGCGTCCTGGGTTTGCAAAACTAAATGCTTTTGGATTGCGGTCTGGTGGGTTATCAGTAATGCGCAGAACAGGGAAATTGGCGTACAGACCTCCAGTATGCTTCTTCTTATCCTTTGAAGGCCGATGTGGCCTATTCGATTGGTCATCCATCGTTCAAGAAGTCAATGTACAGTCTAGACATCGAAACTCGAATTCTTCAATCCAAAATAATTTCTGCGGGAACTTTTTGGCGGAGATGCGCTAGGTTCTTTTGAGGCTAGTTCATCATCTTATCGCTTATCTAAAAGCCGAGCTTGAAAGGAGCCCCAAGAGAAGGCAAACCACGCTTCACTGCGGTTCAAGATCTAGAGACACACTGAAATGCAGGCTGATTCAGATAGAAAGAATGTATTGGATGCCCTCTCTTGAAACGCGTGTGTTGTCACTTAGCGCTCATAAGCAATGTGCTCGAAAGATGACGTACTTTAGGCTGTCACTTGTCGCGGGGTCCAGAAACACGACCAAGACTTTGGTGGGGGAATGGAATCCATATAAATGCTTGGTCGACTTCTCTTCCATTCTGATTCATCTATTGAAAGTTCATACAAACCAAAGAATAAAACCCAATTCCTCCCAATTCAAGTCTCAAAATCCATATTCAATTACCGTCACCATGGTTAGACACATTGTGAGCAGTCCGATTCTTGTATTGATGCCATGCTGATACCCAACTCAGGTTAACTGCAAGACAAAGGCTGATGTCGAGCCGTGAGTCTACTGCTACTTGGCTTCAGCTTCCATATACTGACCCAGATTAGAGCCAAGAAGTTGGTCGAAGAGCAAGGAGGCAAGATCGTAGATACCTACACTCTAATTCCTGCATTTGTGTAAGTACTCAGATCCTCTATTCTGAAAAGAAAGCTAATGAAATCTAAGTGTCGATATGCCAAAGGATTCAGTCAGTGCTTTCGAGAGCAGCCCACACATTGAGACCGTCGAGCTTGACAGCGAAGTGAAGACACAGGGTTAAGGAGTCAACCATGGGATAGATAGGCCGGGCGCATTCATGGAGGCTAGGACAATTGCATAATGATATAACACGCTTTCGTCTTCCCATTTCGTATGTGAAAAGTTGGATCATTGAATTCGTAGTTGGAATGGCTAGAAGCAATGTTGCCAACCTCGGCTGATTTCACAACCTCAGAAATGTCGAAATAATTGATTTGCTCCCTTCTACCAATACCATCATGATATCCCTTCTCCCACCACCATCTGCAAGAGTGGGTAGAATCATCTTACCGTGGTCGAGACAAATATCTTATTCTTCAACCTTTGCTCGACACCCCTCACCGTCAGCTCACAAATGGTCACATCCACCCAGCTCCACAACCATCGCCGACGATGAGGTTGCAAGCCTTGCAAGCAAGCCATTACATGCTCTGAGTTTAGCAGACCTTGTGAAGTATCTGCAGACTGATCCCTGCTGTTGGTGCCTTTACTGATACCTTGAATTCAGACATGGGCGTCCACCGCTTTCTACGGACGCGTTATTCTCCAGTGCGAACTTTACCCTCTCCCTCCTTCCTATACGGTTAGCACATCGAATCCAAGCTCTACGAAACCTGCCATTCATAGTGGTATCGAATCCGAATATCTCGAAGATCTATAACAATTACCTCCACTCGTTGTCCACATTACTTCCTTACAAGGAGAAGACAATAAGCAGCCTCGAAGACGAGATTAAATTTACGAGCGTCCTCGCAGACTTGGTTGAAACACACTCTCATACTATACCCACTCTCGCTCGAGGCTTTCTCGAATGCAGGAAGTATATCAACCCAATTGAGGTGACCCGGTTCCTGGACGAGCATCTACGAGCACGAATAGGGACAAGATTGATCGCTGAACAACACATTGCTCTGCATGTGTCCTCTCAGCCACACCAAGACCCCAAATCAAGCTATCACGAAGAAAACAGCCAGTCCTCATACATTGGAGTCATTGATACAGCACTGCAACCTGCGTCCATCATCAATTCATGTGGGAACTTCGTTTCGGAGATTTGCGAGTTGAAGTATGGCGTACGGCCAACTTGGGTTATTGACGGAGAGCCTGGGACTACATTTGCATTCGTGCCAGTCCATTTGGAGTATATCATCACGGAACTATTGAAGAACGCGTTCAGAGCAACCGTCGAATCTGGAAAGTCCCACGAACCAGTTATCATTACCATTGCTGCAGAGCCTGAGAGCCCAAGAGAAAAGGATCGGAGTGTAAAGAATGGCTCTTCAGCTACAGATGATAATCCACCGATCAGACCCTTCGAAGACCCAGCTCCTGGTGTTACGATCCGCATCCGGGACCGTGGTGGTGGTATTAGTCCCGAGGTGTTGCCAAATATCTGGTCATATTCTTTTACCACATTTTCGGATGAAGATGACCTTCCAGGACAAGGGCCGGGTAATGGAAGCATAGATGCATTGAATGCAATGTCAGGTGCTGGAGGAGAAGGAAGCTCCATCGCTGGTCTGGGATACGGACTGCCTTTGAGTAGAGCCTATGCCGAGTACTTTGGAGGAGGCATTGCTGTGCAGAGTTTGTATGGGTGGGGCTGTGATGTGTACCTGCGTTTGAAAGGGTTGGGCAGACCAAAGGGTTGAAGAACTACTGTTGAATGATCTGGACTCATTCACAAGGCTAAGGCGAGACATGAAGATGCCTTGTTCGAGGCAGGGTCTGTGAGGATGTTCTTCCAATGTCTTGCCTTTACCAAAAGGACGTTCGCGAGATAGCGAACAGAACAAGCCGCGTGGAATTGCGGCCACAGGTCAAGAGCGAGATGTAGGACACAAGATAACAACCAACAATTATCCACCTGTACTCTCGAACTTCCTTGTCAATCGTCTTGACGTGCATGTTTCCTTCGAATGCTTTGTTGGGCCTGAACTTTTGTGTAATTATCATTTGTTTTCTCGGGGCTCAGCCCCAAGTGGAGCGAGCATAGACCCCCGTTGCCCACTCTTGTGATGAAGTGAGGCAGATTTTGGGGTTATACTCACAGCCTCGAATGCCTGGAGCAAGGCTCTCCTTGACTTCATATACTTTTTTCTTCTGCATGGGCTCGTCGATAGAGACACGCTACCAAATTCATACTCGCTGTGGATTCGCTTCAGAGGGCAACAGGTGTAATTGCAGCAACGGCTGTTGCAGCCCAACTTGTTGGCGGGCTCAGTTCAAATGCACTGGCCGAAATGAATGGCATCTGCAAACAATTTGAGAGAACAGTCCCATTCAGTCTTTTCTTTTAACTTGTTACTTGGCTATTCCGAATACGGCTTCCTTGCCACGTTGCAGAACTCCAATGGCAATACTTCTGACTACCATACTTGAAAAGTCGCTAACACACAAACATGTGCCTGCTCAAGTTTCCACCTCCCCTCTCGCTGAAGACCATAACAGCGAATCCTACTGAAGCTAATGATCATTCCTTTCAAGCCATGGCTTTGAAGCGTTGTAAAGTTCTCCAAGTGCTGGTTCGAGACCAACCAAACGCTGATATACGCCCTCCTCAATGACTTTCATGAACTGAAGCCATGACACAATCACGAAATCTGCATACGAGGCTATTGACGTGTCAGAAATTGCCAAAAGACGAGAAAGGCATCCTCACGTGTTTTCCCCATCACGAATGGTCCTCCATTCGCCTTGACAAGCTCTCCTAATTCCTTGATTCCTGGTAGAGCTTCCATCCAGGCCTCTTCTCCACCCGAGTCCTTTCCATATTGTTCAAGAGTCTTACCCAATCTAGCTTGTCTCGTTCTGCCGAAATATTCCTTTGATCTCTCTGGCAGCAGGTTTGCGTGCACTCCGGGCAACGCAATTCCCCTCAATGGCCCCATAGCTTTGGGCGTAATTTTGCTCAACTGTTCCAGGATAGGCGAATCCAGGTGGAGGTGTGGCTCTGGGTGTTCTTTCTCGATTCTAGTAGCTATCTTCTTGGAATCCATGACATACGTTCCATCAGGGAACTGCACCACGGGAATAGTATATGGAGTGTCATCGGGTGGGTTTGGAGGGACGCTAATACCGTGAGCCAAGTGCAAGTTGGGCAACAGAGCGACTTACTGATCTTTGAACTTTGATTCGATATCAGGATATTCCGTCCATTCGGTCTTGTATTCAAGTTTCTTGTAGTTAAGAACCAATCGAGCTGAAAGTGTTAGAAAAACCAACAATGTCAGGGACAAGACGTACTTTTCCAAGGATTGTATGACCAAGATACTCGTGGTTCTTTTGTTGGCAAATCGTAGAAGATTAGTTGAGACATTTAGTGACACGATGAATTATGGTGAATAGGAATGAAAGGAGCAGTGAGTTGAGGAAAGAGAGGTAGATGGTCAGTGATAAATACCCCGCAATGTCAGGATATCTGAGGTAGATGATGATGATCTGCGAGCTTAAAGCTCTCAATTGCCCCGAAGATCGGATCTAGAGGGTACTTTACATCGATAAGATCCACAGATTACAAATACACCTCTATGTACATGCGAGGAGGATCCAGGTGGGGGGAGGTGAGTCCACGTGAGAGCTTGACCAAAATGGATTAGCGCCAATGACCCCACCAAATCTTGACTTCCAAGATCCCAGCCTCGTACCTAAACCACCAACTTTTTCCAACCTCTACACTTCAACAGCGCCGCGCAACCTGAATCATGGGCTCAGTTGTATTGCCTCATCTTATTACTGGATGGCACGTCGACCAGGCCATCATGTCTGAAGACGAGCGTCTGGTCATTATCCGCTTCGGTCGTGATTGGGATCCTGATTGTATGCGACAGGATGAGGTCCTCTATCGTGAGTCAAATCTTCTCAACCTCTGCTCTCTGGCTAATCCTCTAGGTATTGCCGACCGTGTCAAGAACTTCGCTGTCATCTACGTCTGCGATCTCGATCAAGTCCCCGACTTCAAGCAGATGTATGAACTCTACGATCCTATGACCCTCATGTTCTTCTTCCGCAATAAACACATGATGTGCGATTTCGGTACCGGTAACAATAACAAACTCAACTGGGTTCTGGAGGACAAGCAGGAGTTGATCGATATCATCGAGACGATTTACCGTGGAGCGAAGAAGGGTCGTGGTTTGGTTGTTAGTCCAAAGGGTATGTTGAACTGCTGCTTGATAGAGAATAGGTTGCTGACTTGTGCCAGATTACTCCACTAGATACCGATACTAAATATACTCCTTGGTTTGCGATGGTTTGCGAAAGAAGAGCGTCGAATATGGGTGCTGGAGTTTGCTGAAGGCGTCATGGGAGGCGATCAACGCTTGGGAATTATACAGAAAGGGTCGGTCTCACAAATAATTCTCTTGCCTGAACCTAAAGATGCTAATGTTGAATGAAGAGTGTGATGTGCGTACCTCGATATTGTGGTGCGTGTCGACTTTCCTATCTCTCGATGTTCATACAGCGAAGAAAGAACCAAGAAAGAACCCCCAAGTGGACGCTCTCTCTGTCGGTGTGAGTATTTTATTCTCTTGGATGGCGCGGGTTCTTCGAAGTGGACTACCAAGTGGTTTCTCGAGAAGCGTCTGGTTTTCCTTCGGTTGTAGTGTCTATGCAGCAAGTATCCCTGCACGGAGAAACTCTGTTGGAATCGCCACGACTGCAGCTACCCCTCACGATCTAACCGTGTCTAAGAATTGTAGATGGGATCTTGTGTCCAGTGATGAGGATTTCAGGCCCAGATTCCGAGAGCCTCACATTATGTCGCAGTCTCCTTCCTATTTTGCCTCGGAACGTGAGGTTCCGTGTCGGATAATTTTATATACTGTATTTTCAACCAGTTCATCAACAGCTCAATAGCCTTGCCCCGCATATGTATGAGAATACTTTCATTCGTTCGCGCATCATAACGGCCCGAACCCCTGGTCGTTTTGTAGATAGTTTTCTCCAGGCACTGTCTAGTGCCGAGGGGTAATTCAATACAAAAGGATTTTACAATTGCCCTTCATGTTCTATGTGATTCTGCATCAACCTCCTTCGCCATGAAGATCGAAGTCTCCTTCCTGGGCTTCTTGCTCGCATTCACTGCCAATGCAGCTCCCACAATTCAATCCTCATCAGCCAAGCAACCAGATTGTTCTTACCCGATTGGGAAAACCGGAATCAATGCCAAAGTATCTGGCCGGCTCTTCGATATAGATGGCAAGGTTGAGTACTTTGCTGGTAAGTCTCCTGTTAACTTCATATGCTTGTGCTTACATTTGGAAGGCAGCAATGCATGGTGGCTTGGTCATTTGAGCAACAACTCTGACGTTGATACCACACTTCAACAGGTTGTCAATGTATGAAATTATCCCAATCATTGAAGGTCAATTCTCACAGAAATCAGACAGGCTACAAGATCCTTCGCGTCTGGGGATTCGGAGACGTCAACACAATCCCAGATCCATCAGCAACTGACCCAAACAAGGTCTACTTCCAGATCCTCAACTCAACAGGCTCATATCTCAATTTCGGTCCGGATGGCCTGCAACGGTTGGATTACGTGATCTCCTCGGCGGAAAAGTATGGTGTGAAGCTTGTCCTCCCATTCATCAACAATTGGGGCGACTACGGAGGTATTGCTGCATATGGAAACGCATTTGGGAACAATGCAACTACCTTCTACACTAACGCAGCTGCCCAGAAAGCATACAAAGCTTATATCAAGACTCTTGTTACTCGATACTCCAATTCTTCTGCCATCTTTGCATGGGAGCTATGTAATGAACCACGCTGTCATGGATGCGACACTTCCGTTATCACGAATTGGGCAACTGACATCTCAAGCTACATCAAAAGTCTGGATTCCGACCATATGGTCACTCTAGGCGATGAAGGATGGCTCGCACCTGCTGACGGTTATGGAGATGGTTCGTACGCTTATGGTGGTGGTGAAGGCATTGACTTTGCCGCAAATCTAAAGATCAAGACCTTGGATTACGGTGTCTTCCATTTGTATCCCAATTCTTGGGGCTACAACTACACTTGGGGCAACGAATGGATCCAGCAGCACGACGCAATTGGGGCAGCGATTGGAAAACCGGTAATCCTTGAGGAATACGGAACTCCATTTCCGAATAATCATACAGAGACGGAGGGACCGTGGCAGGAGACTGTGGTGAAGAGTGGACTTGCTGCTGATCAGATCTGGCAGTTTGGGACTTATGATCTGAGTGTGCCAGGAAGTAATTTGGGGGATGTGAATAGTATCTATTACAATGAGACGGAGTACAAGACGCTTGGGTTTGAGCATGCAAAGAATATGTTAGCTAAGGATGTAAAGTAGCTTTGCACTTAGACGACTGAATCGAATTCATTTGGCATGCCGTTTGTGTAGGCTTCTGGGCTCTAGTTTGCTGGGATATGCTTGTAATGCTGCTCAGGGCTATTTGCTTCACAACAATCCCTTCTCCTATGATAGTCGCATTCCGCTCACTGACCCAAGCTACTCTGATCAATAGACACCTGCGAAGAAAGACAACACATCCATGTTCGACTCTCTAAACCACAGCTTCAACTGCTCATCGCTGTCGCTTTTGTTATCTGATTCATCTCCTCCACCTCCGTTCCAAATCATCGAGGAATAATCAGGCTCCGAACGGCTTCTCAAGAAGTGGTTACATGGCTGGTGAGTTGGTACAGCCAGTACTTGCTCAGGAAACTTCTAAGCTGACATATCTCATCCAACAGAACAGAACGTCTGTAATCTTCATGCACTGCTGAAGCTGATGGCTGTCTTATGACTGGAATGAGCTACTGTTTGAATAAATTCGCAGTAACTGGAAAACTTTCGCCTCTGACTCCGCCCGAGGGGAGAGATGCACTTGAGAGAAGGCGGGAAAGAGAAGCTTGCAAAATTTGAGGTCATTTCCATGTCACCACCTCAGAAGTAAACAATTGATGACTTTTTACTTGCTTGATCAAATCCAGCCCATGTCCATGCAACTCGCATTTTATGACCACGAGCAGTAATAGCCAACGCTCGCTGAAGGATTTCATCAAGCAAAGCGTTGACAACTCACAAATTCGCACGTATCTCGGGCACCCACGTGAGTGGCAAGGGTCTGAAACATTCTCCATCATTCCCGAATGTCTCAGCCACACCGAATTGCCTGAATTCTCGTCATGGCCTCGGAAACAAATCTGCAAACTTACAATTCTGTACTCTCGATTGGTTGGCGTGAAGGCGATGTTTGGACTCAGGTGATAATCGCTGCGTAATGATGCGTTGTCGTATGTGGCTTGACACTTGACGATGCACCTCGAATCGTTTAGCCACGAATCGAGAATCTTGATCGCACAACGGTGACGGTACCTGGATCGGAGAGCTTGAACGAATAGTGTGAGCTTGGTGAGCTTGGTGAGCTTGATCTCTGCTGTCACCCAAGGTTTGCCAAGCTGCCAAGTGACGGGTTTTCTTGTTTGTGAAGGTTTGAAGATAGGTATCTCGCCGTCATGCAGCGTTGCGTTTGAAAGACGGTGAATGTAGCAATGTTTGAATAGCCGTGCCGCTACGTGGAAGAAGAGTGATTCATGTGTTGGCTTCAGATCCAGTGAAGCCAGCTGAATCTCACCGCTGGGAGTGTTACATTTCCCGCTCTCCAAGCCTGTTATGGAGTTCAGTGCGCGAGGAAGAAGGAAAAGCCTCCTTTTAGACGATCGACAATTTGATGAAGAAAGGCTTCCGCCAGCTGCAAGTCAGACCTCGCAAAGCGTCCGAAGCTGGGCCACAGGAGTCCGAGATAATCCGGAGCCGGAACGTACATTTGTATCTAGAAGTACACAGTGAGAACGGTATCGCACCTATGAGAAACTGTCCAGAGCCGTCAGCGTCATCCAAGTAGGCGCGCGCTGGCTAAGGTTAGTTGATGCAGAACTGACTGTTCTTGCGAAGACCGCTGGAAAAGAATCATCGGCCAGAAAAGGTACCCAGTGCGTAGGTAACGCGCGGACGTGGACGAGATTTGATGAGTAGTAAGTAGTGAAGTGGAGGAAGGGAACGAGACCAAGCGGTACCGAGGAACCTTGCTTGCTGGACTGTTGGGGGGCACGCAAATGATCTAATCTTTGAACATCGCTGGCGATATCCTCACTTTTGAGTGGGTGTCTTCCGTGTTTTTGCCCTTCTTTGGCCTCTTGGCATCTCCTGGGGGGTCAACCGTCAACACAGCAGTGGCAGTGGCAGTGCCAGAATGCCAAGCAGGACCGCGTCCAACCCGTAAAATTGAATCGAAACACCCCAATCTCCTACAAGAACACCGTGCCATCTTTTTTCCCTTCTTCGCAGCAACTTTCTGTTGACCCAAACGACGGATCTCGGATTCCACCTCGATCACGACGACACGCGCGCAACGTGAATCATCAGTTTCGTCGTCAGGCGAGAGAAGGCGGTGCACTGCAGCATTCACATCAGTCTCCAGGCCTAGGATTACCCCGAGGCTCTACTTCAGGCTTTCCCCTCACTGGACTCAGAATCCCCTCAGCCCCCAACGAGGCCAAATTAATTGATTTGCCTGCGCACGACACGACAACACGAGGCTGTGTGATCTTGCGCTGCGACTGTTCATATCCACCTTACGACCGGTTGTACCTTTCGCCGCGCATTATTTCAATTCACTTGCGAGCCCGATTTGATTGATAAGATCGCATCGCGACGACTCGAGCAGCAGAAATCGACCCCAAGAGTCTCTGGTTCTTGTCACACAGCGCACAGGGCACTTTCACACCATCAGCAGACGCCCGACAGCACTGCAGCCAGCCCAGTCCAGCCAGCCTTTCACCATTCGAATCACTCTGCTTCCACCTTTCTCCCTCGCAGCCTGAACTCTGCCTCATCGATTTCCTACCCGACGGCACCAATAATCCTGCCCTTGTTCTGCCAACCATACTCGGCAAGAAAAGCCACCCCCTTCCCCCAAATCCAAATCCAAATCCCAAGAACGACCCCTACCCGCCGACCGGCCTCATTCACAGCCCAATCCAATCAATTCCGCCAAGGCCAGGATCAAATCATTTATCGTCGAATTCCCGCCTTGCTTTCAATCTTCCACCAACATCAACAACATCATAATACTGAATAGCCCATTCGGTCAATTCTTGAATCATGTCTAACTTCAATATGCGTCAGTCAACTCCTCGCGCATAAGCAGAAATGCATCTTTGCGCTCTCTGCTTCTCTTATTTCTTCGTTTGCTTACAATGGCCGGATTAGATCAAATCAAGCGTCAGGCTCGCAAGGAAGCCTGGTATGGCGACTCGTATAATCCTTTCAAGAAGGGCAAACGATCCTCTACCTTTCCCTCCTCACCGAACGACCTCGAAGCTGGCATCAACACAAGAGGAGATGGAATATTTACCGGCGCACCACAGGTCGAGGACGAGACACCACTATCAGCTGTCCAAACAGAACCTCCCCATTCGAGAAATTTCAGCCAGACTACAAATGGAGATACTATACGCAGAGGTTCGAAAGAGGGCGAATACGAAATGACGTCGGCTACAAGTACGTCGAAAGCTAGAGAAGCCGATAGTGAGGAAACCGCTGTAGAGAGACGGGGCACGCGACCAAGAAGCAACGAGGAGAAGGCACGCCGAAGATTCGTTGGAAAGTTCTTCAACAAGAAGGATAAGCCGGCCGAAGAAGATGACAAGCCTAAGAAGAGACCTTGGTACAAGGGAAAGGAGCTGTACCACTCAGAACCTTTCACTTTCCGAAATCAAATCTCTCGGACCATTTTCAGCTCTTGGGTCAACATCCTCTTGATTGCGGCGCCTGTGGGTATTGCTCTGAATTATGCTGGAGTCGACGGCAAAGTCGTTTTCACCGTCAATTTCATTGCCATTATTCCTCTTGCAGGGATGTTGAGTTTTGCAACTGAGGAAATTGCTCTACATCTCGGAGAGAGTTTGGGTGGTCTTCTCAATGCTTCTTTTGGGTATGTATCCCGGAATCTTTGATTTTGCAACGCTAACTGTTTTCAGAAATGCTGTAGAATTGATTGTTGCCGTCATTGCTCTGGCCAAAGATGAAGTCGTCGTTGTTCAAACTTCGCTTATCGGCAGTATCTTATCCAACCTACTCCTTGTTATGGGAATGTGCTTCTTCTTTGGTGGTTTGAGGAGATCCGAGCAATTCTTCAACAAGACCGTTGCTCAGACTGCTGCTAGTTTGTTGGCTCTGGCCGTTGGAAGTGTCATCATTCCCACCTGTTTCGATCAATTCAGCAATACGCCAACATCTTCGGTCGCCGCTCTTTCACGTGGAACAGCTGTTATCCTCTTAGTCGTCTACGCTGGATATCTCTACTTCCAGCTACACACCCACGTTGACATGTTCAATGAGGAAAGTCAGAAAGTTCCCATGAAGCCTCGCAAGCATGCTCTGCCCCAGGGCGCCATTTCTAAAGGTCTTGCCAAAGCTGGTGGTATTGGAGCAGGAGCTGGTCGCCCTCATGTTATTGACCGACCTCCAAATGATGAATTGATCAAGACTACTGCATACGAAGAAGCAGATGAGGAGCCCGAGGAACCCACTCTTCACATCGCTGTTGCCTGGGCTACTCTTGCTGGTGCTACAGCAATCATTGGACTTTGCGCTGAATTCATGGTTGATGGCATTGGTTCAATCACCGAGAGTGGTACCGTCTCAGTCGAGTTCGTTGGTCTTATCCTCTTGCCGATTGTCGGAAATGCTGCTGAGCATGCTACTGCTGTCACTGTGGCCTGCAAGGACAAAATGGATCTTGCTATTGGTGTCGCTGTAGGCTCTAGCATGCAGGTTTCCCTTTTCCTGATCCCGCTCCTGGTTGTCATTGGTTGGATCATGGGCAAGGGAGATATGACTTTGAGCTTTGATGGATTCCAAGTCGCTGTTCTATTCGTGGCCGTTCTCCTCGTCAACTATCTTATTGGAGGTAAGTGTTCTCATTTTAAACCAGACCTGGACACAGCAAGATAACTAATATTCATTAGATGGCAAATCTCATTGGCTTGAAGGCATGCTTCTGCAATGTTTGTATTTGATCATTGCTGTATGCGCGTAAGTCACCAGACCCCTCCTCCGTTGCACCAATTTTGACTTGTCCTAGTTGGTACTACCCTCAAACCGATTCGAATGGCAACCCTGTCACCACTGCCGGATAGACCCAAATGCATGATTTCTCGCGAACGAAGAACCTCATCTTAGTCTCGACTCCGTCATACACAGTCGATTCGAGTGTTGGGCAAGAACATTGAAAGCATCTTGCTTTGCCACCTCTAACCCTCAAGAACATACTCCGGGTTAGGGATCTGTTTTATGGAGTCTCAATCTCCAGTAGCATGTGGACACCCATCTCCAACATCTCCTTGTATTATATTCTACCTCCTCGGAATCAGTTCCTTCCATGTATCATTTGTCTTGTAATGTTTGTTTTCTATTGCCAGCAACAGTCTGGCCCCAATGTCCGATGGGGAAATACATGAGCGCGTATCTCCTTGTCTATTCCGGCGTTAGTGGGTTTGGAGATGTTCTTCACGCCCGTTTGCGACCTTTTTTAAAATCCAGGATTTTCCGCGGTCAGCGGGATTCGGTACGAGCGATCAAAAGCCTGCATTTAAGAGCGAAGAAGAAATACCAATACGTTGTTTTGAAGATCTATTTCGTGCACAGTGACAAAGTTGAAGTGCCGGCTTATCATGACCCTAGAATGGTGGGATCCATGTCCAGATATGGATTCCTGAATGCTGACCATGTTCTCACAACTGTGGGTTTCAGAGTTTCCCAGCGCCTTTCAAAAACATCGAGTTCCAGATCCTACCTCCCAGATTGCGAGTCTGCAGAAGTAGAGCGAGAAGCTATGCTACTTCAAGTCCATGACCCCCTTTTCGAACTCGCTTCTATCACGTGCTCGTCTACTAATTTCCAGCACAACTACATCTTGGGTTGAAATTAACCAGGCCTCTCAAGTCTATACACTCGAGACCACTCGAGACCACTCGAGACAACATCCCTCTTCTCTAACATCTTAGCTACTGCTCCCTTTTAATTATTTTCAGCATTCTCGCACATAAAATATGGGAAGGCACGTCAGCGCTGTGACCTTTTCGGTTCCTACCTTCACAACGTCCTTCGTGCCTTCCTCGGTATCACGTTGATCAAGAATTTCTCTTTAACGAAGCCTCTTCCATTTCCAACTCTCTTCCGCTTCCAACTCTCTCCCGCAAAACAACCTCCTCACAACAAATATGTACCTTCTGCAAAGTCATCTTTCTTTTCAACCAACATCTCCATTCTTCATTCCCTGCTATCAACCTCACTTTCTTTCCAGCGTCAGCCTTATCTTTGATCCATTATTCGGCCTGCAACAACCTCTGGGACCGCAGAACCGTTATCAGTTGTTCAAATTTGAACTACAAATGTTAGTATCTCACTTTCCATTCCTACCTATGACGTCTGCTGGCACTGAAGGCCGCATTGGAGACTCAGATTGTCACTTTTAGTCAAATCATAGCCTGTGCCGTGCTTGCTACCGTCTTTAAATCAGCGTACTAACACCTGCGCACAGCTCACATTTTCCTTTTGCATTCAAATTGATCCGCAACATAGGTATGTCTTCATACATTTCTATGCAGATGTCTGTTGTCGAGCCCACACTAACTATGAACTCGAAGCTTCCAGGTTTACATCAACGTTTAACATTGCAACCACATTCGTCTCAACGGTAACTTCATCCCATATCACCTTTCTCATCTACAACTTTCAAGTGGGAAATGAGAAAAGCCTTGGCATTTGAGACACAACCTCTGTCAGTTCTCCTCGACCTGTTGTCAACATATCCAACCTCATTTAATCCACGTCTCTAGGCTCGGCTGAACCAAAGGTTCTTGCAGCCCCGGCTTTTCCCCGATCTTACAATTCCGCTGACACAAAAGGGTTTGGACGACTCCATCTGATCATTGATTACCAGCTTTCTCCTCAGGTCACCACCATCCTTCCGTGAAGGGGAATCCCGCCTTGTTCGTCTTTGCAAATCATTCCGCCGCCGCCTCAAAACATCAACATCACGCCTGCACAACAAGACTTCAAGAATTCTGCTCTCACTTTCGGTTATCCGGAGAACACCACCGCTGCGGGAAGATCTAAAGATTCCGCTATTACATTCACCTCTCTAGACAATCCCGCGTTTGCCCGACGAGGCTCCCAAAATTCCGCTCTTACATTCACCACTCCAAACGGCCCGCTCCTCCCCGTCGAGGCTCCCAAGATTCCGCGGCTACATTCACTTTTCCGAACGACCCCGGATTCCGCCCAAACGAGCGAAGTCAGTTGAATAGACCGTACCTCAGGTCTACATAAGTCAAGTTCCCCTCCCAATTACCAACAACTCCTCCTTCACAACTACACTACATTCTCCCAATACCTTTATCACTTCATCACATCATTACCTCAACACTACCTCACTACAACCATCATGAGGGACATCGATGAGAACTACGATGACCTTGACGATGACGACTTCGGTCGGTTCACGAATAGCCCAACTCCAGAGTTACGACGACTTCAGCAATTCGAAGATGCCTTCATGGACGACGAGCCTTCGACTCCAGCTGCTCGTCTTCAGCAATTGATGCCATCAATTGAACCTGTCGATACTGACATGAACCAATCGTCTCATGCCGGTACCTCAACATCGAACGACCAATTTAGAGAAGCGAGTGTCAAGTCTGAAAGTGACGAGCCTGACTTTGATCCAAGCTTGCCACAAGTCAATTCTCCCAGACACCCCTCCACTCGAAGCAATGGAAGTCCCATGATCGCAGACTCTCAAGAATCGAAGGATACACCATCTCCAGCCAGTCCTACTCCATCAACTTCATCCAACCGTCATGAAAACTTCAGTGTCCAACACCCACGTGGCCCAACTCCACCTGTCGAGGAACTTGTCCAACATCAAGCTTCATTGGAGATTGCAGACAGTGATGATGATGAAGACATGATGATCATCGATGAGTGTGGTGCATCTGCTGAAGCCAGACTCAAATGGCAACAATATCGTCCTACTACCTCGAATGATGATGTGGTCTTCGTCAAGCAAGAGCCAAAGGAGGTTCCAGCTCCTGTCACACCTCCACCCAAGAAGCCACAAGTCATGAACCTACTTGCTCGACAAAGAGCTCTTCTTGTCCGCGCCAATCAACCTCCATCGAATACTGTAGGCTCCTCCTCAGGTTTGAGAGAGGATCCTCAAGAAGAAGGAAGTGGTACCAACAATGGAGGCAGACCTGCAGTCCGGGTTCAATCTCCCGACTTTCCAGATATCTTCCGTGGAGGCAGAGATGACCCCAAGCAGGTTGATGCAGCTATGCTTCCTGGCAATGAAGACAACTCCTGGATGGAACAAGACGATGAGGTTGACGAAGAATATGAGAAAATGAAGGTCGATATTGCCAATTTGCAAAAGAAGTCAAGTGCAGGCAACCTCGGTAGCGGTGAGAAGATGCTACTGTTCAAGCTTCAGAAGCAAATTGCTGTCAAGGATCGTCTTCGTGCTGCTGCCAATCGACGCTCAGCCCAAGATGACGACTCACTCTTCGTTCCTCTCGATCGAGCTCCAGAGAAGCGAAGTGAGATCATTCGACGTCATAGCCGCGAACTCCCACGCTCTAGTTCGATCAATATTGAGGGCGACGATGATATTGATGAAGGCAGTCAAGCTGGTGACGATGACGCAGCATTTGGACGTATGTTGCAAGAGGAACTTGGTGGTCTTGACCGTCCTGAATCTTCCACAGCTGCTCCGAACTTGGGACTTACCAAGGCTGGCAAGCCAAGAAAGCGTCGTGCCAAGAATGCTAGAGAGTATCTTGCCCAGGAGGAAGAGCTGAGACGTGAGAAGGAACGCAGCAAGGCCGTGAAGAAGGTATGTTTCTTGAGTATCCCGACTTTCATTTTTTATGGGAATTCAAATGTTTGCCATCAGCTAATACGATCACAGCGCGCTCGACCTGCCAATCCAGCTGCGAAGGCACCTAAAACCACGAAGGGCGCCAAAGGCAAGGGTACAAAGAAAGGTGGCAAGGGAAAGGAGGCAAAGAAAGGCAAGGGCAAAGGCAAGAAAGGTCCGATCAAGAATGGCGAATCTCTCTTGAAGAATAACAACATCAGAACCTTCAATGGCCAAGATCTAGTTGGACAGATGATCCTCGAGGATCTCATGATGAATGACCCCATTCAAGACCGTATCATGAATTCGATATTCGATGTTGAACCAGCACCGGAAATCACAGGCTCGATGCCAAAGGAGACACAATTCCAGCAATTGTTTGCGAACGTTCCCGAAACCAGCGATTATGCTAGCAAGAAGGCTGCTAAGGATGACAAGAAGAAATTGAGAGAGGCAAGCAAGAGCTTTGGCTATGCTCAATGCAAGGCTCAAGATGGAAAGTGGCTCATCAAGGGCATGAGTAGTACACTCTATCATCATCAACTTCTTGGTGCACAATGGATGGTGCAAAGAGAGTTGAGTAGTCAGCCTCCAAACGGTGGTCTCTTGGCAGATTCTATGGGTCTTGGAAAGACAGTACAGATGCTGGCTTGTATGGCTGGAAATCCACCTGGAAAGGGTAAGTCAATTCTCATGATTCGGCAACCGTCGCAAAAATTTGAGACACCCACTAATATTCTAGCAGAGGATCTTCGTCGTGGTACTAAAGCCACCTTGATCATCGTTCCTGCTGGTGTCATTGATCAATGGCTCGATGAGATTCGCCACCACACTGAACCTCAAATGTTCCCAAAGATCATCCACTACAAATCCTCAAGCAAGATCCCCAAGAGTGTCTTGGAAGACGTCGACATTGTTGTCACATCTTACAATGAGGTCATGAAGCAATTCCCATACCCTGATGCCAAGGCTAGAGCCATTATTCAGGAGGTTGGCTACAAGAAGTGGTGGTCTGAGGCCATTCAAAATTTGGGTGACTTGCACCTTATCCAATGGTTCCGTGTTGTACTTGATGAAGCTCAAGCTATCAAGAACAACTCTGCACGAACTAGTCTGGCTTGTCAGAACTTGAAGTCTGTTTACAGATGGTGTCTTACGGGTACTCCATTGTTGAATCGACTTGAAGAGTAAGTTGCCTTTTCAAAATGCCCTCAATACTGACAGACATCCAGGCTCTTCCCATACCTTCGATTCCTCAAGGCAAACTACACTATGGATTGGGCCACTTTCCAGCGATACTTCTGTGACGTCAATGCCGAAGAATCCTACAGCCGTATCTCAACCCTGCTCAGTTATACCATGATGCGTCGGACAATGAAGACCTCCATCCTCAACAGACCGATTATCACACTGCCAAAGCCACATCCAGAGATTGTGTATGTCAATTTCTCAGCTGAGGAGCAAATCATTTATCGTATTGTAAGTCGTGCTCCTCTTTTCATTGTCCTGATACTTGCCCCACTTTCAAATACTGACATGTCGGTCAGACCGAGAACCGCTTCCGCAATAACCTCAATGCCTTCTTCGCAAAGGGCGAGGCTCGTCGTAACTATGGTATCTTCATGGTTCAACTTCTACGCCTTCGGCAATGCACAGGCCATCCATTCATGCTCGAGCGTACCATCAAGGAGTCTTGGACTTTGGAGGATGTCACTGAATTGCAAGATAAGTTGGCAAAGCTGAGCAACCATGAGAACCGAAAGCCATTCTATGAGCAATGCAAGGCTGTAAGTTCAATGTCCTGTCCCTCGCAGAGTATTTCAAAGCTGAACATGTCGTGTAGTGGGTTGAGCAATCCGAGAGACATCGTCAAAATGCTCATGATACAGGTGAGGAGGTTGGATTCGCAGCACCATTTGGCAGAGGTGATTATGGAGCCAATTTCGATTTCGCACCTGCTCTTGACAACCTGGACGAGAAAGATCTGTTTGCCCGTGTGGTCTGCTGCGTTTGCACTGATGTTCCTGTTGGTGCGGTGAAGACTGATGTAAGTTTCAATCTTCACGCATCTTGAACAATTAGCTAACAGTTTGCAATAGTGCGGCCATATCTTCTGCGAGGAATGTCTTTCTGCATTCATGGCAGACCGTGTCAATAATGGCCATGATGTGAGTACATACCTGTATAATCGTCACTTTACTGATTCTCCTTCTCAGTACATGTGCTGCCCCTCGTGTGACCGAGTTTTCACAACCACCGTGCGTGTTCATGCTGGGGAAGGCCTTCGAATCTCCGATGATGACGACTATGACCGCCACTCTGTCTCCTCGAAGAAGGGCTCGAAGCATAGCTACAGCGCCAACAGCAAGGGTCGTGATGCCTTGGGATTTGAGCCTTTCACTGCCGACAGCACATGGGTTACGAAGTCGGACAACAACCCTGATTTCCCCTTGACACCTTCAAGCAAGACTACGGCATTGAAGTCAATTCTTCTGAGGGGATTCGTTGATGCTCCATTCGATAAGGTATGCATTTTTCACTACTGTCTTTGGAGAAGGATTTCTGAATTTCCTGTTCTTAATTCCTGACAATTGGCGATCGAAAGTCCTCATCTTTGGCCGGACAATTGAAAATTTCACACTGCTTCAATGCTAACTACCCACAGGTCGTCATCTATGCTCAATTCCGCACCCTTTCACGTATCATTGGTCGCATCTGTGAGAGCGAAGGATGGGGCTTCTTGTACCTCACCGGTGATTCGACTCTTGAACATCGCACCAAGGCAATTCGCCGATTCCGAGATGATCCTAACATCAAGATCTTGATTGCAGGCCTGAAGTGTGGTGGTCTTGGGTATGTACACTTCTCTTTGTGTCGTCCGTCATCGTTATGCGATTAATTACAGTTCTTTTGACCGAAACTTCCTTTGCGAACACCAATATACTCAAATGTCGGTATGCTAATGCGTGATTCTCATCTTCAGACTCAATTTCCCATGGGCCAACCGTTGCATCTCATTGGACCTTTGGTGGAATCACGCCGTTGAACAACAAGCTTTCGGACGAATCTTTCGGATTGGACAAGAAAAGGAGACTTACATGACTCGTCTGGTAGTTCGCAATTCGGTCGATATGCGAATGATGAGTATGCAACTCCACAAACTTCAGAATCTCGAGCGAGTAAGTTCCTACTTTTGGGTCCTCGAAAGTCCTCTGATTTTGCTGGGCGTTCAAAATTAACTGACTTAGGCTATGCGTGATGGTGAATACAACCGCGAACAACCAAATCTCAGTCTGAAGCAATTGGCCAACTTGTTTGGATTCCTCAAGACCGATGCTGATGACAACATTGTCAGTGTTGAGGCCGATTATGATGATGACCCAGTGCAGGAGGGCGAGGGCAGTGGTGGATATCAAGGGGAGGTGGATCATATGATGGAGGAAATGTGAACGGCTTTCAATCTGCATGGTTTTGGAGGACATTCAAGAGGGGTTTAACTTAGCGATGCATTTGAGACTTTGATAGTCTTCATTATTATTTTCAGTGGCCCGGAATAGCTGGGTCATTCACCGATGTATATTAGCCTAAATCATGAATGCAAAAGCGTTGAACTTCATAATGAGATATTGACTTTTTGACTTGAGAATTTCTGAAAGTGCCAAAGTGAAAACCAGACAATTGAGGTTTAAAAGTCCTCGATTCAGGACGGACAATCAAAATTTGACACTAAAAAAGCAAGTAATTTAGAATGTCTGAACTCGAGAACACACTTTCAATGGTTATATGTCAGGGTCATGCCAATGTGAGGTTTTGATGCTGCATTCTACGAGGCTACCTCTTGGCCTTTTTCTTCAACTTCTGCACCAGGCCACTCAACTCACCATGCTCTGTATCCTTCCGCTTCTTACTCCTCTTCTCGACAGGTTCAACCTCGCCCTCAACGCCCCTCTTCTTCCGACCCTCCTCAAGAAGCTTCTTCATCCCTTCAGTACCCTTGAACTTCGGATTACTTGGATCAATTGCAAACTCATGACTCTCAAACAGTTTACTGAACCGGCTATCACCCACATCCATCTCGAATCCTTCTTGAAGACCACCTCTCTTGCCTGTCTCGATCTCCTTCGACTTCTTGCCTTTTTTCTTCTTGGCCTTTTCGGCTCGAGCAATCTCGTTGATATCGAAATGGTCGAGATTTGCTGCTGGCTCAGTCCCATTGTCTGCCATCAGGAGCTCGAGCTCAGCACGATTCGACGCTTTCTCTGCAGCTTCAGCTGCCTTTGCTGCACGCTTCTTGAGGCGATCTTCTTTGCGTTGAGATTTGGAAGCTTTCTCCTTCACAGCCTCATCTGTAGCAAAGAATGGATCGTCAAAACCAAGGTCCTTATCCTCAGCCGCCTCCTCAACCTCAGCATCTGGATCCCGACCTTCACGCTTTGCCTTGGCTTTCTCTTTTCTCCGTGCTTTCCTCTCCCTCTCGAGCCGAACGTATCGTTCAGCAGTAGTCTCCACAATAGGCTCGTTCTCAAATACACTGCCCTTCTCCTTTGAAGACAGACCAGCCGTGAATGTGACTTCCATATCCCCAACAGGACCTGACTTCTTCGATGGCTTGACGGGTTCGTCTGCAAGTCCTAATGCTGCTCGCATCTTCTGCCTAGCCAGCTCCTTCTTCGATAATGTTGGTGCATCTGCTTCAGCGGCCTCGTCCTCTTCATCTTCTTCCGAATCACTGCCCAAGTACGCCCGTAGATCGTTCTCTCCAATCTCTGCTCGACTTCCACTGAACGCCCGCTTGATTGCATCTTTCCGTACAGCCTCTTCCGGATTCGTGTCCCATGTGAGCTTGACTTTCGAGTGTTGTAAAGCATCCGTAACGAACTCTGTAGGTCTGTAGCCTCCAGGAACACTACCACATTCGTCTCTCGGCTTGTCATCGAATTCGACACCGTCAGGAATGAATCGCAGATCGAAGAAGTTTGCAGAAGAGAGGTATTCTGTGCCATCTGTGGCTTCGTATATCTTCTGCGCAGTATCATTGTCCGAGCATTCGACCACAGCGTAGTAATATCGTAATCGTTCCAATTGGTATTGCCGTAATGCTGCCCCATCGAATTCCTTGCCCTCATCCGCTTTCTGCAAGTCCTTCTTGATTTTCTCTTCGACTTCTTCATCGTCTTCGCTGTCTTCTTCAGGTTCCTCCTCCTCAACAGGCTTGGCAAATATCTCTTTCGGTGGACCTTCCAGCTCTTCTCTATCCATTCTCTCCTTTCCAAACTCACTCGGGTATATAGAAATCTTATGGATCTTCCCACCAGGTCGGAGAAAACTCTCAAAGACAGCCATCAAATCCACAGAACGAATATTGTCCCAATCCAGATTTACAACAGCAAATCGCGGGGTGATTTCGCCCATTTCCACAGCTACAGATTCGGCTTGCATATCAGGAAATTCCTCCTCCACCTCTTCAATTTCCACACCTCCATCTTCCTCATCCTCATCTTCAGAAGAAGAGAATCCACCACCTCTAGCAGGATCATATCCCTCAGCGCGTGCCAATTCCTTCTCCACTACATCATCGTCCTCAACCTCGATATCTGCCTCTTCCTCGTCTTCCTCATCTTCTGGGACATACAATCTCTCCAATGCCTTCTTTTTCGAATCGCTGTTCAACTTTCTGCCGTACCGATCAACCTTCGCAGTCTTGGAAAAGTCATCATCCTTCAGCATGCGCGAGAACCGTTTATCGAGCTTCGTTCTTGCGCTCTTTTTCGAAGGAAGTCGGAATCGAGGGTCTGTTGTGAAGTTCGAGAATCGCGGATCTGTAATCTCCCCTGCGGAAGCAGCGCCTTTGGGGGCTTTTTGTTTCGGCATCTTGTGTGGATTTGAGGGGAATCGCATCGAAGAATTTCAAGCACGAAAGTTTTCTGCCACAGATCTAGGGCGGTGTTTGAATTGGGACTAGCGCAAAATTCTCGCCAAGCCCCTTTCCAGAAGTATGACTTTGGGGTAAATCACTTTTTTATTTTAACTTTTAAATCACGAAAATGCCTCACATCAAGCTGTCAGAGTAACAAGAGGTCCCCGGTGTTGAAAGACCTCTTACAATACTTGCAATAATTTGAAAATCCTGCACCTTGCTTGCCAGAACTATCCAGACCTCCCTCCATCTGCTGCACCCAACGAGCAGATGATGCCGAGAAGATTTTGAACGGTACTGTTATTCCAAGCTTTTCGGGCCTGGAAATTCCGGAATCATAATCACACTCAAGCATTGCTGTAATTGAAACCAGAAATGCTCTTGTCATCATGCCTCAAGCTCAATTGTTGAAACATGGTTAAATCTACACTTGTCCCCAATATTTCTGCTTGGGCTTCCAATCCCAGGACATTCAATTACATCTCAATCACGAGGCTGACGATTTCCTGTTGAGACATTCCATCCTGATCATACAAAAGAGCTAGAGGCTGGATATTTTTAGTGCGGGGTAACTTGGTGGACTTGGAGTGGACAATTGCGGGACTTTGGAACGGCAACGCGTCTCACTTTTTGCTTGTCGACTCCATTATACTCCCCTCTCGCCCCAGCCGATTCTGAACCCCAAGAAAATCTACTCCTTCGGTCCCAAGATGGCTGACTTCGAGCGCGACCGAGCCCATGGGACGAAATCAACGAATTATATCGATGTTTCTGTTTCTAGCTCTGCCGAGATCATCGACTCCTTGTCGAGACTAGAAGATGACAACCAAAAAGAGACATTTGGCTGCCAGCAATGCTCAAAAGTGTTCAACCGCCGTGAAAATTTAAGTCGCCATCTCAAAACACGTGAGTCACTTGGTTTCAGGCCCCAAATTTAGATCTCACATGATCTCAACTCGGTACAAACACTAACAATACATCAGACGATGCATCACCGTCGCACTGCTGTTCAAAATGTGGAAAGGGATTCACGAGAAGCGATTTGTTGCGGCGGCATCAAGCTGGACATGAAAGATGGGACAATCAAGACTCAAAACGACGACAAACGTCTGGAAAGAAGAGAAAAGTTGATGTTCAGGGTTCAATGACATCCGAATCTGCTGGTAATTCCTCTTGGACCAACAGCACCGAATCGAGTGGTATGTCGAGGCCATATGGGTCCGCTTACAGAGCCGTTCGAGATGCGTTTGCCATTCAACGACCAATGGCTAACAGTGCAATCTCATCGCCAGGCTTTACAGATCCGAATCCACAGACATATCAGGCAATGCAGGAATCTCACTATGAATCAATACTCAACTCAGATCCGGAGCATCATGATATGTTTCCCCAAGTGCATACAAATATGCCAGTGAGGCCTCATCCTCTGGATACCTTCTCCAACGACTTTTCATCATTTCTCCTACCTCCAGAAGTCAATCAATTCAGTCAAGAATGGTTTTCGTACGATTTCTATTCTGCTATGCAGGAAGTTGGGAACGAATGGGGCGGACTCGGTGTTCTTCTTGATCCAAATATGCTAACTCCTGGTCATGAATACTCCAATGTTGACACGAGCAATTATCAGGAGTTGGATGCGGAAGGGAGTAAATCGAAGGAAAGCAGCCAAGGACGAATTAGTCGAGTTTCCTCTCCTCCTAATGAAGCATCAGAAGAAGATAAATGGCCCTTCCAATGGAATCCAAATTCTCGTCAGATACTCAAAGCTCAACCTATCCACATCCCAAATGATCACCCACTGTTTCAAAATCACTATTCCAGATACGACATCACGGAAGCTACCCTACTTCGTTTGCAATACTTCCTTCAACCTCCAGCCGGACGCGAGTTTCACAAATCCCAAAAGGGTTCATTCGTTCTTCCGTCACTCCCAATCATCAACGTTTTCATTCGACTCTTCTTCGAGAACTTCTCTCCACACATGCCAGTGCTCCACCATCCTACGGTAAACACGAATGCTGATTTGCCTCCACCCCTCCTTGCAGCAATCGTCATCATTGGAGCGATCTATAGCAACGTCAAACATACTCGGCGCTTTTCGATCGTTTTGCTGGATATTATCCGCTGGCATCTGCGTATAGCCATTGAATGCGATAATAGTCTAATGAGAGACCCGATGATCATCTATGCTGAAGCATTGATATGTCATACTGGGATTTGGGGAGGCAACAAGCGTGCCTTTGAGTTAGCGGAAGTAGTTCGTGGAGGTTTGGTCACATATATTCGACGAGTACGATTCGGTGATCAATTGATGAAGACGCCGGAACAAGACATCAGAGGGAATCTCCAAGAAGAATGGAAGCGGTGGATCACAGAAGAGTCTCAAAGAAGATTGGCTTGGGCTGTGTACGGCATTGATTCATACTTTCCCAGCATACTGAATCTACCTCCAACCATATCAATGGGAGAAGTGAGGAATCTGGTGTGTCCCTGCGATGAAGAGTTCTGGGCCGCAACTTCTGCCAGGAACTGGAAAAATCTTCTTGGTCCTGCAAGCGTACCTCCTTCGAGATCATTCTCTGCTGCAGTAGGACCCTTCGTGTTGCCGGGACATGGACGACTTCCTGCAATAAATCTCAACCCATGGTCCGCGTTCCTCGTCCTTCAGTCCATGACACATCAAATCTTCCAATTCTCACTCGATTCAATGGTCGCACGAACATTTATGGACGATGACCCGTGCGGGGACGACACGATGTATCCTCCAGGAGATCCAAACAATTTCCTTCGCAAACTTCATGCTGAACGTCATGCTCAATTGGCAGAATCTCTTGATGCGTGGGCAACATCGTACTTGACTCGATCACAACCACATTTCCATCCTGCATCAAAACACTTCCACGCATGCTCAGTCGTGATTCATCATCTGAGCACTATTCTTCTTGACGTACCACTTTCCGATCTCCAGAACGCAATAGGGAAAGATGGGATAGGTGGAATCGTCCAAGCAATGACCAATCTCAGCAATTGGGCTCGAAGATCTCCACATATTGCGGACCAGGCAGCATACAACGCCACTAAAACCATTGTATCTCTCGCTCCGAGCAACAATCTAAGCGATGATGGTGTCAGAAATGTGGACACAGCGCCATATAGCTTGATTGCCCTCTTCCTGTGTCACATCGTGCTTTGGGCATATGCGACAGTCGCGCCGAGAGAACAAAAGATGAGGCTATTGCACAGTGTGATGCAACATCCAGCATTACGGATAAGTGCTTTCGTGGTGTTGTTAAAGCGGGCCCTTGGTCTTGATGGCCAGGAAGAGGATGGCGAGCCAAAGTTATTGTTCAGAAGTGCAGCGGAGATGTTGACGAGGCTGGGAACTTGGGGTGGAAGTTTAAATTTGGCGTTACTTCTCCATCGAAGGGCTGAAATGTAAAGCTGTGGTGTTCTAGCGTTGTGGCGTTGATTAGATTTGGATTTGCATAGGAGTTACAATCTGATACCCGTGGGCTGGACTAAGGGTCAATTCAAACAATGTCATGTCGGAGCGGATTTGATCCAGATTGATTGAGTCTATTCTATTCTACATGAACCATTGAAGAAGTCGACGAACTGGTCTCCAAGCCCCAGCTCGGGACTTAGCAGGTACCAAGATCTCCTCCGTCTGCTCATGAATCGTATCCTTTTCTGAATCCGTAGAGGGCTGAGAGGCACTACCGATTCGACAAATCCTTATCGTAACTTCCTCTTCCTGTCCACGAATCGTCTGAGATGCCAGAAGGCTAGCATCGGATATCTTTTCGGACGTCACGATGATCCAACCTTCCGGAGCAAACACCTCAGCTGTTGACCCCAGAGGAATACCCAAAACAATGCTTCCAGTACCCATAGTCTCTCGTAGCTCCATGCTAACTTTCACGTTGCCTGCAGGAGTCGACAAACCCACATCTACTCTTTCCGATCCCGCCAACACAGGTTTAACTCTCCAACGAATCCACCCTGGTTCCAAAGGTTGAAGACCAGCCAAATATCTAGGCAGAAGATACACTGGCCAAGTAGACCATCCATGCATTAAAGATGTATCATCCGTGATTGGGGTACCGTCAGCTTTCATGGCTTCCCAGTGACCACCGGAATAGTTTGGACTTGACTGATCAGACATCACTCCCCACACCCTCTCAAGGAGTTCAATGGCAGATGTTCCTTGGTCACGTTCGAACAATGCTTCTACGGCGAACCCCGAAGCATAGGGGCTAACGACTTTCTTTTGATCCCAACGTTCAATGCCTTGAAATGCGAGTGGGAGAGTGCCATCGAATGGGGCTGAAAGTGTGGTGATTGAGGAGGCGTGAGCAGGCGAAACACCGGTTGTAATGGCGTAGGCATTGATGTCTTGGCATATGCCAGTTGGAGAAGCCAGATCGCTCATACCTAAAGCCAGAAACTGTGAATTAGCACAAACTTTGCCTACAGTGAGAGGTCAAAAGCCAGGCTGTGACTTACGCATGATACCAGCCTCAGAATTCCAGAGATGGTGGATGATGCTCTCTTTGAGTGTCGCTGCTTGGTCCAAGAAAGTGTCTTTGATGCTGAGAAACGTTGACATGCTGCTCATCGATCTCAGAGCATCATAGAAAGCGAGATTGATTTTTCCAGAAGCTCCGAAGATAGGTCCGCCCATTGGAAACCAATCCACTGCCAAGATCAGCTCCACTTGACAAGAATTGGGCGATGCACTTACTTGACAGAGGTGGAGGAGCAACGACTAGACCTCTCTCGTCAATGAACTTTTCTGTAAAGGACAACAACTTCTCCAATCTCGGCCAGATAAATCCAATAGTAGCATTGTCACCAGAATGCATCCAGTAGTCCTTGATAGCGACGATCAAAAGAAGAGCGTAGCTTAGAGAATAGAAAGCATATGTTGGAGGTTCGCAAGTATCTTCGTGCATTGGTGCTTGTATGGGACACAAGTTTCCAAGATATCCATCTGCTGTTTGGTGACTCGTGAGAAGCTTGATACTTCCTAATATTGCATTCAAATTGCCAGTCGAGTAGCATATTGAGCGTCCCATAACGAAAAGATCTCCACCAAAGCAAGCTCGGTCCCGTTTGGCACCATCGATGGTACATGCAAGAGCATTCGTACCCACGGCGAAGTCGGCCAATGTTCGGTCTTTGTCTTGAAGCTGTAGTGAGTTCTGATAAAGCACCTGCTCGTCGTTCGAAACCTTCAGTGCTCGATAAAGCGAGATATAACCCTGAGGACCACCGAATGCTATGGAACCAGTATTGTTTCCACTGCCACCAAGAATCGGATGAACGTCAAGACCACTTAACGAAGCGACCTCAATGCCATTGATTTCCACAAGGACCGAGTCTCCTCGAGCAATAGTGACAATCTTCAACCATCCACTGCAATCAATGTCAGGCCCAATGTCCCATATTCCTCGAGGTATTGATGGAAATACTCCATTGATATCCGAAAGCCCTTCGAAAGCACCAAGAGACCTTTTGGCAACATCCAAACAGAATATTAATCCATTGGCCACCATATGAACTCCCCAGCCTGCTCCTCCTCTCTCAATCTTCACTTCAAATTCCGCTTTCATATCACCCCATCGAGTTCCTTGTCGACAAGGAGCCCAGTGTTGACCGAGTATTCTTGTCCCCTCTTCTGTAATTTCCCAAGCTTCGGCAGTTTCACCTGCTTCCACTGTGCACATGTCCACTGTTCTAACCCCATCTCGCCATATTTTGTTTAACTTCTCGTTCGAGCAGTTGAATGTGCTGATGGTAGGATTTGGTGGGCGGACGTGGATGTAGCCAATTGACGATATCGTGATGGCAGAGTTTGGCGTCTTTAGAATTACTTTCTGGTATCTTTGGGATCGTTGTGCGAACGGTAACTGAATTCTGCTTGAGGTTGTGGAAGGCTTGAAGGTCTGAGTATGTACTCTGTAGGTGTCCATAGCATTCGAGAAGAGCAAGAATGGGCCATCTCCTATAGAATATTAGCTGATGGATATCTCGCCATAGAGCCGACTTACCCGTCTCGCTATGCAGCCCCGCATATGTCTCGCTGAATACAATCTCGACTTGAACATCCTCTCCATTGCTGATCACCTTGCTGGTTTCAATGAATGGAATTCCTCCTTCAGCACGTTCGTAGTCAAATAAGATCTCTGACTGCTCCTCCGTTCCATTGGAAAGTTCGAAGTCTCCATCGACCTTGACATCTCCAGTGACAGTCCATTTTCGAGGGGTTCTCTGCCCTGTGTGTTGCTCACGACTTCCAGCCATTGCGATAACTTGCAGAACTCAAGGTGGTAGAGGCATAAAACGCTGGAGAGCAGAAATGGGACCTGTCTGGATTCCCGACCGAAACATTAGGTGGAATTGCATATGACTGGACATTTTGACTGCACCGACAAGAGCTGGAGATGTTTGTGGAGAGCTGCCGTCCACCCTTGAGGTGGAGTGTCGGACTAGAATGTCGCGAAGGCACGTGCAGTGACTTCTTTTCATGTGGACATTGTCCACCTCATGTCCACTTGTTGCATTCGAAATGTCCACGCTAGTATCTCTGCTCGTATATCATTCGTTGTGAAGAGGAAGATGATTTGTTTCAGAACGCCTTCTTCATGACTCGGGAACTCTTTTCCCCCTCGATTCCAGAATTATCCACCTCAACCTTCTCTGCGGATTATTCTGATACTGGAAAGATTGTGGGGATGTAGCCCCGTTCCCCATACTTCCCCAGTCATTATAATGCTGAGGAGAAATGGCATATATTCCCCCATCCCCATGCCCAATTTCAGCCGTATTCTGGGGAAGAAGCAACTCCATACTTTACAATGGCAGACTCAAAAGGTGCAACCTTCGAACACCTCGACAATGGTCGGACTCAACATGAACAGCTGGGCGAGCAAATATTCGGTAGAGAACGACAATACTCGCTATGGAAAGCCATCAAAGTTCACAAACGCATCATCTTCCATTGCGTTGCAGCTTTTGGTGCTGGAATGTGCTTTGGATATGACACAATCGCTAATGGAGCAACAATCTCCATGCCAGGTTTCGTGATTTACTTTGGAGCTGTTACCGCAGAAGGCGAGCTATATGTCCCTTCTATCTGGGCATCTCTATGGACTGCCATGTCTTACCTCCTTCAGGCCATGGGTGGCTTCCTGATCGGTTTCGTCTCTGATCGAGTTGGACGAAAATGGCCTTGTGTTGGATCTTGTGTGTTGTCCATTGCAGGAGTTGGCATTCAATTTGGAGCCACATCAAGAGCAATGCTGTTAGGCGGAAAGATGGTCAATGGCCTTGCCATTGGATGTCTCTTTGCTACAGCTACTGCTTGGGCTTCCGAGATCTCTCCTTTGCGTCTTCGAGGACCTATTCAATCGGCTATCATCCTCTTCATGTTCTTCATGCAAGCGATTGGACTCGTGGTTGTCAGAATGTTTGTTCCGAATATCACCACGCACTCGTTCAAAACGGTCTTTGCTGTTCAATGGGCTTGGCCTATCGCCACTGGTCTTCTGTTCATCTTCATGCCCGAGTCACCTACGTGGCTTCTTCTTCAAGGAAGAACCAAATCGGCCAGGAATTCTTTGGAGAAATTGTATGGATCCAACAACGAAATCGAAGCTCGCCTAGCACATATGGCCTTGGGTATTCGTCTTGAGGAAGATCAGGCACTTCGTCATGGTGCTGGTTCATACGTTGATCTCTTCAAAGGAAGCAGCCTCAAGAGAACGTTGACAGTGGTCTGGATGTTCTTGGGTTTCGGCTTCACAGGGGCTTGTCTCTTGGCTCAGTCAATCTACTTCCTCATCATCGCTGGACTTGAACCCATTCATTCGTACGATGTTGCAATTGGTGGCTTCGGTATTGCTATCTTTGCCATTGTTGGGTCCTGGTTCTTTATGGAGAAGACTGGACGTCGATTGATCTTCTTGGTTGGTGCTGGCGTCAACTGTGTCGTGATGTTTGTCATTGGTGGGTTGTATTACACCCACAGCAAAGGCGCTTTATGGGCAGTTGCCATCATCATGTATGTTCCTAACTCTGTTCCTGGTGCATTGCTGACTTTCATAGGAATCTACTCATCTCATGGCAAGCTGTTACCCTTGTGTCAACTGCTTGGGCTATCACTGGCGAGATTTCATCGTACAGATTACGTGCAAAGACTCAAGGCGTGGCAGTCATCTCGAACGCTTTCTCTACTTGGCTATTTACCTTCACTGTGGCATACATATATAATGTTGACGCTGGCAATCTCGGTATCAGAGCTGGCTTTGTTTATGGAGGTGGCTCTCTGTTGTTCTTCATCTTTTCTTTCCTCCTCGTTCCCGATCTCAGAGGATTCTCGACCGAAGAAATTGACTGGTTATATGAGAATAAGGTACCATCATGGCGGATTCAGGAGAATGTTGTGGCGGCCAAGGAAGGTATCTTGGCTATGGAGGCGAATTTTCAGCATGAGAAAGTCGTGGTGTAAGCAAAGTTGTAGCCTACAATTTCAAACTATATACTATTGTCTTGGACACCGTACCCTTAGCAAGCTTGGAAACACGGGTATCTTGATTCCATAAGCTGAGATCTTACCCGTTTACCAAGAGTGGATGTTGATTACATGCGCCTCAATTCGCGAGGAAATGCCTTTCGAGTCCTCACCATTTCAAACTTTCACAAAGCCTTTCCACCACAAAATGGCTCCCCGCAGTCAACCGCACGCATCCAAATTTCTCATTGATTGCATTGTTTCAATTCAGTCTCAGCTGGGCGTACGATATCAAGCCCATTGTTCTCGGTCGGGATCTGACCAAGCAAAAAGAAAAACCTCAACCGCTTTCAAGAATTCGATAGCGCCTCTAGCGCTCATCCCAAATTAGCATATGCAACACCAGCCAGCCAAGGCAGAACGTCCCGCTTTTATATTTTTCTGGTGGCGAAAGTACGAGGTAAGCACTGGAGAATGACATGTATATTGCGTGAACCTGAGCAGAAGAGAGTTGAAAAGAATATGCGAATGAAAATTTGTGATTTTGTCTTAATATTATTAATTGTTTATTAAATGTCCTGGCTCCTGCTCCCTTGTCTCGTACCTGATCCAAGAATTGTTCCCTCACAGGGTCTGGGCGCCTTCCCGAGCGCCCGAAACGGTACCCCTTGGCGTTTTTGTAGCGTGAGTCGAAGCCTAATCGGTCAATCTTCGATATCAGCGGGCCCTGGAAAAGGGAGCCAAGGGAACCGGTTCAGGGAAACCTTCCATCCCGAACACCAACGCGATGTTCGTGCGAGATAATCCTGCATCAGCTCGTCCTCGTCCCTCTTCTTTGAAATTTATCTTCTCTCCCTGATAGATTTAATTTGTGTCTTTCTTTCACACATTCACACATTCGTTTATTTAATTCTGTACGTCGAGATATAAAGTGGATGTTCGTTCGTTCCAATTTCAATACGAAGTCTGCAGATTCTTGATTTGGAATCCGTAGATCTCAGCCTTGGACGCCCCTTTCCTGGATTATTCGCCTTCGTCCAGTCTTTTCCATCGCAATATACTCGAGGAGAGATCCTCGTAGTATCGAATTAATACGGAATTAATCCGGCAATCGCTTGGTTTCACGATCCCCATTAATTAACCTTAAACCCCACGATGCGCTTCTCAACGAGTCTGCTCCTCGCAGCAGCAACCTTCACTTCAGCAGACACCTTACAGACACGATCTGCGAAACGCGGTCTTGTCTTCGTCCCTTCTACAGAACATCCGCAAGATAATCAGGTCTGGGTCTCGGGGAACAGTGATCTCACATGGTATTACAATTATGGCCCTTCAGCATCACCGGCCTACTCGAACCTAACCCAAGAAGAATTCGAATTCGTTCCTATGCTCTGGTCTCCCACAACGACATTCTTGAGCTCAGTACAGTCGATGATCAAGGCGGGAACGAACGTCACTCATGTTCTGACCTACAATGAACCGGATGGAACGAGCTCGTCGGGAGGAAGTCAGGTATCGCCATCAACTGCTGCTACTAATTGGATCTCCCAAGTTCAACCATTGAAGAAACTGGGCGTCAAGCTTGGTGCTCCAGCTGTGACAGGATCTCCAGGAGGGTTTACTTGGTTGGCAGATTTTTTCGATGCCTGTGCCAGTCAAGGAACGAATTGCACGGCGGATTTCATTCCCATCCATTGGTATGGCAACTTTGCAGGTCTTGCTTCGCACATTGGTCAAGTCAGAGCTACGTAGGTTCTCCCTTCTCTATGGTATACCCATCTAACATGCATCAGCTATCCAAACACTAGCATCTGGATCACCGAATATGCCTTGAACAACGACACCCTCCCTGATACCCAAGATTTCTTCAATATGTCTGCCGAATACTTTGATCGAATCGATTACATTGATCGATATTCATACTTTGGTAGTTTCAGAAGCGATGTTAGCAATGTTGGACCGAATGTTTCCATGTTGACTTCGAAGGGACTCTTGACGGACATTGGAAGCTGGTACTTGGGAGGAGCTGCTACCAACAATATTCCCACCGAAAGTACTGCTGTTAGAGGAGCTGCTGCATTTGGTACAGTTCTTGTTATGGCCGTCGCTGCTGGGTTTATGGTGCTGTAAGGTTTTGGGAGAAGGAAATAATCGGGCCAGGGCTGGTGTTCATGAGCATACGTGGGTGATGGTATATAGCAGGGCGCTTGAAGAATGGTGTACATATGGGTGTCTTCCCGGGCGTTGGCTGTAAAGAGTATTTGGACCATAGACTATAATTCGAATGCAGAAGTTTATTCGTTAATAGGCCAGTGCTATGGGTGTGTACGGAGAAACTTGACAAACGTCATGTCGTGCGAAGTTCTGTATTGTGTTGGAAAAAAATGAATTCCTGATTGACAATATCGAGTGGAGCAACACTGGCTATATGTACTGCATCCTCAAGTGCTTTCACTGCATATTTAAATTCTCCGAACCATTGTCGTTAGATTAACAAATCTCGGTCTCAATCTATCAAAGCCGAAGACAAAGAGTGGAGACGTAAGCAATCATCCTCCGTTTCACGTGCGTAAGGCTTCACCGAATTGAGCCTCATCCTGAAGGACGCCACTACTGCGGCTCCGCACTGTACTTTTCCTCCACGGCGAGTTTACCTTGGCGATCTCCAGACGGCATCTGCTCTACGGCTTACTCGCCAATTCCTGTCGTCATACGTCCTTAATGTTCTTAGCTGTTTCATCTATGTTTTCATGTACGATCTAATGATGGATCTGACTTCTGGGATTACTCGCGGGCTATTTTCTCTTCCAGCACGAAATTGCCCGGGCGGTACACAGAGCAAAAAACGTGACCGAAAGTCACACAGTACCAAAGTATGGTATTCGATCTCAAACTACAAGCATCCTCAAGGAAGGAAGTGCCATCAGGCTGTAACTTGAATGCCGAGCGAGTCTCTTGAGGATACTGGGATCAACGTTTTGCGGGCAGTTTCTCTGCGCATCTTGATGATATATATTGAGCTCAATCTTCTACCTTTCAATTCCTCATCACACACCATCATCACATCATCATCATCATCATCACAATCAAACAATCCAATCCTCACTCCACTTCAAACTCTTTACAGCTTCGAACCACTCCACAGCTTCTACCACTCCAATTTCCAACCACTTCACAGCTACTACTCCACATTCCAACCACTTCACAGCTTCAGACTACTCCAGCTTCCTACCCCTCCAGCTTCGAACTCTATAACTTTCAATCAATCTAACAACTTTCAACTAACAGTCAAAATGCAGTTCTCAGCAATCTTCGCCTCTCTCCTCCTCACCGGAGTCGTCTCCGCAGCACCAGCAACCAGCTTCGAGTCCAAGCGCGACTGCACCTGCGACCAAGGCACATACCACACCGAGTGGGCTGACTGTGTCTTCCCATACTTGGGCACTTCCCAACAGGCTTCTTATGAGGCTAGCTGTGCCAGCACTGTTGGTAAGTAGTTCAACCTCCAGAATCAGAAACAAATAGCTAATGCGGGATAGTGGCTGATTGCGGAGACTGCGGACCACTCTACTGGGCTAAGAGCAAGCGCGACTGCACTTGCGATCAGGGTACTTACCACACAGAATGGGCAAACTGCGTTTTCCCTTACTTGGGCACTTCGGAACAACTCTCTGCTGAGGCCAGCTGTGCCACCAACGTCACAGCTGCTTGCGGAGACTGCGGTCCTCTCTACTGGAACAAGAACAAGCGCGACTGCACTTGCGATCAAGGCACCTACCACACCAACTGGGCCAACTGTGTCTTCCCTTACCTGGGTACCTCCCAGCAAGGCGCCGAGGAGGCCAGCTGTGCTAGCTCCGTCAGTAAGTAATTCTACCTCTAATAATTGGAGTTAAATACTAATTCTTGGTAGTCTCTGAGTGCGGTGACTGCGGTGTTCTCTACTGGAAGTAGATTTTCGACAACACGACTGGGACGCATTCGGAGGGATAGCATAGGATCGAGGCGCTGGGCATTGGAAACATGGCATTGGGTTGGGATAGACTTGGGTTCGGTTACAAAAAAGGGGCTTTTATCGGTGTTGCATTGAGCTTGGAGTTTTTCATAGACGGTTGACTTTGGGTTCACTTCACTTCTCTTCAACGGTCGGCTTTGCAGACGTGTAAAGCGGGCTGAATTTACTTTGAGTTCCCCTCCTCATCAAATGCTTTTACTTTGTGATATGGATATAGGAGTTCAATCTAGTAGCAAGTGCTTTATTTCTTTTGTTAGCTTGTCGCAGTTTCTGTTTCCATCTGGGTTCTTTCCACATTTGCGCGTTTGCTCCTCTCAGCCTTGAACTTTGGCAAGTATGCCTGGTTTCCAGATACTTTCAATTGCATAAAATCTCGCATTGCTATCGTTTCTAGCTAAACACCCTCAGACATTCTCAGCACAACTCTGGTTACTCCGAGCATCTTCACCTCGCTCCATGCATGTATGGTCCGTTCCCCCTATGGATGTACGGCCCACCTCCCCTATACCCACCCAAACCATACAAGCCTCTGATCGCAGCCGGCTGGTCCATATGCCCATCCAGAAACTGTCCTCGATCCATCCGACCACCAAAGATACCCCGATGAATACCACCAAGCCTATCCTGAATACCTCCGAACATGCCTTGAACTCTACCCAACATTCTTGGACGATCCTCACGAACTCGCATTCGGAATCTCTGAAATGGATCTCCACCGTATAGTCCTCTCACACCTGCGCCGAAGGCGTCAATGCCGGCTCGTTGGTTGGCTGCTCTTTGTGCTGCTCTCCACATTCTGATTATTTTCTTGAGTTGTGTTTGTGTAATGAGAACGAAGAATGCTTGATGGCTGGAAACATGAGGAGGTTTTATAGACTTCGAAAGGGGGGTTTTCTCATTCAGATTTGCTCATAGTGAGGTCATTCTTTGCCATTCATATATATATTGATGCAGTGAGATGTGATGTTCAAGCTCTAAATACTTCTCACAGCCTCTGAACGCAAGCTTTTCTATCAAAGTGTATAACAACACTTGTCTTAGGACGCCGAAACCCCTTTTCTGTCTGTCCTTGAATCATGTTCTCAAACAGATTCTCAATTTCCGCTCCTTCACCATGTACTCGTCAATCTTCACTTCCTTGAAGCCCTTCTCTCTGTTATTGCCCCCAGCATTGACATTTGGCTCAAAACTCACTACCTTTGCTGCTGGCTCAAGTTTATAAGCTTTGAGTGTTCGAGCTGCTCGTCCGCCTGCGCTCTCTATATCTTCGTATGATTTGAGTGCCGACCTCACAACCTTTCCCGCCCATTTCTCCAATCTTCGAGCGTTCCACATGTGTTCTTTGAACTTTGCATTCAGACGACGAAGTCGATATCGGGTCAGCGCCTGTGCATTGAGCAAGTTGATCAGGCAGCGCATTCTTATTGGTTATTCGTTATTGGAATTTCGGTTTAACGTTGTTCATTTGCTTAGGGGCAACTTGTTCACTTATGGGAAAGTTGAAGTCGGCTTAAATGTGTGCAAGAGTTTGATAGATGTCTGCTACTTGAAGTATTAGACTTCTGAATCACTCCGATATGATATCACAGTCATTAAGCAATGAATCGATATTCCAAAAGAATATGGTTCGACAAGATATTAGGAGCAACGTTGATTGAAAGAAGCGGGGTTGACCTGAGACGAAAGGGAAGACTCCCTCTAGAGAACATTCGACTGATTGAAGGCACTCGGTCCTCTTTGATGGACCAAGATAATGGAGGTCGACCTGTTGCCTCCACGGGATGACGAAATTGAGCAGACATCATCAGATGTCTTCTGCAACTACAATCACAGTGATTACTGCAGATGCTTATATAAAGTCTCAACTAATCTCAGTTCAGCCCTTGTTCACATCCAAATCATATCTCTCAAACTCACCCACATATCAAATATGAGCACAGATAGGATATGTGACGGCCATGGCCGTCGTCTCTCTGATCTCCACCCCCGTCGACTTTCGACCATCCTAATCGACCGCCACGCACCTACCGCCCGCCGTCTCGAACGTCTTGACTGCAACAAAACCCGCAACCGTGAGACACTAACTAAAAATATTCGAAACTAGCGAGCTGGTATTCCGGACCATGCTACTAGCGGAACGAGCATCTATGATCGGAGCGGAGGTGACTATGCGCGAGGTTTAGCAACTCGACTTGGTGCAGGTGCTTATGAAGGACGTTCAAATGCTCTCATGAGTGGAGCTTTGAGATCTCCAAGTACCAGCTCTCTGGGTATAGGTGTAAGACAGAGAACTCCAAGACCGTATGCTGATTCCAGACGGGCGGAATCGTTAGATAGAAGTATTCCTCTTAGGAGGGAGAAGTCCCCGGCCATATGCTGATTCCAAAAGAGCGGAATCATTGGATAGAGGTATCCGTTTAGGTGGAAGAAGTCCGAGACCGTATACTCGTCCCGGTGAAACTTTGGGGCAAGGTGCTGCTGGCTATATTGGAAGAACTCCGATGGGTAATGCTCAAGGCTTTACGCGAGCTTCGGATCGGCAGCGTCGCCGTTCACCGTCTGTTGCTTCGACGGTTGAGTTGTCTGCAGGTTGGTATAGCGATGGAGGTCGACGAAGTCTAGGATCGGAACGAGGTTTCGGCTGTTATGACGAGGGTGGAATGGGGTGGGACCATCAGTACGATCCGTATGGATGGTAGTGATCTTCTGTAAAGTATATCACAATTGTGTGACCTTGACGTCTTGAGATGAAACAAACTGTGGTAATTAGCTAATGAGAGCGAGACTTTGCGGTAGTTTTATCAAACTTTCCGTTGAATCTTGTGATTACCAGAAGGCTGAGCCCTATCATGACTGTTTGACTGACAATGATTCACTCCAATTGTGAGATCAGACAACTCTTCATCTTCAACATACATTTAAACACAAATTGGTCTATGAACTCTGCTCCAAAGAAAACACCGAATTGCCGCCAGAATGCGTTGCCTGACTCTTCCAAAATGCTGCTCCAAGCTATTTAAAAACGAAGAAGAGATACCAACCTCGAGAAAGCCGTCACCTTTTGCAGCTCCCACAATCGACGCTCCACCATGCTCTCGTGTATACAATGATACTCGAAAGTGGCGCAGACTCGCCTTCAAGACCATCAAGCCATATCGTGACCACGAGACGTTTCGCACAGTCCGACGCATACCCGGAACGAATATGTGTATTAAATACGGTCCGGCAGTACAGTTATCTGAAGCAGCAGCTCTTCGATTTGTAGCGGAAATGACATCGGTTCCGGTCCCAAAAGTCTACTCTGCCTTTCAGAAAGACCGATCATCGTACATCATCATGGACTTCATCGATGGAGAAGTAATTGGGGAAGGTTGGGACAAGAGGAGCGAGGCAGAAAAGGCGAGTTTGTTCGCACAGTTGAAAGACATGTTTGAAGAGCTCCACAACATACCACATCCTCGTCCTGGTGTGTTAGCATCGTCTGATATGCAATCTCTATACGATAAACGACTGTGGAAAGGCTCGCATGGCTTTGGTCCTTTTGCAAATGAGAGTGACTTTCACATGTTTCTTCGTTGTGGAGTTCACATCGAAGACGACATGATTAAGAAGGAGACGTGTACATGGGTCACGGATGAACAAAAAGAGGAAATGAGACAAATGGTTGTATTGCACGAAGCGAGGCGGGACAAGATCTGTTTCACACACGGCGATGCAAGCAGCTCAAATGTCATGGTGAAGGATGGCAAGGTGGTTGCTCTGATAGACTTTGAACTCTCTGGCTTCTATCCAGAGTACTGGGTTAGTCTCTTTGCTACTGTAACCTTTCAAAACTGGACAGCGCTAATGTTCTATCTACACAGGAATACACGACAGCCATGAATGTCAATAGGTTCGATGGGTTCTGGAAAGAAGAAGTTCCGAAGTTCCTCAAACAGTATCCGGAGGAGCTTCAGATGGAAGAATTGCGAAGGAAGCACTTTGGTCCAGGTGGATTTCAGGGCCGGTACCCTTGGGATATTTTGGGTTGTGTTTAGAGCGCCGCTCTTGATGTACAATATGTAACCATTTGCAAGGTTTACTCCAGATCATTGATCCAAGACGCAATGAACTACGGATTTACTGAGTGCTGATGACCCTGATTGATTGTACTTAGCCACGTCAGTGCTCAGACAAAGATAAGCACTTTACAGTGAGAAATTGACATGTTCTGACTTTAACTCTACGATTACATTGAATAATTGACGATCTAGCCAGCAGATCTAGCCAACTCCACTATCATTCCGCTCTCCTCAAACATATATTCAAATTCTTATCCCACCGTTTTTGGCCTTGCACTGGCCTTGTCTGTGCTTTTCTTCTTGGTTGGCGGCACTGGAGCTAACCTTTCGCCACGTAGCTTGAGCGTTGGTATAGTCTTGCGCCGGAATTTGTCTGCCAAAAATAGTGGTGTTGCACCATACTCGGAATCATCCGCGCGCAAATCTTGGATGAACTGGGTTGCCTCTTTTACGATGATGTCCCAGAGGACGGTCATGCTTGTATCGATATGTGGTTTCAGTATTTTCGTCCACCGGTTTTCGGACTGTCTCAGAACATCCTCGACCCATGTTTTCGAAGGATTTTCGGCATTCAAGATAAGTGGTGAGTTGTAAGGGTAATTCCGTATCCAGTCATTCATTCCCCTCTCAGATGTTAGCTCGAGAGCGGGTTCAAGGCTGATGAGACCCATCATTTCATCAGAATACCCTTCCGAGTTGAGGGTGTCAGCTCTGAGCATCACCATAGGCTTGTGCGATGATCGGACTGCGACAGACTGCTTCAACGTGTACTTCTCTAGCTTATAATGCATAGCTCCATATGGAGACCTGTCTGGTGGTGCACATATAAGAGACCACTCGAAGCTGTAATACCCACGGTCGTTCCGATCCTCTGAAAGACAGATGAAGATCACGCGCTTCTCGGCAGCGGTTGGATTAAGTTCCGTTCGTATTTTGTTATAGAAATCCATTGCTTGATGCTTGACACTTGTCTTCCAGTCTTTGTTTACGGCCGAAGATCTATTTCCCATTTGGGACAAGAACGTATGGGGTGAGAACGTTGAAGCTCGGCGGACAAGTCGTCGCTCATTGTTCAAAGCAAGCTGAATTTCAGCTTCCGAAGGTTCAGATGCTGGTTGATTCAATATCATTCCTTCCTCGGGCCGGGGTGCTGCTATCTTCTTGTTAATCTCGAATTGCCTCCTAGCTGTGGACCCTTGGACTCTGACTTGATTCGCGTCTGAGTGATGTTCGTTTACCAATTCTTCCACGACAGGAGGGAGTTTCGGGACGATATTGCGTGTATCTGATCCTACCCCATAGGCACGTTGATTTTGGCCTGCACTTACTCGAGGTCTCACACCCGCTGTGTCGGTGCTTGACTGGTCAGTGTAGGCGGTGATGGAGCTCTGACGAGGGGCGGGGAAAACGTTTTGCCGTTTCTGTCTCGGTCCGACTTGTCCTGGCCCAGCGCGGCCACGTATAGATCTCCACGGTGCCGAGGGAGTCTCGATGTTAGGGTCATTCTTGAGGTTTGGCATCGAGGTGTACTCATGGATGGGAGGCCGAGAAAGGCCGGGATGGGCGGAGCTGCTCCCTTGACCACCTTGGGAAGTATGCGTAGCCGGAATCGACTCACCTGCGTGCCGAAGCTGCCTTGTGCCTTCGATTCGTTGAGAAGCTTGCGGCGGACGTTCAGTACTTTTCAGAGGTCTTTCTGATGCCTCTGGCTGCCCGTCTGCTTCATATCTGGAGTTTGATGGCGCTCGACATCTTGTCGTTGAGTTACCTGGCGTGAGAGACGCAGGCACCTGACTTGGAACTGTCGTCGATGGCATGAAAGTGCGAGTAGAGGGAAGTGGGCCGCGATGAGGAACATCGGTTCTTCGCAAGCCCGTGAACTTCCCTTGGTCTCCAGTTGCTGCAGGTTCTTCAAGATAAATCCAGATGATCAGATCCTCTCTGGTATCAGGTACGATCCAGCAATTGGATTTTGAATCACGGATCCCAAGTCATACCATTTTGTCAAACAATAGACCGTACCTGTGTAAGACGGCAGCTAATATGACAATGGTGTCCGATTCAGGAAGATGTTGAAGTGTTGTGTCTTGTATTTGTCGTTCTACTTTGTTAGTTGTGGAAACAAAATATTGGTTGGGTTGCAACGATTCCAGTTGGTCGATGTTAGGTGTTCTGAGTAGATGGCTGCCTTGATGCTTAATACTATTTATGAGAGCCCATAGTGCCCTGCGAGGGGGGCCCGTGTGGGAGGGAATAAGCGTGTAGCCATATGGAAATGCCTCACGGAAAAGTGCCTCAGCTTGTGTCGATAGGTGTTCTTGGTTTGCATTCATGTTTGGTGAAAAGGTGCACTGAAAGTAGATATGTGGAGTTGGATGAAGTAGATATCAAAGATATTGGAGGGGGATTTTATAGGCCGATGCATACGCAGGAGGAACTGAATGGTGCGAAATCTACAAGATGATACAGTCAAATGTTCGGAGTGACTTGTGGTAGTGAAAGGACCTAGTCGCAACTCAGCGAGTATGTGATTAGTGATGCTACACAATCATCGCCAGGTGAGAGGGCATCTCAGCATGACATAGTGCGTCTCAACACACTGGAGGATGCTCTCGCGCGACAACAATCTCATGTGAAGGCTCAGAGAGCTCAAGCAGAGCATGGACGGCGTTGTAGCGAGAACAGACCTTACACCCTACACTTCTGAGGTCAAAGATCAAGTAACAAGTCGATCGCAAACTCTCTTCGGTCCCGGAAAGGACGACACAGCGATGTTGGATATGGGGTCGCGGATACGAACGAAGACAGAGACATGGAATAGATCTTTGGAGGTCGAAAGAGGGAACCGTAGCGGTGATATGCAAGGACATCGCGGTCGAAATCATGGATTGACTCCAGAATGACCGACCGAACATATTTTCATCACCCACATCTCAAATGAGAAGAGCCATCTTTCGAACTTTCTTTAGCGATATCACTCAGCGACTAAGCAAAGGATAGAGGACAAAAGATTCCATCTTCCTCGCGATATCTGATGATAACGCAAGAACGATAGACGTCAAGTCTGCATGAGCGACTGAGATGTAGGGTAGCACTCGTCACTTCTCCAAGATATATCAAAGACAGGTGGGGAGCGTCAGATATACAATACGCAGAAAGTACCAGAGATCGAAATAACATGCAGTGTACAAGTCGACTTCGAAACATCGAAGAACCTCGCCGCAAGGAAGCAAGTGAAAATCGCGGTTTAACGACCTCGTCGCTCGACTCTGACGACACAACATGGAGGAAGACATGAGCGCGGAAGGACAAGAACGCTGCCTCACTTGAGAGCATTCAACCAAGCGATACTTGTGTCCATATCGTGTCTTCCATTTGCTGCCTTCGCACTGTCGCGACACGCCCAGAGGGAAGACGAGAGCCAACTCCCAGTGGGATGCTGTCGCAAATCCCAGAGACCTTGGCAGACAAGCCGTGATAAGAAACATACCATCGTCCCTCGCAGATGCGTCCCCGAACAAGGTTTCGTTGCACGTCGCGATGAGGTCTAAAGATAGAAAACAGGATGACCTTCTGGTCGTGATTCGCGGATATCATGGTCGCGCGTCGCGAAGACCACCAAGACAACACCAAGGAACAATCCAACAGCTTCCTCCCATATATGACTTCATAACGGGGTTTGTTGCATTTCGCAATGACAACTAAAGATAGAATGTACAGAAATACAAGAGTTTCGAGGATGCTCGGTCTATTTTGTTGCAAAGTCTCCGAACGACTGGCTGTTAGCGGTTGAAATCTCAAACACTGCGCTTAAATTCTCCGGAGATCCAGTGAGATGCGCGTAAGTGCAACAGGCGGTATGCATTTGAGGTTGGAGTTATGCGGTTAATCGTAAGCATAAAATAAGATTCCACTGCCGTGGTCTTGGGTGGTCAGCCTTGGAGTTGTGTGTTGGTTGCGAGGTTGTGTCAATGTCAGACTGCTGCGCGGGGTTGGTTGTCTGTTGGCTCAGGGATAACCTTAGGCTGGGGTACGAGCTATGGTCACTATGTGGGTCGGAGACGACTAGCGAGCAAGGCCCGTAAGCCCCTGTAGTCACAGGGTACTTCACTGGTACATACGCTATCTTCTTGCGTGCAGCGCTAGAAATACAGTGAATTTCACCAAACGAGGTTCCAGTGACCTTACTGCATTCCCTCTAAAGGCTTTCTACCAAGTCCGGTCACTAGTGAAACACTCCTTACTGATCTGCTTTACGCCGGTCTACAGCTGTTCTTTCCTGTTGCTGATCAACAACAGTTGTATCACATCATGCTGCACTTCTGCTTTTTGAGACAGAGTGCTCTGTACCGCCTAAGTCCCCGAGGCGTTTCTACCCCGCAAGCTCTGATAGTCTTTCAAGGTTCTCCAAGCGTTTAGGCAATGTGTCGTGGAGTCTCATAAGAGTTTGTCCCTTCGAGACAGGACTCGTGGCGAATAGTTGCATCGTGATCGAAGAGCGAAGCTGCGTCGTGCTTTTGTGCAGTCTTCTGAACTTAATCCCAGAAAGGGAATATACATCACTCAATCTCGTGAGGGGGTAGAACGCTGTTCGCACGACCAATGGAACTGTCACGGCTATGCTGAGCTGCAATTCTGTCCAACTTGAGCCAGGTTTCCTTCCATAGTTCAAAAGCAAGAACGGAAGCAGAGTGGCAGAAACGGGTCTGGATGTTGCTCAAATGTAGTGGTAGAATCATCAAGTGAGGGGATACTCAAGTGGGGTACTCAAGTTGGGGGAATCCTCAAATGAGGCAACGCTCAAGTGGGGGAGTGTTCAAGTGAGAGAGTCCCCAAGGGGAGAAAATCCTCAAGAGGAGAAAATGATCAAGTGAACAATCCCCAAGTGGACGAAATGCTCAACTGGTGGGATGCTCAGGAGAGGATCTTCCCAAGTGAGACATTGCTCATGAAGTAAGATCATCCAGGATATTGATGACTAACGTTACTTTTGCCTTGTGTATTACATTCAAAGTCTCTCAGCATTAGGCTTCCACACTCCGCATAATGCTCACACTGAGTTACAAAAAGTACACATTCAGAGACTGCACGATACATCCATGTGCGAATCATGAAGTATCACAGCGGCTCCCACGATGGAATCAACGTACATCTCAGATGTTCGTCCATCATCAAGTGATCTTCAATGACAATCTGATGACGAAGAGTTGGATGAAGTCCGCCAGATGGTCCGCATCGACAATAGGGTAGCAGGAGTCTAGGTATAATCCATGCCACCGAGATGTGGTTCCCATTATTGAGATCATTCAACAGAGTCTCCATGCAAAACTCCTCGGACAGCCAAGCATCGTCCTCACTCAGCCTTCTGTAGGATAAAAATTCAGCCTGGACTGCCGCCCAGAGATGTCCCAGATGAATGCTAGCGGTAGTCGCTCCAAAGCATGATGGTTGATTGAGCTTCCAGTGTTTCTCGCAGGTACTCTCAAAATGACTATCAACCTCTAGTGAAGATTTCCATCGCCACGAGTCATCATCCTGTTGTGTACAGTCACCCTGTGCCAAGTGCAATACACTACAAAACACGAGCCAGCCAGTTCGAGCTGATGAGGACCACTTCTTAAAAATATCTAGTTGAACTCGTTCAGTAATTCGCTGTGCCAATTCGAACGGACGTAATTTCTCGTGGTCACATAATTCAGAACTTCCTTGTGCTAGAAAAGGTCAAGAGCTTGTGCCAGTTTTTGTTCATACGGCACCGCTCGAAACTCTTCTGGCCAATTTCTCCAAGTTGATTGATCTTCTGGATCTGGGACATTATGATCTGAGATTTGCTTTTCAAACGATCTTGTCGAGGGGGTTTCGTCGCAGTAGTCTGGAGTCATGAACATTGGCGACCCAGGATACGGTAATTCCTTCCAATCTTCGGGGACCAGGTGTACACTCCATCGACAACATTGAGACGGTTGTTGTTGCTGGTCAGCTTGAACGTGAGAGCGTTCCAAGGATAGCTGTGGTTGGGCATGAAATCCAAGGGTATCAGCAGTCCATTCTCGAGGTCCTCTTCCCCAGTGCTTGGCTGTTCGAAACGCAAACGTCCAATATTGCCTTAACCATTGAACAGTCATCCTGAGACATAGTGAGCATTCCCTCGATCACTGATAGCGTGAACCTACACTTGCTCGTGCTTATTCATCGACAACATCAGATCTTCAACCCTACCTTGAACGAAGAATAGAGCTCTCTCAATGGGCCGCTCCATCGTGAGAAGTTCTGAGAGAGCAGATGAAGCGCCAACAGAGGCTGTATTGTCTAGAGGAAGCGCAGATATCTCAACTTCTGGGCTCGGTAATGCCAAGCGAGAAGTAGAGGTAGGAATGAAGCCGTCATTGAACGCCAGTGCTTGCCAAGCAGTGATTGCTTCGCATGGAATGTTCCACCGAAGAAAGCGAGGTGGTATAAATGTCAGGAAACAGTCCCAGCATTAAATTGGGGAAAACTCACACCGTGTTTCCAATTGGCATGGAACGGTTGAAAATGCGCCGGCCAGGAAATTCGGAGTAATGGGCAGGCGACTTGAGTACCATCTGCTGTCTGCACCTCTCCTTCGCAAATCTTCGCAAGTTCTGTTGGTTTACTTCCTTGCCTCTATACTTCACGGTCACTGGTTTTCCTAGCCCTGCTCTTGACTGAACAGCTTGGCAGATGTGCGCTTTCTCTGCAGCCTGAAGGTTCTTTTTCCATTTCCATGACTTAAACTTGTATTTGTACTGAGATTCACTATTATCTTTATCAGAAACGATCATTAAGCATAGGATACAAGGACATCCTTACTTGGCATCAAACCCATACAGCTCTTTCATGATTTTGGCGATCTGAGGCAGCTTCATTTTCTGCTCTAAGCAGAGCTTCTCGAGGTAGGGTTTTCAGAGGGCTCCATCTTTGTTCGAAGGGAAGATCAGAGCGAAATTTAGACAATGGCCCAGGGACAAAATCCATGATGGAATGGACAAGGCTGTGCGCATCATGGGCTCGATCTGAGCTGAGTCATGGTGGTTGGTTCTGGGTGTGATTGTAGGAATTCCATGGCAACGATCTGAGAAATATATAAAAGGTGCCGGTGTTTGGTTGTGACAGCAGTCAAAGTTATCCTTCAGCTCACAAAACGAGATAACACGAGACAAAAGGAGAGTAGCCAATGATGTTAGGCACAGGGGCGACTCGCCAAATCATGCGCTTGGGGCCAACTTTTCAGCCGCTTGCGCCTCCGGTGGCGACACCAACAAACGAACAAAAGGAGAGCAGCCAATCATCAGCCTGGCTTCAATTGCACCGACCACACACGGCACGAGCCGAATTTGGTCCACGTTTGCATGCCGACAACAATCACAGAAGTCCTCGTTGGGGGCAGACAACTACGAAAGGAGAGTGACCACTTAGAGTCGCCCGCAAAGGTACAATGTCCAATGACGGTCATAGCCTCGTAACCTTAGGCTTCATGGCTCCACAATGTCGAAGCCTGTTACTTTGCTTCTGTTTGCATCGTTTCTTGCTCTTCGTCCTGAAACAAAGGACTTCTTTGAAAGGAGTCCAGCCAACCAGGGGAGTATTTCGGAGGAGATCAGTCACACAATCTCGGGATAAGTGTTTCTCCAATGTTGCTTCCTCGCTTTCGTGCGTACTTGCGTCGTTCCTTAGATAGTTCGTATTGTCCTGTGGGTTACACAGACCAAGTCGTCGAAAGGAGAACAGCTTGTCATGGGCATTGGGCGATGTTTCAATAAGATCAGGAGCGGACAAGAGCATTTCTTCATACTCGGAAGCTTCGCATAAGAAGTTAAGTGACCCCGAAATCGAGGATTTTAATCTTCTAAGCCTTGGACAAAAGTCAGTTCAGGATTGACGTGAGAGGTGCTTTCTTCATATTTCCACCGCTTGAAACCAACTTCCCACTTCTATCCTCAATAAAATACTTTCAAAACATCAAATTTGATCTCTTCCACTCAACACCTCAAGTCGAACCACCTGTATCAAGGGACTGTCTCGATTCAGTCGTCACTACAATGGCCGACAAAACAAACACTGCCAGTGCTGCCGATGTTCATCCCCCAATAAGCCATACAACACAATGTCGTTACCACACGCCCATCCTCATGCTCTCAGTTCAGAGTCGCAACAACTACGGACAAACCCCACTGTCGCGCTTCCTCTCGTGCGATCCTTCCGAACAGTCAGCTCTTCTGCACCGACCTGACACCGATAAACTTTCGACGTTCAAAGGGTGCACATGCTTCCTGAATATATCTGCATCGGAGGACTTGATGGCAAGAGACGAAGGGCCAAAGTTGTAGCGCTTCGGGGACAGGGAGTGATGGAGGATGACTCGATTGATGGGAGTTGGAGGCTTGTGGTGCGAATGCAGAAGGAGGACATGTTCTTGTGTCAAAGCGTACTCAGCAACTTTTTGTACTCAATCCAGCTGAGAGGTGCTGAGCCATGCCTTCTGAACTCTCACAGGGTCTTTTTCCTTATTCAACTATCTCAATCTCCAGCTTTCTTCCTCGCCAATCGCCTCAATCGCTATTTACCACGCTTGACATGCTTTTCAGTGAGTTATTGCCAGACAATTCCAGGTTCTTCAGCAAGAATTACAGTCTTGCTTTGTGTGCCTCCTCACTCTTATACATTGTAATCGTTGGTTCATGCTGAGCGGAAGAGAGCAGAAAACCCACTTTCTTATTTTCACTGGCACAGAACTTGAAAATAACATAGTCAGCAACTCACGCATGAAGGAGCAGACAATATCAAGTGATAAAAGAAGATACTGTTCAGCGGATATAACCGTATTACAGTCGATCTGTTCGACGCGGACCAGAATTATCGCACAGATGATTCCATCGAACTCATTCGTCAAGACGGGAGAAGTGTTAGTGCCCACATCTTCGCGAATGATTTCGTCTGGTTGCCACCTGCTAATCCAATCTATACGAGGGGTGGTTTGGCTAGAGCCACTCGAAGAATGTTGCTGTGAGGCAGGTGACCCAGACTCCCTCGGCATCGAGGACTGGACATCCTTCGACGACGAAGCCTGCATAGGCAGTGGAGGTGGTGACATCGGGGGTTGTTGAATCCCAGAGAGAGATGAACTCGATTGTTTGTAGGTAGGAGTAGACCGCAAGCCAAGCACAGAAGATTGTGTTGAGGGCTTGGGTGCGATTGACTTATTGGCACCTGCTTTTCCCTGTTGCTGTGGTCGCGCGTGCGACTGCATCATCCGTTGCTTCTTCTCGTCTTCCTTGCGGAATAGCTCTTGTTGCCGAGCAATGAGACTACTCAGTGACCTGGTTGGCTGATCTTGTGGCCCGGTCGATTGACAACGTTGCTCTATCAGAAGAGCTCCAACGTCAGTCGACTGAGCAGTGCTTGCGACGGGAGAGAAGACGGGAGGAGACATCTGTGGTTGATGTGGAGATTGAGGTTCCCTGGGATTTACATATGCTCCCGCTCGATGTCCCTGTGATTTCCTTGCGGCAACGATTTGCTGGTCCTTATCGTCACTGTTGGCCGCACCCTCAGAACCCATATCGAAGGTATTTAGGTCCTAGTCTTCGTACCTATCTGGGTGTGGACGAATAGGTGACGAGGACGATGAAAGCATGGGGCGATCATCAAGGCGTTGTCGATCGAGAGAATGTGGGTCTTCGAAAGGATTATCGCTCTCTGCATCTTCGTCGACCATTTCTTCACCCTCAACCTCTCCCTCGGCCTCAACTTCTTCCTCGACCTCAACTCCTCCCTCGACATCTTGCTCTTCCTCTTCTCCCGCGAATTCCTTTCCGAATTCCTCTTCATCACTGTCCATTTCTCTATCCTCCTCCTCCTCATCAGAACTCTCGCTCTCGCTAAAGCTCTCTTTCCATCGCTTATGTTGGATGCCCTCCTTTTTCCTCGCGAGGACCTCCATTCGATGCTGACCAAACACCCCACCAACAACGCGACCATATTTGACATGGCTGTCGGTTCGGACGAGACTTTTGTAGGCCGTGGCGAGCTCCTCAATGCAGCGATGCTTCATCGCAGACCAGGACTGGAACGTACGTAACTGTCCCATGCGTCGCTGATAGCCTTCAGATCTCTAGGCATGATTCCATTTTCCTCCTCGTGGAATTTGCGTTGAGCATCGACTGCTGCTTTGAGGTGACTCAGGAACTCTGAGTCGGGTGCGACGTCCTTCCCAATTTCGCTGTCTATGCGACGACGAAGCTTCGAATCTATCCGAGGATAGTCGAGTGTGTCCTTACTGAGTAGGGGCTTGAAAAGCGACAGGACGCGATCGTTGCGTTTCCCCGTAAGTCGCAGATAGTCAGCAACCCTCCCCTCGTACTTGTCAGCAAGGCGGTACTGCATAGACATACGAATGGCGCAGTGCCACAAGGGGATGTTCTCCTGGAATACAGGACAGAGTACGACGTCGGCAAACGCCACGGAGAACTTCTTCGACCAGTTTGTGTTTCGGAATGTTTGCCCGGCATTCCAAGGGTCGTCGATTGTGCGGTCTCCAAGCTCGACGTGTAGCTCTGGTGGCAGGCTCTCGGGAGGGGTCATATCCCAGAGGTCAAGTGTTCTGTCCCACACCCTGACCTCCTCCTTCAGTGTCTTGTCAAGAACAATCTTGTCCTCCCGCGACCATTCCCCATCAGTGTCGGAGTCCGTGTCGTCGGCCGGCGTGGGCGTTCGCGGTCCACTTTTAGGTGCAGACTGCTTCGACTTGACCCTCTTCTCCTTACCCTGATCCCCTCCATTTGAATCAGACCCAGAGGACTCCTCTGCCTCCTCATCCCCCGTCGAATCGCGGTTGACTGCTCGCCGAGAGGGTCCAGAATTTCCCAGGCTAGGCCTGCTTCGTTGCGATTTACCGGCCATGACGTGTCGGAATACGTTGAAGTAGTAAAGATTTTTCACATAACAAGGGAATAAAATAAAATAAACTTTGTGTGAAGCAAATTTTAAACTTCCGAATAAGGTAATTTGCCTGAGGCGACATGGATCACGTGAAACCGGATCTGTCAGTGGGAGAATTGGAATGGACAATAACAAAATGACCGCCGCGCAGAAGAACCGCTAGTTGCTACTTGAATTGCTATCCCCTCATGATTGCTCATAGTTAGTTTTCAAGTCAGTCAGTCAGATATTAGATTAGAATCCATTGTGGGTCCCATGAAAGAGATGGAACATCGTTTAGATGTTGGTGAACGAGAAGGAGATTTGGGACAACCGTGCACCTTCTCGGATCAAAATTTTCGACTTTTCAGGAACTGCTTTGGATGTTTTGAGTGATTTTGATTTATGTATGCAGGAGTGCTGTTCCTACTTCTCCCACTCCTATAGAGTCGGTGTAATTGCGTGCTGATGAGGATCTCGACTAGGATCCTTTTCATCGCGAATGCAAAGAGATGATCATGATCACAAGATTGACCGAGTGTCAGGCCTTTCTCGAAAGTAAACGCAAGCCAGAGAAGTGGTCATCATATCTTCTAGTCCTCCTCCCATCCCAACCAGGGCAACCGCAACTAGATTTCCAAGAGCCAGATGGACGAGATCAAGACCTTTCTCGAAAGTCAACGCAAACCAGAACCAGAGAGATTTGGTCATCATGTCTTCTGCTCCTCCTCCCCACCCGGGCAACCATAACTAGGCCTTAGAAGCCTTCAACGTAGGTCTCTTCTCGGCGAGTCAACAAGATCGATGGTAAAGAACAAGGCTCATGCAATCAAATCGGTGCCAGTATCTTTGCTTCTTTAGATGCTGCTAATACTGGCTACGATAGCTTCGAAGATGAATACGTCGAGGTTTATCATCACAGGGCAGACGTGGGTGAACTTCCAAAATACCCACTTCCTCCAAATTCGTGTTGCTGACTGCTACAGGATTTCGCCGCCGTCGACTTCATCGAGACCATCACCATTATTCAGGGCGGACTTATGTTGCAGACCGATCGATGGAGTCGACGGAGTTCTAGGCATTGAGCAAGGAACGAGATCCAAAGATATTTCGCGGCTAGAGGAGGAAACAAGTGGAAGCCATTACTGAGGAGGCAGTAAAGGGATTAAGCTCGCCGAGATCCAAGCACATTTCACGGCAGGTCGCTTAAGCGATTGGAGGCAGGGCCAAGCCGAGAACCGCATGAGGTCTTAGAGATCTTATGTATCAAGTGGTGTTGGCTAGACTTCGGCATTGTTGACTTCGTGGCCAAAAGATCGGAGATACTGACACTGGACTATAGTATTGGCGAAGACAATGGAGCTATCTCTGCTGCTGAAGAGTATGGTGCTCCTACCACTCGTGTGTTGAGAAACATGGAGGTCAAAGCAGGCCTGAGTGGACGCTGCAAGGCGACAGAATTCCTGGACTTTGATTGTTGGCTGAGATATGGCAATGCCATATTTAACGCTTTTTCCCGAGCTTCGGTGACCTTAAACATGAGGTACATGGTCCACAGCTCGTATCCCCCAAGCTGCCATCAGTGTTGCGTTGGTCCGTGCATTAATTTAGCGAGCCAACGAGAAAACTGTATTTCAAGCTTTAGGGAGATAAGCCTAGGATTTAGCGGTCGATGCCTTAAAGTTTAGCGATCAAGCGCTAATTTATAGTGAGCTTCAGTGGAAGATTTTGGTGTTCCTCTGCTTAGCCTTTGGAAAACGCAACGCTGATGGCAGCTTGGGGGATATGTAAAGATGATGCACTGCATTTCGTCTACTACATCAAATCCATTGCTCTTTGTGAGTAGTTCTCCTGCAGCGGACGAAGAAGGCTGACGACAATATGTATGTAGCTGAGGAAGATCTTTCTCTGTTTGTTTGTCATTTATTTCGCCACTACTTTGATTCCAATCCAAGGCTGTGGTCATAGCTGCCATCATCCACCGAATTCTGCCACTTTGGTAGCTACAGCTTTTTTTCTGTGTTTCTCAAAGAAAAAGAAAAAAGAGGGTCGTGCATGTTCTCAAAGCAAGCCGATTCGGCAGTGAATACTCATTGATAGTATTGTTTGTTTTATTGTAAGCGTCTGCTTCACTTCCTGCTGTTGATTCAATCCATACCTAACTTTGAAGCTTCACGGGAAGCCCCTGAATTAGGCGAGAGTGGGGGTCTGCCATGCGTGATCTCTGCTGCTTAGGAAGGTGGCATATTTTCCTTCCACCCTTTGTGGGAATCTCTGACTGCCCGATGATGGCAACAATAAAGAAATTGATCTATCCTTTCAATGTCTGGTATTGTATATACATCATCACAGGTTTTGGATCCATTATGAGTCAAGCGCTGTAACCTCAGGCCGAATGAGTCAGCAACACTTGCCTGCATGAGGTTAGCCGCGTTGAAAGCCTTACATTCTGCCCTGCGCCACTTGCACCCTTAGCCTCCACAATCCATCCAGCTGAAGTTCATCGACCAACAAAAAGATTCGTGAGTCAAATAAAGCTGCCTGTTTCCCGCTGGTATAATCCTTTCAGTCTTAGTGGGTTGGCGCATCTCTAGTCAGGTACGTAGCCGTTCTCATTGGAGATGCTGCATGTTTCACCGCAGGTGCGGGGAATTTCGTGTTGCCTAGAATTCATCATGATTGAAGTATAAGTATCAATCCACTGTCCCTTCTCTTTTCCTTCCTTCTCATACACTTCCCATCCGGATAGAGAGCACACACAATCCCCAGAAGTACCACAGCAATGGCAAACGAACCTCCTCACAAGCAAGAATTTCGCATTCGAGACCTGACTACTCGAAAGGTCACCCTCTTCCCCACCAGAGCACAGATCATCCGAGACATCAAGGAAATCACTCTTCAACCAGGCGCCAACCAAATCGTCATCGATGGTCTTACCCCCACGGTCGACGAGCATTCCATCAAGGTCGAAGGAACTGGTTCCGCCACGATCACAGATGTCACGATCGACTTCATTGCCAATCGAGAAGTCTATGAAGATATCTATCCATCCGACTCCGAGGATGAAAGTGACTTGGAGGAAGACGACTCTGATGTTGAAGTCGATGAGATGAAAGCCATCAATGAGAAATTGAAGCAGCTCAATGTCAAAATCCTCGACGAGCAAGAGAAGATCAATTCTGCTGCTCATCGTCTGAGAATCTGTGATGCATTCGGCAACAGCGTTGAGAAGAATCGCCCACCACCAAACGATCTCGAGACCCTCATCAAAGCTTACGAGGTCGAACGTCAAAAGATCTATGGTGCCCATGAGAAGGCTACCTCGGAGGTTGCCAAGATCAGAGAAGAAATGGCCAAGGCTGAGAAGCAGAAGCTCAAGGTAGCAAAGGCGGTGGTCGAAGCCAATGAGAAGTCGAAGAAGGAAAAGGAGAAGGCCAAGGAGAAGAAGTTGCGAAAGAAGGCAGAAATCTCCAAGGAGAAGCAAAGAATCAGGGTAGGTCGTCTCCAGCCCGTATACAATGAACATACTAACTCAGATTCAGACTGAAAGAGAGACATTCTGGCCAAAGAAGGTTTACTGTGTCACCATCAACATTGAAACTTCCAGCTTCACTCCAGGAAGCTCTCGTCGCAACTCCATCGATGGAGACACCATCATCAATCAACCATCCAGTTCCGGTCTCGCAACCTCCGAGTTCCACGAGCCATCGACCAAACCACTCAAGACTGGCGAGATCAGTTTGTCACTCTCGTACATCACGTACTCGGCTTCGTGGGCTCCTCGTTACGATCTCAGTTTGAACTCTGTCAAGCTCACTGGCCTTTTGGAGTATGGTGCAGAGCTTAAGAATACCACTTCTGAAACCTGGCGTGATGCTCATGTTCTTCTGTCCACATCCCAAACCACTTTCTCCGGTCTCAGCGAAACGATCCCTCAGCTGCTGCCTTGGCACGTAAGACTGTATAAGGGAGGTCGCAATGGCGACTCTGCCTTGTTCAGCGCTCACGAACTTGAAGCTAAGAAGAAGGAATGGAATCAAAGTACTGGGGAACAATCTCAGAAGCCACGCTGGGAGGTTTTCGGTCGGGACAATGCTGTTCAAAATGCATACCTTGCTCAAGAGAGACAGCATGCGCTTACTAAGAAGATGAAGACTTCTCGCGAGGCCGTTCAGTACGCTTCCCGTCACGCAAATCCTACACCTACTGCTTTGTTTGGCGCCGCGGCGGCTCAGCCAGCTCAGAGTAATAGCTTATTTCGTAATCTGGAACAAGCGGATCTCACACAGAGGGCACGAAAGAGTGGTGGTGCCCCAACCTGGAACGGTCATTCATCCCATGAAGAGATGGAAGAAGATGATGGAGATCAAGGATTTGCATTATTCGATGACGATGAGGCACCTAATAAGTCACTTACCTTCGAAGAAGGAGCTTGGGAGGAATCAGGTCTGACGACAACATACGACATCCCCGGTCTTAAGACAATCTCCCCCAGCAATTCAACCATCAAGCACAAGATTGCCAAGATCGACTTCAAGAACGTCGTCTTCTCTCACATCGTCATTGGCAAGCTTCGTCAAGTTGCTTTCCTAAAGGCCCGTCTTCGAAATACCTCCAAGATCACCTTGCTCAAGGGTCCTTTGGGATTGACTCTGGATAGCTCCTTCCTCGGTCAAGCATCCTTCCCTCGTTGTTCATCTGGTGAGACTTTCTCCCTTCCACTTGGTGTTGATCCCGCCATCAACATCAACTACCCCAAGCCAACTGTTCGACGTAGCCAGACTGGCATCTTCAGCAAGGAGGATACAAATGTATTCACTCGTTCCATGACCATCATGAACACCAAGCATAACGCTGCCATTGACCTCACTGTTCTTGATCAAATTCCGGTCTCGGAGGATGAGAGATTGAAGATTGAGATTACGAATCCCAGAGGATTGAAGGCTGGTGGAGAAGGTGTTCGTGCTGGACAGCCTACTACGTTCGGCCCACAAACTTTGAGCAGAGGCACCGCCAAAGAGATCCGTGCCAGTGTTCAAGGAATGGAGACACCTAAGGATGTCAAGTGGGGTAGTGCTGTTGCCACTGCCAAGAAGGGAGGAGAGATTGCTTGGAATGTCAAGTTGAATCCGGGTCAAGGTGTCAAGTTGATGCTTGAGTATGAAGCCTGCTTCCCTGGTGGCGAGACGGTGGTGGGTGTTCCTATTACCGCTGGAAAGAATCCATTGTTTGAATGAGGGGACATATATGCCGTGGTAGACTTTCCGGAAAGATTTTGATTTGGATAGAGCTCGTCTGTTGGCGGCGTTTGGAGGAGGGACTATGATCATACGGTAGCTCTAGAAAATAGTTTGGTCTTCCGTCCAAGGGAAGAGGTCTACGCATAGAATCAAAGTGTTTCCCTTGAAATTTCGATGACCAAGTGACTAGATCCGTTCTCTTTCGCTCGTTGAAAGGTCGTGCTGCAAGACCTTATATCCATCTTTGCGCCAAACCTGCCACTCGACCCAAAAGAGCCTCAGAACTTCACTCTCTTGCGCGTACTTGGCAAGCGGTCTTAACGTGCTTGCCGGCTTTGCAGTACTCGAAGAGGAATTGCTCTTATTGCTCCTCGCCCTCCGCGTGGGCGCGCTCGTGCATCATGCGACACTGTTGAGCGTAGACGGCCATCTTGGCTGATGAGTGTTGCTGTTGCTGCTTTTGGTGCTGTATTACCGTTGTGAATTGCAGGGTTTTCAACATCAGGAAAAGAATTATACAAAGCTGGAGTGCATGAAGATGAAATCCTTTCGTCATTGTAATCAACTGTTCACGTGAACGCAGCCTTCGCTCTTGTTGACATATGAAAATTTTGAAAGATCGCGAACTTCTTTCCCCTCTCATCAAGAACAACCCTGCCACCACCACAGCAGCAACAGCAGCAACAGCAGCAACACAATGGCAGACGGACAACCTCCGCAAGGAGGGGACAATGGGTATCGCCCCGACTTCTCATAGACTGAGGAGCAATTGAACCAGTGGGCTCTACGCCGCGTTGCCGTATGTGCTGCCCCATCCCTCACCTGTTGTGAGACTAATAGCACTGTAGGCCGTCGCGCAACAGCAGGCACAGGCAGGGAGTCGTGGCTCTAATACCGTAAGGGCCGTTGATGGATATCACAGACCGTATCTAACAGATCTGCGCAGACGGGAGGTGCTCAAGCACCGGGAATGGGAATGGGCATGCCCTTGGGATCTGCGCTTTCTGCCCAAATGGTCAGTCAATGCTTGCATCAGCAAGGAACAGATAGTGACGAGTTACAGGGCCAACGTCTCGACATATACCAGGGGATGCAAGCACCACTGGTCACGGTGTCATTCGGACACCAACAACAACACCATTCCGGGCTGGCAGGTCAATTCAGCCTCCCACCGACGGGAATGGGGTATGCACCTGTGGAGGGTGGGAATCGATCGCGGGGTAAGAACAACACCTCCAAGAAGGTCAATCCTTTCTGTGACCCCGACGCGCTATGCGCTGAGTGCGGCTCCTTGGTGCATCAACTGGGTAACCACCCCAACCCAAATCACTCATCAGGAGTGCTCAGGGGCTGCGCTCGATGCAACACCAAGGAGCACTCTTATTGGACGTGTCCAAAGATGGACTGGACGGAGAAGAAGAAGAAGCAATACCACTTCTTCCGCCGTTGCAGAGAAGGGCGTTGTCCCTTGGAGTTCCATGGTGACTTTAGGGAAATTATAAACCCTCAGGGCAAGTTCACCTTGGAACACATGCCATTGACCCCGGATTTTGCTCTGCGAAATCCATACCCGAACGAGCAGCAATTCCGGTCACCCAGGAACGGGGGAGATCCGACTCTCAAGGTTGACCCCTTCTGGAGCAGCGCAAACCCCTGGCAAAACCTGAGGTCTCTGGCATTCAGTGGCGCCCGCGTCAGTGAAGAGGATGGGAGATTCTGGGATCGGCGCGCTGGAGCTCGCAGAGGTGATCTTTGGGAGCAGCTGCGACAAGAACAGCAGCAGCAGCAGCACCCACAAGAAGCTCCGGTGCAGACGGCCGAGGCCTTCGCAGAGCTCAAGGCCCAACTCGCTTCTATGGCCAAGTCTTTGGATGAGATCCAGCGCGGCGGGGTCAGTGCTGGTAGCGTGAAGAAGGAGGAGGACGACGATCACAAGCGCAGCGACATTGCCCAGTCAATGCTAGATCCCCAACCTGGCCGGGTCGCTGGTGGTGTAGTGAAGAAGGAAGAGGAGGATGAGAACAACGTCTCAGACTACCCCATAGCACCTCATGCCCCCTCTCCCAGCTCCCAGGCTAGGTTCATGCTTGGATCTAGTGCCTCTCGTGGGAACGATTCTCGACCCTCTGGCTTTAGTGGTGTTCGCCCTGCTACAGGTAACTTCCAGCAGGGCCCTTGCCATCACTGCCAGGGACCTCACTTCAAGAGAGACTGTCCTCAACTGAAGGCCAAGCTCAAGGCTCGAGGGGATCGCGCTCCTGGCGGGGATCGTGGGAATCGTCGTGGCAGGGATCGTCGTGGCAGAGGCGGTGGGAGCAGCTCCAAGGTCAGGAGCGAAAGCACATATCACCGTGGAAGCCAACAAGACTTCTACCGCAGGTGAACACCTTCTTCACTTCTCGGTGTGTTGTGTGCTTCTGCGACCTAGCACCATCCAACTCCTCTTGCTTTTCTTCTCTTTCTTGGTCCTCGTTCGCGAGGGGAATCCTCTTGGGTATCAGTTCTTATGAACTGGGTATTGAAAACCCTTGTGGCTATTTGTTCTTGTGAGCTGGATATGTGCTTGTGCACGGAAAAAATAGCTCTTGTGACTGACAATGTCCTTGTGGATGTGCCCTGTGCACAGCAAATAGTTCTTGGGAAATAATAAAGTCCTTGTGGATGTCCTTGTGCACAATACTTTAGAGAATATGGGATGGTAAGATTGCTTGTACGAAATAGCTTGAAATGCAATCTTCACCGTCGTTTCAAAATTGTCTGAAGTGAGTGATGTGCCAAGAATTTAGCCGCGATCTGGATCATTGTTTCTTGATTGGCTAGACTGCCGCCAAAGCTTCCATGCAAGTGCAGGGAAACGACGAGTGTCGATTTGAGTCGTTGAATATTGACCTCCTTTTGCGCCAAACACCGTATTTGGCGCAAAGATTGAAACACCCATAGCAATTGAGATGAGTGTGGTGTATACTAACGCAAAGCCCAATACTTTCATGGCATCATGGTACATATCGAACAATGGGCAGAGTAGAGAAAACGATCAGCTGGGGTCCCTGAAATCTCTCCCCAAAGCAACTGATTCATGCAGCATCTACACCTGCGATCTCATAAAAGTAAGTAGCACCTTTTCAGCCAAAGAGAACCTTCCGAATTAATACGTCAATAGTCTCTCCGTTTCAAGTCTTGCTCGTCTAAGAGATGCATTTGTGGCCACTACCTCTTGTTCTAGAATTCACCCTCCTTAAGAATCGCTATCGAAAACACTAAAGATACTGCAGAAACTTAGCATAGCTTAGCTCTGAGTTACTGGTGTCAGCTTGGAAGGTCGCTACCTAGGTAGGTCCTTAGAGGGAGCACGATGTTCAATAAGCTGGTTCTTGATCCAGAAGCGATTGAGACATCAATAGGAAGCCGGGGGAGATGAACAGCTGCAGACTGTGTTTAGCGACCATGTGCGGAGTTGAGATCGTTGGTTTGCTGCCATTGTCTCTTCTTGAGCAGTGGCCTGACATTGAAAATGTTCAGCGAGATGACTGACATTTTTGTTGCTGCTGACCTCGATTCAAGAAGTGCGGAAACGTGAAAGGTCTGAGAGGTAAGTGGCATGCAACAATCAATTTAAGTAGGACTTGCCGAATCCTCTCTTTGCTTCAACGGGGGCTGTTGAGAAGAAGATCTCGACCTCGAGTTCAAACTTCGAGGTCACGTGAACAGGCATTATCTCCACTGAATTCCATTGTTTCCCTCATGTTGCATAGACAATTCACTTGAAGTGAACTTGAGGCCTTCGTTCTATTTCAGTCTATTCGAAAGCGAGTTCCGGAAAGTAGCAAGGACGAAGACAAGGCTGCGCTAGTGGACATGTTATGTTTACTTTCCACGCAACCTTTCAATATTCACCTCTCAATCCGCAACCTGATACTTCGCCCTCACAACCTTCCCAACCTCACTCCCTTTCAGTCTTATCCCCTACTGTATTCGATTATAACGCAGTTGCGGGTACCTTCTCGACTTCCTCACAGCGTTTTGACGTGTCATTCAACTCGATTCATCCTCTCTCGACGAAGTTTCACTTTCGACCGACGACGCGCGGCTCCCATTTCTGCAAGCTGCCAACACTCTCTCTAGACCGCCGCTTCTCTGGCGAACTGTGAATCTCTCAAGATTGTCAGAAGCTGCGACGCGTCCTTTGAGTTCAACCTTCAGCCTTGGAGGCTGCTCTTGGTTTGTTCATCCCTCTCTCGAGTATCACTTGTTCCCATGTGCTGACTTCTGGACTACCAGGACGCGTTTGTTGCTCACACGTCTGGTTCAAACCAAGTCACTTTCGAGTTCAACTTCGCATTTACGCTCTCCAATACTGCTGCCTGCTGTCAACCACGAAACAGTCCTCCTCCCGCCATCTTCCTTTCAAGAACCGTGAGTTGAAGTTCTTAGCGACCATTGTTTCATACTCATCTTTGTTCTAGACCTGTCTATTTCTCGAAGAAAGTGATTCAACTGTCACTATGCCACTTACCTGCCGCCACTGCAAGAAGCAGTTCATTGACGCCGATGCTCTAAGCAAGCATAAAGATGCTGTCCACGATTGGTCCTGCAACTACTGTGATGAAATTTCCCTTTCCAATCCAGAGTTGAATCACATACGGCTAAATATCACCCATGGCCTTGTGACCCATGCCAAAGGTCGTTCGTTAACGAAATCGACCTCATACAACACAACGAAGCAAAGCATAACTTCAAATGCAAGTACTGCGATCGAGTCTGCAAGACCGAAGAAGCGAGATACCAGCATGAGAACTCGCCCGCACACATCTTGAAGTGCACGAAGTGTATCAAAGTGTACAAGACGGAAACGGGCCGCGAAAGCCATTACAACTCGACTCACGTTTACACGTGCGATACTTGCAACTCCACCTTCGATGCAAGAAAAGCCCTCGATAAGCACAATACGATTGCTCATCGGATCCCTTGTCAACACTGTATCAAGGTGTTCAAGAATACTGAAGACCTTGAAGTCCATGTCACGGAGTTTCACTCGTTCAGATGCAAGAAGTGCTCAAGGATCTTCGAGACTGATGAGAATTTGCAGAAGCACATGGCAGACGACCACGTCTTCAGGTGCACAAAATGCCCAAGGACTTTCGGTTCAGAGATTGGGCACAGTATCCACTACACTACCACACATTCTTTCAAGTGTGAAACATGTAAAGTGGTCTTCAATACACTGCGCGAGAAGGACGACCATGCGAAAGCTATGCATAGCATCACCTGCACCAAATGCCAGGCAGCATTCGACAACCAAGAGCTCCTCAAAATCCATGTGACCAAGATGCATGTATTCAAGTGCAAGAAATGTGCCATGGAGTTTGAAAGCACGGCGGTACTTTCTCAACACTTCGCATCTTCGCACATCTTGAAATGTCCTTTATGCCCAGAAGCATTTGAGACGGTCGAGGCCCGGACTACGCACTTTCGTATTTCACACGAATACGAATGTCATGTATGCAAAGAAACTTTCGCAACTCTTCAGGCTCTGGCCGAACATTCCAGGACTCACCAACGCAACTGCGAAGAGTGTGATGCTTCTTTCGACAGCGAAATTGCACTTAACAGGCACAAGACATCACACAAATATCGATGTATGAAGTGCTTAGAGGCATCCGACAGCCTCGGTGGTCTTCAAGGCCATACTATACTGGCACACTCGAGAGAGGCGTTGTTGAAGTGCAGTGCTTGTGCAGCACTCTTCAGGGAAGAGAATGAGCTTGCCGACCATGTTAAGTCACACGAGGCATCGACCAAGGTAAGTGCGGATTCCCTCGGCAGCGATGTCCAGTGTCCGGAATGTCGTCAGTCCTTCAATACTTCGGGCTTGTTAAAAGCACACTACCTCGATACACATTTCTTCAAATGCTCAATCTGCCCGTCGGCGATCTTCACTGATGAGAAGTCTTGCGATGAACATATCAAGGCGTATCATGAGCTTAAGAAAGATGACCTGAGCTTGGTGAATGCGGCTGTGAAGTATCCCTGCTCCAATTGCGGTACAACATATGACTTCCCAATTGAGTTGGCCACTCATGTATTGCAAACTCACTTTCTCCGTTGCAAGCATTGTTCTGGATTAAGATTCTCCACTCTGCAAGAACTATCGGAGCACACGGCCCAGAGCCATATGCCTGTATCAGTTTTCAGCAGCAGCACGCAGACTGAAGCGATGACAGACATCTCCGTCACCGAAAAGCTGGGATTCAGCAGCTGCAGTACCGACAACTCCGATGGTTCTTCACAGGATGCTCATTCATCCCATGAAGCCGAGCAAAGTCAGGTGTATAAGTTGCCATCTTACGAGACAAAAGCTATGCAGACTACCGAGTTCAAGTGCGACGAATGTGTCACTGTGTTTGAAAACGAGGAGGAACTGGATGTGCATATGGATCACTCGCCATTTCATGGGGCACCAGCCCTGTTCTGCACTGAATGTCACATTGGCCCTTTCCGCGACCAGATTGAGCTACTCAAGCACATCGAGTCAAAGCCACATAAGACTCAGTGGGTTCTGAGCATGATCTAGATTGAGAGCCGTAGCGGGGTGATTGATAGGAGAATCGGAGAGAGGATCGATGGCTTGAATGTTGCTGCACGTGTCTGGACAAGCAGGAAGTTGGTGGACTTCGTATGGAAAGATTTGGACGGGACATCTTGCTTTGTTAAAGATACCTTTTGCTTTTATGGCTACCAAGAACCTGCTTGGGAAAGATCTGTCTGTTTGTGGGCCCTGTTTCTGAGTTTTTGTATCGAGATACCTTTTGCTCTGATAGCATATGCTTCATTTGTACATGGCAATGAATGCAAATCATACTCACTGACTGCCACCAATTCCTCAGTCTCTTTGAGATCGGTTGACTTCACATTTCCCTTTGCTCAATTCACCACAACTCAACCCCCTGGAAAGCTTTAAAACATTACAACGCCAAGATACCACTTTCCAGCAATCGGGAAGAGGTCTTCAATTCCCCGAACAAACACTAATTAAATCATGTCAAACTGAAGAGCATCACGTGACTTCAACACCGCCTTCCATTTTTGCCATTTTGCCAACCTATGACGCATGGCGGAAGAGGACATTGATATTATACTCCTCCCCTTTTCATTTGTATCTAGCTCCTGCAGCCTCAGCTTCATATGCCTCTCTTATCCACAGATCATTGGACTTCGAGATACCTTCACGATGGCGAAACGAGTATGAGCCTGGCCCTGAAGTGGGATTTAGCTGACGCCTCAGATCTCATTTCTCGTTCATGGTGAAGTTCAAGGTGAGTTTTCAATAGCTTTAGGGACAATGAATTAATGCGATGTACGTTAGGGGTTGGTTTTAGGTACGGAAACTCATGTCGTCTACTTCAATCAAAGATTTCCCCTGACCAGAACTCAAGATACTACACCAGGAAGAAAGCAGCTTCTTATGGAATTACTGGTTGGGTTAGGAATACTGCAAATAGCAAAGTGGGTCTATCCCAAGAAATGTTTTCCATGTACTGACGATTCTGACTTCACCAGGTTGAGGGTGAAGCTCAAGGCGAGGACGATGTGCTTTCAAAGTTCATGAAGGACATCGACAAAGGCCCAACCCACTCTCACGTCGTCAAGCTGGAAAAGAAAGAGATCGAATTGATCGACGGAGAGGCAGACTTTGAGGTTAGGCATTGATAGACACTTCGTTGTCGTTGAAATCCAGATCACGTGCTGGAAGAAGGTGCTGATTTACCGGCGAAACATCCACTCTTCTTATCAGGACTCCCTCCTGCATATGCAGCTTTCTGGCATGTCGATGTTTCGTTTCTAATTATTATCCGCATGATTATCCAGCACGTGAATCGGCAAGTTGCCGGCATACCCCTGAGCAATGAAACTTCGAATGTCTGAACATTTCCCTTGGCGTCGCAACTCCATTCAAGCGATTCGACTGTATTTCATGGCATCAGGTGTAGTGGGTTGTTCATCTGATAATTGTTCATGCATTTCATCACTTCTTCTGACAGCATGAGCCAAGGCGTTTGTCTGATCATAAAATGCTTACCTAATCTGATCCCCACCTTTATGCCATGGAGATCTTTTGTGGCTGAGTGGAATTTTGTTATACATATTAAGTCGGGAGATCTCTAACCTTGATGATTTGAACCTTGTTACACTTTCGTTCGTTCAGTATACCACATTCGTTTCTTCAATATGTTTTTCAAATTGGGTTTGCTTCTTAGATCTATTCCCCTGGCGTTGGGAAAGGTTCAATTTATGGTGAGGACTTTTCAAAGAAAGTATTTACAGCATTCTGATTTGCACAGGGAATGAACATCGCTGGACTTGATTTTGGATGCGCGATTGATGTATGTCCAAAGTCTTAATCTTTGGCCAAGCTGACTGTTTCAGGGAACATGTCCAATATCATCTGCTCAAATACCTCTGAGCACATTGGGAGGAGGAGATGGATTAGGACAAATGCAACACTTTGTTGCGGATAATCAGATGAACATATTTCGACTACGTGAGGATTTCCCACTCCGTTCGGCTTCTGATCTAACCTCTTCCAGCTGTTTCATGGCAATACCTCGTGAACAATCAATTAGGAGGAACACTTGACTCAAGAAACTTTGGCAAATATGACCAATTGATGCAAGCCTGCTTGTCAACCAGCGAGACCACTTTCTGTGCCATCGACATCCACAATTTCGCTCGATGGAACGGAGCAATTATTGGCCAAAGTTCGGGAGTGACTAACGATCAATTTACCAGCCTTTGGACTCAACTTGCCATCAAGTATGCAAGCAGCACTAGAGTTGTGTTTGGTATCATGAATGAACCTCATGATCTCGACGTTCCAACTTGGGCAAATACAGTTCAATTGGCTGTCACGGCAATCAGGAATGCAGGAGCTTCTTCGCAAATGATTTTGATGCCAGGGACGAACTTTGCCAGTGCTGGACAATTCGTTAGCAGTGGTTCTGCGGACGCTTTGCTGAATGTTACCAACCCAGATGGAACAACTGCAGCATTGGTGTATGATCTTCACAAGTATCTTGATGTCGATAACTCGGGAACTCATGCAGACTGCACGACGGACAATATTGAGGATGCTTTTGCCATTGCTGCTGCATATCTCCGATGGAAGGGCAGATTCGGGTTGGTTAGCGAGACTGGTGCAGGCAGCACATCATCTGTAAGTTTACAGCTCTTTTCAGGGTCAATTGCTAATTCGAATAGTGCTTCACTGATTTCTGTGCCCAGAACACATTCTTGAATCAAAACTCCGACGTGTTCTTGGGCTACATTGCGTGGGCAGCAGGAAGCTTCTCAACTTCTTATCTCCTGAGCTTGACTCCCTCAAAATCGAACGGAAAATATGTCGACAATGCACTCGCATCTCAATGTGTGGTCTCGCCTTGGTTGAATGCCGGTACTGCGATTGTTACTTCGCCTATCCCATCAGCAATTGGTTCATCCGCAGCAACGAGTGTAGGGGCAATTGTGATTGGTGCTCCTTCAAGTGCTGCTGCAAGTACCACTGATGCCAGCGGATCAAGCCCTTCGACTGTAGCTACGGAAGCAAGTACACTAGCCACGAGTACTTCGAGTGTGACACCTGCGGGTAATTTTTCTGCTTCAGCAGCACCAACGACTTCGTCAGCGAGTACAGCAACTCAGGTTGTGTCGACAGGTGGGGCGGAAATGAAGCAATACGCCGGAGGATTGCTAGCTGGGAGTTTGTTCGTTGCTTTGATACTTTAATGTTAATGGAATTAATTGGGTTTGCTTTGAATACACTCCCACTGGTGCTGCCATATTTGAGTTCATTGTCGGTTTTCACAAAACTTCCCCCTTTCTCGCTTATGCTTAAAGTAAGCCGCCAAAACTCGGAAGCAATGCTTACTGGAGCTAATTCGAACGTTATCCATAAGTAGCAGATGTAACACCAGTTGACTGAACGTAGACTACGACCAAACTGCAACAGAGCATCATGAGAAGATCCAAGAGAACAGAAAGGCGGTTCGAAGAGAATGCTTCAGAGGTCTCTTTCGATTTGAACAGAGCGTGAGTTGTAAATTTTGAGCAGATGGAGTGTAAGCAAAGGTGATGCATGGAAGGGATCCTTGTCTCAATGAGAGCAGGACACTGTACAGTTGAACCTCGATATTTCTAGCTGGTGGTAAGAGTCGACAGTAATCCTATGAAGCTCTGCTATCTGCAGAATCTTGGGACAATGAAGGTTTAAAGATAGTAGATCTTCCGCTCCGCTGGCCTCGGCACGACGCGTCAACCTTAATCGAAAATTAAATCTGAGATCTGGTTCGAAATAAACAAATACAACCTCCCCAACAACAACAACAACACACAACCAAGACAATCACGATGGCATATCACAGCCATATACCAGCAATGCTTGCGCGGGCGACTACGGAAGGGAGAGAGGCGCGGTTCACGAACGTCGTCAGAGTCGTGACGAGGAGGGCCACCGCGGACCATCCGGGAAAGGATGAGGAGGAATTCCCGCGATGGACCATCGATCGCAACACATGGGAAAACATGTGTAAGTCTATTCCATCTAGTATCATCGAATACTAACATTTATTATAGGGAAATACGAGCCATTCCCGAGAATGGCAGAGAATCCAGAGGAGCGAACTGCTCTAACACGGAATTCTGCTGTTTCGGCGGCAGGGAATATTTCAGGGGGAGCTGCCGAGCGAGGGACTTCTTTAGGAGGGACTGCTGATCAAGCAACAGGGACCGACTTCTCCAGCAGGTCAGTGTCCGACGTGACCAAAGTCAACAACAGCAACTCTGGAGAAGGGAAAGTTGGCAACACCTCTGCCCGGTTCATCATCGCGGCTCTCACAGCCAGAGAAAATGGCATTGCGGGCCCAAGCAGCACAGCTCCAGCCACCTCTGGCTCTACAACACATCGCCTTGCTGCTGTGCGGAGCCAGCTCCGCGATGTCCTTGGCCAGATAGCAGTATGTCGATCAATATCGATTGTATATTCAATACTAACATGTCACAGGAACGAGAGGCGAAGCCAGGTTCGGATATAGATGCGGAGTTAGATGCTCTCCGTGAGCAGCGGGATCTCCTGCAGCGATCCCAAGTTCTCCTCCAACGAATCGAGAACGCCAGAGCTGAGATGGTTCTGGATGAGGAGGACATTACCCAGCGGGTGCATGTCCCAATGTGAGTCCAGACAATGGTGATGGTGCTGGTGATGGGTATGATACTGGGACGTGAGCAGTCGCTCATGTTCCTCCTCCCCTTCCCGCATGACCTTCTCTCTTGTTCTCCCCGAACTTGTCCTCTTGTCACCTCTTCGTCCTGTTGGACACCATATCCTGATGGATATTATGCTCAGTTGAGCTTGTGCCTAGTTGGGCATTCCATGTGTAGGTCCAAATTGCTCTGTTGAGCCTCATGTCCTGATGGACTTTGCTCCTGGTGACGGAGCGGCTAAGTAGTGCAGCTCATACACATACACAATACAATGCACTCATCCACTCACATCTGCTCTACGTGACCGCTTCAGTTTTCGTGACACGTTTCATTTCTTCTGCTTCCCGTGATGTTAGAGTTAGCTTTGTATCATTTTCCAAGAGCGACCTGAATCTAATCGAGAGGAATTCAAAATCTTCTTTTGACCTTGCAACATATTTACAGTGGACTCCATCTGCTATGGTGAACCCCATATTTTAAGGTGGACTCCATTTGTTATAGTAGTCTCCTTTCATGGTGGTGGTGGACCGGATCTCTCGAGGTAGGCTCCATTTGCCATGGTGGGCTCCATTTGCATGGTGGGCTCCTTTTATGGTGGACCGCATATTTCATGGTAGACCCCATTCACCATGGTGGCCTCCATTCCCATGGTAGGAAGCCATTCACCATGGTAGACTCCACTCCTATCGTGGACCCCATTTACATGGTAGACCCATCCGTTATGGTAGGAGCCATTCGCCATAATGGACCATATTCATGATGGGCGCTATCCATATCCATGATAGCTCTTCATCAAAGTAAAGTCGCAGCTATTCATGGTGGGGGTTATTTATCATGGTAGCCCCTATTCATCATGTTAAGCGAGATCCAGCACTATTCATCGTGGGCGCCATTCTTTGTAAGGAGCACTGTTGAAAAATTATGAGGCTACCTTCTCTTCTCCACGGTCTCTCGAGATTTTGCAACCCCGTCATCCAATCGCAAGTAGAGGAGAGAATCGTGTTCCCATCGCTGGGACATTCAAACAACAACCCCCGTCCTTCCTCTCCTTCCCTCCATGCTCCCTCGACCACCGCAACTCCGCCTCTCTCCCCATCATATTCTCTCCTCCCCCTCCCTCCCCACCTCCTTCTCTGCTGCCTCCCTCCCTCCTGCCTCCTCTCCTCCTTCCTCTCCTCACCCGAGACCGCCATCCCAGACCTCCCAGATCTCCATCCCGCTCCAAGACAAGCGCCAAAACAAAATCCACCAACACCAACACCAACACCATCACCAGCACAACCACGATGTCTCAAAACCACCAGCACAAGCGCCATGTCTCAAGTCTCCATGTACCTATGCGTTGGCCACCGAACGCCACCCGTCCTTCCTTCCTTCCTTCTTCTCAAAGTCTGTCTGTCTGATATTTGTCTAAGATCTCAAGTTGCGCCACTTCTTCAAGTCTCGATCTTAGCGCCAAAGAAAAAGAAAGAGTGTGAAGTTTTGAGTTTTGAGTGTTAAGTGAGATTTTCCCGCAAACCCAGCGTCTTTTCTTCTATGGACTATGGATCAAGGAAACCGAAAAGAAGATAATGAACTTTAGGACTAGATGCCATAAGTATATATTACCAACAAAGAAAACGGGTATCCGAACTCCAACACATTAATAATATCACACTACGCCTCTAATCCTCCCCCCAAAAAGAACAATCTATATACTCTCTCTCCTCTAAACCCGAAAAAGTCTTCTACCTCCCACCAATCCCACCCCACCCCACCTTCCCAATCCCCTCAACCCTCACACCCAGAGAATGCATCACCTCCCCATCAACCACATTCCTCCCATCAAAAACCCACCTCGGTTTCTGCAAATGATAGGCAATCTTCGCCCAATCTAACCTCTCATCCCTCTTCTCGTCTAGAACGACCGTCTTACTCATCTCGCCCTCGCATTTCTCGCAGCCCTCTTCGCACGCTGGTTCGTTCTCGAATCTCTGTAGAGGATCTTGAACACTGTACGCGGAAGCTAGGTATTTCTGCAGGGCGAGGATCTCCGATTCCGTTGGTTCGAGACGTTGGAATGGACGAGGATCCACGGGCGTCTTTTTCGGCTTGACTTGTTTGGGAGGTAGACCGCCGAGTTTGGGTGATGAGTTTGAGGGAGGTGAGGTGCGGAATTGATCGCATTCCGTCATGATCAGTACAGCGTGAGCGTCTGAACATGCTTGATACGCATCAGCGTAGACCTCGATATTGCCTCCATTCTCTTTCAAAACGTGATCTCCAACCAATTTCCGAATCTCGTCTCGAACAACGCTTGGTTCGCAGTATGGATCAAAGACGGATATCTCCCGAGGACAATCTTCGAGGAGCATCTTGATGCATTCCAAGGCGGGAGATTCTCGAGTGTCGTCTGTTGATGGTTTGAATGCGTAGCCGAGAACTGCAAGTTTCTTGCCTACCAAAGTTCCATTCAAACATCTGACCACCCTCCGAACAAACCGTGTTCGTTGCCATTCATTAACAGTCAGGACTTGTGTCCAATATTCTGCTACTTCATCCAATCCCAAAGTCTCAGCGAGATAAACCAAAGATAGGATATCCTTTCTGAAACAAGAACCTCCGAAACCAATTCCAGATTTCAAGAATTTATCTCCAATCCTTGGATCCATACCAATTGATTTCGCAACCTCATCAATATCTCCTCCTGTCTTCTCACAAATTGCAGAAATCGAATTTATCGAGGAAATTCGTTGAGCAAGCATACTGTTTGCGACGAGTTTTGAAAGTTCCGATGACCAGACATTCATCGTCACTATCCTTTCTCTTGGCACCCATGCTGCATAGACGGAAGCCAATATGGCAGCTGCACGATGTCCTGCTGGTGTTGGAGAAGAACCAATAATAACCCGATCAGGAACGAGCAAATCATTGATTGCCGTTCCTGCAGCCAAGAACTCCGGGTTGGAAAGAACCTCGAAGGTTTGGTGGGGACGGTGGACTCGTAGCTGAAAGAGGAAAAGATTAGCTTGGCACTTCAAATGTTTGGGACCTTAGTTTCGAAACGTCAAAACTTACTGTATCTTGAATAATTTCTGCTGTTCGACACGGAACCGTACTCTTCTCCACCAGAACGGCTCCGGGTTTTGCGTGGATGGCAATCTCTCTCGTCACGGCTTCGAGAGCTGTAACGTCCGTTGCTCGACCTCCTCCGATACCACGCATCTTTGTAGGTGTATTGACAGCTATCAGCACAATATCCGCTTCACTGATACTCTTCGAAACTTCCGTCGTGAAGAAAAGGTTTGGTGTTCGTGCCGGAATCGAAATTTCATCTCTGTGCTCTCCGCATTGAGATTCGCATTCCGATTCTGCTGAGCTGGCATTCGACATGCTATCCAAGGAACCAGGCCGTGAAGGTTCGTTATAGAATCCGAATTGTTTCGATCCGTCTCGCGCGATTCTCAAAATGCTGTCTAGACCCGGTTCGAAGATTGGCAGATGTTTCGTCTTCCATTGTGCGATACGTTTGGGATCTCGGTCTACCACTGTCACCTTGATATGAGGGTTTTGGAAAGCCATCACAGCAGCTGTAGGGCCACCTGCAGATTATCAGCAGGTAAGTTGCATCTGCTAAGAGCCTCATACCAACATATCCAGCTCCAACACAGCAGATGTTCTTCACACCGCCATTGTTACTTGATTGCATGGCCGCGTTCAAAGATGTACTACTCTGCTTGCCCCTCCCCGAGGCTGCATCTTCTAGTGCATCTTGAAGCTTCAGAGCTTGAAGAACTGGACTAAAAGAAAAGCTTCCATCTGGAGTCGTTGGGGCAGTGGAGATATCGACGAGGCTATCTTCCGAATCGACCGTCGACGCCGGAAAGGAGGGATGTCTGAGCATATTGGAGTGAAGATTGAATAAGGGAAAGGGAGAAGGGATGTGGCACAAGGTGCGACGAAGGAGGCTGGGAGATGGATCTTTCATCAGTTGAAAATACGTCTCTTTCCGGAGATTCAACTCACCGACCTTTTGGTTTTTGATGGGAGACGTAGATGTACTCACTTCTCAGCCGAGAATAGAACGTGGCGGTAGATTCAGATCACCTCATCTAGTTTCACGCGACAATGGTTGTCTATATCATGGGTACGAGGGTAGAACCAGGAATTGGTGTTGCAGATGATCTTGGGATTTTCCTGGTGAGGGAAACAAGATGGAGGTGGAAGGCTGCAGATGGTGTTGCACACGCGGAGGAATGAGGATGCAGGAGAAAGCAGGAGAGAGCAGGACAGGAGAGGACAAGAAAGTTGTGGGCGTTGGAGAAAATATCCAGATCAGATGCAGCATGCAAGGCAAGGCTCGGAGGGGGAGGCGGCAGTCGCGATTATGGGCAGGCCAGCACCAGATGGACGAATGTGGGTGAGACGAGAGATGTCATCTAACAAGATTTCCATTCAGTCAGAGGAGAATTCAGTGCACTGGACGGCGTCACAAGGCCGTCAGAATCCGAGGATGAAGCCAATGATGGTTGACCATGATGAAGAATTCGGTGGTGAGAGGTGCGACTTTCTTGAGATGGAGCAGGGGACGAGCGAGCCAGGGATGGGGTGTACTGTAGCCAGTGAGAGGCAGTCAAATGGCGCACGTTGGTCAAGGCTGTGGATGATGGGCGAGAGAGGGACAGAGAGAGATGTGCACGCAGTGGGGAGAGACAGTACGAGTAATACCAGTAATCCAGTACCAGTAATATTTAGGTGCAAATGCATAATGATGAGCATAATCTATGAATGGAGGGGCAGAGCTTGGGTGGAGGAGGGATAATTTCCTACAGTAGCTGGCTAGAGGGAGGCTAGAAAACTCACTTAACCTTACCTAGGTTCCCTGTGAAAGGGTCTGCGAACGCCTTCTCTGTCCCTCTTCCACCAATGTCTGAGTCTGAGCTCTCTCGAATATCTGTCGAACATCTTTCACCTCGATATCATCCTTCACTCTCCGATCATGCTCCTCCATTCTCCCTTATCCTGCTCTTCCCCTCCTGTATCGGTCTGCCCTCTTGGGCTATCCATTCCAACAACCATGTCCATCCTGACTCTCCCCTCCTCGCACATCTCAGCCTCGTTCCCAATCCCAATCCCAACCCCACGTGTAGCAATGCGAACCTCTAAATTGATTGGGACAATCACCCGCATTAGCCTTCGACCCAGGTAGAGTCCCCTAGACCAGACCGCCGTCTGCAGCACTCCCGAAGAAGCACGACCACCAATCACGCCGCCCACCTGTCAACAACTGGACGACCCTGAGGATCAATTGTCTTGGTGGGGGGAGGAAAAATGGCCAAAACAATTATTGAGGTCACTCACACAACTCACTCGGGAATGCTGCAAACAAATGCCACTGCCACTGCCACGGTCACTCCCTCACTCATTCACGCCCACCACACGCGTGCACTGGTGACGATGATTCACCGTCGCAGACCTACATCTACATCTAGTAGCCGGCAGCCTGTTGACTCGGGTTGAAAAGGAATACTTTCATGGTCACCTGGAGACATCCTCACTCGCGCCCGTCGAGGATTTATTTTGAGCAGACGCAGGGTCCGATAAAGAGAAGCTTATCGCCGCTATCAGAGAGGGGTTGGTCAACCGTCCCTAGCTAGCTATTATTCGACCGCGCAAAAATGGACTCGAGGTCGGCTCCGAGCAACAAGAAAGATGATGCTGGACTTCCGTTTCCTGAAGCTCTTCGAGGGAAGAGATTATTACTTGCGACCGAATCGTTTGGTCCCGTTAATGGAGTCAGTCGAACAACACTGAATCTTGTCACCTATTTGCGAAGCCAGGGTGTCATCGTAGCTGTTGTCGCGCCAGAGATTTCCACCGGCTCCGACAATAGCCTCACGGTTTCGACATCAGGTACAGACAACGAAATCGAAGTCCGACTTCAAGGATATCCACTACCCTACAATCCCGAATTATCAGTCGTGTATCCCGTCCGATTATCTGCTCTTTACAGACGAACATTCGGCCGAGAACCAGATTTGATCTACCTCGCCAGTCCAGCCTCGCTCGGCTTTCAAATCCTGCTCCAACTTCGCCAACAACAGAAACCCGTCCCAGTCCTGCTTAACTTCCAAACCGACCTTTCAGGTTACTGCGAAATCCTCTTCCCAACTCCGCTCGATGCATGGGCAGTATGGGTCTTCCGCTCCGTGCAAGGCTACCTATTCCGCCATGCCAGCGTCCGCACAGTCTTCTATCCCTCCCTGTTCGTGCGAAAGTACCTCGAAAAAGCAAAAGTGCAAGGAGACAAGATGCTCAATCTCCGCCGCGGAGTGAACTGCGAACAATTCCACCCCGCTAAACGATCTGAGGAAATGCGCAAGAAGCTCGCACCAAATGGCGAATTGATCCTCGTTTCCGTCTCGCGCCTTGCGCCAGAGAAAGGCTTCGAGTTCCTAGCTCAGGTTGCGAAGAAACTTGACACGATGGGATTCCCATTCAAGTTGTTGATTGTGGGAGGGAATAAGAATCCGCAGGTTATACAGGATATCCACGATTATTTCGGGGATTTGAATGAGAAAGGTACTGTTCAATTTACGGGACAATTGAAGGGAGAAGAACTCGCAAAGGCGTATGCGGTTGGCGATGTCTTTCTGCACTGCTCCATCACCGAGACGTTCGGGTTAGTGGTCCTCGAATCGATGGCCAGCGGAGTCCCAGTCATCGCTCGCGACGAAGGCGGACCCAGCGAGATTGTCGCAGATGGGAAATCCGGGTATCTCGTTGCGCCCACAGCACTCGATACGTTCGTCGAGAAGATTGTCAAGTTAGGAAACGATACTGCATTGAGAGAAGAAATGGGTCTCGAGAGCCGCAAGATGGCAGAAGAAGCCACATGGGAGAAGATCAACAACCGCGTAGCCTGGAAACTAGCCGAAGCGCTGCAACCCGCTCCAGCTACCCCTACCCCGGCACAGACCTCACCACCGCCCGCCGCGGGAGCGAGCAACGGTGCGCAAGCGGCGGCGGTGATCCCGGGGCTCTCGATCCCGATTTATAGCTGGTTGTTGATGAGTCCTGAGCTGAGGACTTTTCTGGGGGCGTTGATTGTGGATGCGCGGTTGGTGGGCGGGCTGGGGATTATTATTGGGGTTTGGGGTGGGTTAGTTGTTACGTGGATTTTGGTGCAGTTGGCGCTGTTTTTGAGGATGAGGGCGCCGTGGTTGAGGGAGGTTGTTGGGGTGTAGAGGGGGAGGGAGATGGAGAGGGAGGGAATAGAGTGATAGAGTAGATTTTGATATTGTTAATATACCCATTTTTATTGCATTGGATCACTTGATGTATGAAGAAACTTCATGCTGGCGTATTTGGACTTGTGAGGGCGAGTGAACTCAAAGTTGCAGTTGAACAGGATCAGTGATATCCAATGCAGACTTCCGAATTTCTCAACTACACAACCTGAATGTCAAAGCTCCTAGGCTCCAATCCTCTTCGTAGCAAATAATGAATGAAAACTTTTGACCAAAGAGAGAGGGGGAGGAACCAAACAATTCTGTAAGAAGAAAAGAGTATACCACTGTACATCCTCTGCCCACTTCCAAATTTGGTCCTTCACTTACTTGATTTCTACCTCAATCAATGATTCAGGAGCAACAAGGGATGGACAGAACCTTCACTCTGTAGCAAATGAGAAATACAAACTGAATCATCTGCGTAAACATTCTGCTGAGCTCCAACTTTGGGCCTTCACTCGAGTACGTTCTGCCTCATCTAGTAGTTCAAGAGAAACGAAAGATAGATACTGCATCGCTGTCTCTGCCCTGCTGGAAACGAAGAAGCTGTGAATGAAGCGAACTTATACTCACCACCTCCTCTCCGCACACCACGCACCATTGACGCAACACACCCACAATGCAAACAACGACGCCGATGGAAAAGCTTGGTTGTTTACAAAGATAGATCTCCAAGTCGACGGTTGTTTCAAACCTATTCGCATAAGCTGCTGCTGCTCAGCCACTTTCTCGGGATTGGCTGGAGAAGCGGGGAGGGGACGGGCGGAGAAGATGACGAATATGGCTGGGTCCGGCCGTGTGTCCTTCATTTTCGGGTATGAGATCGGATGATGAGAAGGCTTGCTTGCTTGTTCCGGGAGGTTTGCGGTTGGGTGGGGGTTTGATGCCACGCGGTGCTTGACCGGAGTCGTGGAGCTATAGTTGTGGTTATCGGATTAAGTGCATGGTGTTGAGGTAGCAGGAGTTTGAGTCGACGACCGTTGTCGTGATAGACAAATGAGGGGACTGAATACTTGATGTGATAAGACGTAACTTCCGGGCTAGGAAGCTTGTTTGAAGTTTAGATGAAGGGAAGATAAGAATAGAATGTGCAGATAAATGGACAAGCTTTCGAAACGATGCTTTTCTGGGCAGGGTGAAGATATAATTTGCAAATAAACAGACAAGCTTTTGAAACTATATCTGTCTTGGCTGAAGATATCATTCACTAATAAACAGACAAGCTTTTGAAACGGTGATCTTCTGCACTGGGTGAAGATATAATTCTATTTTAGCAGTGTTCGTCCGTGAGCATAATAAGGTTGTGGTCTGGACTTAATATGATGCTGGGTTGACTTTGTGGTGGTGGGAATGATGAGATACCTCACTCCATCTGCTACCTATGTGGCAATGAGAGAAAATGCATTGTAGCCTCAACGTTCCAATTCCGTCTTTCTGTGTGGCAATGAGACACAAAGGATCTGTAGCCTCACTTGTGGCCATATAACCTTCCTCCGTGGCAAACGAGGCGGAAGGATTTATAGCCTCGTTGATGACGCAAATGAGGCAAAGGATTTGTAGAACAGACGAACTTGCCTTCTTCAATGCAACACAACCACATGGTGGCCACGATAACATTTTCCCCACTATTGCTACAAGGAATCCTCCCTTGCCACAAATCCTCCTGCCACAATGTCTCAGTGACATCCCACGGCAGCACTAACTAGGATACAAAGCTTGTCAAACATGAGATGATAGATCTGTACGCCACAGGAGCAAAGAACAATTTCCACTGACAGCAAACAAACTCTGATAGACGTTTCAAATCCAAGTCAACGCGGGGGACTGGGGAATAGTATGACTTCTCGACCGTTCTATTCGGTATTTACACACGGATCAAGTTAATCCATGACCGAAATGTAAAATTAGAGACATACCACGCGAGTTCATCAACACAGGGCTGGTCCCGTAAAAAAATAGAGGCTACTCGAACCTGTCCTAGAGTCGATCAGGGACGACGTCGTTTCATCATAGTGACTCTAGCGAGAATTGAGCTATCTCCGAAATTTCCATTATGCTTGCCAAGAATAGGAACACAAGAGAAAGGGAGAGTGGACAGATGATGTGAATGCGTATCGCATGAGAAGTACTGTAATGAGAAGAGAGACCCATCGCAGGTGGATGATATTCGTCATGAGCCTCAATATTTTGGACTTTCTCAGGTGACGTGCTCAGCGCTTCTGGACATGAGGACGAACAATAGTGGCTCATGACTTGCGGCTGTCGTCCCTATCGTGGCGCCTCGAGAAATTGAATAAGCGCATCCGTCGATGTCACTGGACACGAACGAGATCGGTGGCGATGATCTCAATAGGATTATTAGGATTTCTTGGGATTTTCTGGATGACTACGCGGTCGCATCGTGAGGTGAGGTTCCTTCGGCGGCTCCCCATCTCTGCCTGTCCACTGGCTCGCTTGGTGGTGGCCTTAGGCTTCGCAGTCTCGCATAATCCCTGGCGCGCAAACTTGATACGCTCTGAGCTTCACTCTCCGACCAAGCTTGTTTGAACGCTCCTCCATCAACTCCGTGCGCTCCCATCGCCACACTCTTCTTCACCACTTCCTACACTTCAGCGACAGACCCTGCCTCATAGCCAAGACCACGTAACTCTGTCCCCATCCACTCTCCGTGCTTCCACCTCTCACGGAGCTTACAGCCGTTTAGAGTTGCCACCCCTTCCCTACCTGCCAGAGCCGTGCGGTGGATCTAGTCGAAGCTTGGCTCGACATCCCATACCCCATCACCAGGATGGACGACGATGTTGCTGTCTCAAGGACCCATCCAGCTCGGTTTCACTCATGCCCTTTCGCCTTCTCACTCGTCAATTTCTCTACAATGGGTAACCTAGGTGGAGTTGGGCTCGTGCTTCTTCCTGATTCGGCCTCATGATCCGACATCCTCTGTCACGAAGTTCGCCTGGGTCAGGCCAGGTCTGTCTTGACCCGTATCAGACCTCGAGCACTTCGTTTCTCCCTGTCTGGAAAAGCACAGCCATCACACCATGAAGGAGTTTGAAGGCGGCGTGATCTCCTCTTGTGTACGAATCTCAATGACTGCATGAGATATCCCTCTCGTACGAAACTTCTTTTTGGGCTGGTTCGCCGAATCCTACCTGTGGATATCTATTCTTACTTTCGTTCTTATTCTTCCACCCTTTCTAATCACCGCCAAACAAAACATTATCTGAGTACCTTTCCCATTTGACTTTTGGGCAGGCCCCTTCCAAACTCTTACCTTCTCTTCTACGCCCGGTCTTTGCTCTTTCCCTTCTGTTTGGACTTTGCCATCGAGGCAGGCACGATATACATTCATTCATTCTATCAACCGCAGGACGGAATCCTAATAATCAACATTCACCATCACGATGTTGGCGCTTACTTCTTTTCTATTTCTTGGTCAGGTCTCGGCGGGTGTTCTCAATGCAGCACATGTGGTTAGGAGGAGCGAATCGATGGAGGAGAGCATGAGGAGATATGTGGACTCGATCATCGAACCGTTGGAGCGGAGGCAAGCATCACCGACGGTACCATCGACTGGAATCAATGTGACGGAATGGGATGCGCAGACACAAGCTGCTTGCACGACTTCGTTGGAGGCATTGAATGGTGTATCGAACAACCCTTCAGGAATGGCTGTATGCTACAATCTGCCGTATTTGGACAACAGCACTGGAGTTTTCGAGGCCGATCTGCGATTGTACATGATCGCTGCACCAACCGGAGACTTCGTCAACATCGCAAGCTCGAATGTACAGGTTGGATTGTCATACAATGGAGCGACAGTATCAACAGTCAATGCGTCATCATTGAAGAGGAGATCCGATGCAACATCGTTGATCTCTTGGCCAAGGGCTGTGGAGGTTGTAAAGAGAGCGACTGTACCAACTTTGGTTCAATCATATGCTTTCGTTGGACAAATTAACCAGAATCTTTTGACCACCAACATGGGAACGTAAGTACATTAACCCTGTGTTGATCATGACTGACCCTTCTAGTGCTGCCCTTCAAAAGGTTCTCGTCCCAACTGTTACCCTCACTGGAACCGATTCGACTGGCGCTCAAGTCAATACCTCCCTCTCCTCCGATGAAGCGACTTTCGTATCGGGCGTTTTCGCAGAGCAAGCTACCACTACCGTCACAAAGGCTGCAGTTGACCCACCAATTCAAACCCTTGTTGTCGCATCCGATGCACCATTTGTGGTCCCAGGTCTCAACATCTTGATCATTCCTATTGGATTGATCATCACAAGCATCTGGACCGTTCTTTTCGTCGCAACTATCGCATATGGAACTGTTGGACGAATGCAATTCAGGGAACAATACCGAAGACGATCAGCCAGAGCTGAGAAGGGTGATGTGCCACGCATCTAAATGGTTGGAAGTTGGATTAGAGGATGGAATGGCACGAACAGAACGACTTCATTTCATTATACCATATAGAATTATTTGTCATAATGCTTGACTGGATTGGCATCAGGAGACATTCAAGGGCAGGACTGGGTTGTATTTAGTTATTGGGAAGAAGAGGGGAGGATGAAGAGTTAGATTTTTGCTCTCCTTGATGGAGTCTTGATGTATATCCAATTCAAAACTCTATCAAAAACTTGTCCACTGTATGGGAGATAAAAGTGTCGTCTGGGATCTAAGACATCCTGGTAATGTCCACGATGACGCTACAAGTCTCACCTCAACGTCCTCAGTGTCTTGCAACATTGAATAATGTATTGTTGTCCAAATGCCAACTTCTTCTCAATTTCTTCTCCACCTCCATTCCACCGCCAACGATCAACTCCCCAAATCGTTTGTCGCCGTAGAAACAAGTCCTGATTTCACTTTACCGAGATTTGAAGCATATAATCCCACATATAGACCACGATCTCGTTTCTTGGCTCACTGACGTTTCGCGTATCGGGGATCTAAACGCCATTTTCTCAGCCCCTCACCGACGTCTTTCCCACAACAAAAAACGACAACGCATCATTCGAATTGGAGTATATCTGATCATAGCTGTCCTATATGCGATATACTTTCTTTTTGCTGCCTCTGATGGGATTTGATAGGTGAGAGATGCAGGTTGAGTAGTTTTTCGCAAGCATAATGCCGTGGCCACGGTTGAAACGGATGCCATCATGCGCAGGCCGGAACGAAGCACGATTGGTTTGAGCGAATGAGCAGGTCGAAGGACATATGCGAGGCTATCATGGGTCATCCTGAGAGCGGACGGTGAGTATGTTGTCGTCATTATGTTGTGTTGTTCGGTCTTTTCTTCCTTTCATCCTCGTTCGTCTGAACTCTCTTTTTCTCTCGGTCTGGTTACTGTGTTGTTGAAAGTGGGATTCTGTTTGTTTTGAAGGAAGGGTGGTTTGTATAAGGTCTGCCAGGACATTGGGATAAACAGCAGAAGCATTGAGAATGGAAAATCCACATTCAGCAGTCGCGGACTTGGTCACGAAACTTCATGCCAATATCGATAGTATCCATGCTTGCATCAATTCTCTTTCCGATACTTCATCTCACGATGCGGAACTCGAACGTCTGGAGGTCGAGAGGGAAGAGAAGATAAAGGAATTGAGGAAGGCGCATGAGGATGCTGTGAAGGCGTTGGCAGATCAGAGACAGGAAGAGAAAGAGGAGTTGGAGGCGAAGAGGAAGAAAGAAGCGGAAGAATTGGAGGAACAGAGAAGGAGAGAGTATGAGGAGTTGATGGCGAGACGGAAGAAGGAGGATGAAGAACGAGCAGCGAAACTTGAGGCTGAAGAAGCTGAGAGGGAACGGATAAAGAAGGAGGAAGACGACAAGAGGGAACAAGAGAAGGAAGACACTGAGAGGACTCTACAAGAAAAGGTCGAGAAGGAGCTCGAAGCCTTGGAAGATGAGATGGAACGTAAGGTTGAGGAAGGGAAGAAAGCTCTGAGAGATCTGGACGAGAAAAGAAAGGCGATTAATGCTCAGATCGATGCTGCCCTTAATACACCGACTGTCATTCCCACGATACATTTCAGAAGCAGGGCGAAGACTTTGAGTCGGGCGAAGGAGCCGGTTAGTGAAAATTTTCCTACTAAGGATGTTGGAGAGACACCTGCGAATGGAACGTCTGACGCTTCCCAATCAAGAAGGGTAGCTGCTGAGAAGCCTGCCGAGAGCAAGGAATTGCCGATTAAGGAAGAGAAGCAGGATGAAGTGCCCAGAGACAATACTGAGGCCAAGGATAAGAAGATGCAGCCTGTCGAAGCTGCTGGGAATGCCCCAGTTGAGGAACCTTCAAAGTCTGGTGAAAATGTCCCGCCACCTGGTTCTGAGCAACAAACTTCCAAAGAACCTGAGACGAATGCTGTTGAAGAATCAAAGGATCCAGAGGCCCATGCTGCTGCCCTTCCTGATCAGCAAGAAAACCCTACTATTACTGAAGGAGTTGAAGAGATGGCGCAGCCCAAGTCAACAAATTCTCCAATTCCCAACACCACTGAGCACGAAGACAAAGATCAGCCTGCTCAATCTGAAGCCACCAAGAACGAAGAGCCAGAGCGTACGGAAGAGCCACCTACTGGGAAAGAGATCGAGGCAGATACTCCATTTTTGGACAAGAGGTCCGACCAGGTACAGGACCAAGAGCATGATGAATCGCCCAAGGACATTGCTTCAACACAGGAACAAGTGTCGAAAGATGGACCAGTCTCGGATAGAGAACCTTCTCGCGAGGAAGGGAATCATGATGCCCCAACTGATCAATATGCAGAACCCGATGAAATGAAGGATCATGTGCCATCAGAACAGCTTTTTGAGCAACCAGAGCATTCCGAGCTCCAGGATTCCAATGGGAAGCCGGCCGAAGACCAGGATGCAGGAGAAGAGCAGCCAAGCTCTCTCACTCAAGACAAAACTGTTGAACCTCCCTCCCTTCCTAATTCCGAGCAAGCAAAAGATACAGAGGGCTCTACACATCCCGAAACCACACAAGCTGTCCACGAGCCAAGCCCAGCTGAGACCCCTGAATCTCACGGAGAACCATCAGGACATTCAGAGACTCCAGCAGCCACAATCCACGAGACCCCAGAATCCGAGGGGGACATGACCCCAGAAGAAACGGTAGCTCAACCAGAATCCTCCAGAGACGGGAATTCTGGCGCTGATGTAGCTCCCACAGTGCCAGGAACCGGACTGCAGGATGTGCAATCAGATCGAGGCGAGGACAAGGATGTTCGGGATCCTGTTGGACAATTTCCTGGTCCGGACGAACATGAGGCTTCAATGAGTGAGGGAAAGCCAAGTGAAGATCTGTCTTCACAGCCGGTGGAAGAGAACTCTCAAGTTTCTGACAAACAACATCTTGAGAAGGCTGGTGATGAGATGACTGCTGAGTCCCCTGAAGAACCAACGTTTTTGCCAGAGGAGCATGCCGCGGAAAAAGAGGAGAGTCCTTCGGCTCTGCCATCTGATTCGCATGGCGAGGAAGAACACCCTTGCCGTTCAGAAAGCGTTGATCCATCTCATAGACAAGTGGAGCATACATCTGAAGATATTCCTGTTCAAGCTTCCGATGAGCCAAAACACATCGAAGATCATCAGGATAATGATGGTCAAAACGAAGGTTCATCAAAGCCTCGCGACCAAACTGATGAGAAAGACGGCACGCCAACTTCACAGATTGAGCCAGCTAATGAATCAACGGAACCTGGCCACCAGAAGGATCTAGTCGAAGATGACAATGCCCCGGAAATGCCTGAGGTTGCAGCAAGCCAACAGCATGACGATGAACCCCCAAAACCAACAGAAAGTCATGATGACCATACTGCTGAAGTGCACGAATCATCCAATACTCTGAGTCCCCCCTCTGGAGAACACGAAAGTCACCCATCTGGGATGGCTACACCTGAACCTCCACGAGAGGGTTTGGGAGAAGCTACCAGCACCTTAGCTGTTGTTCCAGAAACTCCAACTTCTAGTCATTTTGCTCCTGAGTCTCAATCAGTCGAATCTGCACACGATGAAGAGCCAAGTGGGTCTGGAGACCATGTCGAAACTTCTGATGCTGAACGAGGGAATGAGAGCCACGGTGCTGATTTGGCTAAAGAGGCAGAATCCGACGAACATACTGATCATGGAGAGTTGAATGCCAAGGCTGAAGGGCAGTCGTCTAATTTAGCACTGGGAAATCCTCCCGAGTCTCTGGGTCAGGAGAAGGATGACGGTTTGGCCAGGAACGCTTCAGAATCTGGCTCAGCTCAGAATGATCCAGCCCATGACGATCATCAAGCAGGCGAGCATGTTTCCAAGAACAGTCCAGTTCAAGAACATGAAGAGAGTCACATTGAAGAGCCTCATGGAACTACAATGGAACCAGAATCCAAGCATGAAGAATCTCCACCAGACTCACAAGAGACCACATATCAACCTGCTTCTCACGTCGTTGAACCCGAAACTCAAACACGAGGCCTCAGCGCTGACGGAACTCCAATGGAGACGCCAATGTCAAGCGATGAGTTCTTCACTCCAATGGTAGAAGGGACAAGGGACGATGAAGCCTCGCAATATCCTTTTCAATCCAGAAGTCAAGAACCAACACCGACTTTCCCCAAGCCCATGACACACGGCGAAGACTCAGAAGCAGCTCTTCCTCAATCGGTCGGTGTCATGCAACATCCAGAACCGGAAACGAAAGACGATCCATTATCCGTTGATCCTGTGTCGCATACCATTGTACCACAGCATATCATCGAAGCATTAGATGACGCTGGTGTTGACACAGCACCTAGCACAGAAGCTCAAGACAATTCGACGGAGCTTCATGACAACGAACCTCGTCAAGAAAGCGAAGATCAAAAAGACAACCCCCATATCCACGAACCAGTCGATACCTCGGGGACTTTTGCTGATCACCAGGATGTCTCGCAGCCCATGACAGCTACCTCTTCCCGTGCAGATACATGGGTATCCGCTGAGGAAGAACAGGGTGCTGAATTGGGACACGATCAACAAGGAGAAAGACCAGATGCTCCATCAAATAATAATGGGCTCTCCATCTACGCTCAAGATCAAGATCCAGACCACGAGAAACCTATACCAAGTCCTCTCGGCCTTGGAGCTGCGACTATGCATCACTCCAGAGAGGTTGACCGAGAATCAACTCCCCCAAACACTCAAGTTCCAGTCGACACCACTCATGAGGATGAACATCAACGAGCTCTCAATAACGTTGCAACTGAACCAGGTTTCACTCCACTGGAACGTCCTGAGCCCAGACTAGATGAGTATACTCGACCTAGAACGCCAATCCAAGCCCCACACTTTTCTGAGCGCCATGCCGAGTCTCCAGTTACTGTCTTGAATGCAGACAATCTATTCGATGATGATTCTGATGACGACGACGACTCTTTTCCGCTTGGCCAGTATCAAGATACATCACCAGCAAAGTCTAGCGAGCCAGAAGAGCCTATAAATACTGATGATATAGCTGAACAGTACTTGGATGAGTCGAATCTTGACCCCGTTCCTGAACATGAGCCGATACATCGATTTAGCGAGAGTCCACATAGAAATCCAGGTCTCTTTGCCAATGTCGTTGATACCATCAGATCAGATCTTCCTCTCGTAAGGCAGATGAGTGACGAGGAAGCACAACATCCCCAAGCTTCTAGACCGCAATCTGTTTCATTTGATGAATCAGCTGGGCCATTCGATTATGCTCAGCGAGATAACTCTCTTCATGTTCGAACACATACAGCAGATACAGTGCCATCATTCGAATCCTATGCTCACTCAGATACACCAACATCTCCATCTGAAGCAGCATCTTCTCCTTTCCAAGAAACTCCTCATGAAGAACCTCGAATTCAATCTTCATGGCATGATGATGTTCCTGCGGATGACCAACATCAGGAATTAAAACCTCAAGCTTCTCCCCTACAAGCTGACTTTGACCCTTTCAATTCGACGGCCAATCCAAACTATATTTCACCACAGCTTAGTCAATCAAACTTGCATGCAGAATATAATCCATCGGGATACTCAGGAGGAGTTGATGCTCCAAGGTCTCCTATCGGTGTTCAAAATTCTCCAAGTCCATCACCAAGACTTCCAACATTGAACACGGATGCATCTCAATTCTCAGAAGGGCGGCCATACGACTCTCCAGTCTCAGCAACACATTCAGTTCGCGAGGATTCTTCATCTCCGCCGCCTTCTTCTCTTGCTAGACGACCCACAACTGGCCCCAAAATCCCCAGCAGCCGTACACCAGTGAGCTCGCCCTCAATTCCAAGCAATAGCTTCTTCCAGAAGACTCGATCTCTCTTTGAATCAGGCGTAGCTCAACAGGCTCCAAACCCACCAGCTGCTAGACCATTGTCAGGATTCTTCTCTGTTGGTAAATCCACACCTCCGCCACCACCACGCACCTCTCGCCCATCATCACTTGATCGAGCCGAGTACAACGAAGAAGAAGACGGTGAGCCCATAGTCCCTCGAAGTCTCGACGGCGACGGACGACCCCCCTCACCAGTCTTCATCCCATCCTCATCCCCCGCCCGCTCATCCAACAACTCTCGCTCCGGCTCCATCTCCTCACTCCGCAAATCCATCTCCCGTGACGAAGAAGATTTCAACAGTGTCACCAAAAGAGCGAGCAATCCTTTTTTGGGTGGACTTTCCAGACTAGTCGAGGTAGGCTCGGGTGGTCTTGAAGATAGTATTTATAATCCCGAAAGGGCGAAACTTTTGGGAAAGGATGTCGGGGCGGAGCAGCAGCAGCGTTAACGGAGTTCGGACCTGCTCCGCCCAATGGTAGGACGTTGAGGAGGAGTGTTAAGGGGAGGAAAGTTAGGAGGGTGAGGAAGCCGGGGTTTGAGAGTTCGCTTGAGAGAATCGAGGAGGGCAACGAGGAGGAGGAGATGGTCGTGGAGAGAGCGGAGAAGGTCGAGAAAGTGGTGACGAAAGTTTCGAATGTTATTCGCGTTGGTTTTGATCGCAGTGCTTGGAAGTTGGACGATGTACCTGTTGGACCTACAAAAGTTACGAATATTGTTCGAGTTGGGTTTGATGAAACTGCTTGGAAATTGGAACCGAATGATTGGAAAGCGACTGCAAAGGGTGACGCGAGAGATGCTTGGCTTTGGGTTGAAGGGTGGAGAGCGAGATTGAGAGCTGGTGGAGATTTGGTTGAGAAATGTAAATATGGATATGAAGGGTGATATACGATAGATACACGATGCATAGGAGTACGGAGCATAGCGTTGGAATTGAATAGTTGGCACTTGCCGGAAAACTTTGCTTGTTAGATTGTGAGTGGGTTTCATTGAAAATATCTAGGAAATAAAACGATGTATCAGAGCGGCAGGAGGTTTGTAATTGGCCTAGATATCTAGGTAAGTAGGAACACCTCACAATTGTCACAGAGAAAGGATGGGGATGCCAAGGATATCCATTTACTAGCTATATAACATCCATAACAATCCATAAAGTGTCTCCCATAAGACAAACATGATGATGTCTCCCGTAAGACATCGTTGCATGAGATCCCGTAATCTCATGTCATAGGCGTTGGGTCAAGAGAGAGATCACCCGTATGATCAGTCTCGATGGAAAGAAATAGCACGTACTATATCTTTGCATGACCAGCGCAGAAAAGAAAAGCCTGCCCGTGCAGTGCGTTACTCACTTCTCCTCAGGAACATCAGCCTTCGCAGGAGCTGATGACTCCGTGGACTTGTCATCAGTCTCCGCACGACTGCTGCTGTCTCCTTCCTCCACGATCTCTTCCTCCTCTGTCTCCGCATCCTCAGAAGCTGGGTCAATCTTCAATTGAGCCAAGCTGTCTTCTACCTCATCTCCAGATTGAGTAGGAGGAGCGGCAGGATCGGCGATTGATTGTGATTGCTGTGTGGCGGGCCGAGGAGCAGCTTGTCTGTGTGTATCTCGAGGCATATCCGGATTGTCTTGCCAGTATTGCTCGTATGCCTTGTCGACAGTACTATCATCGACCCTATCTGGGAACCTCAACTTCTCGACGATGATTTCTAGATTTGAAACGTTTCGTCGGAGCTGTTCATAACCCAATGCAAATGCGCCTTCAAGAAGCACGCCATTCTTCGCCATCCTGTCGACCACCTAAGCGATCATGTCAGCAGATGATACCAATACAAACGTTCCGAATTGCAAATGATCTATGCGGTACATACCTCGAAGTTTTGACGAGCGGTCTTAAGCTCCTCCATCTTGTCCTGGCCCAATTTCCAGAGTCTACGTTCCTCAATTTCACCAGCCTAGAGACCAGCATATTGATTGCGCTGTTCTTCGGTCAAGGGCTAGAGATTCTCTGGGTTATATGCCTCGTGGTGAGTCTTAAGGCCACCGCGTGGCTTTTGACTCGGAGTTGGCTTCTGTGTTGCGGCCTGTGGTTGCGGTCTGGAGATCTCATCCTTGGTCAGTAGCAAGGGAGCGCCACCGACCGCGTTCTTGCGCGAGCGTAGTCTCGATAGATCTCTGCTGACCTCTGGTTCGAGAGGTCGTCGCTGTCTGATTTCCAAAGGGGCCTGAACTAATGGCCTAGAAACCCTTGGAAAGGTTTCACGCTCGACAAAACCCTCCCAAGTAACAAGATACTCCTTGATGCTTGGTGACTTGGCTGTGACTTGTCCGCTCGAGCGATGCTCTCTCTGTCTCTCGACCTCATCGGCCCATGACTGCAAAACGAAGAAGCATTGGTCAAGAGGCTTTCTCACACTTGCCACCTTGTCGCTGTCTCTTTATCAGATGACAGCTAAGAGTGTCACGGAAATCGGATGGGCAGTAAAGAATGTATTGATAAGTCTAAAGAGCTGAAGTCCAGCAGCCAGAGGAGGATATAAGTGAGTGTTGACCGCTAGAACTAAAAGCCCCTGAACTAAGCCTAAAACAGCGCATAAAAGTGGATACTCTAGCATTCCAACTGACACTCTTCTCTTACTCTTATCCTCAGGCCAGATGACGATGTAATTATCTCTCATGCTTTGTTGATTGGGAAGCCTGAGGTTGAAGTCTTCTTCAACGGGCTTTACATACTCTCCTTTGACAGCACAGAATAGCTGGAATGAGTCGTACTCGTCTGTCATGAAAATTGACCAGTAGAGCCAAGAACCAGCATCTGTCCTATAAAGAGGAGCTCGATTGTCCCCTGAAGCTGCAGCTGCCTGTGTGGGAGGCTGTGGTTGCTGAGATGGGGCTGGCGCGGAATATGGCGAGGCGGCCAACCCTCCATTCGTCGCAGTAACGAATCTCTCGTGCTGTTGAGCTTGACCAATTTGAGTAGGTCGAGCTTGTTGAGGCTGTGGTTGGGGTTGAGTCTGCTGTGGGAGTTGCTGTTATATCGTAATGCTTTGGGTCAAGAGAGAGGTCCCCTTCCTGGATCGTCACGAAAATTGACCAGTGGGTTCAGTCCTCGTCTTCTACTTTGATGGCTGTTTGACGATCTTCCGAAATGTCTTCTTGATTTGGTGCTGTAGACGGCGGCAAGGGTGTGGGAGGCTGTGGAATGTTCTGTTGAGGTTCTGACAAGCCTGGAGAAGAGTTAGTCAAGACCTTCACGCCGCATTGAGTCAATTACCTTGCCTATAAGCTCTCACTAGGTCCTCGTACTGTCGGACTCTCTGTCGATACTCCCTATATCTCTGCCTGAGATCGGCAGGTAGCTCAATATCACTGTTTGTGTAAGTAGAATTCTATCAAAATTAATAAAGAGACGTACTCGCGCCACACAATTGGCTGAAATCTAACATCGAAGATTTCAGGAAATTTTGCAGCTGTGAACATCCTGTCTGCGCGTGATGTACCTAGATACGGGTTAGCCATGTGCGCTCGCGATCGATATCAAAAGACCTATCGACTTACCAAGAAACCTGCGCGCAGTCATGCGGAAAGATTTCTGCAATACTTCTACTTCTCCACAACCTGGTTGATCATTTCTCATCCATGGGATCGAATCATCGAAAAATTCCAACATGCTGTTGAACTGTGATCGGGAACCTTGTACCCACTCCTCGAAATAGTCGCGGAAGTATCTATCTAGCCATCGTAAGACCGCCCTCTCTGTAAACTCGAACGGTCTAGGAGGGATTGGTGGTTTGCCGGAGTTTCCTGACATGTTGGGGGAATGGTGGTGGTTGTTTGTTGTTTTTAGAAGAAGGATTGTAGGGGGGAAAAAATTCTTTTATGCACAGATTGCGCGCTAACGATCAAAGCTATAACTCTTTAGGATCTAGTCTCTAGTTTCTTATCGATTTGGAAGGTATTTAGTCTTGTCTAAGGCTCAAGCAGATTTCCTTAGCTTGCCAGGTATCAAAAGCCAATCATTCTGAGAACACATGTTGAACGCGATCTTTGTAGCGCTTGAAATCCAATCATTGAAAAGCTTAAAAGGTACCTATTTCATGCCGGAGATTGTGGGTACGTGGGTAATTGACATTCTAGTCTATTGACATTTAAAGGAACAAAAACGAATATCACCACAACTAATCACAGACTTGCGGGCAATAGAAGCTTCATTATTTAGTTACATCACTAAGTCATTACCTTCTTCGAGGCTTGTCCTTGCCAAGCGTCCCCCAAAATCGAATATGCCACTTCTCTCTTGATCCTGAGACAATACACTCCTACACTCAGACTTTAAGAGGACCTCGAATCGGTTCCGCAACACTTGGCTCTTGTCCACATTCCACCATAAATACCCAGACTTCAAGCCACTCCTTGATTGTTGGTGCCTGAGCTGACATGTCTCCCGCCTTCTTGCTCTCTCTTCGTTGAATGACTTCGTCCGCCCAGCTTTGTAGGAATCGATAGCACTTGTCGACCCAAGGTCGAATCTCTTCGGAAGAATTACCAGTCTTCTCGAACTCCTCAGGCCAGATGGTCATGCAATTATTGCCTTTAACTGTGCTCCTGATTCTCAAACCGAACCAATCTTCAACCACCTTGACGTATTCTCCTCTACCGAAACCGTAAAGTAGTCTGTATGTCCTTGGATGGTGCGGTAAGGTGACAGACCAATACGGCCGATGCTCATCGTCTTGACCATATAGTGGGCGTCTAGAAAGTTGCAAGGTATGCGACTGATGTGCACGAGGTTCTTGTGGGTGGAAGTGTGGTTGATATTGCTCTGTGCTTGCCGCGAGTGGAACAATGCTATTCGCTTCATTAATATATACCGATCAATGTGAAGCCAGAAAGCTTACTTGGGCCGCTTCTTATGGGACTGCATTCTCATGATTGCTTTCGTGGATGTTGTTGTTGTAGGGATCGGTTGTGGAGGCTGATTGTCCGCGGAAGAAGAAATTGGAGAAGTTCTTATCGCGATGGATCACGGTCAACAGATTGTTGCGCATTTGAACTAGCTCAATGACGAATGCCTTGCAGATTTAGGTCTGAAGCTGAGTATCATCGTTTGTCGCCGCGTTGTGGTATCAAAGTACTTGAAGATTTGGCTTGAAAGCTCGGCAAATTGAAGTGTTTTGAGCACAACAGCTAGTAATCACGAGACGAGCTTCTAAGCATGGCGGCAGTTGACTGATTAGGTTTTCAGCAAAGGGGATGTATCAGTGTTTCGTGATCAAGCTAAGAGGTCTCTCGGCGGCCCATTTCCTAAGTCTCACTCTTGTTTTCACTTGATGCATACTACAGATCCACAACCATACTCTGAGGGAAAATGACTCTATTCTACAAGCTGGCTACAAGTTATAACTTGACTATCTGGGTTAACTAAAAGTAGTCGAGACGTCCATCTAGCCAAACGTTCTGTGTTCAAAGCCACCTTTAGTCACTGGCAAAAACACCACAAAACGGTTCTAGCTTCAACGACGCCTAGGCCTCTTTGATTCTCCGGGTCTCGGCTTCTCGTTTTCGGGCACTGAAAGCTGTGTAATGAATTGGTCAATGTAATTACTGAGCTATGGAGAACTACTTACCATAGAATTGACCTCCGAATTCGACTGTCTGGCTTCCTCAAACATATTTCGCACCCATGTTTCTTCAGATGAGCTTCTGCGTGGTCTCTTAGAGATTGCATTCGAGCCCGACTCACTACTCTGCTCTGTCATAACGCCTGACTCAGAGCCTTTTCGTGGCGTGCTTAGACTAGAAGTTGGGACTATGGTATCGAAGGGGTTCGGGAGATGATCCGGCTCCGGGCGGTCAGTTTGATGGTCCTTCCAAAATCTGCCATTGGAGGAGGCATTTCGACTGGCATCAGGTGCTATATCGAGATCGGTGCTTATCAGCTTTCTGTTGGCCCCTCGGCCATTCTGAAGGCTCGTACGCTCTCGAGAAGGATTCCTTGAAGAGGTGGAATTCGCCTCTGGTGACCTTGAATCCGTATTTAGCTTGACATTATCAGACACTGTTCCTAAATGACCAGAATTTGGAGAGCTAATTCGAAGGTCCCCGTAAGAAGTTTTAAGACCAGTCCGCGGTTGCTTTGAAGGAACGATTTTATCAAAATCTGTGATTGTTGCCCTTTGATTAGCCTCCTCAACTCGAGGCGACGCAGATCGATGCCGTTTCTTTGAAGGCAAGGGTGCTTGGCCAAAGGGATTTATGCGGCTGCTCCTTGGACCAGTTGGCGGCGGCCTTTCAAATACTGGCTTCTTAAGTAGTGGCTTTGTTGGAACGGGCTGCAAAGATCCACTGGAGACAGCACGAGGGGGCCTGTTCGGCTCTAGAGAGAGCTCAGGTATTTCTCCCTTACACTCCAACTCCTTCCACGTATCCAGCCACCAGAATATAAATGGAGCTTGTTTGTTCTGTTCCCAGGACGATCTAACTTCTTCAGTCCACATCAATAGAAACTTCCACCCATAGTCTAGAGCACGCCGGGACTTATCGCTTAGAGGCTCCTCTTTGGATTCCAGCTCTACCCAGAATATCCCGAAATCTTGTGTACGACGGTTCATGAATTTGAAGCGAATATTAAAGTGTGCGTTAATAGGCGCAAACGGGGTTCCCCGGGGACCATGCCAGAGATGTGTCGCAGCTCTGAGCTTTTCTAGACCAACGGACCAGTATGGCCAATTGTCTGCATCGTTGCCAAACATTGGGACATAACTTCCTGTGCTCTGACTCGATTTGTTTGGTAGCTTCGGTCGAGGGCCGAAGCCGGTCAGCTTAGACGGCTCGAAAGGCTTAAGAGGTTGTGGCAAAGGCCCTATTCTGTCAAAAAGACTTTTGGGTTGAACTTGTTGCGGTGCCTTTGGCTGTGCTCTAGGATGTGCTACTGGCTTTGCGCTTGGCTGGAGGCTTAGTTGTGCTATTGGCCGTGTATTGAACTGTGCCTTTGGCTGCAAGCCTACTTGCGCTCCTGGCGGTGCTCTATGATGCGCTCTTGGCAGTGCTGGAGGTGGTTGAGATTCTTGCGGGAGAGGATGTGGTGCAGCTGGAGGTTGAAACATTTGCAATGCTTGTTCTTGCCTTGGAGATCCGAGCAATGTAGCATACCTCCAGCCTGGTGTTGCAATAAATGTCGCATCGCTGAATTCTCTAGGAAAGTCCAGCTCGCCCGAACTCTTGTTGTCTAGAGAGGTTATTGTTTTGTCCTTGCTTCAATGCCTATAACTTACTATATCTGGGATCATATATTTGTAATATAGATCTGATAGCCCTCTGGAGAACGCCAACCTTGGTATCCTGTATACCGTACATACCCGCAGCTTCTCGTGTTCTTGATGGGCCATATTGCGCTTCCCAAATGCGACGGAATGTTTCGAATCCTCTCGCAATATCTTCGAATGTGCCTCGGCCCTGTTCCATCAAATCGCGAATTAGGTGAGCTGCGCGCCATTCTAGATATGCGATGGTCTCGTGCTCATCGGTTGTGGCCATTGTTGTTGATGTTGTGGTGTGCGGTGTTGTGGAGCGCGAAGTCTTTGAAAGTGTTTGTAGAAGTGCGAGAGAGTTCGAGTCGAATCGGGAATCGGTGTTTAAGTCTGCGGAAAATAAGCTTATGACGGTTGTACAAGATTTTTATGGACAAGGTAAATGGGAATGCACGGATTTAAATCGCAAGACATTCAAGGACATTCGTACATCCACGCTGCTAGACGAGTTTAGCATCCGATCCAAGTCATACAGAGAGTTCAGAGAAAATTTGGAGCCCGTTCTTTTGATAACATATTCATTGCCTGTGCCAGCTCAATTTTGATGCATGCCACTTAGTGCTATTCATAGCTGTTCATTAACAAACAAACCAGCCATTCCCTGTCCAGTGCCAATACACATACTCGTCAACAAAATCTTCTTCTTTTGTCTCCTGCATTCGCTGAGACCAGTGACAATCTGTCTTGCGCCAGTTGCTCCCAAAGGATGACCAAGAGCAATAGCACCACCTCGAATGTTCATCTTCTCGTGTGGAATCTTCAAGACATCCTTACAATAAACCGCCATAGAAGCAAAAGCCTCGTTAACTTCGATAATATCGCAATCATCGATAGTAATGTTGAATTTGCCGAGAAGCTTTGGGATGGCAATAGATGGACCAATACCCATGATTCTGGGAGCAAGACCAGCAACGGTAGCTCCAACATATTTGGCAAGGATGGGCTGGCCGAGTTCGATAGCACGAGAACGCTTCATCAAGAGAACGGCAGCGGCTACAAAATCAGTAAGTGGGACAGCAGTGGGTAGTGAAACATACCTCCATCAGTAACTTGAGAAGAGTTTCCACCAGTCGATTTGTCACCAAAGTCAGGGAAAGCAGGACGAATCTTGCTCAACCCCTCAAACGTTGTTCCCCATCTTGGACCCTCATCCTTGGTCACAGTAACCTTCTTGAGATCCCCAGTTTTTGGATCTTTAACCTCGGTAGTAATTGGCACAATTTCATCTTCGAACCAGCCTGCCTTTTGAGCAACCTCAGCACGTCGATAACTTTCCGCAGCAAATCTATCTTGCATCTCTCTCGAAATATTGAAATCCTTGCCAACATTTTCTGATGTTTGACCCATGGGTTGCATGCAGTCAGCGGATTCTTGGTTTTGTAGGATTTCGGGGTGGAACGGTTTCTCGAGTCGGTCACCACCAATCGACATCATCTCTGCACCCATAGCGACACCAATTTCAATGCTTCCTGAAGCAATTTGGTTTGCAATATCTTGTGTAGCCTTGAGACCCGAGGAACAAAATCGATTTACAGTAGAGGCGGCAGTCGTATTTGGGAAGCCAGCTGCAAGAGCGGCAGCTCGAAGCTTGTAGGCAGCTTTTCCATCCGAGACCTGTACAAATATCAGCTATGTTCTGCCAGATCGTGCGCAAAATGTACATTGCCACAGCAGATATCCTCAACCAATTGTGGGTCAATCCTGGACTTTTGTACGACTTGTTTCAGCAACGAGTAGACAAGATAATCCAGTTCTGTGTCCTTAAAGCTTCCCTTGAAACCCTTGGCAAGTGGTGTTCGAATCGCAAGAGTAATGACAACATCGTCGGCATGCTTCGCAGTACTGACAAAGGTTAGCATGTGTTACAAGACGTAGAGAGGAATGCTGACATTGTAGACAATCCTGAAGATCCAGGTGTCAAGTGCTTGAGGATAGAGCTGAGTCTTTCGCCTGCCATTGTGATATCGTTTTCGTGCGAGAGAGGATTTGTGTTGTGTTGCAGAATGGAGGGGAGTGCTTGGTGTTTTTGAGGAAGTCCAAAAACTCCGTAAGCGTGGGGAGATGCCGAGGTCTGTTTTGACCGAGAACGCCGACTAAATCCTGGGGTAGTCACGTGTTGGAGGATGAATTACTGATCAAAAGAGGAGGTATCAGGGTGTTGTTGTAAGAGGCTCATGGCATACCTCCTTCATCAAATTATTTAATCATAGCTGCCAAAGTAAATTTGCAGGTTCAAAGCTGCTCGAGATTTCAGAGTGAGGCGAGATCAACCCCGCTACCCCTGAACTAAAGAGTGAAGTATCTCCTATGCCCCAAACTCTTACCTCAAAGGATGCACGACTCTTTCGAGTGACTTCTAGAATAGTGAGCTTCTTGAGTTGAAAAGTAAAGTCATGTAGAACAATCTTGACTTGTGAACGCCTCTTTATTGAAGTCAATCTAAGTCACCCCTGTCGTTCTCCTTTCTCCAGCTCGATTGGGATCCAACATCCCACATTCGGCTACAGTAACTTCACGAGTCTTGGCATGTTTGGTACGGGCCAATAGGAATTATTCCTTCTGGTCTTTCTATGGAACGTAGGAAACTCTGCCCTTGTACTTCTGACTGGCCTGCTCTTGCAAAATAATATTTCAAGGCGGGGTGTGGCACATCAATCTCCGTTGATATAGTTCCCTTAAACCACGATGTTGCTTCCGAAATGCTTCTTGTTCATCGTTCCTCTCTCCATTCGAGATGCTGTCAATGCAATGGACTTCGTTGCTAGTTTTGGCTTGCGTCGATTTAGTATTCTCCCAATGGCCCAGGGTTCCTGATCCTCTCCCATTGATCACACCTCCCGATGTGGTTAATATACTTTTTCAAGATTCAGACGCCGCTCCTGGAGATCTAGTCGGCTCTGTGATTGCTGCTGTAAGCTCTGTCCATTCTCTGATAAACACAGCTGACAAAATCAGGACTCGACGGCTGCAACATTTCTCATAAACTGTGCCACGATATCATCTTGTGGTTATGCTGCCTGGGACAATCCGATAATCATCACTCAAGGACTCAGCACCATGCATTGGTCATACGCAGATCCAGCATCAGAAACCGATGGACTGTAAGAAAATTCTCTCGCAAACAGACCTCAGCTAATGGGAAGCAGTACATTGTCTGAGAGATGTACTTTCAATGGTACTACAGCAAGTACAGCGATCTGCACGAACTCGTTCAACAATGATTATACAGATGCAATAACGACGGTATATCCATACACGACGATAACCTACGACGGAAGCTTGGTTTGGATCAATATGGAAGTTACATCGACTACCAAGCTAGTTTGTTCGGTCCACCTCCTTTTATACCTGTCAAGATTACTGCTGGATTGGCCTCATTGAGCGTTTTCGAAGCAGCAGCAACAAACACTGGGGCGGTATCGACGAATGCGAGCGGGAGTTCGACCCAAGCAACTACGAGCCCGACGATTACTTCGTTGGCGAAATCGGATAGCACGGCTGCGAGTAGCTCTGTCTCCTCAATTGCTGGCCGCTGGGTAACACTACGACGAAGGGAAATCCAGCAGGGAGTCTGAAAGGAGGATGGAAACTGGGAGTAGCGCTTACGCTTATGGCTTATGCCGCAGTGTGAAAGAGATCCAATCATCCAGGCACTAGCTTGATTTTTTTTGAGAGGAGAAGATGTCTCCGACTTGGTACTTGTCCAGGTAACTCCAGAATGTTGGAACCTGGTGCTCACATATGCAATATGAGCTACCATCTTCAATGCTATGTGAAATAGTAGGCAATGCTATGTCAAAGAGTAGGCAGCAACGGCACAGTTCTTGTGGTGGAAAGGGAATACAACCCCATTACTAAATTTATTACACGTGACTTGCTCAAGTGGCTTTACGCAAGGCTTAGTGTCCTTATTGTTATCGCTTCAAGCAGCCTGAGCTTCCATTCTTAGCACGTTTGCCGAGTACAAACAATTTTTTCCTTCGAACTTCTTTCAAAACCATCAACTACCACCTCGAAAATGGCACACCGTCCGCGCAAACCAGTCGAACCTTCTCCTTTCAAGTGGCCACGGGATATAGTTGACAGCTTCGTACGAGAACAGTTGGATATCTTAAACAGGAAGTGGAACGCAAAAGGTGGCGACGTAGATAAGCTCAAGGCTGTATTCGAGGGTTACGAGGCCTACAACAACGACAAATACCCAGACTTAGGTCAAGTTGAGGCTGTCCAAAAGGCGATTCGCATGACAACTCGAAAGGTTTATGGTAAGTCGCAACATGGATATGGCCTCCAGTCGCCCTCGGGGGGTCCCTCTCCCCATTCACCTCACACCCCTCCTACCCGACGATCTCAGAGAGTCCCTCTCCCCATTCACCTCACACCGCGCCTACCCGACGATCTCAGAGAGTACAATTGACACAGTGCAGGAAAGCAGGATGCAGATGCCCACTTTAACAAGCACGCATATCCATACCTCCATGACAAGAATTTCCAACCTTCTGCAGACTGGCGTCCGTAAGTACACGTATTCTCGGCTTTCTCTTCTCGATACTAATGCCAGTATAGGGCTGGTGGTCTTCCGCAAGCTCTATTGTACAGGGTCCAACAATACCGACAGGAACAACGCCGCTACGAAGTCGATCTGGATAGGTATCACTACGACGTTGCACGCTATGAAGCTCGAAGACCGCGCTCTCCATCCCCAGTCCCGCTACAACCTCTACAATCTCGTGGATCATCACCATCGAGTGACGCCAAGAGACAAGCGGATGCATTTCTGGACGCTTTGGCTGAGGAATTGCTTGCGCGTCCTTAAATACTTGGCTCTGGGATAGACTGCGTCTGGGGTATATTACATCTGGGGCACACTACATCTGGGGTAGACTGGATCTGGGTTAGATTACATCTGGGATAGAGTACGTCTGAGAATGACAATCAACAGTGGTCTGTGAATAATTTGCTCGTGTGATGACTTGTTTACGTGACCCTTTGTTTGATGATGAAAAGCAAACGACGAAATAATACTGGATAGAGTTTTATAATGCCACCTAGGCTCTACTGCTGCTTATATCTTGTGTCGTTGCAGATTTATGGTTGCAGCAAGGGTCACACTAGCCTGCTGGAATCTTGATGCTCCTTCGAAGCGAGATTTTTCTACGCGAGCCCCTTTCGTCACGATGCAACCTGGGCTCACCGGTGGCTTTGCTCCGGATCATACTTTGTGTCGTTGCAGAGTCATGGTTGTTGTGAGGGTGTCACTGGTGTTACTGGAAGGATTGATGGACGGCAGGACTCCTTCGAACCAAAGATTAAGCCAGCCTTCTTCGTCACGATGCCACACTTCTATGTGTCGTTGCAGACTTATGATTATCGCGAGAGTCCCACGGGCGTTGCGGGAGGGATATACCTAGATATTGATGGCATTCCTTCGAAGCGAGTTACTCGAGCCCCTTTCGTTGCAGACTTATGGTTGTCGCGAAGGTCTCGCTGGCGTCGCGGGAAGGATTGATGGTCGGCAGGACTCCTTCGAAGCGAGACCCTTTCGTCATGATGCCACGTTGGCTCTGCTCCGGTTTATATTTCGTGTCGTTGCTATGGTTGTCGCCAGGGTCACACTGGTATCGCTGGACCTACCTAAGTATTGGTGGCATTCCTTCGAAGCGAGATTACGCGAGCCCCTTTCGTCACGATGCCACGTTGGCTCTGCTCCGGTTTGTATTCTGTGTCGTTGCAGACTTATGTCGTGAGGGTCACACTGGCGTGGCTGGAGGGACATACCTAAGTATTGGTGACTGGCACTCCTTTGAAGTGAGAATCACGGGAGCCTCTTTCGTCGCGACTTATGATTGTCATGGGGGTACTGGCGTCGCTGGAGGAGGTACCTACCCCTTCGAAGCGAGAATTACGCGCGCGAGCCCCATTCGTCACGAGAAGATGCAAAACCACATATTGATTGGAAGCAGAAGGCCACTGCACAAAGGATCTCCACATGATGCATCGTGAAAAATCTTCCAATCCGAGTTTATGTATGCTTCGACGAGCCAAAACTATATGGCTGATTGGGACAAGATGGACAAGTTAGAATATAATAGGCAATGGTATTTCTTTAGCAATCAGTAGATTTGCCACACAACATCTTAACGATAATATCAGAATCTTGGTCTGATAATTAGACAAAAAAGAACTTGTTTCTCATTTGAGCAACTTGATAGTCTTCAATAGTCAATCAGAAACAAGTGCATGACAAAGAGTGTAATGCTGGAAACTGGCAGCTGGAATTATATTTGCATATTACTGCTGTATTAATTACACCCCCGCACAATGCAAATAGACCATTTCATATGACCGATTTGATCGGGATCAATTCACTCGCTTGTAACTTGTAGCTTTTAGTTGTGGTTTGGATCTAATCTCCGCAGCTACGACCAAGATTTTCCAAGTCAACGAAACACTCCCATCACCACCTCTTCCAACTTCTTCAAACACGCCCGCAAACACAATGTGCGAAAGTCAACTGAAAAACATGATCGCGCGGGCCAATGAATATGGGAAACGTGAAACGTTCTGGCCCGCGTTTCTCCGAACTGAACAAGCATATCCGAAGCACTGCAGCGAAAGATGCTCTCAAGATTACCTCCAATGGAGTTTTGAAGCAGCGGTTTGGTCGCGAATGTGTAAGTTCCATCCAAATGACATTATTCGTTGTATCTTTTGTCTCAAGCTGATGGCTATGAAGGGTGGCCTGAGCAATTCCCCGGAATCGAGCAGCCAGTCAGACTGCCAGGCCCATCTTTCCCTCTTCCTCCCGCCGCAGATCAGAGGGTTCATAATGCCTTCTCAACGCACGGTCAACGCTGATATCACAAAGTCACAATGGCAAGGGATGATTGTAGGATACTATGGCAGATATTAAGTCGCGAAGAATGAATACATTTCCATCTACCAACTGCTTTCAGAGCGTAAGACCATCATTTCTGGTAGCTTGCATACAATCAGGATGGCTCTCGAATATCACAACTCCCCATGGGCAGCTCTCTCAGCCTCCAGCTTGGCTTTTTCCTTCTTTGCCTTCTGAATATCCAACGACATCTTCACAGGATTCACTCCCGGAGTCTCAAATACAGTATCGATCTCTTCAAGCGATAGCCCATACGTTTCTGGAAACAAAAAGTAGGAAAGAACAAGCTGGATGCAGTTGTATGCGATGTAGACTGTCCAAATCTTATACCCAATCTTCGAAATTCCAACCGAGATCCCATAATTGTTGGCGGTACCAGCAGCTCCTTGCACGAGACCATACAGCGCCATTCCCTTCGCACGAAGCGCAAGAGAAAGAATTTCGACAGGGTATAGATTGTGCATGGTTGCAATAAGTGTTGAGGAGCAGACTTGGAACACAAAGATCCATGTAACCGTAAGTCCGGCTTGGACTTTGGTTCCATGAAGGGAAAATTGCCAAGATGTGATGGTAACGATTGTTTGAAGTAGGATGAACGATATCAGGCCAGCAAAGATCAATGTTCTTCGATAGAACTTATCAATGATGACGGATCCCACAAGCGTGAAGACGAAGTAAACAGCAGTTGATCCGAGATTGATGCCAAGCTGTTCGATGGGCTTCGTGATGCCAACAGTCTCCAGGGCAGGCACCAGATATTGACCAATGATTCCTCCTCCATTCCACTGTTGGAAGAATGAGTAGAGGATCAGAACAAGAATTCTGAATCTTGCGCCTTTCCTTCCAAATGGTCTGAAATCCCAAATCTCTCTGTTTCGACTGTTCTCTGATGCCAGGGAATCTTTAATCTGCATGACCATAACATCGCAAAGTGGATGATTCGGGTTATCTCCTTCTGTGGTCTGGTATCTAGCAATCATCTTTCGGGCTTTGTCTTCGTGACCTCGCATGATCATATAACGTGGTGATTCCGGCGTCAAGAAGTATATTGTGCAGCAGACGATTGCAGGAAATAGTCCTTCGAGAAGTAGAGGAATGCGCCATCCCCAATTTCCTTCAATGTTTGAGAATCCAATCAAGGCTGCATTCATTCCCAGACTTCCGATCTGAAAGCAAGCTCCAAAGATACCAACAAGTTGACCACGAAGATGTGCAGGAGCAACTTCAGCCATGTATTGAGGTGAAGACATCAACGCGGAACCAAAGCCTAAGAAGAATCTTCCAGCCATGAACATTGGGAGATTGATTGAGAAGCCTTGGAGGAGAGCAGCGAGGAGGACAATGAAGTTTCCAACAAAGTTAATACCTCGACGTCCAATAACATCGGCGAACGACAGGAATGGTGCTCCGCAAACGGTACCAATGGTCATCAAGGCGTTGATCGTTGCGTAGGTAACTCCTGAACTGCCAAATCCGAAGTATGCATGCCATGCTGGATATGCGTTGACACCACTGATGACGGCCCAATCAATACCGTAACCTATTTCTGAATTAGCATTCCTCTTGAGGAATCTGGGTTCGTTAGAGGGCGGCTTACCAGCTTGATTGCAGCCCTGGACTAGCATGATGAGGGAGATTCTGAAGCTGGTCCATGATTTAAAGCGAAGTGACTCTTTCGAAAGCTCGAATACTTGCTCCTCAGTGAGACGAGCAATAGCGACTTCTTCGACATGGACTTCGGAACTCTTCAAGTCAACGAACTCCATATTCGTATCGACAGTCTCCAATTGGTTATTATCAACGCCTCGGTTCGCCATGCTGGATAGTTGTCGATCACCGTCTGTTGTTTGGATGAAGATGTTACCAAAGAAAGACTGCATGACAAGCTTTATGCTAAAGTTCAATCTGATACCCCACCGGGAGGCACATACCCTACACCAGGAATCGCGGCCCTACATCCCGTTGATAAGAACATAGATCAGAGCATGCCCCGCATTTGTTCCCCAGAGCTTCCCCACAACAATGGGGTCTCCACGTTGTATTCTTAAGGGTCGTAGAAGCGGGCGCAATGATTGGTGGATTTCAAGAAATTCTTCCGCGTCTCGACTCAAGAGGCTCAACATCCCAGAACACGCATTCACAAGTAATTCAGCACGACTAAAGACTGGAAATAAAAAGTGATCGTACCACAAATCAGGGTTCCCATATCACAACTCGGAAAAGATCTGCCGAAAATGAAGCTTGTGGCAAGGGGGCGTCGATATCTATGCAAGATTGGCAGACTTCAAATCCCAATACCAAGGTCAAAGAACTCTAGACAGACACAAAATCCCATAAGCGCATCTATCGCTGTCAACTCCACCGAAAACCATAGCAAAGCAGAAGATGGCGACTCACCACCCCAACATGGTTCACTACACCGCCCCGGCGACAGAATGGTCACAAGCACTTCCGATTGGCAACGGCCGTCTCGGTGCCATGGTGTATGGTCGAACAGGAACAGAACTGCTGCAGTTGAACGAGGATTCCGTTTGGTACGGAGGAGTTCAAGACAGAACCCCTCGAGATGCATTGAGAAATTTGCCTCGGCTCAGAGAGTTGATCCGTTCCGAGCGGCATGCCGAGGCAGAGAACCTCATCCGAAAAGCATTCTTCGCCACACCACACAGCCAACGACACTATGAGCCATTGGGGATGTTCACGTTGGAGTTTGGACATGAGGATGTCGAGAAGTATAGTCGCCAGCTGGACCTTGAGACAGCCATCACGAGTGTGAGATATGAGCATGGTGGGGTCACTTACGAGCGGGAGGTCTTTGCCAGCTCTGAAGACAACGTGCTTGTCGTGGAATTGAAGTCTTCAATAAAGTCAGAAATTGTTCTTCAATTAACTCGAGTAAGTGAGCGAGAATATGAAACAAACGAGTTTGTTGATAGCATTGAAGCAACGAGCGATAGCACAATTATCATGCATGCCACTCCCGGTGGACGTTTGAGTAACAAACTATGCTGTGTGGTAGCTGTTCGTTGTCAAGATGACGGGTCTATTGAAAAGGTTGGCAATTGTCTCGTTGTAAAGTCTGCAAAAGCAACCATAGTTGTATCTGCTCAGACAACTTTCAGACATCAAGATGTCGAGTCCGTCGCATTTTCAGACGCTATCCAAGCCTTAGAGAAGCAGAATCTACGAGACAGACATGTTGAGAGCTATAGATCTCTCTATTCCCGCATGCAGCTGGACTTGGGTCCTCGAAACTCTGACTGTCCGACAGACAAACGGCTACTCGATAACCCGGACCCAAGCCTCATCGCTCTGTACCATAATTATGGACGGTATCTTATGATCTCATGCAGTGGACCTGGACTTCAAGCTCTTCCAGCTACATTACAAGGAATCTGGAATCCATCGTTCCAGCCTGCTTGGGGAAGCAAATACACAATCAACATCAATACGCAGATGAATTACTGGCCAGCAAACGCGTGCAATCTGGCTGAATGCGAGCTACCACTTTTTGATTTATTAGAAAAGATGTCTGAACGCGGTCAAAACACTGCGAAGTTGATGTATGGGTGTCGAGGCTGGTGTGCTCATCATAACACGGACATCTGGGCTGATACTGATCCTCAAGATCGATGGATGCCAGCGACTAGTGGGTGCATTAATCTTTATCTCAATTCCTGGCTTATTCGAATACAGTTTGGCCTCTTGGAGGTGCTTGGCTTTGCTATCACATATGGGAAACTTACTCATTCAACGGAGAAAGGTCCTTTCTCGAACGGATGTATCCTGTGTTGAGAGGCTGCGTCGAGTTCTTGGTCGACTTTCTGATTGAGGACGCAACTGGTAGATACCTCGTCACGAATCCTTCACTCTCACCAGAAAACACTTTCATCGGAGATAATCACACTCCAGGTGTCCTCTGCGAAGGTTCGACCATCGATATTCAAATCATACATGCCATATTCAGTGCATACATCGACATCGTAGCTGATCTGAATATCAACGACGATTTCCTCACCAAGGTACAGCAGTCCCGCGATCGACTTCCACCAATGGTCATAGGTTCTTACGGACAACTTCAAGAATGGTCTCGCGATTACGCTGAGCTCGAGCCTGGGCACAGACACACATCTCATCTATGGGCACTCCACCCAGGAAATGCCATAACCAAGACTAAGACGTCTCTCGCAGCAGCAGCTGCTGTTGTTCTCCATCGAAGAGCAAAACATGGAGGTGGACACACAGGTTGGAGTCGAGCATGGCTCATCAATTTCCATGCTCGATTGGGAGATGCTGAGGGATGCTTGGAACATATTTGCAGATTGCTCAAAGATTCTACACTACCTAATATGCTCGATAATCACCCTCCGTTTCAAATTGATGGGAATTTCGGTGGGTGCGCAGGAATTGTGGAGATGTTGATTCAAAGTCATGATGGGTGTATTGAATTGCTACCTGCTTGTCCGAAATCTTGGAATGTGGGTTCTTTGAAAGGTGTCAGAGCTCGTGGTGGATTTGAAGTTGATTTTGAGTGGGAGGATGGGGTAATCAAGGGGCGTGTGATTGTGAAATCTTTGTTGGGCAAGACTGGAATGATCAAGTTTTCAGGAGGCAAGACTGCGAGGTTCGAGGGGAGAGGTGTGCATTCTATAGAGCCTCCTCCAACTCTGCTGTCTGCGGGTGCAAATGTCCCAAGATCTTAGGGCGAATGATATGCCTTTGAAAGTACGTCTTCAAGACCTGGTTGTGCCATACCAGTGAGCAACAATTAAGCTGAGCAAGGATCATGCTTTGACCATATGCTGAAATAAATCCTTGACCACATACGCCGACTTCTTTGGGTATCTCTTCTTTCCTTCGGATTCAAAGTCGATGAAAGTCACACCAAATCTGTCAGTATAACCAGCTGCCCATTCTGCATCATGTCAGTCCAGGTCCGACAAAGAGAAAGCAGCACTTACCCCAATTATCAGTAAAGGTCCAAGCGAAATAGCTCCTAATATCAACTCCATCCTCTTTAACCGCTCTTCCAATCGCTTCCAAATACCCGTTGAAGAAATCAATTCGAAATTGGTCATTCAGGACTGCCTCACTTGGCTCCGTCTCACCTTTCGCTGTTGTCCCGTTCTCAGTAATGTATATCGGCACCCCATATCTCTTCCATATCCAATTCAGCAATTTCCTGAATCCCCAAGGCGCTGTCCTGAGCCAATATGTATCGCTTTCTGGACCTCGACTCACACCTTTGCTGTTCGTATCCAATTTGTCCACATTTCCAGAATGGTCATTAAGCTCTGGAGGTGTATCTTTATGTCGAATGTAAAAGGTGGTATAGCTGTTCATGCCATAGAAATCTGAACTTCCCAGCACGAGTTTCGATTCCTCTGCTGTGAATCGTGGCAGTCGATCACCAAGCTGAGCTCGCATGCTCGCTGGATAATCTCCAGTTTTGTGGACTGGGTCTGCATACCATGCGATTTCAAATTCTCTTGCTCGTTCTGCTGCTTCGACGTCCAGTGGATCGTTTTCGTCCCACGGCTCTGAATAATTCCCGTGCAGCGTAATACCAATTATCCCTTTCTGCTCTTTCTGGAATTTTTCTCGATATAACTTTACGGCATAAGCATGAGAAACTAGCTCGGTATGCCCAACGATGAAAGGTTCTGTGCTTGAATCCCCTTCTTCATTCAAAGCTCGATTGGAAGACCGAGCTGGTGCATGAACACCTGCTGCATAGCCTGCAAGGGTGTAGACTCCAGGCTCGTTGTATGTTATCCAATGCTTAACTCGATCTCCAAATCGTTCAAATAAGACTGAAGCATACCGAACAAAGTCTGGCGTGTATTTCTCCTTGTTAAGCATTCCACCATATCGATCTTCCAACGCTTGAGGAGTGTCCCAATGAAAGAGAGTAACAAATGGGGTTATTTTATTCGCAAGTAGCTCATCGATGAGGTTGGAGTAGTATCGTATGCCAGCTTCATTCACGGGGTCGTCTTTCCCGCCGAGAGGAATTATGCGCGACCATGAAAGGGAAAAGCGATACCCAGTCACACCGTAAGATTTCAACAGAGCAACGTCTTCCTTGTATTTGTAGTATGAGAGAACAGCATCGTCTGGTGTGCTTGCATCTTTGACTTTGCCTGGCGTATGCGCAAAGCGATCCCAGATTGATTCGCCTTTACCATCTGCATTCCATCCGCCTTCACGATATTAGTGAGGAAACTAGAGACTCGGAGAGAACTTGCCTTCAACCTGCGTCGCAGCTGTAGCATAGCCCCAGTAGAAATCGTTTCGAAGAACGCCTTTCAAGTCTTTGACTCTGTCGTAGTCCATGATGGCAGTTGAGAAAGGTAAAGAGTTTCAAAATCAGAAAGATTGCAGTGGAAAATCAGTTTTGCGGAACAACAAAGAAAAGTTCTGAGACCAAAAAGAATAAACAACAGCAACGCGAGTCCAGAAGTCGAGCTTCCACCGAGGTCGCGATCATCCTCGTATCAGCTCGTACCGAAGCAGTGGAACCACGCAAGGGTCTGTCACGCTCGGCTCATGGACCGAAAAGCCCTGAATAGCTTCATTTTCGAGAACTTCATTGGTGGAAATTCTGCAGAACCTTTGAAGGATTGCATGTACAGGAAATAGCCTAAATTCTCATCACGTGAAAATGACCCCGCCCCTCCTTGTCAATGGTGGGGTTGAGAATCTCGCAGCAATATTCGGATTGACAAGACATCCAAGATTCCACAGTGCTACCTGGGTAGTGAAAGTCCTGTGCCTCGGTCTTCTGAAAATAGACTAGAGTCGATCATTCTTCGTCTAGACGTCAAATCGCTATTGCCCGCAGAAAATTATAGCCCCAATCTCTACATTGCTTTACCAACCAAAGAAGTAACATTAAACTAGCTGTTGGGAATGGTAACATTTTTCTGTCCGATACTGCTTTCGAAAGCTAACAAATTCTCAGGAACCACTAGGCCAGTTTTTGATGTTTGGTCAGAACTACCCTCCCTGGATTGCAGCAACCTCTGACGCTCGAAGGGGACAGCATCACACAAGGTTCACATGATCAGTCCAGAGGGTTTGGATTAGGCGCGGAGTTACAAGCAGGTTTGTTATTGGATTGGAATGGGAAAGAGTGATTTGTTGAAACATCGATAGCATATGTGAGAAGATTAGATGTCATTAATCGAGGCTTTTCGTAAGTCTTTCCTCGTACTAAGGAGAAACCTGCTAATGATAGATAGTGGATATACCTCAGACCACGCCCTTGAAGTAGTAGCTAAAGTACTCCCAAATCCATCCCAAGCTCCAATCAAGTTCCTCGTAAGCTCGACATCTCTTTACGGAATACTAGCTCATCACACATAGACGATATGGTTCGGCGCCAATGATGCCAACAAGAATCTTGAACAGGGACAATTTGTCCCGGCAGACCGCTTCAAGCAAAATCTCAACCAGATCGTAAACCATCCAGCAGTGAAAGCGCACTCGCCACACATCATCTTGCTTACGACACCACCATTCGAAGAGAATGTATTGCAAAAATTCCAAGAAGATTGGGGATATGCCGGAGAAGTTCGAAAAGCAAAAGATGCAGCCGAATATGCTGAACTTGTGCGAGAGGTGGGGAAAGAAACAGATGTTGATGTTGTGGATGTATGGACATTATTCATGGAGAAGGCTGGTTGGAAAACAGGAGAGCCGTTACCAGGCTCGAAGGCAATGGGAAAGAATGAAGTACTGGCTGATCTGTTATATGATGGTATGTGATTATGCGCGCCCAGAACGAGATACTGATATAAACAGGATTGCATATAAGTCCAACAGGGTATAGAGTTGTCTTTGATGCATTGATCAAATTAATCAAGGAGAAGTGGCCCGAGTACCGGCCATACAAGATGCCCTTCGTGACGAAAGTGGCTTGGGAAATCGAATTGGGTGATCAGATGTGGGACGTGAAGAACGACGCATTATAGACTAGGATTCAGCGACACTAGATCCTTAGAAAAGGGAGCCAAGAATTTCGGCGGGGGTAATTAAGTGTACCCAATTGGATCAGAGGTACCTTTGAAATGATTTGTTCGACCTGGGATCCTAGAATTTTGACGAGGCTGGACAAAGAAGCTTGACAATGTAAAGAAGGACACTTTCGAATAGATCGCCATTCTTTGAGACATTCAATGAATGATTCTTCAAGCTGACTCTTCAATCCCGTTTTTCTCTTGCCACTCTTCGAAATCAATAACATCCGCATCTCTACCTTTTGTCTCGGGAATCAAGAACCATGTTATGATGGAACCTAGAATATTGCAAGCAAAAAAAGATCCACAGGACATTTGCAAGGCCAATGACTTTGGGACCAGCAAGGTAGTTGAACAATAATGCTGAGAGAATAGCGCCAAGCTTTCCGGTGGCGGCAGACAGACCATGAGCGAAACCACGGACACGGGAAGGGTAAACCTCTGCTGGGATGATGAATGTCGTCGCATTAGGGCCGAAATTGAAGAAGAACTGCAAGATATGAATCAGTGACCAGAGAGCGGACAGTATGAGCTTACTTGGGCAATTGCAAAACAGGTGAATTTCCCTGCCGTGCTGAGATGCATGTATCCACCAGCCAGAATAGCAAACATCAGAGCACACATCAAAAATCCTTGAATCTGAATCCATTTTCTTCCAAGCTTTTCAGCCAAGCCGATTGTAAAAAATTAACCTGGGACGTAACCCGCAACAGCGATAATGAGATTTCCAATGGCATTACGCATCAAAACATCGTAGTGAGTAGCTCCAGTAGCAAATCCAATATCAGCGAGAAGCACTGATTGATTAAGATTGGTTCCGTGAAAGGCTACATCAAGTAGAAACCAACATGAGGCGGTACCGATGAAGGTCTTCAGATGTCGCCATTCAGAGAAGTACACGAAAAATGTATTGAGTTGGGCTCTTCGTGATTGTGGTTTTGCAAGATTTTCGAGATCAGTATCTCCAGTTGGCACTGCAGGGAGTGTTTTCGGTTTGGCTAGCACAGCTTTTCCTCCAGCAACGAATGTTTGTAGCGGTGTATCTGAATCAGGAGAGTGGTGAGCAGAAATTGGCGAGGCGGGGGTGTTGAGTGCTTGAGATTCAATGTACTTCCTTCCTTGGGCATTCGAAGACGAGGAATGAGAGTTGCAAATGCTGGAACAAGAGCAATTCCCATTTGAATTCTCCATACGGCATCAAGCTGATTGTATTGGTCCTCGTCTTTGATCGCTTTCCTGAAGCAGCTGACGATGATGATTGTAGCTACAGATCCAGTAAAAGTTCCCTAGTAATGATTTACGAACATGGGGACAAAAGTCCGTGCGTTCAGGGCATCAGAATCATGAATTTTATTAATTAATTAGCTGTAGACCAGCCACATCGCTTAATTAAGTCGTGTACCCAGAAGTCCTGCTGCTCAATAAGCCCATTGATCCATTCCTGAGGAATTTTGTCCCATTCTTCTAATACTGCTACAACCATTTGAACCTCAGTTGTTGGCTGCCTTAGGCGCCTATGGAGAGCTTGTTTTATTCTCCTCCAGCACTTCTCAATAGGATTCATATCAGGGCTAACTGCAGGATGGGGAATAGAGTAATACCCATAGAAGTACGCCAAGTAGCACAAATATTGCTAGTAGTCTTGTGGCCGTGAGCAGAGTTGCCGTCTTCCATGAACTGAGGGGTCTTCCCAGGCCCCAAAACAGCCGCAAAAGCAGCTAAAAAATCCTGAATATAAGGCTTGAGTACTTGAGCAAGGTAATCAGTTTGTGTAAATGCCCCACTCTTCCCAGTTCCATGAATGTTGATCAATGGACTTTTGTATCCGTAGCCTACAGCACCAAAGAAGTGTACAGGAATAGTGCCACCTCTATGCATTTGGAATTGAATGCAGTTAGGATGACAGCGTTCCTTCTTATTCCTAATACACCTCTGCTTGCATTTCTTCCCTCCAACTTGAAATGTGACCTCATCTGAGTACAGTATCTGACTCCATTCCCAAATAGTCCAAAACATGTGTGCTATCCCCCACAGCCACCGCGCATTGGCTTGGGTCTTAGTGAGGTAGGGCTTTTGGCAGCAGATACAAGAGTAGTATCCAGCTTCTTTGCAGCGGCGTTTGAGGGTCTTGACAGAGCAAGAGAGTTGCAATTCATCGTGTATTTGGATCCAATTCAGCACTCTAGTTGCATGGTCGGTGCAAATATACTCAATAATATCTCTAACCTCCTGTTCATTGAGGGATTCTCTGGGTCTCCCTGTGCGTGTAGGGCGCGCTCTTTCAGGCACATCGTATAGTAGGATCTTCCTAACTGTGCTGTCTCCTAGGTGGTAGTAGCCCTGGAGCTGTTGCAGGCCTATTTTAGCGAATTTGAAGAGCCGGCGTATGCCCTCTTTGTGCTTGGTTCTGATCTCTGCACCTGGGAGACGTGGAGACATAGGTGGAGTGGTAAAAGGATCCATAATGGTGGAGTTGTTGATAGTTTAGTCCTAATGTGAAGAGTTTTAATTTCGAGGTTCTACAGCCTGAACGCACGGACTTTTGTCCCCATGTTCGTTAGTGCTTGGGCTATTAGAAAAGATGACATGCTTACCCATCCTTGATTGGAGAAAATCCACGCTAACATCCGACCTCGAGTATGGAAATGAGAACGCTCAGATACGATGGACGCTGACATGGGATAATTACCGCCTATACCAGTCAGCATACTTCTTTATTATTAGGGGGATATCCAGGAAGTTGTCCGACTGCCTCCGACCTCCGTAGCCAGAAATACTCCTGAGACTACACAAAGGGGAGCTTCGAGAACCAGTCACGTACCGATTCCAATCCCCATGAGAAGTCTGAAACAGAAAATCCAAACCATTTTCAGAGTGGGTGTTGGAATACTATTAGGGAGGCTGATGACCAGAATAGTACCGATGATGCAAATGATGAGTTCTTTGCCATACACGAACTTTCTTCCGAAAGTATCACCAAGGAAGCCGAAGGATATTTGACCAATAATGTTACCAATGTTGGATGCAGCATTCACAGCACCTCGGAGAAGGGGAGGGTATCCTCCATTCCAATATCTTGAAGCGGATTAGGCTGCGTTCATGCAAGGCGATGAAGACTACCTACTCGTAATTCCAAATAGGCGACATGAGATTGATGATGAAGAGATCATATGAATCCAGAAAGAATCAAACGCTGCGCAGTACAGATCAGCTTTATGAACGAGGCAAAGAAAAGAAGTAGGTACCCTGTGATGGCGTAAAGTGTGAGGTCTCCTTTGCTCATGATATGCCATTTTGAGAGCTTCTTTTCCGCAGCTCTCTTCTCATACTCAATCTAGACATCTTATTAGATAATTCCACTTTAGAGATAATAAAATTTACCAACGATAATGGATTGTCATCAGAATCCGTGCGTGAGTAGGCTTCTTCTTCCCAACGCATGACTGAAGTCTGTAAGTGCTCGTGGTAAGTAAGTAGATCGTTCTGATTTTAGTTTATTGGAGAGAAAATAGGCTGATATTATACTCAGTTGAAGTGGATCAATATCTCGGAGTTTCTTCAACAGAGAGATAGTTCGCTTGATATACATTTGGACCATTTTGACTCAGGAGATGCCTCCGCAGGCACGCAGTAAAACAATATGTGAAGGCGAGCCACTCGGTACAGCCAATTTAGGATTGTGTTTCGAAGACTGGAGTCCAATCGCTTGAAAAATCGCAGTTCTTGATACAGAATCTGAACTTGTGTGTGGTAGGTTGATATTTTGTCCATCTGTCATGCCACATCTCAGATCCCTGTCAATTTTGCCCTCTAGCCTTTCAAATTCAACAGCAACTTACTCATTTTCTCAATTATAACAAGAATAGCCAACAATATTGCAAAGCCATATTCGAATCGGTGTGCTTGAGGGACATATGGTAGGGTCTAAGCAGCTTGCTTTTCCTCTGGCTCTTGTTATTGATTGGCTTGGATGCGGCTGTTTCTGAGACTCAACGAGGGCAAACCGGGGCAAATGACTTGATGCGTGACAATTGAATAGTATGTTATCAATGGTTGAGCTCTAGACTTTTGGGCTCTGCAGGAAAACTGTGACTTGCGGACCAAACTCGGAGATTGTAACAAGGCCGGATATCTTTTCCCATGACTTTTGAGAACCAGAATGATAGCTCATGCGTCCAGAGTCTCCAAAGGTTCAAGTGGCAACCTTCTTTCACTTCTGATAGCTCGCTCACTTATCGGATTCAACTTCAGAAGGCAGGCAAGCAGGCAAAATTTTCTAGGCTCTCAATCTCTGGACCGGCGAGGTACTCTTGAATAATGTCGAGAATCACTCGATTCAACAGCTCGTGATTAAGATAGATATAATATTTCGACATTGAGAATAGCCGTGGCGCAAGAAAACTCCATGAAAGCTGTGACATAACGAAATTTAAGTGGGAGGTGGGGGTTTGGAGCTCAAAGCGGGGCAACGGGCACTAACCGGCAGAGCTTAAACCTTGTTCAACCTTCACATCATCACGTCTCCCACCTCTGTCATCATGCTTCGTCCTTCTTCAATCCGCATCCAAGATGAGATTGAAGGCACAAAACTATACACTCCTTCGGCAGGGTGAAGATGACCCTCTGCCACGACCTGCAGAACGACGACGATGGAATCAACGACCAATATGGCAGTGGATTGTTCCTGGCCTCTTAGCTTTGACCGTTGTGCTTGCTTTGATTATTACGAGGGCCACTCGAGGTGAAAAGGATTCTAATTGGGACCATAACTCCAATCTGCCAGCTTGTCCTCAATATCCAGCACTGAAGGCATTGTCGAGCGATCGTGAGAAATTGGAGGATGAAGTGAAGCATACCATCAACAGTGACGAATTCTTCGAAAAGAGCTTGAAGAATATGCAAGGAGCTGTTCAAATTCCGACCGAGAGCTTCGATGACATGGGAAAGGTGGGGAATGATACGAGATGGGATATTTTCAAAGACTTCCACAAGTACTTGGAGAAGACCTTTCCTTTGGTGTAAGTTTCTCTCGGCCAGTTCAGAGCGGGATTGACCAGGAACAGATACTCGAAACTCGAATTCACTCCCATCAATACTTATGGCATTCTTCTCGAATGGAAGGGCAAAGACTCCTCGTTAAAACCATATCTGTTCATGGGCCATCAAGATGTTGTCCCTGTCCCCAAAGTCACAGAATCACGCTGGAAATACCCTCCATACTCGGCACATTATGATGGCAGATTTATATGGGGTCGTGGTGCGACGGATTGCAAGAATGTCTTGATTGGTGTTCTCGAAGCTTTCGAAACTCTTCTCGAGAAGGACTTCACACCTGAGAGGACAATTTTGGCCGGATTCGGATTCGATGAGGAGATCAGTGGATACCAGGGAGCTCAATATATTGCCCAGCATCTGGAGGAGACTAGAGGGAAAGATTCCATTGATCTTATAATTGATGAAGGTGGCTTGGGAGTCAAAGACATGAATGGAGCCATTTTTGCTCTTCCAGGACTCGGCGAGAAAGGATACTTCGATGCCAGGATTACAGTTGAGACAGCGGGCGGTCACTCATCTGTTCCGCCAGACCATACTGGAATTGGTATTTTGTCTCAGATTGTCTCAGCCATTGAGGCAGCCCCTTACGAGCCAGAACTCACTCCTGTCAATCGTGTGTCAACCCCTCCCTCCACCAGTGTCTTACTAATACTCGATAGCATACTACACAACTCTTCAATGCTCTGCCGAGCATAGCCCTAAGTTGGATTCTTGGTTACGCAAAACGATTCAAAAAGCTTTAAGTAGCAAGAAAGCGGCCAAAGAAGTTGCTGACTACCTCGCGTCTAAAGACATCTTTCAGCGTTACCTCATGCAGACCTCGCAAGCAACGGATCTTGTTTCTGGAGGCGTCAAGATCAATGCCCTTCCAGAGAAAGTCTATGCTGTTGTCAATCACCGCATCGCTGTGGAAAGCCGAGTCAAAGATGTACAAGCCAACTTGAAATCCGTCATCGAGTCCAAGATCCTCACAAAGTTCCCAATGTCACTGAATGCTTTTGGGGATGTCATTGGAAATACGTCGACCTCAGCAGTCGGACAAATTATCCTTGAGGAGTTTGATGAGCAGCCACTCGAGCCTTCACCTGTGTCTCCTTTCGATACAGATGCGTACAAGATCTTCACGGGAACCATCAAACAAGTAATGGGTGAGGATGTTATCGTGGCTCCTAGCTTGATGACAGGAAACACAGACACGAAATTCTACTGGAATTTGAGCAAGAACATTTACAGATTCGCACCAGTGAGGGAAGGAGGACGAGAAAATGCGCATACTGTTGATGAGAGAATTGGAATGAAGGAGCATATCGAGGGGGTGAGATTCTATGCGCAGATGATTATGAATGGAGAAAGGTCATGAGCATGGAGATTCGGAAAGGAAAACAAAGACAGACGACTCAAAAATTTGATACGGAGGTCACTATACATCGAAATACACAATCACAACCCATACCCAACCCTGTATGCTCTGCAGCCATAGCTCGGACCCATAACGGATTGATGTCAGAGAAGATGTGGATTGTTCTGTGTGTCATGGCACGGTTTTTCTTACAAGAAATCATTACATTCAAAATGCTATAGCCAAAAAAGTTCGCCGATCTATAGCACGGATATTCAGGCCAATGCCATCCAAGTAATTTCTGCCACCCCTTGTTCTGCAATAACCCTTCCCTATGGAAGACTTGCTGACAGACACATAACTAACCCTTGTGCCAATGCCGGGCAACGTCGACCGCTATGGTATCTGCCACAATTTGGACAAGCTTCCATTGTGGTTCGATCCCTGTATCGTGCACTACCGCTGTTGACGTTTTCGTTCGTTGGCCGTGGATCTTGTTGGGGGCTCACGGAACGACGACGAGAGCGGCCGATACGATCACCAGAAGCCCGTGGCTGACGAGGAGGTTGTCGACTAGCACCGCCTGCTCCATGTTCTTCAATATGATCCTCGAGCCAAGTTTCTAGAAAGTTCGCATTGGTCTCTCGTGTCTCTGTCTCGAGGTGTGATGTGTTGGGGGTTCAACGAGGCATTTGAGGCGGGTGGGTAGGCCAGTTGAGGAGACATTGAAGAAGGATACCGTCGTTCGGTACCCTGTCTTCGGAGGTCTTGGTCTTGCTGGTTCTGACCAGCGCGTTGGATTGATGGGTGTGCCTCACCATCCATCGTACGAGGTCGAGGTGTTGATGCCGCTGCTAGTGGGAGGATCATGCTCGAGAAGTTGCTCAATTGGGCTGCAGTTGGTGCCGACTCTTGTCGCTCGTTGTACATCTTTGCGAGGACGCTTCGCATTTCTGCATATCGACTGCTACTCTCTGACTTCCACTTCTCGAGTTCCTCTGCATCAACGCGAGCAAGAGGATTAGAAAAGCATCCAACATTACTCCATGCTTGATCCGATTCCCAAAACGGGTCGCTCTTGAGTTCTACATTACCACCCCTGCCTGGATGCTTAAAGTTAAGCACGTCCTCGTACAGATTGCGCAATGCGAAACTCGGCGTCAACGGCATTAGTTCCAGCTGGTATTCGCCCTTCTTGGTCGGAATTTCTCTCATATCTCCATGCCATTCTGCTGGACAGAGTCCATCTCGTTGCTTGCGATAGTAATGGAAGATGCCCGTCTTCTTTCGATTTGGGCACTGATTGTGTGAATGGTCCTTGGTATTGCATGGAAGACATCCACGAAGGTACCCTTCGGGGGTGCTCGGGTTGGGATGATTAGCAAGTTGATGCTCGAAAGAGCCGCACTCGCAACAAGGAGCATCTGGATCCCATGGACCCCGTTTCGAACGTCTCCCGGCTTTTCTTGCTTGTTGCGTCGTCGTCTCTGATACGGAGCTCTGCGGCGCATAGGCTGGAACATTTCTGCGATTACGCTGGCGATTGGGTTGACTAACTCTTCGTGACTGCTGTGGTTGCTGTGATTGCGCCTGAGTCGAGTCAATATTTGAAAGCAGATAACTCGCAATGTTCGTTACCTGTCCTACGACGTTTCGTCGATTGATCTCGAGCTGACGAAGCAACCACCTTTCGCGTTGTTCAGGGGTCCACGAAGGGTTGGGGTCAGCGCAATCATACTTGCCCCCATATGGAGGAGGTTGTGGAGGATTGTTATTCATGACTTTCTTTGTTCTTCTTGATTCTGCTTCTTGTTGACTTCGATGTTGAAAGTTGAAGGTTTACGAGCTGCCACAATACCTTGTATACAAAGAGTTGGATTAAGCGAAGCTATGCTCACGTGCAAGTTGCACCTTCTCACATTCATGTGGACCCTAAAGACAATTACTTTGCAGGATACCCCTTCTATTCCAGTTCATTGAGGCAAACTTTTCCGTATTCTATCCAAGTATCTTGACACTCAACTTAAATAACTTTCCTACCTAGGTAACGAAGATGATAATCTGGAGTGTGCTCTGATCTTGCCTCGAGACCTTGCATTCATTCTCGTAATCATAACTAGTATTCATGTTCCGCTTCTGGACTTGGGACCTTTCACACGTATCGCCTTCGCGATTTTCACAAGATGCCTCAACAGTCGCATCTTGATAATGTATTCCGAGGCGCAAATACCTTGAGAATCTTAAGTCTGCCAAGTACATCGACTCTGACAGGATACCATCCAAGCCATGCCAAGTCCACTCTTCAAAGATACACAGCTGTAAGATAACTACAATATCGTAGAGTTCCAATGAACAACTACGGTACCACCCGGGCCTGCTCCACTGGGCTCCCAGGATGCTTGGTAATCCCATTGGATAAGACCAAGGTAGTGGCGATCGAACCATTGTTCAGATACGCCTGGGAAAGGGTGGTCCACTGACACTACTCCTTCAACGTTGTATGTGATCTTGCACATCATTCCCATCCCTATTATGTCACGCTTAATGCGTAGACATAATATTACTTTCATTGTGTTGTCCTTGATCCTGGGCACGCATTCGATCTGGTACAGTCTCTTGCTTCCGATGATGACATTCTCCTTTTAGTGACGAAGCTCAAGACTCCTCGAGTCTTAACCATTATGTCGATAATGATAATCCAGCTCTGCTGTCGTCGACCAAAATATCGTAAGAATGTGATAATGTATATGAGATCTCCGAGCATGCTCCTATTCGAAGCATGCTCTCATCCTTGTGATGAAGCACGTCTACTTTTTGCTCGATTTCTTGCCCTTGGTTGGCTTCCCAGGGCAGTCTCGAACATGGTGCTTATCGTTGCAATTGTAGCATGTCGGACCTGGAGTGGCCTTCTTCTTCTTTCTCGGGAGCTGTGTCTTGGTTGATTGTTCCGACTTGGTGTTGTTTAATGGTATGGCTGAAGCTTCTGAAGGGTCGAAATCGCTCGCGGGAGGCTGGGATTGGGCCTGCGCCATCTTCTCCTTCAATTCCTGATATGCAGTGGAATTGGCATTCCGAACACCTTTAGCCTTGCGGCGGATCGGCTTGTTCTCCTTTTCTTCTCTGGGTGGAGCTCCTGACATTGAGTCCACCTCTGATCCATCATTATATCGACCATATGAATACTCCGGCTGTGAAGTGGGATCATATTTTGGCTCTTGATCACCATAGATGAGATCTTGATCCTGATGTCCTGCGATAACGTTAGCATGCTTATAGAAAGTGGAACTTGGAATTAAGCATACTTTGCAACGGCGTATCGCCAGAGGGTGCTGGAGTCGAGGATCCAGCTAGCTCAGCAGAACCAAGGATATTATCATAGCCAGGCGGAGCGCGACTATCCGCCTGATGAGGGCTAGCTTGTTCTGATCTCTGGGCTTGAAGCCATTTTGTTAATATTCCTTCTTTTAGCTCTTTATCTATCTGATTCTATGTATTTTGATTTGAGTCTGCCATGTGCGAAGTACTTTTAAGTTAGGACTAGGATTTAAAGGGAGATCGAGAAAAGTCGAAGAGGGGGAGGGAGAGAGGCGGGGGTTGGATGTGGTTGTGGAGAGGAAGGGTCGAGAAAAAAGGAAAGCTTGGATAAGGTTCGTGTAGGATCGGAGACGAAGACAGGCTCCGATTCTGAAATTGAAGTCTTGATTGAAAGTGAGCTCTTTTTCGAAAGTGAAGACTTTGAAAATTTTAGATCACAGCGGTAACAGGAAGAATAAGGCTTGAACGGCTTGATCACTCTTACACGTCGAACATCTACTTGCATGATCCGAATGGGCTGTTCGACAATATTACTACTAATCCAAATATACTCCCCAATCCTTCACGAGAAACTGATATAATTTACCAAAAGAGGTCCTCCAACATGGTGAAACAACCCCACTTGCAAAGCTACAATCTTTGAATGACATCCAGTAGTGCTATCCAACAATGATCTATAACCTATCCAAGCAGTGTCCCCTCCTCTGCTGTCAGTTCTCCTTATCCGGTCAGCGTCTGGTCAAAGGCCGTTGAGAAACAGAAGCTCGGTGACTCCAATCGCTGTCGTTGGGCGACGTATTCCTACCGCGATCGTGAGCTCTATCTTGGTCGTATCTGCTGCGCTCCCTCCGCTTATTGGATCTGTCGGCGCTCAAATTGCTTCGAGCTCTCTTTGTAGAATTACTCTCATAGTGTCCTCGACTATAACGTCTTCTTGATCTTTCGCGAGTACGTGATTGTCGGCGAGGAGAGCGTGAACGGCGATGCTGAGGGGAAGGGCCATATTCCGTCTTGGTAAGCCCCTGAGTGCTTCTACCTTTGCCACTTCTGCTATTGTCATAGAAAGATCTGGTCTCTACTCTTTGCTCAATCGTCATTGAACGTTCCTTCCCGGGCGCCCTATCAACTTTTGCTCTGGGGTCCAACCTTTTCTCCTCGCTGGATCTACCTCTTGGTGGCGACGATGGTAGTCTACGCCGAGGAGTGTGCTGTCTTGCGGGGCTTTCTCTTCGGTAAACGGCGTCTCCACGCAGTCTCAAGGCCACAAAACCATCCCACAGCTGTCCAGGGAATGGGCCAACCCGACCCGCAGTTTTCTCTATTAGATATTTCCACATATCTTCCTCTATCATGTATCGAGCGAAGTCCATGTCCCACGGACCCAGATCCCATAATTCGTATGCAGCGACCATTTTCTTTGCAAAACCTGCCTCGATCTCTAGCTCGTTCTTGCCAAGTCTATCGAGTTCGTTTGTGATTATGTCGCGTACAGACTTGTAGCCCGAAATACTCCGTGCTGGAGTATATTCGGGCAAGGAGCGAACTTTGTCTAGGGGAATAGAGGGCTCTATGCCCTTGAAGGATTTGGCTGGGACTAGAAGAGTGAGTTACTTAAGATTTGTGATGGAGAATGTGGAGTTACAAAGAGTATTCCACATAGCTTTATGGGCCAGGTGGTTGACGGAAGCTTCCTGATAGCTCTTGGCAGCAGTTTTATAAACACTCAAGGCTTCATCGAGTTTGTCACTATGTTGACCCGACCTGACACCCTCACGCAGCATTGCGGCTATTTGGGACTCTCTCTGCCTAGCGTCTGCTGCAATGTCGGCTTTGAGGTCATTGCCTGGATCTGCTTGTCTTGTAAATGCACGAGATGGTGCTTGTCCATTCGGGGCCAGAGTCTCAGCTGAATCGCTATTTAGTATTTGCGCGGCTGCTAGCGGGGTGATAAAACGTACGAATGTAGCCCAAAGCTTCTCGTGGGCTCATATCGTTGAGCTCATCTCTTGTCGGTAAGAAGCTAGCTGGCTGTTGGTATTGAGGTCCAAAGCCTCCACCATAGTAAGGGTCTGTCCTGCTATATTGCCTAGAGGAGCGAGTTGCCTCTCTGTATTGAGGTCTAAAGCCTCGACTGTCATAGGAGTCTTCCCTCTGACTGTACTGTCGAGAGGCGCGAGACTCCTCTTGTTCTCTTGAAGGAGATCGTCTACTTTGATATCACGATGGTTCGACATGCTTGAGATTGGAAAGTCGAGTTGCGAGTCGTATTGTGTCGTTGTGGAAATCGAAAGTTGAGAAAACCAGAGATATCAAAGGGACTCAGGTGAGGATTTCACGCGATATTAGATCCCTTTTGACATAGTTAGCATGATTCTTTTGACGCTAATCCTATTGTGATTGCTCTGGAATCTTTGGCGGCTGTTCGCGCTTCTCCGAGCGCAGTTCCCAATAGCCCAAGCTTTCAAGGGCCGTCAATCGCTACGCTTTGCAAGCTTGCTATTAGCTTTTTCAATTCCCAAATACGTCTCTCTGCTTCAATCCATTATGCGCTCGAATGTTCGAAGTCCTTCTCAATCGGTTTTTTGCTGACAATTTTCCACTCTTCATACCAAAGAATTCTGATCGGTAAAAAAGTATGGACCACAAGCAAAGTCACCTAATAGCCAATCCATCGAGTTGAACAAGTCAAACCCATCACCGATCAAGCCAGGAGCCGCTGTTAGATCCAATGGAACTGCCGGCTGACTCAACTCTGTTTCCGGTTGTGCAGACGAACCTTGCGGAGCAACTGCATTCGTTGACTCGCGATTCTGCATCTCTTGCCGTCTTGCAGTCAACCAATGCCACATGGCATCATATTGGTGATTGACACACATTCTAGCCCGAATCTTCAAGTCCAAGGGATCGGCAGACTCCCAATAACCTCCCGGCGACATATCTTTTGCTATCTGCGGGGTTCTCACTGCCATTCTAGCACACACATCATCGTTTCGCAGAGACATTCTCCGAACAGCGAGTATAGCCGCGTTGTAAAGTGCTTTTCCATGCTCAACATTGATGGAATTGGCGAACGAGCTGTGGAGAAGCTTAACAAGTACGATGACGGCGGAGAAAATACTCTGTAAGATAATATTGGTACAATGTTCAAGGACTATTCCGTGTATGGTCTCGAAATCCATGACTTTTCCAATAAATGTACATGCCGCGTTGTAAAGATTGACAAAGGCTGCTTCGCGGGCCGAAGATGGTGGAATGAAGAATGCAAACGCCTCGAACTGAACGCTGGCAGCAAGGAGCATAATCTCGGTATTCACTATTTCTTGTGAGAGCGGTCATGAAATCCGGTCAAATAGACTCACTTGAAATTTTGGAGCCAAGAGTGCTTTTCACCTCTTCATATGACGCCTTCACCTGACTGTAAATAACAGCCCTATCATCCTCTAGCGGAAGTCCACTGGGGTCTGACACACTCTCGTACAAACTCTTCCCAAGAGCATTGTAAAGCTGAGTCACACGAAGTTGATCGAGCAGATCCTTTGGAATGTGATACGGGGCTAAGATTGCGAAATTCGATCCTAGAAGGCGATCGAAGTTCACTTGTGAAGGAAAGCCATAAGCGCTGGATGTACTGGGTCTCGTTAACAAAGTCCTTCATGGGGGATCTAAAGACTTACCACTGGCAGACAATGTTACAGGCAGCCCAAGTCAACCTTCTATCCCGTTGTTCGGCCTCTGTAATTCTGCCTTTGGAGAATTGTAAGTGGACAGGAAAGTCAAGAATATTCGATAGCGCAATACTTATCATCATGCCACACAGGGGGTAAGTAGCATCTGATGGATTTGAAGTTGACGGTAATGGCCAAGTACATATCAAACAAAGCGCTTTGGAAACATGATAGGGTTGAGGGTGTTCAGAGATAGTGGACCAGAGAAGCTTATTGTAGCTAGGACTCAAATCGCCGAATAAACCCGGTTCTTGGCGGAAACGACGTGCTGCTACGACAATGATAGTCCATCCAAGCAGAGGTGACCAGTCAAAGTACTGGTCTGGAGCCAAATCAGGGTCAAGGAAAGGTAGATAAGGATGATAATGAGTGAAATATCTGAACAATCAGTAATTGGTCTTGAAGTGACGAGACACTCACTCTTTGAACAACTTCTCAACACTCTTCCCTGAAAGCTTAACATCTCCCATTTCGCGAGGTTTTGTGTTGCCAATTTGTTGAGCTTCCTTTGGGATAGCTGCTTCAGCAAGTACTTGAAGTCCATTCGAAGGATTATTTTGGGTAGCGGCTTGCAACTGACGACGAAGATCATCTATCTCACACTGCATAGCGGTATATTTGCTGCGACATCAGTATCCCTTCGGATTCAAAGGCGAAGATTGCTCACTCTCGTTTCCCAACCCGCCTGAAACCACCTTCCACTTTACATTCCTTCTGAAGTCGACGACATCGAGAACATGCCTTGAAAGGTGACTGAACGGCATCACATTTCAACTGGAGACGGTCAGCATGAGCTCAAATTCTTTCGACATGCCTACCTTCTGTTGCCTGCAGTTATTGCAGGACCTTTTTGCATTCTTTGATGGATCACGTGGTTCATCTCCCAAGTGATTCGAACTCACTTCCATGGCCCCATCATCGCTGCTCGACATTGCGAAAAACACCAAAGGGTTTGATCCAAGCGACTTGAGGGATCCAGCAAGTTTGATCGCAGCATGGTAGACTGTTAATCGAATGAAAAGAAGAAAGGGAGTCGTCGACACGGCGAGGTTACGGCATTCGCTAAAGTCAACTAATCCGAAAAAGGGATGGCTTCTCACGTGGAGAGGTCAAAAATGACTACTCAGATGCATTACGGAAGAAGAAATCTTTGTGGGAGAAAAGATTTCCTGAACATTCAGGGCATTTCTACAATACTTCGTTTCCCAATGTTCGGTCCGCACGTGGGACATAAGCCACTTGGATTATCCCAGAACAGCCGGAACAGTGATATCTTATATCCCAGACTCTACAGTATCAGAGAGGCTACATGGATACTGGTTGGTCTTGTCTTGGGTCAGGGTAAGAATCTCTCCTTCGCTTCTGTCATAGTATCTTTGACGGTCTAGGGACGCTTCTACTTATGCCCTTCTACGCCACCCTTTCTACTTACAATTCATCGTACTTATACAAACCTTCTTCCAAACCCTTAATCTGCAATGCAAGAGTTCTAGAGAACCATCTACACATTGCTAGATTTCCACCCATAAACCAGAACCCAGGATGACCACTTTTCCGCCACATCGTACGGAGCTCACCCTCTTCGTCCAGACCCCACACATCCTTAACTCTCTCAGCCAACTCATCGCCGAATATTGTACGAGCTTGAGTACGCATATTCTGATATCCAGTCGCAAAGATGATCTCATCTGCTTCGAGCTTCTGGCCATCCGAAAATACAACACCATCTGGAACGATTTCGCTGATCTCACAACCCTGCTTGACCTTGATCTTTCCATCGATTATCAATTGACTGCATCCAACATCGATATAGTACCCTCCACCACGCTGAAGATACTTGATCCAGAGGCCAGATTTGTCGGGTCCACTATCGAGCTTGAATCCGGCCTTCTCGAGACCTCGAAGAGTTGCAGAATCCTCCTTTTCCTGGATCTTGGTCATGTCGATATTCAGGGTTTTCACAACCGGTAGTGGAGTACTCCAATTAATAACATCAGCATCCGCTGTTTGTGGTGAGCCTTCACCATACAGCTCAGACATGTGCATCAGATTCGTCTCGGAATTCAACACCAAAGTGGTGGATCTTTGGACCATGGTCACATCGTACCCATTTTCGTACAGGTCCTGAGCGATATCATGGCCAGAATTGCAACAACCAACGATGACAGCACGTTTCTTCTCTTCAATTGGTGTAGCTCCGAGAAACTTCGAAGAATGGAACAACTTTCCTTTGAAAGACGACATTCCATTGATGATGGGGAAGTTTGCTTCTCCTGAATGACCAGTCGCCAAAATAACATGCTATTGTCGTTAGCGTGGAAAACATGGACTGAAGGACAACTTACCTTTGGATGTACAACACGAGTCTCGATTGAGTCTCCTATCTTGCGCTCAAGCGAGACAGTCCAGTTTCCACTGGCATCATCCCAAGATGACTTGACAAGAGTCGTCCGGACCCATGCATTCAAGTCCAACAATTTGACGTATGATTCGAACCAATCTCCAAGTTTGTCTTTTGGTGTGAAGATGGGCCAAGTCTCCGGAAATGAGAGGTACGGTAAGTGGTCGAACCATACTGCATCATGCAAACAAAGGCGATGATACCTTGACCTCCAATTATCTCCAATTCGTTCTTCACGATCGACAATCAACGACTTGATGCCAAGCATTTTGAGTCTTGCAGCAGAGCAAAGTCCGGCTTGTCCAGCGCCTATCTTGTATTAGCTGGCTCGGTACCTAAGGAACGATTCACGTACCGACGATCAGAACTGTGGGCTCTTCGCTTTCGAAACTTTCCTCTGTCTTTCTTTTGTCCAGCCAATTCTGCTTGGAAGTATGCCCTCCATGCTCAGCTCCAAGAGGCCGTTTCCTGCCCGAAATCTCTTCAAACCCAGTCAATTCTTTCAGGAAGGTGAAAAGGATGAAGGCTTTCCACTGTCCATCTTGATTCACCAGCCGTACAAGGCCTTGTCCATTTCCAACATCAGTCTTGACAGTCAAAAATGCTTGCACATTCGGAATCTTAGCTTCAATGCCAAGCTTAGCGGTCTTCGGAGATCGAATGTGAGAAGACTTGTCGAGTGCCAGAGATTTGATTCTGCATCCTTTCTCTGACTTTTTCAGCAATTCGACAATCTTCTGGGGACCATGAAGAGTGTGCATGTCCCAGGAGAGGCAAAGCTGATCTCGCCAATATGATTCGTCGAGAAAGACTTCAGAGATAGCAGAAAGGTCTGCAGATCCGATACTCTTGTTGAAAGCTTCAACCCATTTGGCAGCCACATCGTCAACGTCAACAGGACTAGAGTCGTCGACAGTAGGGAGTTTCGCAGATATCAAAGGGAATGACCCAGGTTCAACACGTTCCGAAGAGGGGACGGCGGTTGATGGTTCAATGGCGATACTACCCATGATTAAGAATGGAGAGAAAAACTGTTCCGAAGAAGTAGAAGTTACTGAGGAGTGAGCAGCGAAACAAGAGACTGATATACTTTACCCATGGTGGGATGAAGCTATCATCAGGCCAGCATGAAAGGAAGGTATCCCGGAGACCTGAAGCCCTTGTGATGCTCTGTTTCGCCTTCCAAACTTGAGCTTACCTGTGAAAACTCATGCCACTGCAAGTTGTCAATCGGGGTGTGGGGTTACGGGGAAACAGTGGAATGTGGTGGGAAAGGAAAGTTTGGAGGCGTCATCGCTAGCGTCGGCAGACTTTCCCTCGGAGAAGATGGAGCAGAGTCCCCGGGTTTCCAATCTGGGATTTCAAGCCCTGAAGTTTTCGTCTCCTCATCGCCGGAGTATTGAAGTCGAGGAAGACATGTGAGCCGAACTCTATCGTACATGGATATCGACTCTTGTGGACCTGGTGCAGAATCACAATTACAATACACACTTGGCAATGGTAGGGCTTGGCGGACTCTCGAACATTCTGAGTGCACCTAGTTGTCATCAGGATGCTTTTTCATGGCTGTTTACAATAAGCGCATAAAACCAAGGCTTGATTTGCCAGAATTAGAAGTGCAAGAACGACAAAAGCATGCCTTTCCCCGGCCTCTCCTCAAGACAGCCACTCAACCCAAACCGATCGTTCACAGCGCCCACAAATCCGGCTCATAATGATAATTTTGGTGCATCTGCATCGGGCGACCCAAGATCTGCTGTAACAGTGGCGGCAATGGCCCGCCCATGGCCAGTCTCGTAATCTCACCAATTCGATGAGCATTTTCCCAGAAGTGGTCATGCTCCCCCCGAAACCGCTACGACAAGTTAGTAAGTGCACACGGAAACAAGACTTACTGCTAACCTTTGGGCCGAAATCATCCCAATCTCCTCCCATATTTCTGTGATTTGGATCGACGCGGGGTAGCCCGCGATTCCGTCGATTGTTGATGTTGATTCTTTCACTCTCAGTGAATCTTGGAAAGCCATCACCATTTATCCCAATTCCGAGACCATGTACGCCCACCTGGAACCAGTCCATAGGCATCTCCCAGGTTCTGTATTTCCTTGTGACTGGGTCGTATCGTTTCAGCCCACGAGAAGTACTGCGAAAGCCATTGTGTTGTTGTGCCTCGTTGAAATGGCTTCCCACATCATGATACGAGTCCCTGCTGGGGTCAGTTCTTTTGTCGCCCCTAACAATCGAGCTCGACATTACCAATTTGTCCATCGATCAGGAGAGATGGGTTGGGTGTTCGCTCTCCCTTGCTGCACAAACATATCGGGTCCTTTCCCTTTCCGTATGTCATTGAGTCCTCTGAAGAAACCTCGCTTCCGGCGACCCATGGGCCCATCTTTGGGCCAAACGACTTTCATATTCCAGTCTGACATCCCTAGAGCTAGCTCTTCATGAATTTCCACGAATGAAAGTACCAAAAAGAGCAATATCAAGCACAACGATTAGAGGAAAGAAAGGAAACCAGGAATATTAATAGGATGTTGTTGAGGACTTCCCCATGGAAACACACACGATGACTCCTGTACAACATCCTGTTTGGAGTTTGGAGAACTCTCCAAGTGTTCATGCTTGCCAATCTGTGCTGTTCACTTACAGCACACGAGACTGCTTGCAAACCAAGAAGACAACAGCAAGAATAGAGTCTCGCTCATTGAATAGATCTAGTATATCAAACGCTTGGGTCTGAAGGAGTGAAAAGTCATATAGGGCTGGATAAGCAAGCACGCAAGCACAAGACGTTTACCGAATTGAAGGGAACACATCACCCCTTTGTGTGACTCGAACAGATCTCTTGAAAAAAGATCAAGATGAAGGTTGGGCACGAGGATAACCTCGGCGGAAATATATGCCGCCCCCGATCTACATGGTCCGAGCGCCATCGTAAACATGCATCTCAATATGCGGACGCGACTTTTAGAACCTCATACCCGCCTCCAGATTTCACTCCTCCATTGTTACAGTCAACAACAATCTTTCCACGTTCTCCACCAAGTACAGACGATCCGTAGAAGAGGCGTTCCCCTCTAGCCACCAGAGATACACCAAATCGCGTGGGAAAAGGGACAAGCAGCACCGCGTTCTCGTACCACTCGAGTCCTAGACGACCTATCTCCTCCCACCTTCCAGCCTCCATGCTCGCAGATTATCCTTTGGATGATAACTTGAGTCTACACGCATACTCTCCTGCAGAAAGTTGATACTACATCAATCCGCCAAAGCAGGGCCTTCCACATTCTAGCAGATGGTGTTGGTACATCTCAAGATACCAGCCAGCACATAGGGTGAAAGCAGCAGGGGAAGAGGAGGGAAAAACTGTGGCCAATACAGACTGCTTGGATGATACGCTTCTGGATTTACAACATTGTTGCAAAGATCCAATGTACTGATACGCCAGACCACCGCGGATTGTTGATAGAGCATAGCTGGACTTCAGCAGCTCTTGCATTCACTAGGCAGCGATCAAGCAGATTGGCAGAAGAAGACAAGCGGATCGCCTTGGCGTGCATTGAAGCTTGGAAAGTTGGAGAACAATTGGAGGACAGGATCTTGTTGAAGTACAGGACACAGAAAGTGTGAGCTGTGTTAGAAAGCACTGAGTTTTGTCAGTGAGGGTCTTCTGGAGAGAGAAAGTTACCTTTGTCTACTTACAATCATGCCGACAATCCAAGTAGGACCAGGTTCAGACCTGGAACTGCAATTGATCGCAGATGCATTGGCAAAGTCAAAGAAAGCTGTTGTGGTAACAGGAGCTGGTATCAGTACCAATTGTGGTATACCTGTGAGTCCTCATCCATCTATTCGCGCGCAGCTGTTGACAGTCTTAGGATTTTCGCTCAGAAAATGGCTTGTACTCACTAATTCAAGCCCAATACGATGCTGCTTTGAAGAATCCACCTTGGGAAGAATCAAACACCTTTGATATTGATGACAGACCCAAGAAGAAACGTCGACAGTGGTATTACGAAGTTGTAGCTCCTGATGGCAAAGTTGTTGACGTGATTGACGAGGAGATTCAAGCCGTCAAAGAAGAGACACGTGAAACGAGCTCTGGATCAACCAACACTACCAATTCTCGCTCCAGCTCTTCAAAGCCAGTCGACAATTCTCTCCAAGCACCTAATAGCCAACTTTCTATCTCCATTGACCAAGACCTTCAGACAACAGATTCCAACCGACGCCGTTCATCACGTTCTAGATCTGTCAACGAATCTATCAACGCTTCACAATCAACCGAGAGCTCTGTTGCAACAGCTTTTGTAGAAAGGATTTTCGTCGAAGATTTACCTTCGTCAACACAAGAACCGCGCCGCTCATCTCGTTCAAGATCTGTCAACGCATCCACCACTAGGTCACAGTCAACTGAGAGCTCCATTCCAACGCCTGTTGCAGAAGCTATTCTCGCGGAAGGTTTACCTTTGTCGACAGAACCACGTCGCTCATCTCGTTCAAGATTCGCCAACTCCACAACATCACAATCTATCACCCCGCAGCCAATTGAGCCTTTTCTTGAAGAAGAAGCAACTCGCGACCAATCTGTTGATATCAAAGAAGAGCTGCACCTGTCGAAAGAAGATATACGCCGCTCATCAAGGTCCAGATCTACAAATACCACCAATTCACGTTCTAGCACACCCAAATCAACAGAGAGCTCTCTCACTAGCTTGTCTTCAACCACTCCTGAACTCCCCGCGACTTCATTCCAAGATTCCTCACAGCTGTCTTTCGACATAGATCAGAGCACATTATCACAGACTACGGAGAACGGCGAACCCTCAACGCAGACATCATCCGTTGGCTCAACGAGCTTGTCAAGAACGACATCAGATCTCTCATCCCGTACGCTACCAAACCTCAAAGGCCGCGACCTTTTCGACAGCAGAATCTGGGCAAGCCCATTTGAGACATCTATCTTCTACATGTTCATATCGAGTCTTCGAGACAAAATCCAAGCAGTCGAGTCACCAACCGAGACCCATAAGTTCCTCAGAGTTCTTCGAGATGGCGGCAAACTCGTCCGCAATTACACTCAAAATATCGACCTGCTGGAACAACGTGAAGGGTTATGCCAAGACCTTGAAAAGGGGCCTGGGAGCAAAGCGAGATTCAATCCTAAAGCGCAGAAAGAAGCGAGACAGTCTGGACTCGGTGGAAGTAACTATCAGCATGGAGGATGCGAGTCAGTGCCGTTACACGGATCTTTGCAACGGTTACGATGTAACCTCTGCGGCAAACCATCCAGCTGGGATGAACCGGCGACAAGAAGAGCAACGCAAGAGGGCTCAGCTCCAGATTGCTCCCGTTGCACCGAAAACAACAGCCACCGAACCAGCCGTGGAAGAAGGGGTGTCACCATTGGTCGTCTAAGACCAGACATCGTTCTGTACGGGGAAGATCACCCCCACGACACTCTGATCTCAGCAATTGCCGAGCACGATTTGAGTCTGGGTCCTGATGTTCTACTGATAATGGGAACGAGTCTCAGAGTACATGGATTGAAGATTATGGTCCGAGAATTTGCCAAGGCCGTACATACGAAGGGAGGAAAGGTGGTGTTTGTAAACCAAACAAAACCCTCAGAGAGTATCTGGGGTGAGTTCATAGATTATTGGGTGGAATGGGATTGCGATGAGTGGGTCCTGGACCTGAGAGATCGGAGGGAAGATATTTGGATGGGCGCAGGAGAAGAGAAGTACAAGGAATCGGCGGTAGAGACAAAACGGAGACCACAATGTGTGAGAGATGACAGGACGAATGGCGTGTACCTAACGTTCAAGATTCTCGACACACTGAGCAAGGCTCCAGACGGAAATGGAAAGCCAGCATCTCGATTCCCCTATTGGCAATCCCGTCTTGCATCCCGAGTATCAGACGTATCGGTCATTCAGAAGAAAGAGCCTCCAAAGAAGGCACAGCCGACGAAAGCCACCAAGAAATCCGCTCCTCCGAAGAAGCCCGCTCCTCCGAAAGCCAAAAACAACAAGAGAAAGGCCGAACCAAAAGAGGACATCAATAACCTTCCATCCTTAGTATCTACAATGTGGGAAGATCTACGGAAGAAAGCTCCAGGGCTTCCGGTACAACCTCCTGAGCTTCGACTTCCATTAAGCAAAGCTTTGGTCAATGCCCCAGACTGGTACCAACCTTTCGCTTTCTCTGGATCATCCAACCATATCCCCAATGTCGGTGGTTCGTCTTGGCCATTGGATAAGATGAATCTGGTCACACAGCCTCCTTCTGGTTATAAGCTCACGAAGCCGAAGATTGAGGGGAAGCCAAAGATCGACAAGAAGCCGAAGACCAAGCACGGATATGGCACCAGAGCAAGTGGGAGATTCAGCACTGCTGAGACAATTGTCGTAGATAGTGGGGACATTGTAGAAGAGCCTGAAGATACCATTGTGGTGGCAGAAGAGCCAATGACCCCAGCGACGAGGATCAAGAGAAGTTGCTCGATTGGAGCACTTGTGTCTAGCAGTCCGGAGCAGTGGCACGATGCACCAGAAGTGATGACCTGAGAGGGGAGGGACTTTTGTTGGAGTATAGGTACGATAGATGACTTGATGAATGAGATACCAGATCCTTGCTACAATGTGTCCACTTTATTGTGATGTGAAATACTCTGGTAAGTGCTACGACTTTGAAACAGCGACAATCACTCACAAACCTCTCTAACCAACCTCTCCAACTTCCTATCCAACACCTCCACCGCAGCCCTCAACTCCTCATTATCATTCAACCCTGCAATCAAGCCACTCGGCAAATTATACAACACCTCCGTCCGTCCCCCCTTCTCCAATTCCCTGACCAGAATCTCTACCGGGACCGCCAATCCAGCCGTGATGTCGTGTTTCAGCATCGTGATAGCGACCAGTGGATTGCCCAGGATGATGCGTTTACTTTTGAGGCCAGAGCCTACGTTGAACAGGGGGATCCAGGAGCCGTGGTCAAATTCCTGAGGTGTTGTTAGCTGGCTTGGACTTGGGCGAGAAGAGAAGGGGAATACTTGGAAAATCATAAATCCATGTGGGCCGATAGCTGAGTTTACGTTGTCTTCGAATTGCTTTCTTGATTCGTCGGAATAAGAGGTGATACTCTTTGCTTTTTTCTTCCATTCATCGACTCGGCTTGGGTCTCTGATTGAGGAGTAGAGGTTCTTTAGGACTTGATTGAAGGAATTTGGTGATTGGATTGTGATGCGTGTCGCTTCATATTTTTCTGCTTTGAAGGTCGCCATGTTTTGAACTTTAGGTCGTGGAGATGTGGTCATGCGTAGTGTGATGTTGAATCGAGAAACGGTCAGATATAAAGATCTTTTATGAACGACTTTAAGGTGTCACAGAGATGTGAATGTACGTGAGATTCGGATTGATTTATGATCGATAGTGCCATTGAACGTGAGGAGGAAAGAGCGCTTGACCGAGGGTGTGACGTGCGATCAGTAATCATGAGATAGAAGTTAGACTAACTGATCAACATAGTTTCATCTCAAAATTTGTCATTCGAGAATTTCATGGATGAGAGCGAGCCATACAATGACTTGCCCGTGTAAAATGCTGCATTAAATACTACCAAAGCTCATGCTGTCAAGGAGAAATTCGTCGGCTTAAACATGGATATATCTGCCAGGGTAATCTCAGAATCAATCTTACACCATCCATCAATAGCAATAACCACAATCTCGTCCTCGCCAGCATTCATTGCTATGCCATAAGTCGAATTGAAGTAAATCGCGGCGTAGGATAGCTGAGTACCATTGGTCCGACTCACGGGCAGGCTTGACGTTGTATCGTGCTCTGCAGCTATTTCTGCATACGTCGACTCCCCACAAACACCCCAATCATTGGCAATTGTCTTCGGATAGGTAGTGAATCTGCCACATGGTGTCCTTCTAGTCTCGAGACATGCAATGATGAAGACTGTGAACATGGCCGCGAAGAGAATACCCGTGTAGATCTTGTACCAAGTTGCTGTGATACAGGGAATAATCGTCGTCTTGCAACGACCGAGAAGAATATAAGCGCCAATGGTCCCTGTGGAGAATGCCAGAAAGAACAAAAACGTCAAATTCAGGGTGAGATTGGTAGCCGAGAATTCTGCATCCCCAGTTCCAACAGGGGCAGTCAGCATGTAGATGCAGAGAACTAGAAGTCCAGTGATCATGATCAGGTAGAAACCCCTGACCGCAATGCTTAGCCAGCCACGATGCGAACGAAAGCGATTTGGAACAATGGGGGCGTCCAGTGAGTTTGTAGTAGGTCGGACAAGTGCTGAATTCGAACGCACCCCCAAATTCGGATGAAGTCCCATTTCAGGAGTATCAGACTCCCAGTCTTCGTTGTGTCGGTACGCATAATCGGTCGTCAACCACAGTGCAGCAGGCAGCCTCAACAAGCCGAGTGTAGCCAGCGGAAAGAATATCGTGTTGAGAGCGACCGTATATGCATAGAGCCCTTGCGTACCGTGGACCAAACTGTACAGAGCTTGCACACCTTGTAAAGTGACGACAAGAGTAACAATCGTACTCATTGAGAGTGGGTCGATATGGTGATGGCTTGGTCCTCGAATACAAAAATCTCGACTTCTTTGGATCATATCTTCTGATCCATCCCATTTATGTCCATCCCAAAAGATAGCATTAGTAGCCGCCAAATCCAAGGTATTCCATGATTTTGCCCTGAGACGTCTGTCCGCAATGGCGAGATATCGCCAAAGGATTGAGGTGGGATTATAGTGGCAGATACGGTCGTGCCAGCTCGGCCGATTGCTATGGAGGTATATTGGAGGAGGAACACCAGCAGCGATGTGAGCAATTAATGGTGCGAGGCAAAGAGTAAGGAGAGTGACCCAATCGCTGAAAATGATGTCGTTTGATTGGAATGAGAGGAAAACTATCCATGCCATCTTGAACGAGGCTGAAGGAGCGTATGGAGTACAGTAAGACAGTGCAATCGAAGGAACAACTTCTTCAATAAGATATCTAGGCAGTGCTCAACGGCAGAGTAGAAAGAAAAAGAGGGCGGGGAGCTCATCGTCGTTCAAATTTGTGAAACCACTTGGTAGATCATTTCAGCCCTCAGCCCTGACGCCGCAAATCTCCATTCTGATTTTCCCAGATATTCGGAGGATACAATTGGTGGATGCTTCTGAATCTAGGACCTCTCAAGCTGAACCACCCTCCTGCAGCAGTCGAATATCAAGGATAAAGGAGCTAAATGATAATAGGCCTAGCTCCTGGAACCTTTCCTCTTTAAATCTCGGTCTCGTTTACCTCGTTATGGCTGAACTTCGGGACTTTATCTCGACGACAACATTGAACAGTATTTACACTTACGAACATCAACAACTCGAGGTCAGAGTAAAGAGGCTTATGGCAGAAATATTGGGTGGCTTTGTGTCGACGATCAACGCGTGAAAAACGCGTCGAATCCATGCACCAAAGAAGCTATAGCCTCACCAGATTCCGGCAACCCACTTCAAATCTGATTCAACGAATAGCCTACCAATTCTCAACCCCTCCAAAATACTCCCCATCATGGCCCCAGAAGCTTCGACGCAGTATCCTCTCTACAATACGACCTTCAGCCTCAATCGAGTCTCTCCTCTATACACCAGCACCACCCTCCCTCTCAACAATACCACTCTCCGCGATCATGCACGACAATTCCGGGACATACTTGCAGGAGAAGTGCTACGGGGCGTCAGAGTAGGATTGGTACTTGAAGACGACATTCTTGCTCGCGTGGGCGCATTACAGACAGTAACATGGCAACTCTTACCGGAGGAAGAGGCGTGGTCAATGGAGGAATTAGATTTGGACGATGAAGACACAACAACTGTCTTGACTTCAAGCAGAGGAATGATTGTTACTGTCACATACGAGAAGATGGCATACAAGGCGATATTGTTAAAGGATGATAGAACATCCGACGGCGAAACTACGATTGGAAGCATTCGAGAAGGAACGGAAGAATTTCAGCACTTTTCTCTACTTCTGTCCAAGATGCCAGGACCGCTACGAGAGGCATTCACAGATTATCTTACCTCAACATTCGATACGAGGGTCTCGAATTTGCATCTATCCACTTCATACCTGAACGAAGCCTTTGAGCATTACATTTCTGACCTCTCCCACGATGAGGAAGGGGAAATAATGGATATCATTGAGCGGAGTAAAACCTTGAGGTCAGTCGTCAAAGAAACAGTCTTCATCATTGGATTCGACCTCTCATCAGCGTCGCTGAAGACCATTGATATATCTATTGCTCGGGAAGATTTACCTCGAATGATTGCACGAGGAAAGAAACTTAGGGGAGACTCGGAAGGAGACTCGCCTTTCTTCGATGCTTTGGCTGCTTATATCAAAGGACATATGGCATTGGACATGAGACACGAAGGTGTGAAGGTTATGAGGATTGCTTGTGGTCCTTTTGTACTTGGATCAGAAGGCAAGATTAAGCTCACTCAGCCTGTAAGCAATGAGGATGGGAGCAGTCCTCAAAGTCGGGCTACTCGGAGGCTGATCAATGGTTTGGTTGATCTAGCTGCTGGAAGTGGTCTGAAGGGAGCGACTTGAGGGAGTGGTCTTGCTCAAGACGTTCACTTATTGTGCAACAAATCGAAATTGCGACATTTTGGGTTGGAAGCTATGAAGCGAAAAGTTTGGCTATCAAATACAGCTACATCACAACACTCTAAAGCATGTCAGACATTCTCCACCTGTTAAGCAGTCCAAAGTAATGGGACGCCATGGACGCCAAGGCAAGAAGGAAGATTCTATATCAGATGGGTGGGCGGGAAGTGAAGGCATGTGAGCTTGTCGAGAGCTCAGGGACATCTGGAACTTGGCTGAGCAGAATGTAGGTAGTGGTGCCTTTGCAGAGCTAATGAAAATGAGGCATCTAGAGAATGTCCTGGCCAAGAGAGGTGACGGCATGGGTCGCATGTGGAGCACTATATAACGCAGCAAACTTTGAAAAGTCTCAACTACACTCTCGGTACCCAGCCCCTTGGGGATCTCATGAGTGTATAAAGTCCATTCTAACCTTTTCAGACTTGAAAATCGCAATTCCCTGCAATCAGGAATTTCTCTATCTCGAAATATCTATTCCCTATAACCCCAACCTATAAAACATCCCAACATGCGGAATCCCAGCTTCAAACCAAGTCCCCATGCCCTTGTCAAGAACGAATCCATTTCTGGCCCACGTTTTCATCGCTTCTATTCGAGCATGAACACACACCAACCCCTTCCACTCCCTCCCATCTTTCCCCTCTCCGCCAACCACTTCTCTATTTTCCTCCTTTCTCGCCCACCCCAACGCCTCCTGGATCAAAAGATCAGCCAACCTGTTCCCTCTATACTCCTTCAACAAACAAAGCCGTCCAAGCTTAACGAACGATTCCACGCCATCATGAAGATCGGTCTTCCTATCAACCACCCACTCCGGGAGCGGGGCATTAAACAACACTTTCGGATCAGGCGCCGGGACTTTAGGACCCGGCGCTTCGAATCTAGCTCCTGGCTCAGGATGTGGATACTGCGGTGGAGGAGCAAGACGAATGGTTCCTATGGGAGTTGAATTGGAGTAGAGAACCCAGTGACAGGAACGAGCGTCGTCGCGATCGATGTGGTGTTGTAGCGGGACGGCACGTTGTTCGTTTACGAAGACGTGTTCACGGAGTGAGAGGGAGTCTTTGAGGGTTTGGGGGATGGTGGGTGGTTGTAGGGGTGAGGACGCTGAGAGTGAGAGGTTGTAGGTTTCGAAGAGAGGTCCGGGTGGGGGTTGGAAAGCGAGGGTTGTTTGTGATGCCATTTGACTAGTTTCCTTAGGAGAAAATGAGCATTGAGGAAAGAATTGAGACAAGTCAACACAGATAGTTCTTGTTCATATCAAATATTCACGAGCCAAGACTAGTGATGAGAGAGGATGAGTCATGGTTGCAGTTAAGCTGGAGCTCAACTTTGCTTGAACAAAAGAGCTCCCCTTATCAGTACAAAATCAAGCTCAGGGCTCAGGAACCATCAACGTGAAGCATCAATTGCGATTTGATCTATGGTCAGCCTCGTCAATTTTCGTTCTGGTCGATGATGAAAGTGGGGTGAATCTCTTAGTCAAAGGTGGGGTAGCAACGCGTCTCGTCCGAGTCGTCCGACACCTTTCTGCTTTCCTCGCATATACAGGTCAGGTTCGAGTATTATAAATACTAAATTGACTGCAAGTCTTATTTCTTTTGACTAAATATCTTCAAAGTCACAACAACCAAAATGCTAGAAGTAATCAGCACCGGCACACCCCATCAAATCGGGCTCTCCCACGGCTCAACCGCCAGCAAGGAAATATCCCGCTCAATAATCTTCTACCAAAACCTCTTTGCCGCAAAATGCCACATGGATTGGGAAACTGTAAAGTCATTTGTGCTGAAATACCACCCATATTTATCCTCCGACTGGAAAGACTATGTTGAAGAAATGGAAGGCGTGGCTAAAGGAGCTGGAGTCACTTATGCGGATATCCTGGCCCTTAATGTGAGGACTGAGATTGCCTTTGGGGCGTTCGCTGATGGATGTACGGCTTTGAGTTGGAGGGGAGGGGAGAGCTCTGTTTTGGCGCAGAATTGGGATTGGAATACTGAGTTTGTACCCTTCCATTTTCTTGTATCACGTCTAACTATGGTATGAAATAGGCAATCTGAAAACCTCATCTCTCTGAAAATCAAGAAAGAGAATGGATTGATTATCCAAATGATCACAGAAGCAGGAATCATTGGCAAGATTGGAATGAACTCCAATGGCGTGGGATGTACGCTCAATGCTCTGAAAGCAAAGGGTGTCTCGTTTACCAAATTACCTTGCCATCTTGCGTTACGGACTGTGATGGAAAGCCAATCTCGAGAAGCAGCTATTGCTACCTTGGAGAAAGCAGGTGTAGCGAGTGCTTGTCATATTCTTGTTGCAGACGTTACAGGTGGTACGGGACTGGAATGCAGCAGTGAAGATGTGGTTCAAATTCCCATGAACAAAGAAGGGATTGTTACACATACAAATCACTGTATTGTTCCTCATGTTGAAGGCTTTGTAGAGGAGCCAGACTGGTTGCCTGATACAAGATACAGGCTGAGGAGGATCAATGAGTTGTTGAATGCTGCCAAGGAAGAAGAGCCAAGTGTGGATGTTGTTGATAAGATGCTTTGTGATGAAGTAGAAGGGGAAGGGGCATCCATTTGTCGATTTGAGGGTAAGGATAGATTGGCTACTTTATTCAGCATTGCCATGGATTTGAAGAACAAGAGGGCTAAGATTAGTGTGGGGCGGCCAGCTGCACCAAGAGAGAAGCTGGTGTTTAACCTGGCTTGAAGAGAATTGAGTATATTGGTAATAACAAAAACGATTGCCGTAGCATTGTGGCAAGATGCTGTGCCTCCAGGCATACCTTCCCCCAAACTCCCACGCTATGCAACCCTCCAGACCTCATCAAACCGGCTATGCTCCAGATATATCCGCTCATGCATTCGTAAGATCAATCAGATCAGGAACTGGTGGTCCAACTCCCCTCAACAGTACGATCTTGTTTCCACTAACCAGAGCATTCCCAACCTTTTCATTAAACTCCAGCAACCTTCCACCCTCGACATGAAATACTCTAAGCTTGTCCTTTTCGTCCGTCCCTTGGTTGTTCACATTCTGAACCTGCAAGCTCTTTGCCGCTGCATCCAGAACTCTTCCTATCACCCAATCCTTCGAATAGAAGTATGCACCACTTGGGAATTTCGAAGTCGTCGTAGCAGCTTCCGCTTCCACTTCCAGATATACCCTCTTGTCCGACGGGATCTTGTCGTCTCCCTTCGCCGTCTTCTTCAAGGTATTGACCGCCACCAATCTCGCAGCCGCAGACGTTGGTTTTGGCTTGGGCAAGACTCTCGTCGCCATATTTGCCTTCTGAGCAGTTCCCCATAACTTCAGCTTGCCCAAAGCACTCTTCACGTTATCTGCCTGTGAATTGAATCCTCCAACCCTTGCCCCAATCGGAATCAGATTCTTGCAATCATGATCCTCCCTTAGTCGATGTTTAAGGCAATAATCCCTATTACACGTCGAACAATGTACCGAGGTCGATAAACTTGTCCCAATGACCGTCTTGCATGTTGGACTCGCACAAGGCTTCTCGATATCCATCTTCATCTTGCCCGCGCCAAGTGATTGATGCGACGCATTTGCCTTCCTCCTCCTCGCAGCCCATTCTCCCGCTCTTGAGCATTTATGCCCAGTCTCGGATCTGTGATCCAGACAGAATGTGCCGAAGCACGATTCGCATCGAAAGGGGAGGAAATCGAGTTGGTTGCAGTAGGCGTATTGGCAGTGTGCGCCGATGAGCGTGGGGTCTTTCTCGTCCATTTTGGAGAATGAACTTTCTTCTGAAGGGTCGGAACGTGAGGAGGAGGCCATGATGAAGAGGTAAGACAGTAATTTATAGCGTTGGGTTGTTGAGTAGGCAGAGGTTAACGTCGTAATTGATGGCGAGGCTGAGATTTGGCGTCGAGTTCGCTGACTGATCGCCGAGTCTTCTGGAAGCTCAGGCTTGCTAGTGCGAAATAGGGGCTCAGCCTTGGCTAGAACGCAATTAGTGATCATTTAGCTTAACAATGTTGTGATTTCTTCACCAAACATAATTAATTCAAGTGAGGCAAAATTGTAACAAATGAATTGTTGCCATTCGTTAGACGTTTTATGTCCTTCTTATCTGCTAGAATGTCGTAGTGGCTTTCCTCCCATTGCCTTTCCCTCCTCCTTTTCCAGCTCTTGACTCTTATGGCCTTCTTCTGAACACTTCGATGGAAACTGCAATCTCAATACCAAATTCCTTTTCCCAACATCTGACCAGCCTTGGCTAGCAAGAAGTATGTTTCTATCCTTTTACTTGTCAGCGCTGCCAAATATCCAGAATCGGTCATGCAGCATTCTCACAAGTTGTTCACTTTGGGCCCTCAATATATAGAGACTCGTATTTTAGATTGCAATATATGCGTTGGTCACTAACCTGCTATCACCCATCGTGCCTAAGTAGGTACATGGCGAGGTTCAAGGCAACTTGACACAGCCTCACTTGTCCAACCTCAAGAACCATCTTCTTTTCCAAAAGTCATTCAAAAGCTTGCCAAGGGCCAGCCTAACACATGCCCTTCGAAATCAAGTCTCCTTACTTCAAAAAATTGCTCCATTCGAAACACCTTCAAATGTCTGGCCTCGAGGTCGTTGGCTCCGTTGCCAGCGTCATCCGATTAGCCGCTGCAGTCTACAGCATATCTAAAACGCTCTACGAAGTTGGTGATGCATTATCCAATGCCCCATCAGATATCAAAGACTTAGCACGCGATCTAGAAACGTTCTCTGAAGAGCTCCACTTGCTGTCGACACTCCTCGATCTGAAGAATAGTCGATACTCAGACGCAGTTTATCGACTAATTGCCAAGATCATCGGAGATTGTGCAACAATATGTCAGAAAATCGATCGAGTTCTCAAGAAGTTGCGAACTACCAGCTTTTGGTCGAAAGTAAAGTGGGTCTACAAGGAGAAGGAGATCATGAAGCTCTTGGCGAGGTTGCGAGATCTTAAGCTTAGCCTGATGGGAACTTTGAGTCTACTCGGTGCATTGAAAGCTGATACTATGATGAATGCAATGGGTGTTGGGACTTCCAGTCTGCTAGAGGGAACTAGCAACGAACTTTGTTCCAGGCAAACCGCAAAAGATTTGGAAATTGCAGAACAAAAACTAGCTGGAATTGGCACGGTGGAGCATCCAACTACGAATTTTAGTATTGCCTTGGCTTCTCAGCAATCTTGGAGCTCTGGAGCTTCTTCCGCTACTATTCATCCGCCCAAAACCTTCCAGGAGAACTCTGCTAATACAGAGTCGACTTCTCCACTGTCGAATGTTACCTTTAAACCAGACCTTTCCATCTCATGCTCGGCCACGCCAACACAGGATTCATTCCAACAAGTACGATGTTTATGAATCCTGCTGCCATGGAATCGATGCAATCTTTCCAGACGGCTGTCTCTTCTTTCGAACACGAACACAAACACAGCCAAGTAGATTGCTCCACGTCTTGGGAGACAATCACGATGCATACATCTTCCAAAAGTCCATCTTCCATTGCAGACGTTCTTCATGAGCCCTCTGCTTCTCGAACGCATCAAGCTTGGAGGAAAGAGGTGGTAGATATTGCAATCAAGCACTTCAACATGACAATGGAAGAGGCCATATCATGGGCCTCCTCAGTACCTGTGCCGAGTATCCCTGGGATGAGTGTCCAAGCAGCATCTGAGGACATGGCACCCAGAAGATCGAGAGAATCAGTTCAACTTCCTCGGAACGGATTTTACAACTCTTCTTCTCCTATGGTCGAACTAGTCGCCAAACAGTCTGACGACCAGCTTGGTCAAAACTGGAAGAAAGAGACAATATTACTAGCTATGAAGCACTTTCATATGACCATGGAACAGGCCGTATCATGGACAGCTTCACTACCTACACCCATTCCTCCCGAACGAAGCATTGCAGTATCTGACTCGGTGATATCGTCTGTCTGCGATTCATGTGCCCTTCCCAGGGAGCCGCGGCAACCGCAAATAATATTTGATGGAGGCGGGAAACAGCCACCGAGCAGGCAAGGAATGTACCGAATGGAAAAGGAACGGGAGTTTATAAATGCATATATGCAGGCATTCCCGAATTCTAAATCCCCCCCTTTTCGGCTATTCTCCTACCTTTGGATGGAAGCTTATCTCAACATATCAACAAGCAATCTTGAGGTTTTTCTCCGCCTGGGACATATAGACAAAAGAGCTAAGGATTTGGTACCAAATCTTGTCTATGACAGTGAACCACCTAGAGCAGCAACTCAAGCAGTCACAAAACTGTTGGTCCAAGATATCGATCTTGATGTTGGTCATCCCATGAACGGTGATCCTAATCACGAGGCGATCTTGAGCTCGATGAAGAGAATTCGAGATATATTGCAAACCATCCGTGGAATATTGGAAGTTGGGGTTATTGTTTGGCCTTGTCTGTGCGAAGCTATTGTGGTATGTGCTTCTTTCTTTTGCAGGAAAGAAAATAAGCTAATCTTGTACCAGGCTGTCCACAAAAAGAGATACTACTCACTTGATCATCAAAATTTATACGCAGCTCTCGCTGATGTTGTCACACTTGTGGCACGATACAATGTCATAGAGAGAATATACCGGCAATGGCAAGGCATGCTCGTCGAGGAGGAATACAGAGTAGCATTGGTTGCTTTATGTGTCCGTGTTCTTCTATTCCTCGATGAGGTCATCAGTAACTCCGCTGAAATGAAGGCGGAGACTCTTGGGCAGTGGATGGGCAAGATCAATGAAGCAGATGCGTCCTGTCGAAGATTCTCGGTTATCATCGAAGATGTGTTTGACGAAGACTCCGACTCCGACGGCATGATTTGTCCAATAGAATGTACCACCAAGAGGAAGTATCAAGAAGCTGCATCAAGGCTGGAGAGTACAAAACTCGAGATAGAGAACGAAACTTCGGTGAAGCGGCAGAAACTTTGAACCAAATGCTTGGTCGAATCAAAAATGTCAGAGAGTCCTCCGGTAGCAACACTTCTTCATCATTCAAGCCATGCCGCTGTGCGACATGATATGTCGTACTTCAAACCCGCACACATAGTTCCACCAAACACCAACAGAGGAAATACCTCACGAGGACACATACACCACCACACCCGAAAAAATGGCAGCCCAAGCGAGGACACAGTTGTGGAAGCGTTGTAGTCAAATTGACCCAGATGATCGGAGACAGAGTGGGGTATTTGATCGTTAAAGACATTTTGTGGCGTGCGCCTCTCGCCCCTTCCGCAAAACAAACATCCACAAACTCCATTTCCAGCCAGTACAAGGACAATTTCTGAAGCCACTTCCGATTCACGGATACGCAAGCAATCCCACCCTCCCGAGGCCGTCATAGTGTACAATTCCATGCCAGAATCATTGACCGATGATTCAGTCATCCAACTCCACAATCGTTGCTTTTGAATCCTCAGATTTGTTTCTTCCATCTCTGACACTTCTCGCATTGTTCATGCTCGCAAGTTGAACATCTCTTCTCGGATCCATCATTCATCTTGCCGCACTGAACTGAGTAAGCTACTAACTTCCCGGAACTTCCGGAACCATATTGAATCATACCGACAGTTTGTGCTTGCTTTCGAAGAAACCGTGTAGACGACTGCAGCAAATCCAGAAGAAATCTGGTGGAGGAAGGGTTCTGATGGCCATGTTGAATGCCTTGATATTGGCTGAGATCTTCTCGAGTAGTGTGCTTTTTGCTGTATATATCTCGAACTACGAGTAGGAATGAAGGAGGGAAAAGCTCGGACTATATAACATCTCGAAGAGTACATGAATAAGTCGAAGTGGGAAGTGAACCCCACGTGCTCGATTCCTTAGAGCGGCCAAAACGTGGAGGGTTATGATTAGGCGAGACCAAGACATTCAGCCAATGATCCAGATCACAATCATCAAATATATGCAGATCCGTATCGAAAAGGAAACTCTTATGAATCGTAAACTTGGAATGTGGTACTTACTTCAAGAGAGGTCGTCTGACTTCGCCGTATTCGTAAACTCTTAATCATATCACATTGTACAGCTGTCGACCACCTGGAGCTTGTGTATCATCAATCCAGTTCTCCCAGAACTTCAAGCCCTCGATACTCTCCTCTCTGCACAAGGCTCCTTTCTCTTCTGCCATTTCCAATTCTTCTTCTGCCACACCAATGCTCCATCCAAATCTCTCTGCTGCATCTTGGGCAGTAATGCCTCCTCCAAAGACTTGCCAATCCCAGGAGAGATCTTTATCTGGTGGAAAGACGTGCAGGTCGTTGAGCCATGCAAGGAGTGTCTTTATGGTTTTTTCATCCGTACGGTCACTAGCTTGTACCACTAGAACCCCGCTTTTGAACTGTCTTAACCTCACTGGAAGTTTTAACTTCTCCCACAACCTAGCAGCCTTTTCGAAATCCAAAGGACTGACAAGCTCCACACCTCCACGTGCTCGATTGAACACTGCCCAGAGATCTACCAGACTTATGATGCCGCCCGCTTTACGGAGAACCCCTCTCGCGTCGTCCGTGAGAAATTCTGCCAAGTTTCTTGATAGCTCGGAGATATAGAGAGATTCCGAGTTACTTCCTCCACCAAGCATATCTTTAGTGGTCACCAGACCCAAAGCATTGGCGACTGCACTCGAGTCGGAGCTTCCACTCGTTCCATTTGTAGCTGCAAACGATTCCGCAAGAGCAATAATCTCCTTCGCAGACGCCATCAGAGCTTCTAGGTCCTCGAAAGCGTTTCCAATGACAAGTTCATTGTTCTTCCGCAATTCACGACTCCTCTGCTCAAGGCCAGCAATACCCCCTGTCTTGACTCTCTCACCAGTAGGTGTACTTGACCCCGAACCTGCAATCGTTCTCTCTTCCACTGTTGGCACAGGTGGTGCATTCTGCAACAGCCATTTTCTTTGTGTCATGCTGCCCTTCAAGCGTTCAAGGAATATTTTCTCTCCTCCCGTTCGAAAAGAAATTTTAATCTCATTACTTTCCATTCCCGGGAGAGGCATAGTGTTCAGAACCGGTCCAGGAGACTCGGTCCGTACCGGTGGCTGAGCGATACGACTAGCATCTTGCGAGATCAGTGGAGCACCACACAACTCACAGGATAACAGAGATGGGTGATTCAGAAAAGTACATCTCGGACACTGAAATGACGCCGTAGCACTCTTCTGGACATCCGTCCCTTCACTCGAGGAAAGGTGCCATGTGTCTGGTTGTGATCGAGGCTGGTCTGTTCGTCCACGAACTGGTATTGGAGCCCTCACAGGCACCGGGGACGGCTGGGCCGGTCGACTCGTGGCACTTGCAATCGCTGCCTTCATAACAAGGGCATATGGAGGCTTTATGCCACAGGCCAGACAAGGAGCCAAAGGCGTGCGCTCGCTGGCCGTGTAGGGGTCGAAATTCGAAGGTACGGGATTCGAAAAAGAGCAAATCGGACATATCCAAGTGCCAGGACCGACAGGAGAGGGGTCAGAAGTTGGCAGATGAAATGGACTGTCTGTTCGTGGGGAAGGAGAAGCAGTAGCACTTCGGGATGGCTGGCTAAGATTCGATATAGCTCGATTTTGTATTGAGGACCTTTTCGAAGGTTTTGGGAATAATGTAATCTTTGCGGATGATCTCATGAAACCCGCCTGGAAAACATTAGCATAGGAATAGCTTTCTTCTCTCCAATGCTTACATAGAATTCATGCCGCTCTACCTCCTTCAAGTCTATAGCTACAGAATTCTTCCGTGGATCTTCTGTATCAATGTAACAAATTCGATGTGAGGTTAGATATACTGAGCCATTCTGATGGCTTGGGATTTTGAATTTTCTGCAGAAAAAAGCTTTGTCAATGCAGCTCTTCCAATAGAAGCAGGCTCCGGTCTCTGCAGGCTGGCAGCATACCCCTCATAGAGTCCCACATTGTCCTGGACAAATAGTAACACCTCATCTGGTAGATACAACGGCCTCAACGCAGTCGTGAGGTCGAGGTGTTTGAGAAACATCCGGCCGTGCCATGTACAATGATATAGCAAGTAGTTGCGAACTCATGCACAGATCAAGACAAGTTGTTTGTGCTGCTTCGTTATCGCCTTGCAGCCTGCTTATCGGTGATGACTCTAATGTTCAAAAGTACGCTACTACTTGACTCGCTTCGTAGTTTTGAGAACGCGACCTGCCTCCATTTTCCGATCTCGATATTTCGCGATCTCTCCACTCTGTCCAATTTACAACAATTCGCACTCACACGTCGTCGAAAGTGTAAAGCTATCAAAAGTCTGTCGAAGATATAACGCATGCCGTTAAACTAACCTGGATCGTGATACAAGGCTACGCTTATCTGGATGTATTCAACTATGAATCCTTGGGCGCAACAACCGCCACCGCCTGGAACGCAGGGACAATACGGGTACCAGCAACGTGAGTTTCTTCGGAATCCTGCATCCAACCTTTCAGCAACTGCAGAAATGGTCGCTAACAGGCACAAAGCCCCTCCAGCTTATCACTCTGTACAAGTCCGACAGTCCTTTAACGCTCCTCCTCTTCATTACGTGCCCGTAGTTCAACAACCTTTCCCACCGCCTCCACCACCCACCATGGCTCCAGTTCAAGCTGCACCCCCAAGAAAGAAGATCGATTGGCCACAACCTGTACGAAACTACGTTTCGCGTTCCTTCGAGCCGAAAGCCCTCCTTGATGATGTATCTAGACCTGATATGGAAGCCAAGTTGAAGCAAACCATCACGGACGCCACTGATAACAACACCCTGGATACCCTCGATTGGGACAATCTTCCTCTACCGCAGCAGATGATCCGTCAAGAACGCGCACAAACCTGGCAACAGGAGTCTGTCGATCTGCGAATGGGTGGATTAGGATTGATCAATTCGAAGAAGAGGAAGTCCCAAGAGCTTGGCGATGAGGACTCCAATGCAACCCCTCCATGGCGTACTAACAATCGAATCGAAGATCGCATCACGTATGACCCCTCTCAATGCGCTTTTCAGGACGATTCGCACAAAAACACAAGTAAGTTCCAGAAGAACCTGGAGAAACGACAAAAGCGCTTTGATACCGGGTACAAATCGTATAAGAAATCTCCATCCCCAGAGCCGACCGCTGGCCCAGTTGTTGGCACATACGAGGTGCTTGAGAAGAAATACTTCCGACTTACATCCGCCCCCATTCCATCACAAGTTCGTCCTGAGCATGTCCTGAGAAAGACTCTTGAGCTCCTTAAGAAGAAGTGGAGATCGGAGAACAACTACTCTTACATTTGCGATCAGTTCAAGTCAATGCGGCAAGATCTCACTGTCCAGCGCATTCGCAACGAGTTTACAGTTACCGTCTACGAAATCCATGCCCGGATCGCCCTAGAGAAGGCCGATCTTGGTGAGTATAATCAATGCCAAACCCAGCTTCGTGCATTGTATGCACAGAATCTTGGCGGAAACCCAGTGGAATTCAAGGCGTATCGTATCTTGTATTTCATTCACACATCTAATCGTACCGCCTTGAACGACGTTTTGGCGGATCTAACCACAGCAGAGAAAGAAGAAAAGGCCATCAAGCATGCTCTCGGTGTACGATCGGCATTGGCATTGGGCAACTACCACAGATTCTTCAGGCTTTACCTCGAAACTCCGAATATGGGCGCCTATCTTATGGATATGTTCGTCGTCCGAGAACGTCTAGCTGCTCTTGCCAATATTTGCAGATCGTAAGTCTCTCCCCTGTTATTTCGTTACTTGATGCTAACAGGTTTCAGGTACAAGCCAGATGTCAGCATTCGTTTTATCGCCGAAGAACTTGGATTCGAGTCCGACCATCAAGCTGGCCAATTCATCGTCGATTATAATGGTCAAGATCTCCTCGAGGAGAAAGGCACCGAACTTCGATTCCTTGCCGGAAAGGGCTTCGCGCTCTTTGAAGCAGCCAGAAACAATGCTTTCCGGAAGGTCGATATCAAAGGCCAAATCTAATTTCATTACAGTCGACTCCCCTTCCAACATACCATCTACTTTGTTCTCGGATCTCTTTCATCCATCCCATTTCCTGTCACCTCCCAGTGGGCTCTATCCTGACACCTGCTATTCATATGGTCGATACCGTCGAATCAATGGTTGTTCCACTGGTCGTTGGTGACGAAGTTGAGGTTGGATTATGGCATTCCCCCCTTTATGATCGGCATTGAGCGAGTTGGATGCATGGATGCCTTGGCATGACTTCCCTTTCCCTTTCGACATTACAACTCATGACTATACCCTTCTCTGCCTTGCCTTTTCGGCCACTGTTTAGGCGTTGGTGGTAGATGCATGGGTTGGACTGATATTCTTGCATTTGATTCATGGCTTTTGCATGGTAGAATGGGGGCATCTGAGAGCTTGCATTTGCTATGCGATGTGTATATACATTCATCGCGCAGTTTTCCATCAAAAGCTACTGATAGGTTTGATAGCAATATCACACCTTTCCATCTACCTACTTGCAGTGTGAGACATTTACCGCTTTGGCGTTCAGCCACCATTGAACAGCGACAAAAAGCCACTGATCTCGCAATTGAATACAGACTTCTGATTTGACAATTCAACGGTTCGTAATGTCTAAGACCAATTAAAACAGGTTCATGAGACACGATGTATCGCCACATCGCCAAGATTTCTCTTCTTGGTTAAACATCAACACTAAACCTTCCAGTAGGATTACTCTTCAACCTCATCACTCACTTCAATGGATATATTGACATCTCCAGGCCGTCCACGTGATTCCTTATCTGCGTTTAAATGTTGTGAAGTCGTAGCTAGCAGGGACTAACAAAATACCCCTCCATCTTAAATTAACTTCATCAACCTCTCGATACCAAACCTTAAGAACCACAACCAATTGAACCCACAACCTTCACCCAAACAACCCAAAATGTCCTCAACAGGACTCCTCCCCTCCTTCCTAGCCGCAATCCAAGCCTCTCTCTCCGTTCTCCTAGTAATATCCTACGGCTCCCTCGCCTCCCACCTCTCCCTCCTGTCCCCCAGCACCACCACGCAAATTTCCAAGATCTGCGTCCGGATGTTCCTGCCCGCCCTTTTGCTCACGCAAATCGGCTCTGAATTACACCTTGGTAGCGCGCATCGCTATGTTGCTGTGCTGCTTTGGGCGTTTTTCTGTCATGCGGTTAGTTTTGTGATTGGGGTTGCGGCGCACTATGTGGGTGGTATGGAGGATTGGGGGATTGCGGGGGTGATGTTTAAGTGTGTTTTCTTCTATTGCTCATTCGAAGTCATCAGTTCTTAAGAATGAGGTCTGACGAGTTGATAGTAACACGACCTCCTACCCCCTCCTTCTAATCCAGAGTCTAGAAGAAACGGGCATCCTAAGCTCTCTACTAACAGAAGGTCAAGACATGAAATCGGCAATAGGCCGAGCAAAGAGTTACTTCCTAGTCTTCGCCACCGTCTCCTCCTGTCTAACCTTCGCCATCGGCCCCCGTTTAGTAGACAGCGAACACGCCCCCGAACCCGTGAAAGACGAAATGTCCAGCTCAGACGAGGAAACTACCTACGAAGACGACGAACCCCATTCCCCAACCGACGAAACTCACCTCCTCCTCCCCAACACCACCTCCTCATCCGCCCGCCATCCCAGCGTATCAAGCCTCCAATTCTTCCCCTCCCGCCGTCCCCAACCATCCTCAACCCACACAACAACAGCCAAAAACCTCACCCTCCACCGCCGCCCCTCCTTGATCCCCAAACCGCGCTGGTCCAAACTAAAAGAATCCACGAAATGGTGGCTCGTCCTGCTCTCCGACTTCCTCGTAGGTATTGGGGAAGCTCCGTTTTCCATTTCCTTTCTCGAGACATTGTCTATCCTTTTCCTGAAACACCAAAGATGGAAATGCTAACGTCCCCTCCCCATTACCTAGAACGCGCCCTTACTCGGCGCCGTGCTCGGCGCGGTCATCGGTCTCGTGCCTGTTCTTCATCGAGCGTTTTTCGCTGAGGGGGGGAATTTTACTGCGTGGTTAACTGCTAGTTTGAAGAGTATTGGGGGGCTGTTTGTACCGCTGCCGGTTGTTGTTGCGGGGGTGAGTTTGTGGAATGCGAGGGGGCAGGGAGGGTGGACTGTCGGGTGGGGGACGACTCTTTTTATTCTCGTGGTGAGGTTTATTGTTTGGCCTGTTTTGAGTGTCGCGTTGGTGTGGGGCATGGTGACGAGGACGAGCTGGTTAGGGAGTGATCCTATGTTGTGGTTTGCGATGATGTTGATGCCGACGGGGCCACCGGCTATGAAGTGAGTTTTGTAGTTTCTTGGGAAAGAGAGAGATGTGCTGAGAGATTGGGATAGGCTTATTACTATGATTCAGGTTAGTGATGCGGGGGAGGAGGAGGAGGCGAAGGTTGCTAAGCTTTTGACTGTATGTTTTGTTTTTGGTTGTAAAGTGGATCTGGCTGACTTGTGTAGATTTCGTATATCATCTCGCCGATTTTGGCTTTTACTGTGGTGGGTAGTTTGAAAGTTAGTCAGGCGGCGATGGGGTCTTGAGTGTAGAAAGATAGAGAGAGGTACTCTTACTCTTGGATTTTGGAAATAGATGCTGATACTGAGGGGAGAATGGGAATACTAATATTCGGAATCCTTGACCACTTTTAAATCTCCTGTGATTTCTGGAATAATCTCCTCGTCATTTCCTAAAAAGAGGAATTAATACTGTACATGAATAAAGAATGAATACTCCATGCGACCGCCAGTGTAAATTGTCTTGGCAGGGGCTTCGCTTAAGAAGGGGGTATTGAAGCAACTGCTCAGTGCTTTCGTGTTCACCAAGGCATTTGATATCTAGTGAAGCTTTGCCTACCACCCGTAACAAAATAGGCGATGACTTCTGCGGATTAGAAAAGACCTCATCTTATCTCCATTCATGACTTTCACTTTACTGGGCCGAAGCTCTTTACTACTCTTATTGCAGAATTGTCAGACAATAAACTGTAGCCTGCAAAAAGAAGATCAAATTTTGGTCAAACCTCTATGCTCTCTTCGTTCAACGAGAGATGATCCAGCCTGACAAACCGCAGCGCGAAGACAAGCACTTGCTCATACAGTCCTCTCTTCAAGCCTTCTCACAGCACCCTCTTCGTGGCTCCAAAAACAAGAACAAAATACGTGATGAAATGACACAAAACAGAAATCATCCCAGGGGAAGCACTTACTTCTTCTCACCCCTTCGAAACGACGGTTCCTCCCGTGTGCATCAGCCAGATAGTGACACCTCCATCTCCATCATCCATTCTCTACAGTAAAGCACAATAGAAAAAGAAAAAGAAGAAAAGGAATTCCAAATTCAAAACTCGCAAACGAGCTGCCAGAAAAAGAAGTCAGTACCCGTCCACGTACTAAAAGAAAAAAGAAAAAAAATTTACCACCCTCCACAATACCCTAACCTCCCCTCTCTCCCTCCCCTTGTCCCGGCCGTTCTCCCACACCACCTCAATCCCCAAAATCCCTCCTCCACAGCACAACACCTAGGTACAACGAAAGAAAAGAAAAGCAAAAGCAAAAAAAAACCAACCCCACCGTTTCATCCTCCCAGCATGCCAAACCCCGCCCGACGCAACGCATAACCGTCCGCACGCCGCGGCCTGATTGGTCGGAGGGCAGGCTGTTACAACGTTATGCGGATCGTGACGTTCCCGAAGACAAAATACAGTACTGGAGGTAGGGTTATGCGTACCCCTGATTTTTTGCGGGTTCCGGGGGTTGGAACTTGGCAGGGAGGAAGGGAGGGAGGATGGGAGAGTGAGTGAGTGAGTGTTCTAGAAGGTTGGATGATGATGATGATGATGATGATGATGATGATGATGATGATGGCAGGGAGGGGAGGGGGGAGGGTGTTGGATAGAGTGCTTGTGGAGGTCTGGAGGTTTTTACGAAGGACTAGGATTTTTTGATAGAAGGGGAATGAGGTGATGATGAGATTTAAGGAACGAAAACGGCGATCGATCGGGTAGGTCTAGATTTCCTGATCGATCGACTAGGTAGTTAACTATTAGGAGTACTGGGATTTTTGTTTGTTCAGAAAGATCCCGAGTGTGATTGAGGGGTACGCTATTTTCATCGTGGAGCAACAGTCAGGAAATTTACTGTGGTGGTTTGTTTCAAGTTGGCTTCGCGGGATGGAGAAGCCGTCGTTATCGATAGTCTCAGAAGAACTCTATCGGAGGAGCGCTGGGCGGATCCTGGTTCGTGTGTGTCGACCTCGGGATCTGGAGGGATTGGGTGGGTGTTGTATGCGCGAGAATGAAAGAAAGAATGAATGAATGGAATCCATGTGCCTCCTTGTAACACACGCGCGTGGGCACCGCGTCGTGTGCGTGGGTGGCAAGTTATTCATCTATCTGCTGCTGCGAGTTCCAGAAGTTATTTTGCCCTCTCTCTCATTTTGCTTGCATGTATGTGAATGATAGAGATAGGTGAGTGAGTGGGACGAAGGGGGCAAAGACCTGACGAGTCAAAAGGCGAAATGGATGCGCTGAGGAAGAACAGAATGCCATCTCAGCCCCAGCGGACCTATCTCGAGGCCGTCAGTGCCGCCGGAAGCGTTTGCGAGGCGTCGAGGGGCGTGTTCATTGGATGGGGCTTGCCGCGAAGGGGAGAGAAAGAGACCACAGAGAACGGAGGAGGACCTGCGTGAAGCAGGATGCAGCTGCTAAGAAGCTGTTGTTGGTGATTGAGAGGTTGTGATGCTTCATCGGATAGGATGGGCTGAAGTGTGATGTTGGATGGGAAAATATGCAGAGGACCGACCAGTGACTCGACGAAAGGATACTGTGATCTTCACTACGGATCCGAGTTGGGAACGAAAGGAATTTGGGCTGGTACCAGCTGAAGGGAAGAAAAAAGAAGTGAGGTATCTCAAGAACACAATACCAGGTGTAGATTCGGGTGAGGTGTGTATTGTGAATTTTGAGTTCTCGGAATGTTCCCCCCAAGCGGAAGGGAGATGCAATCTGCATTATGATGTTATAATTTTCAGTGCTACGGTACGGTACTGTCCTCGAACTCTGAGACGTGCAGAACGTGGGCTCTAAATTGGGAGGACAGGCTTCGGTACTGGGACTGGGAAACTCTCGATGCAGCACCAGACCAGGACCAACGGGGTCACCTCCAAGGGCCATCTTTGAATGTGAGCAAATCGGTAACTCAGGTCAACCTTACACCACACGCACACTTATTACACTTACTCGTTCAGTCGGTCATACTTGCACCATTATTACCCACTCGCTCTTACGCACTGGAACTCCCATCTTGCATCGACTGAATCCCAAGACATCAACTGGATCCCAAGAATCCATCGACCTCAATCGTGGGACTGACGGTGCAGTGTAGTGTAGTGCAGTACGTACAGTACAGAGTGGAGTGGATCGTAGGCCAGCGCTGCGCTGCACTGCACTGCACTGCACTGGGGGAAGCAACGGACATCACCTCACTGACAGGAACCTTGGCCTCCAGGCGACTGCTGCACTCGGGTGGGCTGTGGCCGCATACCGAACCAACGGGACTGGACAGAGGAGAGTGGACTCCAGTTATTCTGCACATCCACCATATACCTATCCTCCGTATATGATATCTGCCCTACTAATTATTTTGATTATTGCTCGAGTAGTTGCTATCGAATCTTCTGCTTCTTCTCCTTCTCCTTCTCTATTCTCGTACCATCTTCCCCCGTGGCAACTACAGTATTCGCAATCAAAATCTCCATCCATCATCCTTCACCATCCCTCCCCTCGCCCTCGCTGCCAACTGCCTGTCCATCTCCATCTCGTGCCCGGCATATCCCTCCCCTCGCGCCCATTCGACAATCACCCATCACTCTTCTCCACCCCCCGAGAAAAAAGCGCCTGTGCTTTCCTTGAGGGGCCACGCTAAACCCCTTCCGCACTGCTCCCAGGCTCTTTCCCACCTTCAGCACTCCTTCCTTCAAATTTACGCATACCCAACACACGCGCTGCAGGGAACAGAAGAGAGATTTGAGATTCCAGAACTCCTCCTGATTCATCTTATTGTTCGCCGCCCGTCCGCCCTTTCACCTCCCTCGAACCCTTCTCGACTCGAACTCGAACGTCGACATTTTCTTTGTCGTGTTGATTCACACGCCCGCCTTGATCGCCCATCGCCGGAAGAAGGAGTTGCGCAGAACAAACAAATCAGCCGGTCTGTGACGAGAGACTCCACCACCAAACCTACCTGCCGGCGTACACGGGTGCAACTTGCTCGGAGAGACTTTTGCTTTTGTCTGGCTGGAGGTGTGCGACGTGAAGCAAAGCAAACACAAACAATATGAAGGTTCGTCACCCCCCCTCCATCGATCGACTGCCATCCAGGGGATGCTGCTGCTGCTCCCGCCGCCGCATTGCGATGTGTATCTCCATCCTGAACGTGCTAACGATGCGACTCTTCCAGGCTCTCAGGCGGAGTTTGAAGAACGACAAGGAGAAAGTCAATCACATATCCATCACTCCCAAATCTGCGATTGCGATAGTCCCGCCAAAAAAGGTATGTCGGTCCATCATACGAGTGCGACTCACTGTGGGGACCTTGTTGACTCCCAGCGCCCATCTAGGTAATTCGCGCATTATACGACTATGAGGCTCAATCCAGCCAAGAATTATCGTTTCAGAAAGGCGACTTTTTCCACGTAATTGGACGAGAAAATGATACGGATTGGTACGAGGCATGTAATCCGGCGCTTCCAGATGCTCGAGGACTGGTTCCGGTGGCCTTTTTTCAGGCCTTGGGCAAGACTGAGCGAGATAGCGGACAATCCGATAAATCATCGCCACAGGCGGTGCGAATGCCCGATCACGACTCAGGATATTCCGATACTTCAGGTACGCTGGTAGGGACCGATACCGCGCGATCTTCCAAAACCATGGGCAAGGGAACCGGCGCGATGGTGTACGGGATAGTAATGTACGACTTTGCTGCGGAGCGGCCGGATGAATTAGACGCCAAAGCCGGAGAGGCCATTATTGTGATCGCTCAGTCGAATCCAGAATGGTTTGTTGCGAAACCGATTGGAAGGTTGGGAGGACCTGGATTGATTCCAGTATCATTCATCGAGATAAGAGACATGACTTCTGGCCAAGCAGTTCCGGACGCACAGGAGGCAGTCCAAAGGGCAGGCGTACCGAAAGTAGAGGAGTGGAAGAAGATGGCAGCAGATTACAAGAATAGTAGTATCACACTGGGAAAATTCGAGGCCGCGACTCCACAGCAGCAACAATCACTGGAACAGGGTATGGACCGAATGAGTATGCAGCAGAGACAATCAAATGGTTACGTATGTTTATTTGACAACCTTAACTTACCTCTAGCTAATGATTCACAGCAGCAGATCAGACAATCACAGCAAGTCAAGTCGATGCAGCAACAGGTCCAGCAGAATGCTTTCGCCGCGAAATCCTCCTCCCAACTTTATGCACCAATCTCAGCGCGAATACCTCGATACTGTTTTGCAGAGGACAAATATTGGTTTGTCATTGAAGCAGCACTGGAAGATGGGCGGCATTGGGAGTTATCGCGATACTATGAAGATTTTTACGATTTCCAGATTGCACTCTTGACGGAGTTCCCTGCGGAGGCTGGAAATACAGGAACGCAGAAGAGAACACTACCATATATGCCTGGACCAGTCAATTACGTTACAGACGCGATTACGGAAGGAAGGCAGCATAATTTGGATGCTTATGTCAAGAATTTGCTTACTCAACCACCATACATCTCGAGGTGTACTTTGGTCAAGCAATTCTTTGCACCAAGAGAAGGAGATTACGAGATAGACCCCAATGCTGCCAATGAGGAATACAGACTCTCCGGAGGTTCTCAACAGTCATCCAGTGATTCGCCAACGAATGGAGCTTCAAGGCAATCATCTCGAGGTAATCTGAATGGTACTGGTTACTCGGGACTATCAGCTGCTCCAGCTCCAGGTCTCCGAGCAAACGGTGGACAACCAACTCGACAGACTTCCACTCTGTCTCAATCAACCAGCTCAGCATCACCAGGTCTGAATGGTAGCCAACAGCCTTCTGCAATCAAGATCAAGATCAAAAAGGGAGATGAGACAATTGCCATTCGTGTTCCTACAGAGATCCAATTTCAACAATTGTATGATAAGATCAGGGACCGATTGAGGATTCCTGATGACGAGGAAATGGCTCTCTCATACAACGACGAGCCAAGTGGAACACGACCAAGCTTGTTAAGCAACAACGATCTGGACATTGCTCTACAGAGGAACGACAAACTCATGTTATATGTTGAACCCATGTGAATTGGGCATTGAATTCAACTGCTGGCAGCTCGCCGGTCGACAATTTACTTTGGGCAGGCGAAACCCAAACCTTACAGTACTAACAATACAATTCTTAATCTGCTTCAGATGTACAGACATTTTTACGATGGTGGTAATAGTTGCTTTGTGCAGCCAAATCCACACTCACTATTCGGTCATCAAATCGCAGATCTCCTATTCTGAAAACAAATTTCTAGCGGAGGATTCGAGTGGGATATAGGGGGATATCAAGGCGTTTCAAGGTGTTTGGTGTGAAATTTCCTTTGCGTCGAATGAGGATTGCATATTATGAATCAACTGGACATACCATGGAATTTCTTTTGTTCGCCGTGGGTTGAGGAAATGGAGGGAAAGGGCTATCATTGCTATCATTGCTATCATTGCGGGCGAGCGGTTGATGAAATTGATGGGATGGGATGGTGGTATGGAATCGAACGGATACATGGATTGAACTGAGCGTATGAGATAACTAAGCCGAGCAATCTTAAAAGCAATCATGAGATATACTTTTCGAGTGGGTGTGAAGAGAGTGAAACTTGATATCGATTTGCCGAGATGTCGCCTCGCTTCTGAGCAGGCGACCCACTTATTTTAGTCATTTCTTGATGCCTCAGACTACCCCAGCCATGCTTATCCTGCCATCGACATAACCCAACGTCAATTCAAACTACCCTCTTATATCTCCCCACAACAACAAACCTCCAGTATACCCTGATCGACCCCCCTATCCAGATTCTCGGCTCTGCTCTCAACCCAGCATACGAATAACTGCTCTTCGATCCCGTCCTCCCTTTCTCCCTCGCCGGGCTCCCTCGGACCTCGAGGCCGTCTCCTCCCTACCTCCGACCTCGACGCCGAATCAGCTCCCTCCCTCTCTCCCTCCCTCGAAACAAGTACACGGCCAAGAGGATACCAAGAAAAGAGAAGAGAAGAGAAGAGAATGCCACCCCTCCACCTCCGGCAAGAATTCCCGACCCTCAAAGCCTTCAAAGAGGCCCTGCACGCCTGGGCCATCGAAGCACACTTCGAGCCGCGCATCCTGAAATCAGACACGGGCCGCGTGCGCGTCGGCTGCAAGCGCGACCCCAACTGCCCGTTCGTCATCCGGTGCAACTGGGAGCGGAAGAATGGCCGGGAGCCTCTGGCCCGGGTGACGGTGTTGAGGGATAGACATACGTGTTTGAATGCGCTGGAGTGGAGGAGCGCGGGAGGTGGTGGCGGAGTTGGGGGAGGAGGAGGAGGGATGGGGATGCCGGTGCAGATGAGTGCCGCGGGGATGGTGGGCGGGATGGTGGGGCAGATGCCGGGTTTGGAGATCAGGCAGGATGAGGATGGGAATATTGTGGGTGGTGCGAGGGTGTTGGGGCCGATGCCGCCGAAGCAGACGCAGCAGCAGCAGCAGCAGCAGCAACAACAGCAGCAGGACCCGAATGGGGTGGTGGTTCCTGTGCTGCCGAAGGTGCAGAGGAATTCGGCGAGTCGGTTGCCGTTTTTGATGGAGATTCTGCCGCGGTTGATGAGTATTAGCAAGGAGACGACGCCGGTGGAGATTAGGGAGTGTTTGTTGAGGGAGTATGGGGCGGAGGTGCATTTGCAGCAGTGTCGGAGGGCGAAGACGGAGATTTTGAAGAAGAGGGCTGAGGGGGGAGGTGGGGTTGAGGGACAGCAGGTGGGTGTTGAGATGGAGACGGGGCAGGGACAGCAGGGCGGAGGCGGACAGAGTTTAGATGGCATGGGAGGGAGCGAGAGTGCCGGGGATGGGAATACAACTTTATTCGGGAGCGAGTTGAATCAGGGCTCGAATGGGATGAATGGTGTGAATGTGAATGTCAATGGAGAGGCGGCCCATCAGCAAGGGTTTGAGTTGCATACTGCGAGTGGAGTGGTGATTCCTCAGGTGCCGAGTCGGAGGGAGGCGGCATTGAATGCGGTGGGGGAGCAGCCGGTTAGGTGTCCGTATTGTGTTAATCATCGGTGGTTGAATAGTATCAAGGATGCGGTGGAGCATATGAGTATGCATGTTGTTGTGTAGGAGGGATGAGAGGAGGATGCAATGAAATAGGAACAGCTACACCAGCGACGAAAAGAGGTGATAAGTCAGATGAATGATGGTAATGAGTAAGTCAATTCTATCTTTCAGAATGTCTAGAACTGACGAGAAGTAGATGGCTACAAGAAGGCATAGATGAGAGCCATACATGTACGGTACAATACCCAACAGCGCTGCCTAGCTTTATAGACCTCGCTTCATAGAAAGACAAAGCACTATACCATGCTCGGGTATAGCAACAATGAACAAAATGAGCAATAAACCCTATCCAATGTCTATACGTCCCTTTATCGTGAAGAGAAGTGACGAAAGCGAGTGATGTAGGACTCGCTTAATTCAGGGGAACTGGGGAGGTCTGAGCTTCACTTTGAGAGATCAAGAATGAGAGAGAATGAATCAAAAATCAAGAGTACATCAGTCAATAGTAGGAAAGTTAGCTACAGTACTTTCATCCTGTACACAAAGTGAATTTTCAAGATTGGCTACGTTTCTTGGGAGAAACTTGAGTGAATAAACAAACCCCGACTCAGCCCGACGCACGCTAACAACTTTCTCACAGGTATATAAACCCTTCAACCTGACCTAACGCTTTCGGGAAATGCGACGGAGAGAAGAGAGAAGGTGGTGATACTATGTATCCTTGGGTGTTTGCTCTTTTGGAGCTAGGATCTAGGGATGGAGGAGAGGGGGGATGGAAGACGGAAGGGAAGGGGGTTTGGTGGGATGGTTGGTTAATGTTGTTGAATAGTGTTTTGTTGTTAACCGGCTCTTTTTCGTTGTCGATGAACCTTGTTGGCTTTCAATAGACGGACCTTTTTCATTGCCAACACCCATTTGTTGCTGCGAGTGACAACTATCATGCGTATTGGTGTATTCACCTCTTTTACTGGCTAATTAATCCACAGTCGTGGATTTCTCTGATAGGTTTGTACAACTACCCCGCTATAAATCTACCTCAGATTCCCCGAATATCTGCTCTCTCTTTCTTTCTTGGATAATTATTCTGTGCTTCCAAACCTCCGAAGTTTCAAACTCGTCCATATCTCAGCATAAATCATGAGATATACCTTCACATCAACGTCCCGAATCGTGGCACGAGGGCCAAATGATAAGCCGGATAATGACACGGATTATGGGAGTAAAGTACTAGTTTGTGGGATGAATGGTGAGGAGGAAGAGGATGCGGTGGCTGGTATGATGCTTCGGAGATGGGATGGTTGTGAGGATTTGCTGACCTTTTAGAGCGTGGGTGGATGTAAGGACTGGGGCTGGGTAATGTGTGAGAGAAGGACTTGAAGTTGGATGGTGGTTTGGAGGCGTGATTCTGGTTCATGGCTCTCAGCTGCTGCAAGTCTGGCTGTGGTTGTTCAGAAACTCTAGTTTGGAAGGGAGGTTGTGATGAAAGTCCTGAGCATCTACCCGGATTCCCACCCTTGTTTCGAAGCCTATTTGGCGCTTAAGACATCCAAACCCCTGTTTAATCCTTCTTGGACAAATACATCTCTCATTACTAGCCGAAACCCTTCAAACTTGAAAGTGCAATCACCATAAAATCAACCCACTCTCCCCAATCACCTTATGGCCATCCAAGCCCCTCTCAGGAACCCCACAAGATAAGCCTCATCCCACAATCAAGCTTTCTCCGCATCCCCTGAAAGCAGCGAAGCCCTCACATTGGTGAACTTTCCCGGCACGTGGACTGATACTGGCTGCCACACTGCATGAGCTCGCGGCCCCCAAATCTAGACCGGCGGCGGGAGGGTTTAAGATGTGGGCATTTCCCGATTTTCTTTTCTTTTCTTCAACCTTCTTCCAACTACTATTCAGCTGTAGTCTTGTTTGACAGCTCAGCAAGTGTCTCGATAGCCTGGATTCGAAGTGAAGATTGTTAAGCGATACGATGGCGAAGTCTGAGAAAGCGGATCAGACGATCTACGACGCCATACGACCGGATGAGAAGCCGAAGCCGGATCCGAAGCCTGTGAGGGATACGGATTTTGGGAGTAATCCTCCGAGACGGGAGATGGGAGGTATTGGGGATGATCGGATGGAGTGATGGCTTTGCACAGGATGGGATAACAGTTGATCGAGGTGAGTTGGGAGGTTTCGAGAAAGATATAAGGAAGCTAATCTGAATCAGTGAACGATGTGATACGGAAACAGAAGTTGACGAAGAGAATTGAGGCTCAGTTTGATGATAATTGTGTCTTATTGTGGGATCTTCGGAGGATAGCTTGTGCGGTGGGAGTTTAGACATGGCTGCGGAGGACGCTTTCGACGCATCGCATTTATGGTTTTATGGTTATGAAGGTTGATTAGCATCAACTAAGAGCAAAGTAATTTGTCCTGGAAATCATCTGCCCACGAGCAACGAGTCTTAGAACTTGTCCCTAAACTCATCAGAACACTTCGCGTGCCACGAATCTACCACTTTGCTTTGATATCAGATGAATCCTCTGTGGTGGCTTCATGAAGTTGTGTCTGAACGATCTCGAGGTAAATTGCATTAGCTTGATCGTGCTTGCCAATATAGAGAGGGTCGCACCTGCCACCACAAATATAGTCAACTCAAGAGAAAAGACTTTTCTTTCGAACATTTGCTTCCAATCCGTATAGTATCCATCATCGCTATATTAATATCCTAATCATGGACAACCAATCGATCCCCATATCATCAGCGGTCCAAAAGAAAGACTTCACTACCAACAACGTCTGTCCAGTCTGCAAGAATCTCGACCCAACAAACTTCAACAACGAACCCTTGGTCAACGCTCACTTTGACTCCCTGAGGGCTGTTTATCACCGTCCACTACAACGAACTATACACTGTCACAGCACCCTACGTGTGAATCTTGTTGCTGGCGTAAAGAAGGGTTGTGAGACCTGCAGACTTCTTGATGATGCAAGAAGAGGCATTGCCAAAAATTCACTAGATCTGTACGTCCTATTCAACCATTCCAATCAGAGCCACTTGCATGACATGTGCTGACTCCTATTAGGTACCAATCCCACATATCCATCTTCATTTTGCATGCCGGGGATCCGCTACGATTCGTTCTTTCGAACAAGACTCTCTCTTCGGATGAAATGGTGGATAGAACGATCTCAACTCACTACATTACTGGACTTTTATTCACTCGAATCAAGTCCGATATTCCCACACATCATTACATTGCATTCTGACATTGAGCAGCTATCGCGGAAATACAGTCCCAGGTATCGGACGAGCACGCAATATCGATTTCGACGCAACCTCCAGCAGAACACTGGACCTTGCAAGGGCGTGGCTGAACGACTGTATCACCACTCATCCAGAATGCCGAAGTAATACTAGCCGCAAACTCCCCACCAGGGTGATCAATGTTGGAACTTCAAACAGTGAAGTGCGACTTGTGGAAACGAACGGAAGTGAAGGTCGATATGCTACACTCAGTCATTACTGTAAGCTGTGTATCAGTGAAGTCTATCGCGTGTGCTAACGCTTGACAGGCGGCAAAATTCATCCACCCCTCACAGAGAATGAAACACTTGAAGACAGAAAGCAGGGCATCCCAGTCGAAGATCTGCCGAAAACCTATCGAGATGCAATCATGGTGACTCGCGGACTCAAGCTACGATACTTGTGGATCGAATCCCTTTGCATCATTCAAGATGCTAGAGATTACATAAAGGAAATGGCTGCCATGCAGGATATTTTTGCAAATGCAGTAATAAACATTTCGGCTGACGATAGTCTGGATACGATCGATGGTTTATCTTCAATACTAAGAGCCTTCGGAGCAGGCCAAGAAATCGCTCCTGGAATCTATGTACGCCGTAACTTGGGCGCAGTAGACTCTTGCGGACTTTCACACACTAAAGATGGCCATCAACATATTTTAAGGACTCGAGCTTCGGTACTACAGGAACGTATGCTCTCTCGTCGCATACTGCACTTCTCTGCTTACGAGCTTGCGTGGGAATGCGATACCAATGTGCGGTGTGAGTGTTCGTCTCATATCAGACCAGCAAGCCAAAGGCCGATGCGGAAATGTATAAGGGAGCAAAACAGTGATGCTCCAACTAACATCAATTATAACAATCTTTGGAGTGACATTTGCTCAACTTATTCTAAACTTAACCTGGGTCGAGACTTCACCACGTTAAACACTATCGCTGGACTGGCTTTCAGAGTTGGTGAAAGGTCTTCCAAGACGTATGTAGCGGGATTATGGAAGGAAGATCTTCCATGTGGCCTCCTTTGGCGCACGGCCGCGACGGTGAAGAGGAGGAGGGTAGACTTTCCTACATGGTCATGGGCATCCTCGACTGGAAAAGTTGCCATACCGAAAGACCAGAGCCCTTACAAGAATCAAAAACCCGACGACTGGCTGAAGATCATGAAAGTTGTGTGCGAGAACAACTATACAATGTTCTTTCGAACTGTTCACAGCCGTATGATGCATGGGTCAGGATGGATGTCTCATGTGCGCTTGGAAGGGGAGCAACCCGAAATGTATTTCATGAATTTGTTTCATCCACATACGAGGAGTGGGGATGCAGTTCCCAAAATGAAAGAGGTGTTTATGGAATTCGACGTTCCAGGCAAGCTTGTCGACACCACTTGTTATCTTCTCTTTGTGGCGCTGTTGGATGCAATGTATTTCTTGGTCCTCCAACATACGACCGCCTTCATCGGAGTCGGGAACTCGATATCGTGCTACAAGCGAATTGGGCGTTGTGGCGTTATCATCGATATAGCGGACTTTGAGGAATGGAAGGCTCTGCTACAGCTTCGAAAGGAAGAAATTGTGTTGGTCTAGTTCAGAACAGACTTGTACTTTCGAGCGAAATAGAATTGTCCACAAAATAGCCAAAATCACTAAAAACAGCAGAATCACCACCATGTGAACTACACATTTTCTAATTTCTTGATGACCTTGCAAGGCACCCCACCAGCCACCACCCCTCCTTCAATATCTTTAATCACAACAGCACCAGCAGCAATAGTCGTCCCCTTCCCAATCCTAACACCAGGTAGAATCGTAACTCTTATCCCAATCCAGCAATCATCCTCAATTACAATCGGGTATGCAAACGAAGCACCACTTTCCTTTCGAACCACCGGGTCTGTATCATGAGTTCCGGTCATGATACAGACTCCGGGGCCGATCAAGACATTGTTGCCGATGTGTACTGGTGCGTTATCGTGGATTGTGACTCTGTTAAGGAGTAAGAGGAAAGAAGCGGTGAGATAAAGGAGGGACGCACTCGCGATTCATATAAACTCCATCTCCAATGAAGGTGTTACATCCCCAGATGCAGTAGAACGGAGCTTCGATATTGACGCTTGAACCGAGTTTACCCATCATCTGAGCTAATATTTGCACACGGTGTTGCTTTAAGTACTTGATTGTGCTATGTTCTGGGATGGGGAGATCGTTGTAAGAGACTAGTTTTCTCATGATTTCGAGTTTGTGGTCTTGCATCAGGTCGGACTTTGCTGCGCTGAAACTTGATTGGGGCTTAGCTGGGTTGACCGAGAGCTGGAGAGAAGAGAGGTACTATAAGCCCGATATCATCTTTTCGAATTCATCGCACCAAGGGACGGAGACTTGGCTGAGCTTGACTTGCTCTATCATGGCCGGGTTCTTCTTGGATGCTGCCATGGTTGACGCGTGGTTCCGAGAGAGGGAAAAAAATACGGAAAGGAAGACGATTAGGAGTGACTTTTGAAATCCAGGATACTTGATCATGTGCCATAAGACGATCGAGTTTATATCCCAACGGCCATCACTGACTGGCCGGGGAAGAACGGATCACATCCGGTAGCACTGAAGCACGGACGAGTTCCTGTTCCACGCGACGACGGTAATGATAAGGATGAGGGCACTTGCTCTCACTCTTCCGACAGCAACAAGGCAAAAACAGCCATCGAATAGGAGAGGTTCCGCAAATTGTCGCCGGAACTAAACAAGCGTTGAGAAAGGTGGGTATTCTATTGACAATGCCTAGGCATTTGTAGAAGTCGAGATTCGCCATTAACGCCATGCTCCTGATATGTACTGTCGTTCCTGACATCCAATACTTACATCCTATAACTCTTTCTCCTTCTTAACTGCCGCCCTTTGTTTTTGTTCCAATATCTGCTCTCGTCCGGTAGCGGGGGAATCGCCAACAGCTTCTTTCCCACCAAATGTCTCGAAGCCCTTGTGGAATATCCATTCAACAGTCTTCTCGACGGGTTCATCGAATATAAACGGCAATGCTGGTACAGCTGCCAATCCCAATCCGATAGGACCCCACGTTCGTACTCTTACGTTCTTGACGTTCTTCATAGCTCTTCCGGAGTATCGGACGATCGAGTGGATTGTAAATGCTGGTAATCCCATTGATGCTACAGCCTGGAAGATAGCTCTTTGAGTCATAACCGTTCTATAATCGTTGATCGGCAAAACCTTCTGAGGCGTCAAGGATATTCCGGCTTCATGAGCCGCCGTATCCGGGCTTGTCGCTGTCTGGGCGTCGTTATATCGTTCGTGGGCAGCTATTCGAGGTAACGAGGGATACATCGTGCGTTGGTTGCTGCAGTATGCCTTGTATCCTTCGTGTGCCACATCTCCAACTAGATATGCCCAGGAAACACCGTACGCAGCTCGAACCCAATTCGGATGGGCGACTGGTCTGAATGATTCTCCAATGTCTGAAGTGTATGCTACGTATCGTTGTGCTGAAAGAAGAGCTGTCCGTATTCGACTTGCGTAGGCAGCATATCGAATACTGCTTTCTGTAGATTGAGGGGCGCTGGGAGGTATTAGTTAGGATACAAGCAGAAGTATCGCGAGAGCAATTGAAAATTGCTGCCCAAATTGCAGTTTCTAACTTACGTTCCGTCGTATAATTCATCATAAAAGTTATCCTCCTTATCTGCCCTGTCAACGAGCTTCTGCAATCCAGGTGGAAGCTTCTCCGGTTCTGGTAGCCCTTTGGGAGGGGAACCTCGAGATTTATTCGAGTCGTTTCCAGACATTTTTGAGTAATATGATTGAAAAAGGGGGTGAAAGTGCGGGCGAGAATTTCAAGTATCTCGTAGCACTTTTATTGTCTGGCGGCGAATAATTTCGGAGTTGTAGGAAAGGATACAACGAGATATTCTAGGAAGCTCGGCTGTGTCCGGGGAAGTGACGAAGTGGATTCTCCCGCATTGTTTCTTTTGGTGCCTGAGGCTGAAGCCGAGCTTTTGGAGCTCGACTTTGAATTTACTCCATTGTCAACCACCAAGCTCAACTCCTACATTACATCCCACCTCTACACGAAATCCTTTCCTTAGACCTCAATCCGTCAAGATGGTCCAAATGTACACCATTGCCGGTCGCCAAGTTGGCTCACACTTCGTAAGCAACCTCCCGATCCTGCAAAGGAGAATCTGTTCCGATTTCACCTGCGCCAATTGGCATTCCAGGATGTATCATACAGCTTTTGAATGGATTGCTAATCGATTTGGGAACTTCTAGCTTGCGATGGCTACACTCAGTCTGTTGGGAGTTGGATCCTATGTAGGAATGGGAGGGTCAGCAGCAAAGAAGACTCAACAAGGACCACCAATTAATGCTGGAAGCCCTGACGAGGAGAGCTTTATCAAGTATGTTCTGCATCTACGAATCGGAATACTACAGTTTAAGCAGCCCTAGATGTGAACCAATGGCTAATCATTCTCAGGGATTTCTTAAAGAATGCCGAGGCGGACGAGAAGAAGGGAGGAAACGAGAAGGCGGCACACTAGATTTGGGAGTGATGATTGATGCAGAGCGAGGGCTGGACCGTTCGATACCATGACGGCCATTCTGGTGTACATATACGTCGAGAATAGAGAATTCATCGTTTGGGAATTTCTGCTCCGAGAATCCGAGGCGTTATGCTGCTCTTACATAAATTGAATGACTTTCCAAGTCTACAATAGGTGCTCAGAGATGTTTTCAGACGGTCTTTCTTCACACAACAAGCTGTTGTCGTTTCATATCCTCTTGTATGGTTCAATTGGTGCGAGGGTACAATACTTTTATACAAGACAGGACGACTTGCGTCGGAGTCTCTTGTAATTCTTGAGAAGCTCGACATTACCACTCCAAGCTACCTTTCTTCCTATATTTTTCTCTTTGGGTGTGTGTAGCATTGAAAGGAAAGAATCCCGAAATACCGTTGAGCGCCCCCTATTGTATGGATTGTTGCGCAAATCAACCCAACTCTGAATGTTTCTACTGCTCTAGCTGAAACTATGCAAGTACGCCTTTACTTTCTATACAATGGTAGCTAAACCGTGAAAGATTTCACTCCGATACTCTTCCTTCTGTAACCTTTAGCAAAGACCATGAACCCCCCTAATCGAAGATACCCAACGCATATACCACATATACTATACTCTCGATTAATGTATCTATTCAGCAAATCAGAGACTCACCGTATCTAGCTCCTCAAGCTCCTCAAGCTCCCGGTCTTTCTATACAATATAATACATACACGTGACCTTTAACTTTGACCATTCTTGGTGCCTTGGTGCCGTCAAAGCCCGAACATTCCAAACCAGCTCCCTACAGCTTTATTTGCTACGTGTAAATGAGACCCCGCATTGCTCACACTTCCCCAGGAATCGATGTAGGTTGCGTTCGAGTTGGCATTAAGTTGCACTAGTTCTTTCCTTTTGATTTAGCAACCTTTCTTTCCCCCAACTTCTCTTGTGTCCCAAGCCCTCAAGGACAATGGCAAGTGTAACAAACGCAGACATCACAGTGGTTCCGACGAAAGTTGAAGTATTAAAGCTCATTCGACACCAGATATTGAAACTCCTTGCTGACAATCATAGATCATTGATCGATTAGCTGAGGCCAATGGCAAATTGAAGTCAGTTACTTGCCCTTCTAACCCCACCATCCTAATACCTCCTAGAGCTTTCGCAGCACCGAAAGATCAAGTTAGCATTCTACAATACCAGTCAACATTCGGTGATCTCTTGGGTCCCTCTCCAACCCACTCTCTGCTGCTCTCGACCGAAGGGACATCCCACAATCCATTCTTCCACGAAGCCTGCGTTTTCCTACCTAAGTATGACGAAGTCTACATTACCTCAAACCTCCTCCAAAGCACATCATCTTCTACGTTCCCAACCATCCTAATCTCTCGAGTCAAGCTCCACCGCGGCGAAAAGGACAATGTGCACAAGGTCGAATGGGCGAAGATGCGTCCACCACCAGGAATCGATATGCCGAATGGAGGGGTAAACTACGAAGATGGCATATTGTTCTGTGCACAAGGAACTTCTGCATCAGGAACTGGTGGCATATACTACATGCCGAGAACAGCACCTCCAAAAGCTATGGTAACAAATTTCCATGGAAGGGATTTTAATTCCGTGAATGATGTGGTGGTCAGCAAGGACGGGTGTATTTGGTTCACGGATCCCTGGTACGGGCACGAGCAAGACTTTCGATCGAGACCAAAACTTCCAAATCAGGTCTATAGATTTGATCCAAAGACTGGGGATATCAGAGTAGTGGCGGACGGGTTTGGGAGATGTAATGGATTGTGCTTTGATTTCGGAGAGACGGTTTGCTATATTACGGATACAGATCAGATCCATGGAGACGGCACGAAAGATTTAATGAGGCAAGTACTCTTGTTTATGGAGGATAATTTGGCTAATGATTCAGACCGGCTACGATATATGCTTATGATATAATTACCAGAGCTGGAGCTCCCTTTTTGGCCAACAGAAGAGTATTTGCTTATGCAGCAGTAGGCTTTCCAGATGGCATCAAGTGCGACCTTCAAGGCAACGTTTATTCGGGTTGTGGTGATGGAGTCGAAGTTTGGAATCCGGCTGGGACGCTTATTGGAAGGATTATGGTTCCTGGTGGTGTTGCCAATTTTTGTTTTGGTAAAGATGGTGAGATGTTTCTCTGTGCTGAGCAGAAGCTGTGGAGATTGCAAATGACGAGGACAACGAAGGGCGCATTACTTGGTATTTGAGAAATTATTGGCGCCTGAACCTTAGACTAGAGTATTCTAACTATCGCATTGAACATTTATGATAAGAAGCCAGGGAATGGTCTGCAATGCCTCGGAGACTATGTGATACTACTGCCGGCACAGTGCCGATAGCTTTAACCCGCATAAGAATTTAGTTGCGAGTCTACAGTAAATGCGACTAAGATCTACCTTGTCATTCTGCAACTTTGTTACTAGCTTCGGTGAGGCTTCTAGATGCGAATCGTTTTACGTGAGATCACGATATTCGGTTTTATGTACTCTAAACTCCATCACGGGGCCGATCTAAGCCGTGATCATTAAACATGATCATCAGGACTACAATTGTGAGGCCGTCAAAAAACGTACGTATCTGCAAGAATGTATGTTCTATCAAGCTTTTCAAGAAGTATAAATAGTAGGAAATCCACCAACCTTTCCGATTTCAATTCATTACCATTCGCCTTCTCACTAAGATCATATAAATCTTTTATTTTCTTCTGATTTAAATTCTCAAAATGTCCTCAAAGATCATCCTCACAACAGGCAGCAATCGCGGAATAGGTTTCTCCATCGTTCAAGCTCTCAGTCTCCGCTCACCTCAAAACACCTACATCCTTGCCTGTCGCTCTCCCACATCCGGACAAGAAGCCGTCAAAGAACTGCAAAATCTGGGAGTGAAAGCAAATCTCGATGTCATCGAGCTAGATATCATCAACGATGAGACAATCATCAATGCTGCAAAATATGTTGAGTCGAAATACGGACGATTGGACGGTACCACTCTCTCACTACATAAAGGAGACTCAAGACTTACAAAGTGTAGTGCTGGTAAACAACGCAGGCATAGCCCAACGCCCAAAGTCTGACTCGTTACACGATATCCGAGAAAACTTCGCAACAACATTCAACGCAAACGTATCCTCCATCCTAGCAACAATCACCACTTTCCTCCCTCTGCTGCGAAAATCCCAATCGCCTCGAGTAATTAACGTCAGTTCAGGCCGGGCAAGTATCACCAGGAGCGCGACTGGAAAGTTGCCTCCTACGGCAGTAGTGAGTTATGGTGTTAGTAAGAGTGCATTGAATGCTTTGACGGTCGAGTTGCAGAGAGCGGAGGATGTGAATGAGGGTGGGAAGGTGGAGTACTTTACGATTAATCCAGGGCATTGTAAGACTGCTTTTAACGGGTTTAAGGGAGCGAAGGATCCACTTGATGGTGCGGAGGTGGTTGTTCAGCTGGTCGTCAGTGAGAGGGGGATGTGGAAGAAAGGGGCATTTTGGGAATTTGAGGAGGGTGGGATGAGGGAAGTTCCTTGGTAGCAGATTGATGTAGAAACCTGAATGAATTGCAATGAAATATACTAGCTCAATTTGTACATTATAATGCCCAGATTAAATCAAAAGTCGGGAAATAATTTGACAAAAGGAATCCGCTCTTGTTAACATCTCATCACTTTGACTTCTCTGCAGCCTGGATCTTCTTTGTGACAAGAGGAATCTTGACAAGATTTCCAAGTATCAAGTCCTATACAAATCAGCAATAGAGCAGACCCTGCAATTCAAGCGACTTACCCAAATTGTTGACCAACCAAAAGCACTCACAGCCCAAATAGTCCATGCATCACTTCCCTCCCAATGGTGCACTTTGGGTTTTGACTTCAAAGCATTTGCAACAACCGACTTAGCATAACGATCAACATCCATAGCAGACTTGACAAATGAGCCGTTCAGTACGAATTCAATTTCTTCACTTGCTGGTGCATAGATGGAGTTTGATGGTAGATGTTGAGTTGGCAAGTTGTCGAAGAACTTGGTTTTGACCCCTCCCGTAATGACATTGATAACCTTGACTCCAAAAGGAGACAACTCAATCCGAAGATTATTGGAGAGAGCTGCAACAGCTGCTTTGGTGGCATTGTAGTATCCTTGCCACGGCATAGGTGATACACCAGCAATTGAACCGATGTTGATGATTGTGCCCTTGGATGCGATGAGAAGTGGTGCGAATGCTTGGGTCACTGCAATCAGAGCGAAGACGTTGAGATCGAATAGATCTCTAGCCCCTTCCCTAGTGGTGTCAAGCAATGGAAGACTGTATCCTGTGCTCAAATTAGAACAGTATCAGGTTCACTCGAAATGTCGCTTACCTCTACCGGAGTTATTAACCAAGAAGTCTAGTTTCCCACCTGTCCTTGTCTTCACTTCTTCCACAGCTTCTTTGATTGAGGCATCATCGACGACATCTAGCTTGAGGACTTCTAGACCCATGTTTTTCAGGTGCTGGACTTTGGTGAGGTTTCGAGCAGTTGCGAAGACTCGAAGACCTTTCTTGTGAAACTCTTTAGCTAGAGCATCTCCGATACCACCTTCACTTGACCCAGTGATTAGAACTGTCTTTTGAACCATTGCTGAAGTTGGTGTAAGTTGGAGTAGGGGTTGAATGACAAGACAAGACTTTATAAGGGAGACTTGAAGAAATTAGAGGATGAGACGAATAATCCAAACTTTTTGGGTTTTATGAAGAGAAGACACTTGTGGGATTGACTCGAATACTTATACCACGAATGTTGAAGAGTAAACATGTCGGAATCCTATTGTATTGTTGCTCCCGGTATGAAATTGGCCCGCTCGCATTCAATGCGCGATGAGGGGCTGCGAAAAAACCCGGACCAGCAGCTGCAAAGTGATAACGACGCTATGCCGAGAAACTTCTCTTATTGTGCAATAGACCTATGAGAAATATATCCACCTGGTGCACTAAAGTTGATGATTCATACCTTGGCTTGGTCAGCGAAAAGAAAGAGGTTGAAGTTGTCCCGATCCCCACGCGCTAGTCCATATATGGAAAAAGGTATGGCATCCCTGCTCATCGCGTCTTCAAAAATCACTCTACGCGTCTGGTACAATTGTTCCTCAACATTTGGTACAATCCAACAAAACAACCATGGCACCCTCAATTATGGAAACAGAACCTGCGCCTGACGTGTCATTGAAGGCTGAAGCCAAAGTTGCACAAAATGGAACTCTTAGACACGAAGAATACCAATACCTCGACCTCATTCGCGAGATCCTCGAGACTGGAGAACATAGACCAGACAGGTATCTTCCGCGAAGAAGGGGCTTCCAAACCATGCACTGACAGTTCCTACAGAACCGGCACTGGCACATACTCTTTGTTCGCTCCAAAGCCTCTCAAATTCTCCCTTTCCTCTTCGGACGGCACCCCGATCCTGCCCCTCCTCACGACAAAACGCGTCTTCCTGCGAGCTGTAATCGCAGAACTTCTCTGGTTCGTCTCGGGCTCTACATCTTCCCTGCCACTTGCAGAAGCTGGTATTAAGATTTGGGATGGCAATGGATCGCGAGAATACCTAGATTCAGTTGGACTCTCCCACCGAGCTGTCGGTGACTTGGGACCTGTCTATGGTTTCCAATGGCGACATTTTGGAGCGGAGTATGTCGATGCGCAAACGGATTATACAGGGAAAGGCGTGGACCAACTTGCAGAAGTTATTCACAAGCTAAAGCATAATCCTTATGATCGACGAATCATTCTCAGCGCATGGAATCCAAAGGACCTGAAACTTATGGCTCTACCTCCATGCCATATGTTCGCCCAATTCTATGTCTCATACCCGAAGCTAGAAAATGGAGAGAAGGGGCAAGGAAGACTTGATTGTCAGCTCTATCAGCGCAGTTGCGACATGGGACTTGGTGTTCCTTTCAATATTGCAAGCTATGCTTTGTTGACGCATATGTTGGCACATGTTTGCAACTTGATACCTGGGACTTTCACGCATACTATGGGAGATGCACATGTCTACATCGATCATGTAGATGCTCTCAAGGTCCAGTTGACCAGAGAACCTAGATCATTTCCCCAGCTGGAGATTGCAAGGGAGAAAGGCGGGAGTATTGATGGGTGGAAAGTCGAGGATTTTGTGGTTAAGGGGTACGAACCACACAAGGGGATTGCAATGAAGATGTCTGTGTAGATTAATGGGACAGGAGTATACGGGTTTGGATGCATGATGAATACGATTTATTGATACTTTTGCAACGGGAGTCCTCAGGTTTCCTCTGACTAACCATGTGCAAGCATTCGCCACTGCTGACTTATAGGTAATCATCAGAAGACAAGCTGCTACATATCTCCCTCCTCTTATCACCTACATGGCAAGCGCCGAATCTCCGGATATGATTTTCTTCTCATGAAGAGTATTCCAGCGTTTTTGTTTAGCAGAGTAGAATGGACGATTCTGTCTACGATAATTTATCCCCCTCGTGTACTAAAATCTTCTCTGATCATACCTTGGATCGACTTCCTACAGAGTTAGCCGAATGAGAGTTCCATTCCACCCTTGCATCAATGATCAAGTCTGAACTTGACGATTGTCGGTTATGTACTTTGATACCTTCGTCTAGCGATGTACTCAGAAAGCTTGTAGAGGGGATGAAAGACAATGCTGCGTCGACAGTGTTTCCTGGTACCGCACTCTGCAAGTATAAACTGGGCTTGTATTCTGGAGACAGCACATCTGCCTCGACAGATACAGGGATACACGTTTTGTTCTTTTCGATTGATTTTGGTCTCTTAGAGTCATCCACATTTACAGCATGTATCACACCAATTGTAGGATCTCTCCTCCCTTCTTCAAGCTCCTAGACTAAGTCATCTCCAGGAGTCTCGCTTAGTTCAAGACATGATCGGTCAACGAACAACTCCGGAGAACACAATCGCACAATCGACCTTGCAGCAAATCAAAGATTGGGTGTTTCATGTCTGATTAATCACCAAACATGCCGAGACAGCTGGATGCTTGTAACCTCAGAACGAAAATTGCTAACGTATTCGGCTCTGGATTCTTACTGTTTGATTGTTTGCAGGTGCGAATTCAATGGAGTGAATGAGACTTGATTGAGGATCTCATAGGGAGAAAGCCTCACTATATATACTACTAAAACGACTCTACAGATGATTTTGGCAAGAGCCCATACCCGACGATCGGTGAGGTAGGTATCCGACGCTATGGGTGGCAATGGGTGGCAAGCCATACACTAGAAAGTTATATGTAATTTGGGTGTAAGAAGGAACGTAAGTGCTTTTATCTGAGCACCAACCAGAAGTCCAACACTTACACTAACCTTTTGAGTGATTATATTCCTCCCAGAATACCTGATAATCAGAAATGAGATCCAAGACGCTACTGCGCAGTTTCAGATGAAGAATCGTAGCGGCGTAAGTCTTCACCTGCTTACGCCCCCTTCGTAGCCGATGAACCACAGTTGTAAGATTGCCATGAGGATGTTGCCCATGCCTCGGCAAATTTGCCCAACAGTGGATCACGTTCTGATCCAACTGTACGTGACTGCCCCAATTGCATGCCCAAATAATCTTAGGTTCTCCAGCATTGTTGTTGTATCGGAAGAGACAAGCATGCCCTTCGCCACCATTCCATATCTCCATAACCTCAAGTTTGGGCATGAAAGCAGCCGCCCGGGCTGCAGCTATTAGCAGCTTGTTGATCTTTCCACGCCCTATCTTTGGATGCAGCAAACGTGATGTTAGAGCCAGCTTTCGAAGATTCTCCCAGGGAATTACGTTCGAATTTTGTTCGTTGGCCGGCCAGAGGTTTGGGAAGAAATCTTTAGCATCTACAAGGAAGGCCGCAGACAAATTCTCGAGGTAACGGCTAGATTTTGAGAGGGCTCTGCCTAAAGAAGGATTTGCACGCTTGGTGGATCGTTCCGGGTGGAGAAGTTTGTTGAAGTCCTCGAATATGTATAGTTCCCGGAGAGTATTCGGCAGGTGCCATGAAATTAGACGTTTGTAGTCTGTAATAGTAAGTTAGTCGAAGTGCTGCCGACATGCATTTGTCTTCTTACGACAACATCTGGCAAAAAATGCGACTTCGACGTACCTTTCTCAAAGCTTGACTGCTGCTGTGGATCAACATCATGCCATGCTTCGTGACGGAACCACCGAAGGTTTGTGAAGGTCTCACGGAGGAGCTTGCCGAGGGAATTGGCCGCGATTTTCCGATAGAACTGTCGACGGATAAGTAGGCCTGTTATAATCTCGACCTTTGGGAACGCCTGGAAGAACGCGGAGAATTGAGGAAGGTTAGGGTTGATAGTCAATGTTCCCATTATTCTCTGTTTCGATTCCAAGCTTACATCGTCCCGACGGCCGTTAGCCCACCAATGATATGGGTCATTCAAGCTGTCAAGTCCAAGTTTGTCAGCCCGTAGCTTGTACCCTTCCCAATGTGTCTCCAAGTCCTTTTTTTCTTGGTACGGATAGTTGTGCTCGAGATGAAAGTCCCTAAATGCATGCTTAGAGTCGCTCGGGGAAAAGGCGCCAAGTTCCAATGTCAGCCCTTGTTGGCGACGACTCCCGGCGAATCCAGTCCACTTCGATAGGATAACTAACAAATTCCAGATAGCTGTGCTAAAGATATCGTTATTACTATTAAAGTTAGCGATAGCAGGATTGTGCGAGCAAATGAATAGTGCAATAATAAACCAAATCAAGGACCAGGCAATGTCATACTTACTTCCTGATTGTTCCGTAGTCTTCTTTTGATTTGCAGACTGTGCAATCGTAATCGTTAAGCCTGACACGAAGGAACAGGTGCTCGAGGTAATCTCGTCTTTGTTTGGTACTCATAACTTGTTCAAGGTCAGATATGCGCTCTTGGTCGAGAACAAGTCGCTGAAAGTTCCTCGGTTCGAAGACGGGTTGCCACTCCCGGCAGACGCTGGCATAGCCGGCGAGGGCGTACTGTTCGGATTTGAACCGGTAATCCTCTGCTACCATTTCGAGGATCATCGAGCGAATCTCAGCCGGCAAACTCCCCCAGCGCCCCATCGTGAAAAAACCTTCAGAAGGATTTCAGGGAGACTTTGAGGGGAAGTTGAACTTAAAGATCAAAACCAGTAAAGCAAGGATCAGCGTGTCTGTTGCAAGATACTGGGATACTGGAGAATTTCCTTGATTCATTATGAGGTGATGAACCCCTGCTATATATAATACTATCGATGCGTAGATTAGGATCGGTGCATGATATCATGACTACTTTAGTAGGGAGTCATAATGTAACCTTCCACCCTAATATGTTGACTTATGGTACGCTATGCCCTAGCTTACCACGAGCATTTGAAGGTGATTTACAACAGTGTCGGGTTCTTGGTGAGAAAGAATTCCAAACGTTTAAATAGAAATAGTGAGGTTTAGGAAAGAAATCACATATTGCGCTTAAAGTTTTCTTGGCCGTTCAAACATTTTTTTTCTGCGCCATGAGCTAACCTTACAGCCGATTGCATAACTCGTGACACTACGGCAAAATAAAAAAAGGGAACTTTTTTTTTAAAACTGTGACAGCGCTGATCTCTGTCCTGAGGCTCTGCGGCTGTTTCCACGTCACGTGACCTTATTCCTGTATATATAGCTCTGAGAGCCCCTTTTTGGGCTCTTCACCTTAGTATTCTAAGTGAAGACCGCTTCTGCCCTACATGCCGTTCCGTGTCCCGTCACAAAAACGTCCAAATCCTTAAAATAACTACCCCTTTTGTCACCGCGCCAGTTGTGCCGATTGTGACGGTTGCAGCTCAACCGCCCTGGTTAGGCCGGGAATGGTGGCGTTCCCGAGCTCAGAGCCTAATAGAGCCTAGCTCCTCACATGACATCCCCTTACCCTAGCATATATGTACATAGATCTCTCCCTCTCTCATTCTCTTTCTCTTCCTTAGCTTTAGATCCTAATTGAATAGCCCGACGAAGCGTCGCCACCTCACACCTTCGTCCCAGTGCTGTCACATTATCTAAAGCTCTTAACCCTACACGCCTAGGAAAGCAATTCAAAAATATTGTGACAGCATTGGGACGAAGATGTGAGGTGGCGACGCTTCGTCGGGCTATTCAATTAGGATCTAAAGCTAAGGAAGAGAAAGAGAATGAGAGAGGGAGAGATCTATGTACATATATGCTAGGGTAAGGGGATGTCATGTGAGGAGCTAGGCTCTATTAGGCTCTGAGCTCGGGAACGCCACCATTCCCGGCCTAACCAGGGCGGTTGAGCTGCAACCGTCACAATCGGCACAACTGGCGCTGTGACAACAATTAAACTTGCACCTATTTAAAAAGTAAAGAAATTAACTCAAATAAAGTTTATTTACAAAACTACTAATTTAGATTTAATGTTTAAAGCATTGTGGTTGCGCAATAAAGAGGTGGCATTCTGAGATTCTTCACGATTCACCAAAAAAAATTCGGTTGATTTTTGCCGTGGTGTCACTAGTTATGCAATCGGCTGTATTACATTCCACTACGATTTTTTGGGTCCATTACCCAAAACAACCTACTCAGAATGCGCGGCCTGGGTCCAGGAATGTACCACGAGTTATTGCCCAAAACTAGCCCTAAGGAACGCATCGAGAGCCTTGCAGCTCTTGCCACGAGAAAGCTTATTATTAGTACAGTATGTAACTTCAAGCCGGTCGGCGGGAATACGCGCTACGGCTAAAATAGGCAATGGCGTACCATCTTTGTTGACCTGCCTGACAACCCACGTACGACAACGCCATGCGACGCAGCGCAACGGGAACTGAGATATCGTCAGAAATCGTCGATTTCCAATGGCGTTTCCCGGAAACACATTACTTTTACGGAGAATCACCCCATCCAAAGATCCCCTATAGTTATTTATAATCTGGGCTGCGACTACTTACTTTCGCGGCTACCGTCTGTTCCCGGTGCCAGAACGAGTAACCCAAACTGGAGCAAAAACTTGCTCCAGATGAGAAGCCAGTTTCTCCAGTCAGACTTTCTGGGTTGCATTAAGAATGCCGCCAGCCAAGTGGCGAAGACGTTTCTTATCAAAAATAATTCATTCCTGCTTTCATGTGTTTTCCGGTCGCTCTTGACGGGCTTTTCACCCATGCCGCAAGCTGGGCATGTAAGGTGGCAGTTGCCCAGGTCCAGATGGTCCTTCTCCTCCATACCATGAGCAAGTGCAAGTACGACCATGGGCAAGGAACTCTGCCATCTGAAAGTCCGGTTTCCCTTTCAAGAAAACATAACAACAACAACAACAACAAAAACAACAACAACGGCGACGACGACGACGATAAAATGCCTCGCCGAAGCCGCCGATTGGAGATCGCTGCTGCCCGTCGGCTCGTCGCCGCCGCTCCTACGGCGCGTGCCCGCCGCGCTGCAACCCGTTTTGTGCGGCGCCTGCAGCTGCAACCAGAGCAGCAGCACCGGCTCCGGGTGGTCCGCCCTCGGGAAGAAGAGGAAGAAGAGGAAGAAGAGGAAGAGGAAGAGGAAGAGGAAGAGGAAGAGGAGGAAGAGGAGGGAGAGGAGGATGATGATTGGTCGTGGCATGGTGAAGAGGAGGAAGAAGAAGAAGTGGATAGTGGGGCTGGCGAGCCTTCCTATATCCCACCAGATGCGGAATATCTTTATGAAGAAGATTAGTTTTGTAAGTTATCCTGTCCGCTTGACTTCTACATATAGGGCCGAACCTAATTGATTGTTTTGTAGTAGACTTGGCTGTTGGAGAGAAGCTAATTATTCTTAATCCCTAATAGTCAGCTTTGTCCAGCCCTCATTTCTTATTTCACAAGCTGTTAACAAAGATCCAGGAGCGGCCTGATTTGAGCACACTTACAAAATATTTTTATCCCGTCCTACGACGCCGGCCTCCCCGTGGCGGTCGGGGGATACCCTCTGGAAAGCCATTGCCAAAGGGGCTAACAGGCATCAACCATCAACGAGACAAGAGAATCGAACTTCTGGTCCATCGCTTTATCAAGGAATAAACCCAGAAAATGGTTTCATAGTCGAAATTGTATTGGAGCTGCATCGAAACGAGACACATCACGTGAAAAGGCCTAGACCTCATACGTCATGCTTTAGAAACTTGGAAACGAATTTGGGATCAGCTTAGAAAATAGAATACTCCCTTGATTCTTGGCTGCCAAGACAGATAAACAGCACCGAAATATGTCTCACATACCCGATGAACATAAAGTCCAAAGGCTCGTCGAGCAATCTCCCCCTCACCTCCACAACTAACAAATCTCAGGACCGGAGAGTGGCTACCTCAAGACCACAGAATTCACAAACAATGGCTTCAAGATACTGTCAAACATGTAGACAAGAATCCAAAGGCTTTGCACCCGGTTCTCGAAGAATTCAAGGAAATGATCGAAAAAGACACAAGACTTTTCATGCTATTGAATTCCATGTTCGAGCAGATACCTCATAAAAAGCAGTATGCCAAGGACCCAGCAGGTGAACGTCAGATCCGTGACTATCACCACATGCTTCAAGTCATGAATCATCTTCTCACTACGCCTCCTTCCTGGAGTGACCGGGAGTTTGGAGCTGGAGTCGTCGGCCTACCCTTCTTTGCCATCTTCGACTGGCCCATGGCGACCCCTTCTGGTTTCGCCGTCTTTCAAGACCCGAAAGTCAATTCCATGTTGAAGAAAGTCCTCCATGTTTGGGGTGAATTCCTCCAAACTCCCGAGTCAGCCAAAGTTCTTGATAATAGTTCCAGCGGCTGGTTTGGTGACAGCGGACTCAAGGACTTGCAGACTGCAGCCAATTCAGCAGCAGGCACATCTCATACATTTGAGGATATGTTCATTTGCGATTCCAACGACAAATATCGTGGCTTCAATTCCTGGGATAACTTCTTTACTCGGCATTTCAAGGAAGGAATTCGACCTATCGCTTCTCCTGACGACGACAATGTCATCGCAAATGTATGCGAATCCAAGCCGTATAAAGTGGCACACGATGTTAAAGCCCATGAGAAATTCTGGATCAAGGGTCAACCATACTCCGTGCGCAACATGCTAGCTCACGATGAATTAGCCGATCAATTCGTCGGCGGCACAATCTACCAAGCATTCCTGTCTGCTCTTAGCTATCATCGATGGCACGCCCCTGTGAGCGGCAAGATCGTCAAGCAATATGTCGTTGACGGAACCTACTTTTCCGAGCCACCCTTTACAAGCTTCGAAGCAAGTGACGATAAGAAATCGGGAGGCGAGAATGTGGGACAGGAATACTTGAGCGCTATGGCTGCGAGGGGACTAATCTTCATTGAGGCTGATAATTCGGCAATTGGATTGATGTGTGTCATTCCAATTGGCATGGTGGAAGTTAGTACTGTTGATATTGTGGTGAAAGAAGGGCAGCATGTCAAAAAGGGAGATGAGCTGGGAATGGTGAGCCGAAGTCCTGAGAGCTGACGCAATGTGCTAATGAGAATAGTTCCACTTTGGAGGCTCGACTCATTGCGTGTTGTTCAGAAAGGGAGTCAAGTTGGAAGGCTTCCCAGAGCCAGGCAGAAAGAATAATGTACCTGTGAGAAGCGAACTTTGTCGTGTCTCAAAATGAGGATATGCGGGGCGCTATGCAGAGAACAAGTAACTCAAAAAGCAATGGACATCTGAGGCACCTGCTTTGAAGGATTAGAAGCAACGAAGAATTGAGACAGATTGAAGTAACCCAAGATATCTATGGCGCGAAGTCTAATCAGTAGTCCCAGCAAAATGTACAACGTGCGGATCATGTGTGCTGTTCCCATTCACACTTCCACTATACTCTAAATACCCTTGGATATGCTCCATAGGTACTTTAATGATCTCCGAGTCTTTACCCATAACCCACACAGTTTGCATACCTGTCGAAACGTCAGTGAGATCTGTATCGAACAGGCACACAGCCAACATGGATGCACTCACCCATAACCATATGCTGCAAGATATGACAGTGAATCATCCACACCCCTGGTTCCGTGACCCTCAATCTCCAAGCCCTCCACCCCATATCAATCCCCGGCGTAGTTTTCTCCGCATACTTATACAACATCGTTGTATCTCTCCGCGCCAAACTCAACCCCTTAATCTTGTCCTCATTAGCAACCGGATCATACGTCCCATTCCCCGAGCCCAGATCATAATAATGCGCTCCATGTGCGTGAAAAGGATGTACATCCACGCTCCCAACATCCGATCCAGTGTTTTGGATTATGATCTCGATGACTTCGCCCAGGGCAGCGGGAAACACCCGGGTGATGGGATCAATACCATGATTCAAGTTTGCGCGGTCCAAAGACGGGAATTCTAAGCTGTCCTTCTTGTAGAGGGAGACAAGGTACGGCTCTTTAGGGAAGGACTCGATCCAGGGACTGTCGTCTTGGGCCCACATTATGGAGCCGTTGCCGATGATTTGGTGGGTCCGAATAGTTATTCGGCGGGTGACTTCTGAGGTTAGAGGAAAGTCTGGATTGGGGAACAGAGAAAGGAGTTTGTAATCGAGCCATCCAAAGGTGTTTGTTGGAAGTGTAAGAGGTGGTTGTTGGGGTAGGGAGAGGCGAGGTTCAATTGGGCGTGGCACTCTTTTCGAGCTGGTGAGTTTGTAGTCCAAGATTGCGTAGGAGCGAGTGAGTGATGGACGATCTCGAGTCTCTATCTGCATGAAAAACTGGGATTTTGTCAAGTCGCTTCGTCGTTTCGTCTTAAAGAGAACACTAAATCTCTGGCCACTTCCAATCTGGAGGTAGGAAATGTTGACTGGCTTAACGTAGTTGCCATCCGCCTCGATCAGAATCATATCCCCGTGATCTTCGAAACCGAGAGTCACGAAAGACAAAGCTGTGCCCCCAATAAATCTAAAGCGATAAGTCTTTTCTGGTTCAACGCTGATTGTGGCGAGGTCGCAGCCAGGAGACTCAGTACTCTCATGAAGTTGCCCTTGCCCGTTGACAAGAACATTGGCCGTCTCGCCACTCCACTGAAATGGATTCCCAACTAGACCGGCTTCGATTTCGTTGTCCGACTTCTCGAAGATATCTGACAATGCGATAATCCTCTCGTCGTCATATTGATAGGGCGGCTTCCCAGCATCTTCGACAATAAGTGGTCCTGCTGCAGTAACGGCTTGAAATCCTATGTGGGAATGATAGAAGTAAGTCCCTGCTGTTCCTATTCCAATGTCTAGCTCGTAGTCAAAGAAGTGGTTCGGAGGAATAGGCCATTGCGATGCTCCTGTTACGGTCAGATATACGAGTAGTGCCAAAAGAAAACAGCGAAATCAACTCACCAGGAGTGCCGTCGGAAAATGGAGAAGCTGCCATGCTTAATCCATGCCAGTGCTGTTCAAGCAATCAGTTAATCAAATAGTTCTAATCAAGGGGAGGAAGGTGGGGAAGAGAAGCGGGGGGACCCGAGCACCATTGTCAAATTATTATTGTCCATATCATTAAACACTCTTATCCAATAAACATTCCCCTCAGTCAGCCGCAATTCAGGCCCTGGTGTCGACCCATTAATAACGATGACTTCATTCTTCGTAATGCACGATTGAGTGAAAGCTTGCTCAGTAACACGCAGAATGAAATCTGGAGAGAATGATGAATCGTGTCTCATGGGCGCCGTAGCATTCGCGACAGCCTTTTCTGTTGATGAGATCAGGGAAACGAATGTACTGAGTTTGAGGTTCAGCCCAGCACTCAGATAGGTATAGATAAGAATGAACAGCAGCGGCAGACTCCATAACAGCAATTTTGGAAAGGAAAAGAAAGTGGAGGAGAGCAGAGGCTTAGCCATCATGAACGGCAAACTTGCTCTGTATGGAAAATGGGAAATATAATTGTGTACGAGCTTGATGCGACGGACATCGTAGGTTTATGGTTTATCAAATCAAGTTTCGGTTGACGGTGGATCAGCCGCTAGATCTCTTTCGCTCTAGTGATGGTGACGAATCCTGACGATTATCTCCTCTATTAACGCTCTACACTCGAGGGACATAACTCTATATATATGAAAAAACCCATCACAAACCTTTTCGGATTCGGTGCTCATATTTCCATCGTTCTTTTCATGTTCCTACTACCCAAATATCCTCGATGTCTGTGGAGCAGGTCTTATCGCTGGACTAGAAGCCCCTGAATTAAGCGAGGTCGCCGTACGGAACTTTCAGATTTCGACACCAGGTTGTGAGTTCATGCCTAAGAGGTGTTCGACTTCAGTACCGCTTTTCAAGGACAGAGAACGGGTAAAGAAGTGGTCCTGGTGTGTCTGAGTGTCGTCAGAGATCTGCCAGCGAGAGTGTGAGTTTTAGTGTTTCAGAGGAGTAAGATCTTACATTGTTCCGGAAAGACCACAACATTCTGTTTAAAATCGCGCTAAGATTCAAGCTTTTTGGTTCAGTTTGCTTGCTTCTTCTGCGCATAATAGCCCAATCAGTTGTCGGAACAGGGAAGCTCATCATATGCTGTCTTTTTCGTCACTGTGACTTTCAGTAATGTCAGATCAATTTCTACCTATCACTTATTTCTCAAATCAATCATGAACCAGAGACCAAAATTACAAAAGTAACTTTAATTGACTAAAGGGTATCATAAAAGACATACTAACACATCGCCCATTACACGTACAGTACGTACACACTTTTACACCAAGGAAACCAAAACAGTAATCCCAAAATATTCGTACACAGCTTTACAGCAACCCAGCCCATCCGTCTTATCATACAGTAAGGAAAGTGTCACTTCGAAGTTGATCAGTAATTGCCAAGAGGTCTCTTTGCTTCCGGCGTTTCGGGCACAGCCCAAATATCAACCTCTTTCTCTTCCTCCTTTCCCTTTCCCTTGCCATCCTCGGTAGCGTCCTTCTTAATCTCTCCATTTGTTCGAGGGTTCAAACCGAATGGAATAGCGCTCGTGCTCGTAAAAACAGGCAGATCACCTCTCTTCACAGGCGAAGGAGTATTTGTATTTGGTGGGAGCCAGTGAAGATGCTGTTGCTGGGTTACAGGATTGGGCGTTGGTCCTTCAGGTTGGTAGGGAATGAAGTTGTCGGATGGAGGAGCGGAATATATTGGAGCAATGAATTCAGGGGCGGGAGTGATGGGAGAATATTGAGGTGCGGCTGGGGAGCTCGATGGAAGTGGAACCTCGGATGCTTGGAGTGCTGGAGCGACGGCTGGTAATGAAGGTTGAGGTGTAGAAGGCGTTGGTGCAAGTACTTGCTCGACTGGCTGCTCAGTAGTCGTGCCATTGGCGGACGAAGGCACAGCTTCTGATACTGGTACTGGCTTCATCCCTGGCAGGATTGGTGGTTGATCCGTTACCTTTCCCTCAGCCGGACGGGGCTTGACAGCTTTTCCAGCGGTCGATTTTACAGGTGCTGGTTTAGCAGCTTGCTTTGCTTCTCTCTGGGCCTTCGTAGTCAAACTGATCTTGACCTTCTTCATGCCGGACGTCAGACTATCCATATCCGAACCCTGAGAGTCCGGGATCTCTGTAGTGGGTAGCACAACACTACTAGATCTTGAAGTTGGTTGGACAGAGCCCGACGGACCAGGAACAGCATTGGTCTCATTCAATGGTGACTTCTTTCGAACTCGAGAAGTCTTTGGGGCTTCACCACGTGCTACAGCTGGGGCCCGAGTTTTCTTCATAGCAATAGGAGGAATAGAACCACCTCTGCTGCTCATGGATGTATCAGGTCGTGTACTTTGTGCAGTCCCAGGTCTTGAGGCTCCCACTGGCCCAGATCCAGAAGAAGCTCTGTGTCCATTTTGTCGAGGCACCTCTGATGTGACGGAACCTGCATTGGAGGAAAGACTCAGCCGACGATTGGACTGCGTAGTTCCCTTAGCATAGCTCGGCTCTGGCATTGGAGTTGTGCTTCTTGATACGGCCTGAGACAGATTAGCATCAATGACTTCTCCATCAGAAATCGAACACACCTTTTCAGCAGCTATGACTGCGGCACCAGCAACAGTTTTTCGACGATTAGCCTTAGTAGCTGGCTTCTCATCTTCCTCAATAGTCTCAGCTAAGGCCCTAGGCTTTCTTGTTCTCAAAGCCATTCTACCTGAACCTTCTGTGGGTTCTGGAGCAGCGGATGTAGGCGGCGTGAGAATAGATTGTCGGTCACGTCTGACCCGTGTAGCTTCAGCTGAAAGGTCCTCTGGCCTGCAGCTCATAGTCTGTCTATCAATTGGAATCAACAACTTACTCAATTCATGAGCAGCAACAGTCCAATCCACTTCAGGTGGTGGCGGCGACGGAGCTCGTGAAACTGGTTTTGGCGATCCATTGGATATCCCCATTCTGGAGACAGTCCTACGAGCTTCCGGAGATGTGACCTTTGCAATAAACGACTGAGTCGGCGATGAATACGTCGGAGCAGTTGCATCTCTAGGCTTCTTTGGTTCCACCATAGGTGTAGGACGAATCAAAGCATCAAGCTGCTCAAGGCGTGGAACCGACCACCACAATTTATCATAAGTCTGCGTTCCAACAGTGACGTCCTCTTTTGCAAAGACACCTTCGAAGGTGTTGATCTTTTGGCCCATCTCGTAGCCAAGTCCATTCGGGCTAAGTTCTTTCTTGATAATGATTGGGTCACCAGCCGACATGCCGCTCAGATGGCTTAGTACACCAGTGCATAGAGCGCGATCACTATATCCGCCTTCAAGAACGCTGATGATTCTACCGTCACAAGCATTGCCTTCTTCTGCTGCAAGCTTGACCACATCTCGTGTCAGGCGAGCGTAGAACTCAGTTGGTACATTGACTTTGTGTCTTTGCATTCCAGAGCTTTCCCATTCACTAGCATCGAATCCAGCCGACAGGAAAATAGCTCCCTTTGGTTTTGGTCCATTGGGAATCATTCTTAAGCGGTCTGTCTGAGCTCTCAAATAGTTTCTCGTCTTCTCTAAAAGGATAGAGTATTTGGTCTCGTACAGCTGCCAGAATTCTATTTCACTCTTCCACGGTTGCAAATGAACGTTCCAAATGCTTTGGCCATGTGCATTCTCAATGCAAAGGCTAGCGTTCTTCACCTTCTCTTCATCACCCATCTCGCATGGATATGAGTTGATATCGTGAAGACTGAAATAGCCAATTGATGTCTTCTTCCATTGGGCAGCATTCTTGGCGGCACCGATAGCTCGTTTGTTCGCATCCCATGCAATAGCTTGCGATCCATCGCCGTGGTGAAGATCGAAATCGATAATGGCAGCATGGGTCAAGCCATGAGTGAGAGCGGCATGAGATATTCCAACATGAACATTGTTTAGCCAACAAAAGCCAGATGGATAGCTTGCTGAGCAATGATGTCCTGGTGGTCTGATCGCAACGAAAGTCCTATGTGGTCCTTTTCCGCTTGCAGCGCCTTGGAATACAGCATCCACACCATCACAAACAGCCCCTAATGCTCCCTCCATAGCGTCCAAGGACTCCGCACAAAGATACAAGTCTCCTTCATGTAGCTTTGCAACTTCTTGGTCTGGACTGCGAACCATATCTGGGCGTACCAGTTCTTTCCCATTCATAGCCAGCCTAGATTCAGCATTGTCGCACATAATCTTCAGCTCCTCCATCCACTTCATTCCATGTACGTTCGTCACAGCTTGTGATCCCAGCGCCAGTCGCCGTGTAGTCTTGCAAATTCGGAAGGGTATAGTAGGAATCGAGGAGGCATCCTTATCTGGGTGCAGGGGATATTGCCCCTCAGCATGCCGCTCTCCGAGTCGTACATAGGCCACTGACAGACCAAGGATACTTGCATGAATTCGCTCGGGTCTCTCGACTATGGTGCTTAAGGAAGCCTTCGATGTTCGTGGTCTGGAATAACGGTGCCCATAACAAGAATCATGTAGAATCACCACCGTGTCTGCGCTCCTAGCTTCGTCTTCTTTCTCGTGGATATCCAACTCAGTCCTGAAGTGGTTACTCGCGATCGATTCCGCAGTATGTCGCGGAGGGGCAGGCATTGGATCTTCGATCTCTGATAGGGGTGACTTGCCAACCATTGCGGAAGCGTTTGCGAATTGCGCTGAAGATGAGCGTCGAGACGGCGTTGTTCTTGAAGGTGTAACTCCTCCAACACCATGCAAAGAATTCAATGAGGCTTTCCGAAGTAGTGTTGGAGTTGACGAACGCGATCGTTGGCTCATGGAGCTGGGAGAACGATGGAGGGGACTTCGTGGTGGTAATCGTCCATTTGGCGAAGCACTGGAGCTATCTTGTCGTCCCAATGTCCGTCCTGGGTGGGGTGATTGAGGCGATGATGGCAAAGCAGTAGCAGAAGCTGCAGAGATTGAAAGTCGTTTCAGTGACTGCGCGAAGGTTGAATCGTAGTTGTTTATTGACGACGGCAATGGTGCAGTTTCTCTGGACATATTATTGTCCGAAATGTGTTGGGACATCGTGACTTCGAGCTCCAATGAGCCCAACCCTCACTGTTGTTATCGATGAAGAGAAATTTGATTATCTTGCAATGTTCACGATGCAGCCAGCAAATGACGTTGATGATGGTAAGTTTATTGGAGACCATAAATCTACGCGTGCGCGCGCTGCAGCTGCAACTCAACCCCCTGTATGTTCAGCCTTATGTGGCACGATATCACGTATCTAAACACTGAAAAGTGTTCGAGACATCGTCTTGAATTTTTGTGATCGAATGCTTTCGGATTAAAGTATCACTCATTTGAAATGAAAATGTACATTCTTCAGTGACTGATCAAATACTTACATTTGCCAGCTAAATCCGGAGCCATTTCAGATCATAACATCATTTCCGGGGGTATCTAAGTCTAATTTTCTACTTATTCTCTGCTCACTTTCCTCAGTCCTCCATCAAATCTACTCCCACAGTCAGTAATGCCTCTACTGCCCAGTCAGGGTATTTCGATTTGTCTCCTCCATGTTTATCAAAGAAGAACTGCTTCAAGAAAGTAGGAAATCTATCCTCCATGATAGCTTGTCGAACACTTCTCATAAGAGCCAATTGATACCACACGTTGTGTATTGTAAGCAAATGAGCTCCAACTGTTTCCTTTGCTGCAACGTGATGTACAAATGCCCTTGTGACTCCGAGACTTCCCTCACCTGTACGACAGCATATGCAGCCGCAACCTTCCTCAACAGGTCCAAAGTCATTCGCGTAGCTAGCATGCCGTAGATTCAGCATGCCATATTTTGTGATGGCATTTCCGAATCTTGCTGTTCTGGTAGGCCATACACAGTCAAACATATCGGCACCTAGAGCAACGCTAACCACGAGGTCTTCTGGATATCCGATACCCATCACATATCTTGGTTTCAGTTCTGGCAGCAGGCTTGTACATGTGTTCACCACACGGCAGTAGTCTGCCTTTGCCTCACCACCACTTAACCCACCAATCGCGATTCCAGGTGTATCTCGGGCCACCATTTCTTCGCAGCATTGCTTTCTCATCTCGAGATCAAGACCACCTTGTATAATGCAGAAGAGGTTCTGCCTTGTCGGATTCGCATGTGCAGCTATGCACCGGTCCAGCCATCGAACACTTCGTTCCATAGCTTCCCGCATTCGTTTCGTGTCCGGCGAGGTTGTTACTAGGACGTCGTCGAGTTGCATGATTATATCACTTCCTATTGCATTCTGCAGAGCAATAGAGTGTTCGGGAGTAAGGAGCATCGGTGTTCCATCGTGTGGACTAAGGAATCGCACGCCCTCTTCCGTAATATTCGCAAGTTTCAATAGACTGACCATCTGAAAGCTATTTCCATGAAGATTAGTGAACGTTTCCAGATCCGAGAAAGTAGACAGCATACCCTCCGCTATCTGTCAAGATATTGTGATTCCATCCCTGCAGCTTATGCGCGCCACCGACTTTCTCCAACACTTCTTGCCCAGGCTTGAGTCCCAGGTGATATGTGTTATTCAGACATAATCTGCAACCTGTCTCTTCCAATTGTTGCGGCGTCAATCCCTTCAGTGAAGCCTGCGTCGCAACTGGCATGAACAGTGGTAGCTGGACCGGTCCGCGAGGCAGTTCGAGAAGTGCGGCACGAGCTTTGGTGGTCTGGATGCGTAAGAATTATGCGGTCAAACAGATGTTGAGGCTTACTGAGCAGCGAGCTATCAGTTCAAAGGTCAACGCCGATGGCATAGAAGCTGGTGATACCATGGCTAGGATGATTCAAGGAGAGTGGTGGGGCTTGCCCAGAGGATGAGGAAACAGTTTCGAGTACGAGATGGAAGTTTATTCTGCCACTAGGCACGAGACAACACGGAGACAAGACTTCTCCGCTTTTGACAGTCCAAGGACCAAGATAAATGTCAGGAAGCTTGGAGATGCTTCAACGAGAGTTTAATCCTCAAGTCCAGAGACAATATCTATGTTCTACGGAGGTAGACGATTATTCGGACAAGGAATACCGGTCCAATTTTGGAGACCCTGAAGGCGGTGTGCACTGAATAGTAGGCGCCTCCGTATCGGTATCAAGCCCCCTTATCGTCTTCGAAGAACAACTCATCCTCACTCACAACAACCAACAACCAGGATCCCCCCTTTTCACATACTAGCCCTCAATTTCACGAGCGCGTCTGTGTTGGTCTGTCTCTGCATATCCTTGAAGAGACACGGCAGGCGTAATCAAGCTGCTCCAATACAATTCTTCACGCTTAATTGAGACGACCGTTTATTCTCAAAATCAGGCCATTATGACTGCAAGCGGTGCTGAGCCTTCTGAACGCCAGGATTGCCACGCTCTGAGCTGAGGTTCTCTCAAGGATATCCTCTCCACTCCCAGATCTGGAATGGAATCCAGGCGGATAAATTGGATCCTTTTCATCAGATTTGGTATTTTCGATGTTTCTTATTATCGCGTTGATCCTTGGCAGCGACGTGGTCTAGGAATCCCATTCTTGAGAATCGTGAAGGCCGCTCAAGGTCTTCATCAAAAGGTGAATGGTGATAGAAGCATAAATCCCTCATTTCTTTCGTTCAAGTCTGCTTTTTCAAAGTTTCTTCGAGACTTCTCGAAAACGCATTTTCGATTGTTGAACTTGAAGATACTTGCATATGCTTCATGCAGGGAAGGCATCCCTCAGCCTCGTGCACTGCTACCCTTGAAAAGAGGCGCTCCTATCACACCACTTCGATCGCCCCTCGTTCGCGCCCCCAGATTTTGAAGGAGCTTATTTGTTCCCATAACTCCAGAGTCATATCCAACTTTGCTTCTCTTCTTTGAATGATTCTTTTTCTCGCCTCAGACATACCGAGGCTTGAAAGCATAATAGATTTCAGACGAGTCAACTCTCAACACTTGGCTTGCATAGGGGCCCAAATCCCACCTTGACAAGGCTCACAAAACAAAACAACAAGTACATATTAAGCAGTTTCCCTTCTTTCTCCATACAACAAAGACTGTACCTCTACACATTCACAACAATGCCTTTCTCAAAGACAGCAAAAGCATTCGCCCCCTTCTCAACACTTCCATCTGAGTTGCGCTGCAAAGTCTGGGCTTCTGCTTGTTTCCCACGGGTCCTATCCCTCACATACAACTCTAATACATCAACCTTCCAAACTACAACTCCAACACCAGCTCTCCTTGCAGTATCCCATGAAGCTCGAGAAGAAGCACTACGAGTTTACGCACTTAATTTCGGCACCTCTACCTCCCCGGCGAATATCCACTTCAACCCATACTTCGACACCTTATACCTACCACGATATGGAGAGATGGGTTACGACGAAACATTACGAGACTTCAGAAGTATCGTATCTGATCCCAACCAACAGTTGGACCAAGTACGAAGCATAGCACTAGATGTCGTGGCACTGGAAGTCAAAAGGCCATGGGAAGGATACAACAAAGCCACCTTACTACGAAGCTTCAAGAACCTCCAAGAAGTTATCCTCGTCCTCGGCTCCAACGCCAGTGAAGAAGACAACACCGAAACCCCCCAGAAACAAGTCATCCAGTTCGCAGAACCGAAAGACGACCCAGAGAGGCTACTCAAGATCTGGTACTACTTCCGGCAATCCTTTATCGCAGAAGAAAAGATACTGGAGGAAGTATGCCAAGCAAGCGGGAAGCCTTACACACCCTTCAGCTTACCAACCGTGAAGATCAGATCCAAGATCTCCAACCCGACTCAGGGCGATGGATTAGAAAGCGGGGTGCAGGATCTCACTGCCGCTCTAGAGAGGACCAGACTCTAGGTCGTGGGTATTTGCTTGGTTGATAGCCAAAGGATCCACCAACTGTAAGAAAGAGGCTTGTAGGAAGTAATGTGTATGGAATGTAATCATGTTGACGAATCTAATATCTGCGCCTCTTATAAGATGTGTTGTCTGTCGTCGTGTTCACATGACCCTCTTTTGCTAGACTCTAACGCTAACAGGAAGTGATCGTCAATTTCCCCGAAGCTGCAACCTTGTATACTTTTGCTTTGTTGGTTGGATTGGTAGCCTTGGTGGAGTCGGCGCCCGAGCGGCTGGATTTTGGAATTGCTTCTTTTCCAAGGAAGCGGGTATGCAGATATTGCCCGAGGTGCCGCATTAATGCGAAGCACGAGTGAAGATCATGGGAGTATCTGTATTAAAAGCTTAGGTGTTGTAAGTAAAAGATTAAATGTTCTGAAGAGTCTTGAAGAAATAATTAAATCACATTGCTTTGCTTTTGTAAGAGGACGTCGGCTTATTATATTCCACAAAAGGTCAAACATGCTTAGAACAACAAAGTCTGGCAACTATGAATTGTAGATGCTTGAAGTTTGTAATGCTAAAAAAAAAGGACTTGGAGAGCATGAAGTACAAGTAGAAAATGCACAAAAACACAGTCTTCATGACTCCTACCCGTGACATGAATTTGGACGTCTGGATTTGTGAAGTCAAAGCTTTCATCAAAACTTGATGTATCCAGCTCCTCGTTGCCACAATGTATCTTGTATATTGTCCAAGGAAATAGCAATATGCGTGAGACAAAAATTATCTGATTATCATATGTCCAGACTTTTGTAAAAATGCTTCTTGGGTAAATGTCCTGATGCGATTTCCCGACAATAGGAGCCAGTCAATCAACCAGACAAGACAATAAGCATTTCGAGGTATGATTCCTCGTTCCATAAATCGAAGCAAAAGTCGACGACATCAACAATTCTTTCAAAAGCATTATCGTCGTGAAAGACAATCACTCTCGGGCATTTCTTACTTATGAATGACCGAGCCGGGTGATCCCGAGATTTCGTCGGCAACGGTCCGCAATCAATTCCGCTATTTCATCACAACATCAGATCCTGATGCTGAATTTGCCATTCGACATCGAGGACGTTTTCCTCATGAATTGTCTATTGCATTGCGAGATTTAGACCTCTTTCTAGACAACATGCACCGATAGAAAGATTTTCTTGGGTTCATTTTGTTTTCTTTTGGATAACATGAAGCTTCGATCGTTAACATACCGCTCATTGCGGCGGCCTTTCGAATTGAACAGCTCCAGTACGATTTGTAGAAGATTCAGTGTACAGTGCCGACAGGTTTCCATATCTACTAGGTCTTCAAATACCTCTAGAGGTATCCGCCAATTGGGCTCGACTGCCAATGCGACTCGAAAACATCGTTCAGCATTTCCTGCCCCATTCATTGCAGGACAACGGAGGACGCTGGCAACCGTTCGGAATGGTACGAATAATTAGTGCCTCAAGAGAGCATAGGGCTAATTATCACTAGCTAATCCAGACGATCGTGGTCCATTACAAGAATATGACGCACGGGTAGAACAAGGGCGGTTAAGAGACGACGAGCACCAAAGAGGTCAGCAGGCTTAAAGAATAGCACTGGCAGAGGCTGATGAGCTTTCAGGCATCATACAGAGTCTACAACATCTTCACGACGAACTGAAAACCTACCATGCCCCTCCAACGATCCACCCCACCATAGAATCACTCAAACCGGAACCGAAATCCGTGTTTGGACGGCTCTTCTCAAGCCCCAAAAAAGAGAAAAAGTTAAAAGACATTCCAGAGAATCTGCCGCGAGGCTTGTATCTATACGGAGACGTTGGTAGTGGGAAGACTATGTTGATGGATATGTTTTACGAAACGCTTCCCAGCAGCGTCACTTCGAAAACGAGAATCCACTTTCACAATTTCATGCAGGATGTACACAAGCGGTTACACAAGATGAAAATGGAACACGGAAACGACATTGACGGTGTACCATTCGTAGCAGCAGACATTGCAGAAAAGGGCAATGTTCTCTGCTTCGATGAATTCCAGTGCACAGACGTGGCAGATGCCATGATTTTGAGACGGTAAATCTCCTAGCTTTCCTCCAAATCATGAAAGCTAAAACTCCCCAGCCTCCTTGAAGCACTAATGTCCCATGGTGTTGTTCTTGTCACTACCTCGAATCGACATCCAGACGACCTGTATAAGAACGGTATTCAACGAGAATCGTTCGTACCCTGCATTAACCTCCTCAAGAACCGATTACATGTCATAAATCTCGATTCTCCGACCGATTATCGAAAGATACCTCGACCTCCTTCTGGCGTATACCACGCTCCTCTAGACAAGCATGCCTCGTCGCATGCTGAGAAGTGGTTCCGGTTCTTAGGTGACCCAGAACAAGACAAACCACGAGCGGAAACACAGCGGGTATGGGGGCGTGAGATCCATGTGCCCAAAGTCAGTGGCAGAGCAGCAATGTTCACATTCGACGAACTGATCGGGCGGCCGACAAGTGCTGCTGACTATATCGAGCTGATGCGGAGTTACGACGCCTTCATTGTTACGAATGTGCCGGGAATGACACATCGGGAACGGGACCTGGCACGAAGATTCATCACCTTCATAGACGCTGTCTATGAATCGAGAGCGAAACTAGTCCTCACTACTGCTGTGCCTCTTACGCAACTCTTTCTGTCGAAAGACGAATTGAAGGAGAGTGTGAAGAAGGATCAAGCGGATAAGAAGGGGCAGTCTGAAGGGGATGATTTAGATGACACGATGCGAAATCTAATGGACGATTTGGGGATGAATATGAAAGCACTGAAGAATAGCTCTATATTTAGTGGTGACGAGGAGAGATTTGCGTTCGCTAGAGCGCTGAGTAGACTCAGTGAGATGGGAAGCAGAGAATGGGTGGAACGAGGAATGGGCCTAGAAAAGGACGGAGGAAAGCAGGAGAGAGATAGCTGGCAAAAGGTCAGGAGTAGGCAGATGGAAGATAGCATGTAACATGCACGTTGGAAACCACGTCAAGACTGCATATGCAGGACTTGAAGAAACGAGATGAAGGAAGCAACGAGGGACGGGACGAGTAATTATCTGCAAAGAGACGCTGGATAGGAACATCCGTTCGTGCATATGCAAATCATAATATACCCCTACATATCTCGTTACCAGCTATGAAGTATTTAACCATGGAGTATTTCGTACGGTATGCGTTCCCTTTCACTGCCGTTGTTTGACAGCTGCAGCCTCCTCCTCCCCGAAGCACATTTCTCTCCATACGCCATCGTTCCCTCTGCTTCCGTGCCGTCCCTCTGCCTTATCACCCACGCTCCCATCCACACAACGACCGCAACGCTGAGCCCGATGAGGCCGTCGCGCCCTGATCGCGGCCGGGATTCCTAAATTTGGGACTCACACATCCGTTTCTCGGGACAGGACGCAAATAGCCGGTAGGGAGTGATTGGGTGCGCGGCGTTGGGGGAATCTCACGATGGGGTCAAAGTAACGGATTCGTTGCAAGACGCAGATTTTAGTGTGCGAGCTAAATTTTGAGATGTGCAACAGGATTTCCCTGAGGTCTGAGGCTGGTGAGGTGGATCTGGAATGGGAATCGGGCGATGAGGACGACGCTAGAGTCTTGGGGGCGATGGAAAAGGTACGAAGGTACTTCGTTGACTTGAGACGTGGAGAGGCGAGCGTGGAGAGTGGAGCGTGGGGTGTGAAAGGGATATAAGGTCAGACCTCTGCTTCTTCGAACTTCGTCCTCTTCTCCTCCCAGCTTTGCATTTCAACGTCAACACTTCTAATCGGCTCTAAAACACCCATTAGAAGATGAGCAGAGCTATTGCTCTACTGCCGATCTGCTGGTAGTCCGGGTAGTCACTCAAGCGACTTGGGACGGACATAAACCTCCTTTGCTGATGTTATGTCGATAACGCATGAAGCAGAGTGCCGTCGGCAACGAATGCAAGTGCGTTAAGAGCCGCAAGGTTTGCTTAGGGTAGTACGTTGTGTCCGAGCGTAATTGTTGGGTGGCATATATGCCGTACTCACACGTGGTCGGCCATTGTACGCCTACGCCATCATATCTATACCCCCTACATTGCAGATCCGCTCCTCAGTTGCTTTCGTCTGTTGATCATGACAGACTGTCGTTGCTCATTGTTTCTTGGGGAAGGTGGTACTGCTGTATTGTCACCATGACGAGTCCGGGGTCAGATATCAGATATTCGCCTCCCTAGAATCCGTTTGAATTGGAGGAGAAGAAATGCAATGTTTGGCGGGCGGCTTTCTTTTTGCGATAGGTGTTCACAAGACCCTTACTCCAAACATTTGAGAGCGTCAGCGCACATGCTCCTCTCCCACGGGGTCAAGTTGTCCAATCGGAGACTTGATAACAACATATCTAGCAAGCAAGTTTAAATGATAGTTTCTCGTCACGGTTTGACGAGGAAGGCTGTGTTGTTCTTGTTATCTTTCACAAAAGCTTATTCTCCCCCTTCTTCGTGTCCTAGAAGTGTTTTTGCTCTTATCGCACAGTACAATCCTGTTTGTCGGTGAAGCGGCCTGATTCGAATATTTGTTGTGGGCGTCAATAATCTGGAAGCCGAATTCACCCGAGCCTAAGTATCGACAACAGAAGGACCTGAACAACAACATCTTATTCACCTGGAAAAATCGCACGACGCTCTTCAACATCTATAAATCCATTTCTCACGCAATCATGGCCTCTAATAATCAACAACGTTCATCCGCCTTCGGACTATCTTGTTTTCGCCACCTATCTCAGCCCTTCCATTCCGGATCATTCCCAGTCTTCACGACTTGGGCCAGTTCCTCTACGACAACTGCGAAGCGCAAACTATCTCCAACTTCCAGCGTCACCGATATGTCTGTCTCGACATCTGGCAACGCGTCAAAGGCAGTTTCGCCTGCGTCCTCCACTTCTTCTATCCCGGATCTCCTCGACGAAGCTCTGAAGCTGGATAACGCCGATAGATATGCCGAGGCAGTCACAAGCCGCATCGAAGAACTTCTAGATATCCAGGGTCAGGAGGAAAAGTCGTCTGCTATCGTTGCAGCGCAACCAGATCCCCAAATTGAGTGGACTCACCCAGAGATCATTGGAGTCAACGACGGGTTTGCCAATTCTACCATTGCTTTTGCATTCGATATCGATGGCGTCCTCGTCCGCAGCAAGGATCCCCTCCCAGGCGCAGCTGCTACTCTTGCAATGCTTCAGAGGCGCAATATCCCCTTTATCTTGTTGACAAATGGTGGAGGATCCACAGAAAAAGATCACGTGGCTTTGCTTGGTCGACGACTCGGTCTTGCAGGTCTTCATGAAAGACAATTTGTTCAGAGCCACACACCCTATCTTGGATTAGTTCCAACTCTAGCTAACAAGAACATTCTAGTGCTGGGAGGAACGGGTAGCAAGATCCGAGATGTTGCACATGCCTACGGGTTTAAGAACGTCGTTATTCCCTCTGACCTAGTCAAGGATAACAACCACGTTTACCCCTTCCTCGAGTATACCAAAGACCATCACTTCGAGCATGGCAAGGATGAACTTCCGCGCATGGAAGACGGTCGAGTCCAGATTCACGCCATCCTTGTATGGTCCTCACCCCGTGACTCTGGTCTCGACCAGCAAATCATCCTCGATCTCCTTCTTTCCGAGAAAGGTATTATCGGTACCCGATCCCCAAAGAACGGAAACACCACCCTCCCGAACAATGGCTACCTCCAAGACGATCAACCACCCATCTACTTCTGCAACCCCGACCTCACGTGGGCAACTGCATACAACCTCCCACGTGCAGCCCAGGGTCTCTTCAAGGCCGGTCTTGAAGGAGCCTGGTCTGCACTCTCTAACGGTGCCTCTCTGTCTACCCACGTCAGCGTCTTCGGTAAGCCAACCGAAGCTACGTATATCTTCGGCGAGCGAGTCCTCCAAGATTGGCACAAAGAAGTCAACGGTATTGACGCCAAACCAATCAAAACTGTCTACATGATTGGTGACAACCCAGCTTCCGATATTCAAGGCTCCAAGAACTACCAGTCTAGATATGGCAGTCAATGGAAGAGCGTCTTGGTTGAAAGTGGCATCCACGTCAAGGGAACTGAGCCTGCCCATCACCCTACTCACATCGCTGCTGGTGTGAAGGAGGCTGTTGAGTTGGCGTTGGCTGAAGAGGGTTTTGATATCGATGATGGATATATTGATAAGGTGAGAGCAACAATCTGGAATATGAGGGAGTTCTAGCTAATTGATCTTGCTTAGAACGAGCCGCTGGCGGTTGCAGACAACAGTGAAGATTTCAGTCAAGGTTGATGGCCTCTTTGACGAGTGATGAGCGATTGGACATTGGCGTTTGGGATTGCGAGCGTGGAGTTTTGGCGAGCAGCGTTATGACCACATAGACATGAATGAACGACTTTAAGACTAGATCTTCCGTGCCTACTTGTGCGCTTAGTGACAAGTGAGCAGTCGACCCTTATCTTTGCACGTCTAGTACAAAACTTGCTCCTGAGAATTGTCGATTCTTCAGATTCTCTACATTTCCATAGCACAAGTGATTCATAACTATTGACCATTTGTCCACTCCCCCACCAGCCTCGGCCTGCGAAATATCTCACCCAACCACAGCACTTATCTCCTCTCAAAGAACTCTCGATCAATCCAAACAATTATGCAACCTCCAACTTCGGCCCCTTAGTCTCCATCTTCAAGATCACAAAGAGATCATGTCGACTCCACCAACTCCTCATCCTCTTCCCGAAGATATACACCGGAAGAGCCAATAAACTAAAAAAGATCGTCGTCCCTCCAAAAACATACATAATCTGCTCCGGTCCCTTGGCCTCAACCCAGTTATTGGCAAAATTAGAAAGGCCGTAGAACATAAAATTCTGCCAATCTGTAGTCAGCAAGCCAACTTCCAAATGAGGGTGGGTAAAGCGAACCTTGAACAACATATTCATGATAAAAATCTCATTACTCTGATTCCGAAACGCATCCAACCCATAACTCAGAGTAGCAAAGATCCCCACCAAAACACCAACCATCATCACACCCTGCAAAAAAGCGCAAAGGATGGCATTCGCGCCAACAGCCATCGCATAGCCGAAGAGAAACATGCCGATTCCGCCTACCACTCCTGCTAGCCCCATAAATACAAGGCGGAACTCCGGCTCGCTTGATAGTGTCAGACCATACGAAGGAAAGGAAGTTGAAGAAAAACTTACTACACGCCCTGGTTCCGCTTCCCCATGTATTTAATGACAGGATCACTTGCCCACGCAACGATGATACTTCCAATCATACCCCCAATAAAAGGCCCCGCGCCCAGATACCCGATCTGAGACGGTCCAAAGTTCCACGGCGGTCCGGAGAAGATGCCAGAGAGGATGATCGCTGAGCCGACGTACCAACTATTCAGCAACCCAGCCGTGATGACCGCGTAGCAAGCCGCAGGATTAAGAAGAGTAATAAACGGCCCCGCTAGATATTTCAAGATATTATCCCGTGAGTATATCCCTGTGTAGAGCGCGAGTTCTTGCACAAAGGTCTTTTTCTTGGGGATGTTTTCGGGAGTAGCGATATCTTCGATGACGCGATGCTCTTCCTCGTATTTTGCTAGCTCTTCGAGTTTTTCGTCGGCGACGGTGTCGGTGTCGTAGCGGACGTCGCGGAGGTAGGTTGTTTCGGGGCAGAAGAAGAACATGAGGATGAATTGGATGACGAGGAAGATTTGGAAGAGGTGGAAGAGCCAGAGCCAGCCGAGGTCGGCGAAGACTTGGCCGCAGATGATACTTGCCAGACCTAGTAAAGACGTCCTTCAGTGAGATTCTGTGAAAGGTAGGGATATCGAAAATGGAGTGAATAAGGAGTACTTACTGCTAGCGGCATTCAACACAAAGTTAATAATAGCAATCCTCAACCCTCTCTGATGAACAAAATACATATCCCCAATTGTAGCTACAATGAGACTCTCAAACGCACTCGTACTAAAACCCTGCACAATCCTCGCTGCCAACAAATACTTGTAACTGATCTTACTCTCACCTATAGCCGTCCCGATTATATCGAAGAGCGTGGAAACCATAAAAACAGGCCGTTTCCCATATTTGCGGGAGAAGGCACAGACGAAGGGGCCGATGATACCAGCTGCGAGTAGGTTGTAGCCTGATACGAGGACAACGGTCGTTAAGGGCGTCTTGATTTCTTGCGCCATGGTGAAGTATGAGGCATTCAAAAAGGGTCCCTGGCATTGTTAATTTTCGATAATTCAGAGTTGAAAGGGAGTACAGACATTTGTCCCTGCATTAAGCATAGTGCCGAGGCAGAGAACGGCTACTATGAGCTCTTTCTTCCACATGGGCCAGTTTAAGGGATCATTTGGGTCATCGCTGGGTTGAGGAGAAAGCACGATGTGGGCATCTTTTCCCTTGCCATGTTTGAGAGCGTGAAGGACTTCTTCTTCGTGTGCTGCTTGGTCATCGAGTAGAACGGTTCCTGGAACATGCTGAAGGTTCTTGTCTATGAAACATGTGAGGCCGTGTATGGAAGAGGATATGGGGGAATTACTCACCCTCTAAGACACCGAGCCCCATCTTTGGCTGCAAGATTCGATGAAGCTCAGAAAGTCAATTGGAAATGTCTTTCAAAGGTATGAGTGCTTTTTCGAAAAGGAAAACAGAAATGAAGTTTCCACGCCTGGGGCTTATCCGGTTCAAATAGCCCTGTATATGCAGTCATCAGTACAGCAGGTCCGACGAAGTCTCGAACCCATGCTTCCGATACCCCTCGATCCTAGATGCATTTCGATGCGCCCTTTCAGGGATACTGAAAGCATGGCTGAAGTTCTTGGTTTCCATGATTGGAGTCCAGGTATTTCCCCACTACTCCGCATTCTAGAAGCTTGGGCTTGACACTTTGTAGCCCCACACTCATTGGTTCGCAGTTTCAGCATCGGCAAGCGGTGACAGTTCTAACTGCCGATCTCCCCTATTGCTCATAAATAAATGCAAATCTCGCTTTCGTTAAAAATCCTAGACTCGGCTATAAAGTTACACAACAGGAACGCTATTGAACTTTCTGACCACATTCTCATCAGTACCATCGATTCAAAGTCCAGAGATCTCGTTGCCATGCGAAAGATGCAGCTGCCGATATCTGTAAGCTTTTCGTAAGCCACATGTGGAATTCTTAGGCTTGGGGTAGCAACTCGGAAAATCTCCACGGCCGGACGGGAAAACTCCTTGGAGACGCAGACCTCGACGCTTGCGAACTAGGGAAGCAATATTTGTGGAGATGAGGCTTGTTTGGACTTCCTGATCTAAAGGTAATGAGATGAGCGAAAGAGAAGTCATGAGCAGGTGATATGTAAGATGTCAGTGGAGCGTGTCGGGGGTTGGTGGATGTTTTTGATTTGCTGGCTTTCAACCGCTTTTCCAGGACAAGTCTGTCTTTGCAGCAGTGTTGATTTTGCTGACAACAGTGTTCGTGTTTATAAAAGCTTGCTTTTGTATCGTGAACCTGATGTGAAGTATTGGTCTGTTTGTCAGAGCCCCGCAAGTGTGGCTGGAATATGGAAGCTTAGAACCTGCAGGTGCAGTATGATCAAGCCACCACACCATGACTACAGGTATCAGCCCAAAAGTGCTGTTATAATGTGGGACATTGGCAGAATCGGGAGATCTAGGCCACAGGGCCACAAGAAGACTTTGGCTTGGTTCGAAGTGGATCTATAGATTGGAAAGCTGTGTAGCTTCATTGTGTTGTTGAGTCTCCTGCGAGAGTTCGGACTTCGAATCGAGATGTTGACAATTCTCTTTTTTTTTACCCTACGTAAGATGGGAAGTTCACATGGCCTCAATGTTCCTGTCCTCAGATAATGTTGACCACCATCCTAGAAGCCTGGCAACCCTCAAGCAGTTCTTTTGCAGAACTATGCTCAGTGGTCATGAAGTAGCCTAGCCTATGATACCAATTTTGGTCTTCGGAAATCTTCCCAACCACAAGCCCATTGATACTATGCCACTTGCTGGTGTACTCATAAACGCCGAAAAGCAAAAAGGAAATGTTAGCATATATGTCCGTGAGAGGTTTGTCAAACTCGCAGTCCCAGAATAAGAAGCTCTCCTCTTTATATGCATCGACGCTTCCCTTAGGCACCATGCGAGTGAAGAACCGGAAGTCGACCAAGAATGCGTCCATGACAAGCTTGCCATTAATGACAGCACCCCACTTCGATGCCGAAGAACCCACTATTGTACTGCACTCTACCACATTTGCTTTGTAGCTGGTCCACATTTTCAACGCATCGAAAGTTCTCGGGCCAGGTGCGTAAGTTATCGGGCCATTGACTGACGCCCAGGACCAAGACGGTGCTTGATACTTCTGAGGCCGAGCTTTGCGAGGTGCAACTCTCCACATCAGCCCATTCCACAAGTAGTCCTTCCAAACGCCTGCTAGGTAATCGCATCCCAGACGCCTCGAGAATACTTCTGCGGCGGCTGCTACCACTGGAAGCCTGTCACTTTCTTGTGAGAGTTCCCGGCTTGTAAAGTTTCGCAAAAGCGCTTGCCACTCTTGGAGGACCTCCACTGGTGACTGAATGCGAGTGACGTCCGACCACGAGCTAGCCATGAAATCCCATTCCTCCAATTGCACTAATCCGAATAAAAATCGGTGTGCATCCCTTCCCAGTGTGCCTGTCAAGAATTTGGGTTCGGAACCGGAGTAGCATTTCCAATGCATACCGTAGTCTGTAAAGATCAACAGGAAAGGAGAAAGTAAGTGCTCTTGAAGTGTCCAAGCCCTCTTGTTGATTGCTTGAGGGCATGAAAAGAAAGATGCCCATGATACATTATCATTGGTCTTCTTGTCACGACGAAGGTGCCCATATTGCCATCGTCGACACGAACTGGCATGTGAAAGACGCCCTGAGAGCTGAGGCTCCTGTCTAGAAAGCCTTCATGGCAATTGAAAGCGCTAGCAACTGAGATAGTAATTCGAGCGTTGCGGTAGACTTGGACCATGCGGCCCAATTCTGTCTTGACATCTTCATCGTCATCTTGAACGATACAAAGTGAGTCGATCCAGATGAAACGCAAGTCAAGATTGCGAGCTACCTCGAAAGCATCCAAGATTGTCTTAGGTAACTTGGAATAAGGAAGACTTGCAGTATACGCGTGAGCATTTTTCGTGGTCGTCCGAAAAGGCTCAGCACTTCCCCAGCAATAGCTGAGGGCTGCATAATTACCCTTCTGTCCAGCTGTATAACGCAGGCGTGCAGCCTGTGGTTGTCCGAGTGGCGATAGCTCGATCAGCCTTGAAGGAAGCACATTTTGGATCCGACGACGACAGTTATTATGACTAAAAGAACACTCTCTGAGCCATTTTCTAGCAATCTCAAAATTATTCACAGACACAAGCCTGCTCAGTGGAGCTAGCTCCTGGATGAAATGAATGCTTGGAGTACCTGGTTCAGTCTTTAGTACAAATCGCTGTTCTCATTTTGGAACGTACCTTCTGGCGCTAACAAGATCCTGTGGTGGGAACTTTCTTCAGAGACTTCGTTTGATCAGGTCCCTGAAATGAAATGCTGATCGAGTTGGAGGAAGTTTTTCTGATTGTGAAGGACAGCACTTCGGATGGAGGATGCCACCATTCAGGTCTTTCGCTTTCTCCTCCAGTCTTGAAATTCCGATTACTCGCATGTCGAGGCCTGCTGGGTTGATCGTAGCTGTCATCGTTTTCAATGCTCCATTTGCAAAACTCGCATCCTTCCTGAAACGAGCTCTCAAGTTCAAAACGTGTTTTTGGGTAGTGGTAAATGCTGTCTTCAACGAATATCTGATGCTGACTTGAGGGTTCCCCAGCTCTGTCGTTTGCCGTAAAAATCCCCTCACAATGCTTACACAATTGGAGGCGGGGGAATAGATGCTCAGCCGATGACATCTCAAGAATTCAAGACAGTGAGAAGAATTTGTTGTAGCAAAGTGACGATCGAAATATCGCAAGAGCTATATGTGTTGCAGAGGCTGCCACGGGGCTGTGCCGAGCAATTCTCGGTGACCCAGGTAGGCATAGACAGTTGATATCGGGACATCGTGACAATATCAGATCCAACCGTACATCAATGACGCGAAAAGCAGAGATGCTCGTCTGGAAGGAAAGGACGGAAAGTACCTAGGTAGCATACAATAGTGGATAGTGTGCTGAATGTGAGCGCCACAATTTCAGAGGGACCAGGGAATATGTGCAACAATTAAATAGCAATCAATAAAGAGGAGGACAGTCCAAGAATCAACGTAATGTCTTCTGATGAAAGTAAGCTGCAAGGCGAGGTATGAAATACCGACTCAAATTGTGAATCGTGCTAATTTAGCGGGGCTCTAACTTTGACGACCGAGCTATAGTCGCATGTCCATGTCACAAAACACCAGTATGTGAAGCATATGGAGGGAATGTTTCGTAAACGAACATCATCATACATGCAAATATATAGCTAAGAAGGGTATCAATCACAATCTACCGTGAAGCAAAACAATCACGCTGATTTTCAAACTCCACCTCCAAACCAATTTTCACCAAACACCGAGCCCCAAACCCAAGCCAAAAACGCCTTTAGAATAAATATCTCAAACACCCTTATCCTCAAAACTAACGTTCCTACTCATCCTCGTCTGCCTCAACTGTCCCGGACTACTCAACACCGGCACATCATTCCTCGCCTCATCAACCAACTGATACCTCGGCGCATTATCCCTCCCTACAGCAGCACTCACCGCACTTCCCAAACTAGCACCCATCCCCGCAATCCCATCTCTCAACGGACTTCTCGGTGGAACAGTGACCTCCCCATCCCTGTTCACCAAAGAAGTACTACTCCCATTCCCCCGCGACGTAGAAGGCGAAGGTCTCGACCAACTCGTAGGGACAGTGGACCCGACAGGACTACGCAACGACTCACTAGTCAACTCTCTATCCTGAGTCCGTCCATTCGAACTCGTAGGCGTCCTCCGAAGCGGCGAAGCTCCGACGCCCATCCCCATTCCGGTCACGGTATCGGGTAGATCTCCGTCGTGGATGTGTGTATCTCGTTCCATGGGCACGGTGGCGCCAATTGCGCGGTGGTAGCTCTGGGAGAAATGGTCGATTTCGGAAACGAGGGGTTGTTCTTCGTGGGGAACGTAGAATTGGTGGTGTGCTGATGTATCGGGGGGAGTTACTTGACGTGCGCCGTCGGCGTAAGAATATGGTGCCAAGGCGGCTGCTCCACCTGTGCCGGCTGCGGTGGTAGCTCCGAAGTTGTCAGGCCCGTAAGGTTGGTATGGAGCCATTCGTTGGAAGGGGCCTTGTGTTGGGCCTTGACTGGTGCTGTGGACGCTGGACTTTGTTAGCAGAGATTCGGTAGGGGTTGATGTTGGATTCGGGTACCTTTCAAATGGTCCGGCCCGACTTGCGTTCCTCTTTTTTAGGAACCAGAAGATTGCTGCGCCAATAAGTACCAAACCTGCAAAGGCTCCAAGCACGCCCCCAATGATAGCCCCGTTATTACTATCATTCTTCTTCGAAGCCGCAACTACAGTGGGCGTGCTCGTCCCGGTCTGTGTTGGTGCTTTTCCAACACTAGATAGTGTAGTAGATGAACTTGTAGAGCTCGAACTGGAGCTTGAAGTCGTGGAACTGCTACTGCTACTGCTCGACGAAGATGTGGTAGATGTTGATCCGCTCGTAGGTGTGAATACAATGCCTGTGAACACCTGCTGAAGAAGCATATCTGTCGGTTGCCCGCTATATGTAGTCTCCACAGTCGTTGCCCAACTTGATTCTCCACATCCATATTGATAGTATCCTCCAGGAAAAGTGTTCTTGTAGCAGACTGCTGTGCCTGAACTATACAGGAGTTAGTAGAAGCCTCCGAATTCCAATTGTTCAACATACCAAGTATATATTCCATTATCTTGCAACCCAGAATTTGGTGTCCACCCGTTGCTGTTCATGTCTATACAACTCGTATATACGCCCGCCGTACACGGTCCCGCTGTCGCACAACATCCTATGACTCCGTGGACGGTATCGCGAACACACGATGATCCAGGCGAACAGGTAGCAGCGCTGGCCGAATTACCACCTAACCACCCACAAATCGCTATATTCAACGAATCTCTTCCAAATATCCTCGCTGGATCCGCCGGTATTGGTACGAAAGTCGGTCGTGGTGACCAAGCATCTGCCTTGTATACATGTGTCTGTTGGGCCTCCGTCCATGGTAGCGCATTACTCCCAGTAAAAACGAGCGAGAAGAGCAGGAAAATCGACGAGGAAGGCATTGCGAATATATTGAAAGTCATGGCGAACAAATGACAGTATTCCAAGTCCAAAAAATCGACAGAACAATCAAGAGATCATGCGCGCGTGAGGCATCCGACTTATATGAGCTGACAGTAGCATGAAGTTCACATCGGAGGGTATGCAAGCTATTAGAAGCTTCGCCAGAAGTTTGTACTACCGTGCCGCAGAGGCTGTGGGCAACTTTCCCAGGGAGACGATGTCCATTTTGGAGTTGGGGCGACAGCATGCTCTGTTCCAGGGTCCATCGACGATCTCGTAGCCCATTGGAGAGAAAAGGCGGGATTAAAATTGACAGAAGCAAAATAACCAGTCAGCATCCTTCGCCTGCAGGCTGAGAACCCAGACTCGTTCTGTTTCCGGGGCTGAGAGCAGCGATGGCGGGAGCTGAGCCACAATCTCACAGGGACATCGGGGACAATCAGGCATTTCTGCATTGCCTGGGTCTGTGTACTCGAAATTCTGCCTTGATGTCACAGTCCAGACTTCTGGACGGTCTGAAACAGCGAACAGATGATGGTTACTGGATAAGTTGGGGGAGATTGGGACGTTGTTGGATACATTTTGGTATTGCTTTATGCCGTGGCTGCAATGTGGTTGTCGGAGGGTTTCGAGGTTTTGGGATGAAAACAATTTGCGACCGAACAGTGAGAAGTCCAGAGGGCGATCTGAGCACTGTCGCTTAAGCCTAGCGCCCGTCGCAGTGGAGAGAGCTATTTTTACCACCCGATCATCATTCCGAATCCAAAAACCTCTTCTCGTAAAATACCACTTATCACCCATCATCTTGCTAGAACGTTGCTCGTACTGGCTTAGTATGGTGATCTTGGTAGTCCAAACATCTGACTACAGTGCGATGATGTCTAGTTTGCACGGAACTACGAACTTCCATTCAAACTCAAGAGGCCAGAACAGACCACCGGGACTCATCCGACGGGTGGTACGCGCCTGGGACAGCTGTCGATTTGCCACTGTTGTGGCGCTCAATCACATTCCGAGGTCCTACTTCTGCAAAGTTTCCAACAGCCACCCAAGCCCTCTTACTCACAGAGCTCGGAATCACAAGGCGTGTGGAAAGAGACAAAGGCTGGAACGACTCGCAACTTTGATGCAGGGGGTTCGTATTCTATATCATGATTTCACAAGCAGCTCTTTGGTCAATTGTACGATCTTGATCACGGAATTTACCTCCACCATCTACTGCTGAAAGGGTGGATGCTGATCGCCCTTCAGCGATGATGCACCCAAGCTGTTCAGATGCTCGTACATGCTATATCCGAGAACTTTTATCCAAGACTCCAATAACAATTCTCGCACATCGAATGTTCTTCGTATTCTTGTCCCCAAGTTTCCGTTTCCAACATCCAACTTGTTGCTTAAGCGCCAACAAGCCGCAACCGCAGCCGCCAACCTGCAATCTCACCTGCATCCTGCTGGCCAGAATTGGGCCCAAAGCCACATCTCATATACATGCTGTCGGGATTTTCCCAATCTTCCAACTGGCCCCCTGATCTCAAGCTCTCCCGAGAACGCGGGCCAGTCCAAATTGGTTGCTTCGTTCTTGTTGATCTGTTTTGTCCTGCGTTTGCTTGGACGGCTGGTACAACAGCGGATAAGTTCGATACTCCTCGCCCCAACTTGTTAAAGTTCACAGTCCACTTTTTCATCTAGGGTTTTGTGTTTTTTTATTCACTTCAATATCCATTTAACACATCCTATGTAGGTTCAAGCCCCTGCTTGTACAAGAGGCCAAGTTTTGGTACGATGAGTTCCAACATTTGTTTTATCCAGTTGCATGCACTGTGCCTGCTTCTATATACCTCAATGTACCTTGCCTCATGTTGGCTCTGTTCTAGTACACGTTTCAGGATTTTTCAGTGACTAAGTTACTTATCAAACATCACGGTCATAAACTCGCTCTTGAATATTGGCGGAGAATTCCTACCGTATCTTCGATCACACCACCTCTGTATCATTGGTTCCGTGCAGAAGGTGTCCTCCTCGATCTATCGCCACTCAAGGACTGAAAAATGCTTAGGATATCTCAAATACTACGATTTCGAATTTCCGCTTCCGAAAACGGTCACATTGGATAAAGCCGCGGCATCCTATTTCCTTGTAAAAGTTTACGAGACAATTCCCATTGTTATACACTTTGAAACCTTTTTAATACGTGCCCTTAAAAGTCGAGGAACTTTTTTTCCATCAACAATTTTGTATATTTCAATAACCATCATTTCGAAGTAAATGTTCCGCATTTTGCGCGAATCGCGTAAATCGCGCGATATGCGCTACTCGCGGAATCTGGGCCAAATCCTGACGCTTGGTACAGTGGAAGCCAGCATCACTGAACAGCCTGACTACACCGTATTTCTATTTATTAATTCCTGCTTCTATTTCTGCACCTTGGATCTCGCCTTTAAACTTTCAATATTCCCTCCGTTACTCATCACTCGAACCCCTCCAAAATAGTTGTACCTAATGGTACCTAGAGAAGGTCGATCGCATATGCCCTTGCAGCCCGCACAATAGCTATGGCGGCACTTGCAGCAGAATGAAAACTTCTTTGAGTTCTCTTTGCCACACTGAATAATAAGTATCTACACCTCCTTGGTAGTGTCAAGTGCGCTTACCCTAGGACGATGGTTACCTCCACAGCAATACCAACTCTTGTTGAAGCGACTGCTGCTTGATTGTCCCATTCGCTATCCCGATATTTGAACTTCTATTGCCGTGCGAATGCAAAGTCTCGTTTGTATGATATGATGTTGGGGAGTGAGATGAAACGTAAAATAGTGGGAAGGTCCTTCAGTGCAGTGTGAATGGAGAATCCAGCTTCACAGCAATAAGATCGTCGATTATCAAGTGATTGTTTGCCGTTAAATAACGGCTATGCATTAAGTGATGCTCATATCTATATAATGCGAGACGTTTGAAGCTCCCCACAGCTTTACCACCGAGTCGGCGCCCATCCACCAGCGTGAGCCTGCAAACCCACCCCGAAATGTCCAGCATTCCATCTTCACGTCACTCATTGCCTCTTAAGTCGAGGACTGTTGCATTTTCCTTTACAGCCCTCACAATATCCATGATAACAAACTGGACAAATAGACAAGTTCCTTACATTTTTGTTATGACACTATACCTGAGTTAATTTTTGAGCTGGTGTTTTATGTAGCAAGACGCGAGATGCGCGAAATTACTTTTCGTCTGCCCATTCCACCACAACAACGCCAATGTTCTTCGAGATCCGACTGGTGGCTACTTGACTGACCCATGCCTTTAGGCGATCCAGACTTGTAAGTGCAGTGTTGAAAGATGATGAGTGTCTTGAGTGTTCCGAGGGCTTGAGGATATTGGAAAGGTGATCCTTTGGTGGAGGAGTTGTCAAATTTATATTGAGTATTCCGAGCTATGAATAACAACGCAGGACGAGGACATTCACATCACCAATCACTCTCGTCCTCAATCTGAACTATGAGTCAGGAAACATCATGCATTATTCATCTCTACTATCTCACTCCATCCACCACACCTTTCGCTCGCTCGTCCTTCAAATCTCCCAAGTTTCAGTAAATAATGCAGTATTCGCATCTCTCATGACCACAACCAAACTTCCAGCACTTCTCCCTATCAATTGTATTCCCTTGAGTACACTTAAGAATTGCGCTCGTCAGTATAGTCTTGAAGCGCCTTCCAAATCTATCAACTCACCCGCTTGCTACCCCCGGAAATTTCAATCATGTTGCAGCAAAACCAGCCCGTTGCTACTTTGCCTTTATGATTCAGGATGACTTTGGGCTCTTTGGCCTCTGAGGGGGACATAGTGTGTGCGGGTTTTGAAGGATTCATTTTTGTTTTCTTGCAAGTTTTGCACTGTTGGTTCTTTTGTAATTGCGATGGTAGAAGAAGAATTGGTAGAAGGAGAATGAAGGCGCGCTAGCTGGAGTTAAGACAAGATTATATAGCACGTGGAGGAGGTTCCGAGCGTGTCGTTAGTGGCAAGCCATTGAATGTTCGAATCAAAATTGTACACTCTCTGATTGTAAGTCCGGATGTGCTTCCATTCCCAACTTCTCAAAGTCCGTCCCTCTCATCAAACTTGAGATGAGTCTCTAACACCATTTTTCACAGACAAGATCACACTCCCAAGGCCTCAACCTTAACCACAACCCTCCTCTTCCTCAAATCATAGTCAACGTTGGAAGATCCAACTTCTCCCACACCAAACTCTGATCCGCCAACTTCCCATTCTACCCCAACCAATTAGCCACAACCCCCCCTCTCCCACGCAAAAAAAAAAAAACTCACCTCAACCGGAATCAACGTCAAAACACTCTTCCCATCCGTCCCGTTACTAAAAGCCGCATGCCTAACCTGCACCTCCTCCATCCAACTAGGATCTAGGGACACATCGAGCGTGGTATGCGTAAACAGCTGCCCACTCTCATTCCTTACCTCGTACTGCCCCGAATACGCCACGATGCGCCGCGTGATGGCAGCGATCTGGGCATCGGTGGCGGTATCCCAGTCTACGGAGTCGGGAAGCGGGACAGCGGCGCCGGAGCGGATCAGGGCGTTCATGTAGCCTTGGTCGTTGAAGATTATGCGGCCGGTGAGGTTGGTATCTGCGGGCTCGTTGTTTGGTTGGGTTATGAAGAGGAGTTTCCAGACGCCGATTAGTTGTTTCATTTTCGGGGTGGGGTGAGGTGGAGAGGGGGGAGTTGGTGGAAGATGAGAGGACTTGAAAACAGAGTCTGGGGTAGATATAAAGCTGGGTCTAAGTATACGTGGGACGGTCCGGAAGTGTCAGATCTGTTTTTGGTAGTGGTGATGCACAACATCATATCCATATGGGAATCTGTGGTTGGGAACGAGAGCGATCCTTGTCTTGTTTGGCGGAGCAATCAAGCTTATCGGTACCCCATATATCTTGTCACTGCAGATCGTGACATATCAGAAGGAAGAGATCAGAGAAGGTTGCCGAGTGACCGAATGGGGTTTTGTCTGTCCAAATTCCCGATAGAGCGAGACCGAGGTAGGCCACAAGGGAAACGATTGGTTACCGGAATGTACAGATTCAATATCTCTAGGAAATACTGCATGCAACTGTGTCACAGCATTGAAAATTCCCAAAGGCTTATCGAGACAATGCAACTGCGTCGTTCAACTTTATTTCATAACACGGGACACAAATGAAGCCCAAAGAAAAAAGCGGCATTTTGATAGGAAGAATAGCTCCGAACGAGCAATCAAAGTAGCAATGATAAGAAAACCTCCATCCCTTCTTCCGTAGGTATATCATCATCGTCATCCTTATCAGGTTGACATTTTGCCAGAAAGGGTCATGCGCGCCCCTATCTCATTTGCCAAGCGAGGAATCTTTAATCGTTTGGGAGTGCAAGGATTTCAGCCTCAACCCCCACGGGCAGATATGGTGGGCAGGGGCGGTGTTCCGGTTGATCTAGTCTTGAATTGTGAATATGTATAGTGGGGTGTAAGGTTGAATAGTATCTTCGCTGTACTCGTGTTCTGTATGTTTGTAGGCCAGCAATGAGGAGGAGCGGCTCTACATTGTCATCCTGCACCGTTAGTCTTCAGTAACATACAGGTGGAAAGAAAAGGTTTGAGCTTACGAAATAGTAGATATACCAAGCTCAGGTTGAAGTCGCCGAGTGGTTCTTTGTCCTTCAGACTTGACTGTCCTTGGAGGATTGACCTCTTCTTGCTGCTGCTTCATTCTCGAATAGATCGTCCTCTGGAGCATAACTGCGAACTGATCCGATTGGAGCTTAGAGAAATAAAGAGAGATGATGTGCTCGGGGTTTAGTTGCTCCCTTGACATGTGCAGGCATTGGAGCTACCTTCGCCAAATCCATGTAGAGAGATGGAGCGCCAAGGCTACTTCAAAGTTTCCGTCGGATCAGCGTCAAATGCAGAACATTTGGCGGTGTCATAAGCGAAATGATAACCATCGGCAAAGAATTGCAATGAAGTCAAGCCCGTAGACCAAAGAACTGGATCACCGAAGACAGAAGTGACTTGCGTCAACTAGATGACCTAGCATCCGCAGTCTCAAGCACTTCGGCCAAATCCTGCTCACCAACTCCCATATCCGCACTTTCCTGCTGCGCAATCCTCTTGCACGATGGGCAGATTTTATGTGCGCACCTTCCGCATTGAGAATCCATCAAATGGTTTCTGAGCAAGCATTGAATTTTCGACTGTTGATACTCAGCTTCAGCTTCAACAGTGACAATGCTGAAGATACGTACAGGAGAAGATAGAAGGGTGCTTTTTGGATGATGACAGCAGAGCCAGTAGAAACGATATAGATTTGATGGTCTTGGTTGCTCTTTGTCCTCGAAGTAGTTGTTGAGAAGATTCATCATAGATGAATTGGAACGAGTGAGCCATTTTGGCGCTGAGGATTCTTGAGTTGCTGTTGATGAGCTGCTGTCGGACATGGTTGCTGCTTGGTTCTTTGTGGACAACCTGGTTGATATCGAAAGACGCAATGGAGAGCGCAACTGCTGGGAAAATAACTGTGCGAATACTTTGTGGTATATTCTAAGAGATCTTGACCTTGTTGAGCTAAACTCGAATCCGAACTTCTGGCGAACAAGACTTTGACGATCATGTGATCCACTCGTAGCATTGTTCGCAACAGTCATGGAACTTCTCAAGAAGAGCTACTTGGTGACTAGCCATGAGATAGAATCAGTTTCTGTTATGACTGGATGCGATATCCCAAAGTCTATATTAGAAAGCAGTTGCTCCTCTCCTCTCCAAATCGAATGAACTACCAACCATCAAACGACATCTTCATCAAGACCAAAATTTCATACATTAACAACAAAATGCCTGAGACATTGAGACCAAAGTACGAACGAGATAGTACAGAAAGATATTGGCTGTGTCACAAACCACCACCAAACGCTATGAACAAGTCTCCCGTAAGCCCACCACCCATCTTTGGCTAGAAGAATACTGACTCCTGTCTTAGTGTCTTGTGAAGAATGCTTGGAAGGATAAAGCTTGTAAGGGTAGAGCAAATAGACCCTGCAGCCATGAACGGTGCGAACAATGTTTCGACAGTGATCGCGATCTATGAGGAAAGAGTGGATGGCTTGGTTGGTGTACACATAGACAGGGTTTGCCAATAATGGTAGTTTTGTGACCGATATTAGCAAGGTTTATGTCTGATTTAGTGCGAAGTGCCCTATGAGATGGATTGTGTACGTGAGAGCGGGAAATAAATCTAGAACTCTGAAAACTATCGGATCTGCGATACAGTAAGATCTAGATGCCGCCACTTTCTTGGCACCATATGAATAAGGGATAGATGGTATTTCAGCACCCCGAACTTTGTGGAACATGAAATGTGATGATTGAATGGTGAAGTGTCGTTCAAAGGGGAAGTTCTAGTCACAAAAAATGGCAGAACAAAATCCAAGAGCCTATCTCCAACGCGCGCTCTCCTCATTCTCATTCTCATCCTCTAGCTTACGGCAGCCTACGTCTCGCTCAACCAGTATCGTGAGTTCGGATCCAACTGATTATTGGGTATGCTGTGTGCAACATAATGGTGTTGTTCCGGAGGCCTTTGTACGTGCTTTGAAATCTGTGGGGGAATGATGGGTTGCTGATTTGTTGCAGTGCGGAAAGAAAAATCATCTCGAAGATGCGAGCTGTCAGCGATGTTCGCACGCAAATTGTAAAGGCTGTCGAATACATGGGCATGAACCTGTGTTTGTTGGATGGAGAATTTAAGGGAAAATGAGGTGTGTAAGGCGAGAGAGGATTTCTCGAAAATTGGGTTATTTGAATGAAAAGAAAGAACTCAGACATATGGCTCATACCACAACAATCATGAATGCCCGTGAATCTCAAAGCTTACAATGAATAACATCGCAAAGAAGGTACATAATCTCGGAAAATGCTCCCAACGTTTGAGATGTTTCAGCAATCGGACACGCAACCAACCACCAACTCAGACCTTGGCCCTTGAGCAGAATGGTAGACCCCGAGCTAACAGAATACTGGAAATGCTGCCAAGAAGGCGATGGAGTGACATCTGATCAACCAGTGACCAAGTATCCTCACTGAGATATTCCATAGACTGATATCCATTAGTGCCACAAGAAGAATCCTCTCCAATTTGCCTTCTGCCAACGATGCGGAGTATGGAGCTGCGAGGATTGCGAAGTCTTTCCAAAGCCTAAAATTAAAAGGCCAGAGACGGAAAGGATAAGAATTCAGAGGCCGATGTCTGAGTACCGAACATCGAAAAGAGAGGAGAAACCAAGGCTTCAAGGGCACACTGGTGCTGGGCATCGCAAATCCAAGCTCGAGGAGAACAAAAGGCCAGAGACCAAAAGGATGGAGATGCAGAAGTCGACATCTGAGAACAGGGCCCTGACAAAACAAGAGCAGCCAAAGATCGTGGGACACGCTGATTCAGGGACTCGCAGATCCAAGTTCCAGGAACATTTGTAAAGAAGGACTAAGATAGGAATCGCGATGGAGGTTTTGAAATGCTGTGAAGCAAGGTCGATCCGTTTTCAAAATACTAGCGTCATCTCTTGAATGAACTCCTCTTTGTATGTTGTGGAAACGCCTTCAATATGCCCCTTCTCTCGGAAAATCCGAATTTTCCAATAACGCCTGATGACGCCGTGAAATAATTCCATCTTCTAGCCATGGCCCCATTTCTTTTCAATTCTCCATCTTCATCGCTCGCTCTTCGATAGTGTATATCTGGGTATCATCACCATCCATGCTTCACTCCAACCTGCTCATCAGATTCTTCCTCAGCTTGCCGTTGATCACTCCACCAACACCAAATGCCGGGATGATTCTGCACATCCTCGCCACAGCACTCACTGCCCAGTTCTTCTTAACAATGGCCCACCGATCGTTCCAATCCAGCTTTCCGCCCCGATTATAGAGATCTAAACCAAGCAGATGCATCGGCGTGCTGATAATTTGGACCGAAGCCGGAGCAACGAATTGCGCAACCGTCTGCCCACTAACTGCTTTTGAGAACTCCTCGCTCATGTTTCGTGTAATAACAGGACCAAGAAGTGGTGGAACGTTGAACGAGGCAAATATGGTGAGACAATCTCGGAAAGTAAAGAGGAAATAAGATGGGAGTGGTACAGGTCGAGGTGGTCCTCCAGAACCGAACATGCGAGCAAAGGCTTGGTCTTTGAAGAGGCAGAGGCCAACATTTGCTGTTGATGAAGCTGCAAATTTGGCAGTGCCACTGGTGACGTGCGAAGCAGGCTTGTTTTGGGTTGTGGATGTGAGCGTATCGAGGGTATTTGCTGTCAGGTATGTGCCGCCGTACAGCATGCAGATGAGGGCGAAGGGCTTGGAGAACACAATGTTGTGAGGTCGGAGGAGGAAGGTAGTGAAGGATGTCTTTAAGGAGTTCTTGAGGCTTGCTTGACCAGAGGCATTCTGCATAATACCTCTGCAGTGTATGTTAGCGGGGTAGACAGTGAAGGGTGAAAGACTTACTTGTCTATGACAGTGATAATTGGAGCTACCAGAGAAGCTGCGCAGAAGCCAGAAACAAAGTCAGAGGCCAACCGGAGTCCGAGGTTCTTTGTATTCCAACTGCGAGATTCCTGCAATGGAGCTTGAGCAACTTGCTGGATTGGAGTCATAGTCTTGGACGTGTCGTTCTGACCTGGAAGCTCCAGTGGAGGAGCTTTTGGAGTCATTATGAGACCATTGACCTTATAATGGTCTCAGGTCAATGTAGAGGTCGGTCGAAGAGAATTGCGTGCCCGCAAAGATTTTGAAGACTCTGCGGGTCAATTGATGTCGTGCATGCACAAGGTCGAGATCGACCCGCCGATTTCGCCCAAATTTTCTTATCACGATAACAGGGGGCCGATGATAACCTTACCTTCACGTGATACCAGTGATCTTGCGAAGGGATTGAGGAAGACATTGGGCCTTGAGTACGTGAATTTATAATGGATGGTCGTTTGTATAACAATGAAAGACGTTTGCGGTGGGATGAAATCGAAGAAGTTGGAGAAAGGATGTCTTAGAAAAAGAAACGTACGATTTCTACGTTAACCAAGCATTGGGCCCACTTCTCTTCACTGATTCAGTGGAAACCCTCATGGATAACCTCATACTTGCATTATTCCGTGGGACTTGCTGGATAAAAGACAAATCTGACCTGATGATGGTAGCACTCGAAGAACAAAAGTCAGAAAGTATCAAGGAATGCAAAGGCTCGAACGCGAATGAGAGCTCATGTGTATTATCCAACCCGGTTTCCGGATGGACTTTCCATAACAATCATTACGAGTTTAACAACAATAGGACGCTCTCAAAGCTTGGTGATTGTGTCATCTGACATGGTATGGCTCTGAGTTGGGACAATTCCCTGTCATCGTCCGCTGGCTATGTGCTTGTTGAATACATGTGAGAGATAGGAAGTCTACCTCCGATCTCAAAGTCGTAGAAGGAGCCTCTAAAGATAAAAGAAGAGAATACACTCTCATATAATCAGTTGCCAAGAAAGGTTTCATACTACAAGAGTCATAGTGGGGTTGAACAATAGCAACCATTGTCTGCTATGGTGTGGATGTCGTCGACTTTCAGCATGAAATGCAGGCGTCAAACATGATGAAGCATGCTCAAAAAGTGTCAGAGCAAGAAGAACAAGTTCCACAAGCACGCTGTTGAGATATGTCTTAGGCAAATGACATCTGGACCAAAATAGTATCGGCTTGAGCCGAGAAGGACCGGAAAAATTGATGACCGAGGTTGGGGGCGGGCCACGTGATCCACACACTATGACCAGTGGAGGGATTATGATGCTGGAGGAATGTTGTCAAATCCAACGACATGCTCTCCATGCTAGACACAGTCATAAGTGCCTGGACGAGTCAGATATTATCCTATTCCCCGGTCAAATGTCAGACAGTTGAGGACAGCATCGACTCAAACCCCATGCTTTTCCTGACTCGCCCTCCTTCGTCCAACCCAGCGCTCATCCATTCCCAGGCGGCCAGCGCGTCTCCCGCCTTCAAAGCGCAGAAACCGGGGGCGGTTCATAGCCCGCATTCGCAGAATGACAAAGCCTTGACGGCGTTGATGCAAACAAGCCCATGGTATAGCGTGGTCCAGTATTGCTCGCTCAGATCACGACAAGGCTTCCAATCCCTGCGCATACCATCAGCCAACTGGTAACGTTTCACAGGTCAACTTTTTTGCGCCATCCCAGTCGAACAAGCCCCCCAAGTCGAGCAACACAAAAGCCTCTGCTTTCCACCATTTTGAACATTTGTTGCACATCTGATCTACCCTGCAACTTTTGGTCTCCAATGTTTTCCTTGTCGAAGTTTCGGCCATGCCGGGAGGGTCAGGTTTGAGCAAGGCTCTATCCTGACATCGACCTCGGTCAAGCTTGATTTTCGGGAATATAGCTTGTCGCTATTCGATCAACTTGATTTTTTGTTGCACATCTGAGATACCCTGTCAAAGACTGAGATCCCGCCTCTGCTTCTTAGGCGTTGCGACGCCATGGCCGAATATTGAGCGGGGCATTCTTGCATCCCAATTGAGCGCAAGGCAAGGGACCTTGCGTACCACTATTGATACTGCCAACTCGTTGCTGCACATCGGAGAACCCTTGTACCGTTCCTCATTGTGGAAACTGGAGACCAGATTCAATCATGGCTGTGGTAGTCGATGGCAGCTCATGTATTGTGTCGGGACATTTCTCGTCTGAGCACTTCGAAGTTCTGCTTTCATCGACGGAGATGGCAAATCCGAAGCATACCCGACAGATATAGCCTCCTCTTTACCCTGTCCATCTGTGCGAGAAATGATAATGCTGTCGAAATCACGAATTAGTCCATGCTTTCACCCTATCTCAGTCAAGTCCTAGCTCAGAGACCACTGGACGTCATAGAAAAAGCTGAAGAATTGTTGCACATCGCAACCACCCTTGCACCTTCCTTGCGGACTTATACTTGGTGCCAGCGCTTTTCTTATTGCCATCCCAAGTCAGGTTTATCCAAGGTATCGACAAGAACGACAGCAGATCGGATCTTGTACCATGCCATGAGCAGTCCGCCCCAAGTCCGCCAGCTCTAAGCTCGAATGTTGCACATCGCAACTACCCCTGCACCTTCCTCGAAGATTCGGACGTGGTGGAACTGCTGTTCGAGTCCTACTCGTCACAAAGGATAGATGCAATGACTCCGTATGCGCGCCTCTCTAGTGGAAGCGACCGGAGGAAACTTCCAAATATCGACGGGCTCTGTCCTGCAAGACGACAAAACGATATATTTTAGCTTGAATTTTATACCACCTCGACGAGCGACTACGAAACTTCGTATCCTTACTTGGAGACTATCGAAGTCCTAGAAAATTCCTGGTTCGAATGCTACACTTCGCACCACCTGTTTAGCTACCAAAGATATCAGCCCTAGCTTTGCATTCATGCCGCTTTTTAGCACAACGAGTGCTTTGCTCACCAACGCTTGATGATGCGAGGAGTACGGTAGCCGATACACTGAAGTGGCTAGAGGGTGTGCAGATATGAGACAAACTATCGTGTCGGGCGGATCGAATCTCAATACTCCTGGGTGTGGGTCGGGCGAAATGTTGGAATGAACAGGAAATTTTGCGCAGGATTTCCAGCAGGAAGACTGAGAGAGATTGCCCAGAGTGGAGGAAGAGACAGATAGAAAGTGCGTCTCGGCAAATACCGCGACGACTAGACAGAGGAGTAGAGGAGAGGGAAAACAAACAGCAGGAGCATCTCAGAAGCATGGCACCTTCCCAAGTCTGCGAGACTACGACATCGAACAGCTATTACGATCATTCGGCCAACTTGCAGCGCTTCTTCTGGATGAATAGTGTGGGATCCCGCGCATACTATGATTATCTTCCTTCCAATGACCACACCATACCATATTCTGTCTTTGAGGCTCTCTGTTGCATGTCGCGATGTCGATCTTTTGCCTTTTTCCCGGTCTCGAGGCAGCTATTGTTGTGAGTGAGGTGTACATTGATCCTTAGAGCCTCCGGATATCGTTTTATGGCCGAGCCAAAAAGGGTTCCACACCTTCCAATGGTCACACCATACCACGTTTTGCCTTCGAGATTCTTTGTTGCATATCGCTATTTCCATCTTCTACCTTTTTACCGTTCTCGAGACAATTTTTTGATGTCGTGAGGTGCACATTGGGTATCGTTTTATGTGCGAGCCAAAAACGGGCACCACGCTCAATGACCACACCATACCATATTCTGCCTTTGAGATCCTTTGTTGCATGTCGCCGATCCCATCTTCTACCTTTTTACCGATCTCGACACATTGTTATTGTGGGTGAGGCTCTTCTTCCATGGGAGCTACGATGGTGTGGTTTTGCCTTTGAGCCTGCTCTGTGGACTATAATCTCAAACCAGTAAGCACCATTCCCTCCATATTTACACTATACCATATTCTACTTTTAAAACTCTTTGTTGCATATCGCTGTTTCGATGTTCTACCGTTTTCCCGATCTTGAGACAATTTTGTTGTGTGTGAGACTCTTGTTTTCTGGGAGCTACGATAGTGTGGTTCTATCTAGGAGCCTGCTTAGTGGACCGTCATCTCAAACTGCACGAGCAGACACAATTTACTTGTCTTTGATATTCTTTGTTGCATATCGATATTTCGATCTTTTACCTTTTTCCCGATCTCGAAATCATTTTTGTTATAGATAAGGCTCTTTTTCTATAAAAGCTAGAATAGTGTGGTTTTGCCTTTGAGCCTACTCTATGGACTATCATCTCAAACTACACTAACACACACAGTTCACCACGATTTGCGATGCGTCAAACATCATAGTTCCCGTCACCATTCCTGTTTGGATCTCCCAGAGGTGTGAAAATTGTTTTGCTGCACATCGCACACCCCCTGTCACTTTTTAGCCAAGTTGCTAGTTCTCAGCTCGCTGCCAGGATACTTTGCACTAGGTGAGCCTCACATGGCTAAGTGGAGCTGAGCACAACCTATGATATACCCCTCCAGGATGAATTGCATCCATGCTCAACCAGTGTCGTGGGAGGCTGGTTTGCTGCACATCGCACAACCCCTGCACTTCATACTATCGAGGAGTCCGGTACCATAGAACATCGTGTTAATTATTCTCCATGAGTGTCGGTGTACTTTTTATAGCTACACTCCGCTTAAACTCATCTGAGTAGTATACTACCGAAAAGGTAAGATCTACTTGAGAGAACGAACTGTTCTCCATTCAGTATCGTGCTATCATTCATAACCCGCGACTCAAAAGCTAGCTGGTGAAAGGAATATCCTGCCGCCCGATTCCTGCATCTCGCCAAAATGCTACACTCACAACAAACCCTATGCCGTTTTCGAAAGACTTGGCTCGAAGGCTAGGATGGTCCTGTGCACTCCGAAGCTACACTACACGTAGGAAGCATAAAGTCCCTTTGGACGATGATGCCATCGTTATTCACGATGATAAACGGCGACCTCTCGAAGCGATCTCGACGGAGACATCTCCGCTGCCCTCTTCCATGCTGCAGCATACACTACGAGTTTGACAGCGGGAGTCGATGTGCAGCATACCAGATCGAACACAGCTATTTCTATGCTAAGGGAATTTGACAGCGGGAGTCGATATGCAACATACCATGTCTGACCATGCGAAAGTGGAGTTTGACTACACTCCAAGGAGATTGACAGCGGGATAGATGCCATGCAAAGAACAGATCATGTTCGTTGGGTTCGACAAGCGGGAAGACGGCAGCTACATGTTTGAAAGCGGGATAGATGTGCAACATACCAAAGATTGGATAGCATAAATCGAGTTTGTTGCGCGTCGCCACGAGGCTCAAAGTCTTACCTCAGTCTAGTCGGATGCTTTCAGATTGCAAGCCTAGATATTGAAGTGATCGATGAGCTCGTCAATGAGACTACGATGCTCTAAAATCAGTTGGTCGTCTCCTCTTTACAATACACTCATCGCTCTCTTTTAATCGCCTCCGAGCTACCCAATGTTTTCAAAATATCTCTGCAACACTCTCCATGCCGAGTCTTCTGCCCGCAATACTCTGAGAATATGAAATATTTTAACTATTTTTCTGCGCATTATCGAAACAGATGCGTCATAGCCTCGTTCCATAAGTCTTGATGACAGCTAGTCCGCATTCTTATCTCCTGCTCAAGGACTGGAGTGCCGGCCACAGTCTTTCTTCCACTGTCTGGATTGGGTTTAAATTTTCGACGTCAAAATATTTCTCGCGTAGACTAGTAAATAGGCTCCACGTCCAGAGACCTCGATGTTGGTCGGACACTATATTAGAGCCCGCCATCCTTGTCTTACCCACTGCAAAAAAGGTCATGACAGTCTATCTTTTCTTTGGATACGCCGTCGGGAAGTGTTCGCACAATGAATCTCCAGATAGTTCAAGGGTGCTTCCGAATAGAGCAGTAGTGATCTGGGAACACTTGAACACTGTGCCCAAAGTAGCTATAGGGCAGAAGTTGGTGACCCCACACACACCCTCAATTTATTGTTAACTTCGAATTTTCCCACTTGATTGTACAACTCCTGTCTCCGACTTTAAGTGGTCGCTGATGTAATCGACTGTCGCGCAACATTCCTTAGATATCTTATCCCTTGTCTGATAGACACACTTGACACGACCAGCCCCCAGTTTTTCCTTCCAGCAACGACACGATAAAATGCATCTCACAGCATTGTTCCTACTTCCCCTGCCACTTTTTGTTCTCACCCATCCTGTCATTGTCGAGCACGAAACCATCGCTGCTCATCCCATCCAAAATCATGTCGACCCTCTACATCCTATCCAACCACGATGTGTCACCGTCAGGACTACGCGCTCCCTCACAGAACCAGAAACTACAATGAGAGTCAATCCACACACAACTGCACCTCATCGTCCCTCAAACCCACAAAACAAATCCCTCATCAGTCGCGCGCTCTCAATCCTACGAATTTTCAACCCACACTCCACGACACCTCACTCTCCCTCAGAGACCAACTTTCCCAAATACCAACCAAGAATCCTAACACGAACTCTGTCCCGCCGCGACAGCGTAACAATATCCATCTCCAACACTTTCAATAGTACCACAGTCTGCAATTCCCAGAACGACGCAAAATTCGAAGTCGTCAACAATGCCAAAAACGCCGATATCACCGTGGGTGATAACACGAGCCATACTTCTAACTTCCATACCTTCGGGAATAAGAATATGTTGAATTCCACTGGAAGTAACACAGGCGGATGGAATACGAAGAATACTGGGAGCAATCTGACCACACATCGAGAACCGAAGAGAGGAGTGGGAAAGAGAGATTATATCGGGTGGAAAGGATGGTTCGAGGATATTCTGATGGGTGGTGATTATGGAAGATGGGAAATGCCTTGGAGAGCACCTACTCCTGGAACCTCGAAGGGAGATAAGCCGAAGTGGGGAAGTGGAGCAGCTCCGACGAAAGTGGCGAGTCATCATACCTCGAGTAGCAGTCTTGGCGCGGAGCCAACCTTCACACAGAATCCGAAGCCGTCGATGGTTCCTGGGCCGAGTTGGAAAGGCAATAAGACAGATCCGTATCGTCCGAATCATTCGGGCCATGGTTGGCCTCGACCGAAGTTTGGAAATCACACCAAGAACGGAACTGTTCAAGATGGAGAGGAGCACAAGAGAGATATCGTCAACCTCAATATTATGGGTGGAAGCTTGAATAGCACTTTGGCAAGGAGTGGGAATAATAATACTGTGGAAGTTTATGTGATGGGAAATGGAGCGAATGTGGTTAATGTTACCGTAGTCTGGGAAGGAGAAGGGACTGATATGAAGGATTCTGGAAATGGTAACACTGTTCGTGTATATATTGGGGACTCAAATGGTGTCGATATGGGAAACTCTACATTGCAGGTTGTTGGAGGAGAGGAACTCTAGTATCTAATGTGTAATCTATGGCTTAAAAGTCTCTCTAACACTTTTCAACGCTACCTTCTTTACCTTAACCTCCTTCGTACTCACCCCACCTTTCCCCTCCAGCGTCCAAACATCTACAACTCCAAAACTCTCTATATATCCAATCGTAGCCGCATAACAAGTTCCCACCTGATCAATCCCATGACTATCATCACTCAAAGTCAACATCCCACCCATTTCCAAATACTTCTCCACTACACACCTCATCGGATACGGCTCCTTCAACCCCTTCCTCAACCCCGCACTATTAATCTCCATCAAACCCCCCTGCTCAACAATGACCTTCAAATTCCTCTCCACCTTCTCCCAAACCCCCTTCCAATCCCTCAGATCCCGCCCCGGATCCTCAGCCAACAACCGAATCAAATCAAAATGCCCCACCACCCTCGGCTTCAACTCCTTCAACATCTCATACTGCAAATCGAAATAATCCTCAAAGAACCTCTCGTCGCTTCCTCCCGCTTTTTCTCGCGCGGCGGAATACAGTTTCTTGTCGTAATCAATGGGGATCTCGTGGACGTGATGCACTGATCCGATGAAATAATCCACCGCTGGATCGGCTGCTAGTTCTTTGATGAAGGGGCCGTAGGATGGACGGATATATTCGCCTTCGAAGCCGATTAGGAGGGTGATTTGGTCTGCGTATTTCTCACGCAGACGTTGCGCTTCGAGGAGGTAGGCTTGGTGGCGGGGTGCGAGCGGGGCGATACTTTCCTGAGAATTAAATGTTAATATGGAGATGGAGAGGGCTCTGGGAGGAGTGAGGTACTTCTTCGGGGTATAGATCTTTCTCTGAGTCTCGTGGCATGTGTTCGGTTAGGCCGAAGGTTGTCATTCCCCGTGCGATGGCGGTCTGGATTATCTGTTCCAGGACATCTTTTGCGTGGCCCGGACAGAATTGTCCGGAGTGACTGTGCATGGAGAACGCCATGGTGGGTGAAGGGAGGGATGGAATAGGAGGAGCTTCAAGTCTTGGGGAAGATAAGAAATTGTGGTTGGGATGTTCGCCCGGTTCTCGTTAGGCGGGCCGAGATTTGGATAGCACCACGAATGAATCCGCAGTACTGATGAACGTGATTCAGAGTTCTACTTCCTCCCTAGGACACCGCATTTACCTAGGTATGGTTGCGAGCGCCAGCGACGGGGGTCGCTGAAGGTTTGGATTTGTAAATGGAGTGAGTGGCTTTCCTTTGGACAAAACTCACGTCCCGCAACTCAAATGGATAATTCTGCGTTTATAACAATAAGTTCTGAATAGCTTCAAATTCTGGGTCATAAAGTGAAGCATACCTAGGTAGGTACCTAGGTAGTAGAATGTCATGCGCGAATAGAAACCTGTGACTGTCACATGCATCCTGCACCTTCCCACTTTCGGACTGCTGGAAAGTGGACATCCAATTATAGTAGAGTATGTGACTCTTTTACGGGGCTGATCCCGACCCCGCAGCTAAAGCCCGTATGTTGTTAAATAAGCACTTTTTCCAAAAATGCTATCGAATCATTGCCAAAGTTCAAGTTAAACTTGATCTACACAGGCTGGTACGTTACATTCTGGACAAAACTCCCAGAACTCTATGCTAACTCGCCTTCTAGCTTGGCGCAATGGTAGCGCGCGGTCCTCCTACGACTGTAAGGTTGTAAGACTGAGGTTGCGGGTTCGAGTCCCGTGGTGGTCGACGCAAAATGATGATCTTTTTATTTTTTTTAGTTCGGATCCTTCGCTGCATTTTTGTTTCAACTCTAGTAGACTTTGCTTCGAGGCCCTGTCTGACTTTTTGGATTTTCTTTTTGCTATTGTGGAGTAAGCGAACTTCCCGTCGATTAGTAACCGAGTTGCCAATATATATAAACCCGTTTCATCGGATAATAATGTAGAAGTTTTTCTCCTTGCTTTTGTTTTATGTCTTGAACAATATTCTTACTTATTCAATCGTTTGTTTTCATTGTATAATCTGTCCTGGTCGTCCTTGGATATGCCTCCCTAAGAGCGTTGGGACTTGGATTTTGTTTCACTTCAAGATTAAAGCTCGAAAACTCTACTTCTGGCTATATGCTTGACTTGCATACATACCTCTGAACATTATCTAGATTCTAAATTTACAAGCGTTAAACGACCTCACTGGCCTTCATTTGTTAAAAAGATTTTCCTAGTGATTATGAAGTAACCTTACTCATTGAGAACTTGCAGCTGCTTCGTCGTCCTCGTCGAAGATCCATTCGAATATTATTCACAGATAATTCAAAGCAAGTAAATTGATTTCAGCGTAGCCTTTGCATTTGCACGTAGATATGGGAAAACCTGGTAGGAAAACCACACCAAGGCCAAATTCAACTCAAAATTCCAACATCCCACAAAGCTTTGAACGCTTCGACGACTTGCTTCTAAGTCTAATCCATCAACATGAAATCGTCAGCTCTCTAAACGGTAATATCATATCTCGGGATCATCAGCCACTTACACAGAAGCCATTATCGCCGTTCCTGAAGTCACAAGGATTACAATCGGGACCAGCAGGGCCAGCACAGCCAACAGTCTTGCTGCACGCAACCTCCTCACAAGCAAGTCTCTTCTCTATATCTCCTGGGAGTCTAGGTATGGCCACAATTGCTGGTACAGCGATAGTAGCCGCGGCGAACATCGTAGTTAGAATGATTAAGAAATGCATATTTGTTGAATAGTCTGGTCTGGGAGATGTGGTTTCCGTCCAAAGGGAAATTGAGTTGCTTAAGAAGCCCATAGCTTCACGTAAAATCAACTTATTGCTTGAGGTGAACTACACCTTCGTGCCGGGAGAGCTTCTAGGAATTTCCGCAAACATGAGCCTAATATTTTCCCTTTACTACTGTAGATTGGCCTAGTATGCGACACTTCTCCTCGGGCCGAACCAAGAAATTTGGAATCACCAGATCTATGCCGTCAGTTCTGAGGATCGCCCATTTCTCGAGGCCGAAGAAAACTTTTTCAGAGGTCAGGTCGGCTTTGTCACCTGGCAACTCTCTCGTCGCCTCTCTCTAGTTACATTTGGTACGCCGTCCGTAGTGCTTAGTAGGAATCTCAATGATGTAATTTGTACATCTACGCCGTACGCGCGGATGTTCGCTCTTTTCGTTCTTTTCGTTTCAGTTTTATTGAAGATTTCAATGCATGCCGTTGTCTCTGCGGCGCAAAGGAGCTTACGGCCATTTTTGAGGTATAATCCCACACGGCACAGTTAAGCAGAACAAGTATTACGTTGTTATGACACATTTAACTCATTGATGACGTTGTAAAGTAAAAAGGTTGCCATTGAGAGCAATTCTCACGGATGGACTGATCATGATACACGTCTAAAGCCCACCCTTCCTCCCACAGCATCAAATGCTACCTCCAAAGCCCGATATACATGTCGTCCTGTATTGATAAACGGAACTCTAGCATCACTCAAAGTCACAGACACCTTCGTAGGAGTAACTCCACGCTTCACATTCACTCCCACAATAAAATCATCAGTAGCCACCCCGAAATCAACCTTCACTCTTGAACCCTCAACAAGCAAAGTTGTATTTGGAGACGTCGAAACTGAGGCGTTGGATGGAAGTGTGATGTACGAGTTATTCAAACCAGTATCAAGAAGTGCTGTGCCCATTGAACATGGCGCGCTGTCCACGGACATGCAAGCAGGTATTGCTCCCCAATCGTATGGACTCCGCGGGACTGTAGAATGGATCTTAGGAAGTTGGACATACTGCATGCCGTCCATGTTTGCCTCTGTAAGTCCAATGGTGATACCCTTTTTCGTGATGATGTAGCCTGCTCTGAAGTCTTTTGACAATGTGCCGCCAATGGAAACGATGTTTATGAAAGGATTCTTGTCTGGAGTTCCCTGTGGCATCCCATCTCCTTGTCTGTCGAAACCAACACCCATAATCCTGATGCGTTTTGGGGAATAAGTTATTGGTGGTAGAGTTCCATCTGGATTCTTAGGACAAGACCCTTTGTTGATGGTTGCATTATATTTCGCACCATTGCAAACGGTGACTGAAGTCACACAAAGCACTGGAACTTGAGCATGAATCAATTCATGATTCGGATCACCAAAGTTGAAGTAGACGTCTTTGGGAATCCAATTCCCGTTATACAGCTTTTTGCTGCTGGAGAGGTACTCCCAGCCTTGAGGATAGCGTTCGGCTTCTTCTGCGGTCCATTCAGGGATGTCTGCCGCTGAGATTACCATTCCAGTGCTACCGGTATCCACGAATGGTATGTAGTTCGTGGATGCTGCTTTCGCTGCAAATCGGAAGTTCACATTCTGGTAATCTGTGAAAGTAATGCCGCCATCATCAACAGGTAGAAATGGAATGAGTGCTGATGCGTTGGACCCGGCAGTCGCTGAAGCAGCGAGCAGACAGCCTATGCTGAGAGCCTGGAGAAAGGTCTTCATGTCGCAGTCACTGCGTGGAGGCACCCCTTGTGGAGATGCTTGCTCTCCTTAGGTCCGAGGGCATAGTTGTGATAAAGGTTCTTAATTCTTTGTCTTCCACGGAAACTGCGACACAAATATTTGTTTGCATCATGAACGGTCTCGTCGGCCGACGATTACTGTGAGGTTACATTATCCAGGCAGCTGAGTGCCCAGAACCCCACCTGCCTTGGTAGGAATAGCGTTCTGCTCGCTGAAGCTTTAGGCGTGATCACTGCGCTTTCCGCGCGTTTTGCGCTCATCCCGCCCACCGCGCCCTCGGCATGGAATGCGCAGTCACTTGACTGTTAGGGTGTTACAATGGCTCTGTTCTAAATACAACGGCATCTACACGAAAATACAATCAATTCATATATGTACGTCCATAAAACTCCCTTCTTTACCCCACCTTCGACAAAACAATCCTCAACGCCAACGGCGAAATACTAACCACCTTTCCGTCCTTATCCAAATCAAAAATAAATTCATCCAGCGCTTGAGCCCCATAAACCAACCCTGTAGGATCAATCCAGGTCCCACAAGTCGCCAGAAACATACTATCCTGCAACGTATTCGACAAATCCTCAAATACCGCTTTCATAGAAAGCTGTTTACTCCCATCCGCATTCACGACTTGCAGATCCGTAGGATACAGTCTCGCGCTGAAATTCTTACTGACGTAATTATCAGATAGAAGATTGGCTACGAGCAGCATATCCGTTCCATTGCTGATCCAGGAACTGATTCCGATCCCAGGACGATTCGGATCAGTAGCAAGAACGATGGAGGAGTTGAGTGTGCTGCTTTGATATGTGCCTCCGTAAGTAGACTGAGCTTCTTCTCTGGCAGTTTGTTCCATAGCAGGAACGATCGCATTCCCAAATATATCAGCAATTTCCCAATTACTAAGTGCTCCATCACCCGCAACCAGAATCGAGAATCCGATGTCGTATTCTGGGAGTAGTGAAATGAGAGAGCTGTATGAGCCGATTACGCCAGCTTTGTTGAATGCGGTTATTAGTTCATAGGGTCTGTCGGGATGGAGTTGGATTCTTCGGAGACCCCATGGCCAGCCGACTGTTTCTCGAATATCTGAGGTCAGAGTTGCGGGCTGGAGCCAGCGATTTGTTTGTGCTGAGCTCAAAAGGGTGGAATTCATGATTGAACGACCGAACGAGGCGAGGTCGTTTGCTGATGAGTACATGCCTCCCGCCCTGGAAAGTATCAGTGAAATTCTGCATCAAGGTGAAGGTGGCTTACGGAGTTTCGTCTCCAAGTTGTACAGCCCACTGAGTAGCTTTCCATGTTCCAGGAATCACTCCCAGAGATTCATTCGGGGCGTTGTAAAAAGTGTGACTGAGACCCAGTGGCTTTAGAATTCCGTCTTCAATGGAAGATTCGAAACTTTTTCCAGTAATACCTTCAAGTGCATAGGCGAAAACCTGGAAAGCAATGTTCGAGTACGCTGGAGTCTCAGCTGATGCAAAAGCTGGATACAGATGTTGAAAAGTCTCAAAGAATTGTGTACGGTTGCAGAGTGGATAAGCACCACAGGGAGGAATTTGAGCTGATGCTAAAGGAGGAAAACCCAATGCAATGGACTCATTTGGCTTCATGGTCAAGCTCAGCTCTCCAATGACCGTATCTGGGTCTCATCAGCTGTATTTTGTCTAGGTCTGCGATCTGGATGACTTACTATCATTTGCGATTCCAGCCATGTGACTTGCTAACTCTCCAATCGTGATATCACCCCACGCCACCTTCGTGAGTGCATTTCCAGATTGATTAGCAGCGAGTGCCGCAAGCTCAGGTATATACTTCGTGACGGGCTCGTTGAAGTATACATCTCCCGCGGCAATCAAAAATGCATATATAGCGAAGGCTTTCGTAGGACTTCCTATTCTGAAGACCGTGTCTGCATCAACCTTCGTGACTCCAGTGGTGTTCTGGTTTGTGAGGTTCTGAGCTGTGTGTGAGTGCTCGAAGAGTGGTGTCGAGCTAGTGGTTGAGAAGACTTGAATAGAATACGAGTTATTGTAACTTCCAGTCGAATTGTCTGCATCTATCGCCGTGAACAGGCTCGTCAGGTTCTGAATCGCGGCGTTCAGTACCGCACTCTTGGACAGATATTGAGGTTTTGGGAATGTCGGTCCCATTAAGGGACAATTGGTTGCTCCATTGCATAACGATATGCATGAAAGTACAAACAAAAAGTAGAGCATCGAAATGAAAGACATATTGAACTTGATGGCACCATCTTCACAGTGAGAATCGGTGAATTATAACTACGATACAATATAATTTATCCTAGCTCCGGCCCTTGGAATCCGTTTCCAACTACGGAACTTACCTCGGGACTTTTCGTCCGAAATTTTAAAATAGATCTGGGCTATGGAGATTTCGGCAGGAAGCCGTTATGTATAGGCAGAGTTGATGGAAGATGGTGAACGGAATACTAAAATGTGGGCACCCGAGTGCTTGTTGAAGGGTAAAAACGCGTTCCTCAAATTTATATTGAGCTTCAATATCGCTAATCTAGGGTGTTGTTCCTGAATGCTTGTTTATCCATATGAAGGTGTGGGAGGTACGTATTACCCTATCAAGGAGCCCCGCACGCTTGGCCTCGCTTAGCGTTCAGGGGAAATAACGTCGTGATGGAGATCATAGCAGATTGAGGGAGCACGTTTTTGAGGTGAATGAAGGGCATCCTTGGCTGAGATAGCAATTCTCGGTGTTCTGTGGTCTGTTTACGATGTTCCGTGTGAACCAAAAAAGCCCATTCTGCCAAGGTAGTTGATCGGAGACGGTTTTTTTTCTTGTTGAGAAAACATTGACTCGACACAAAAGGTCAAAGGAATAGAACAGAGGAGTCATCTGTTGATTACACCATATGTGTACCAAGTTGTAGGGTGCCTGTAATGTCCCGACTCCTATCAATTCTGCGCATCCCACAACTGCTTCCACCATCCACCCTTCATTTTCATCAATTCTTCGGGATGCCCCAACTCCACAATCCTCCCCTTATCAAGCACAACAACTCTATCACACCAGCTCAGGCTACTCAATCGATGAGCGACGGTGATTACAGTATGGTCTTGGAACTCCTCCTCGATGACTGCTCTCATTACAGCATCGGTCTTCTTGTCGACGCTACTAGTTGCCTCATCGAGGACTAAAACCCGACTAGTATCTTTCCGAAGTAGAGCACGAGCAAGACAGAAGAGTTGTTTCTGTCCATGGGACAGACCGATGCTATCAACTGATTGGGATAAGTCGCCACCGTCAGCAATCTGTTCCCAAAGCCCGACCTTTTTGAGGGCGTTGATGATGGATGTGTCAGATATTGGCTGTTGTGACCTCGAGGTTGTGGTTGGTAAAGCTTCTGGAGCTTCAAATTCTTCCGACTCCGCTTCAGACATGATCTTGGTGGTGTATGGCGCAGCATTGAAACGAGCGCTGCCAGATAGTAGGCAGGGTTCTTGAGGAATTACGATGATAGAGCTTCGAACCTCCTCCCTCGACAGCAGTGAGATATCCTGGTCATCGATAGTGATGGTACCCGTGTGTTCAGGAGAGAGACGAAATAAAAGGCCTATCAATGTCGATTTGCCACTGCCGGTTCTGCCGCAGATACCAATTTTCTCTCCACCTTTGATACTGAGGTCAATTTCATGGAGAACATTTTCCGAGTCAGATGCATATCTTGCAGAGACACTGCCAAAAGTCACTGCACCTCCTTGAGGCCATCCGCCAGCAGGTTTCTCGACCTCTTGTGGTCGAGATTCTGGCTTGACATCCGCTTCTAGCTGCTTGAGCCTAGCAACTGCTCCTATCGAAGTCTCGAGGGTAGTCCCTGAATGATGCAGTAGTCAGCAGCGACTCGACAAAAATCGACTTGGAAGACCTGGGGACAGTGGGCCGAGTATATCGAAACAAGGAAAAAGCATTGTTCTCAGACGTACAATATTGAATAAGCGCTGCAGCCATTCCTCCAAAATCCAATACATTCAGCAAGCCGATACCAATAGCAACGCCAGATGTTGTATTCTTCAGCTGCGTCGCGAAGCTGACCAACAATACTGCCATACAAGCAACCAAAAGATCCATAACAAAGTTGAGCCAGCGCTGAATGCAGAAAAGAAGGTAGAATGGGCGTTGCGAAGCATCTAATCTCTTGAGGAAGGCTCTCATCAATTTATCTTGCCAACCAAAGGCTCGAATAGTGGATAAGCCTTCTATTGTCTCCGTGAATGTACTGAAGAGAGGAGACTGCAATTCTAGATCCAGAATACGAATCTGTCGACTTGTTCGCAGGTAGAAATTTTGAATTGCATACAAAATAGCGCCTAAGAAAGGCACAAATGCAAACAAGTAGTAGGCACCATAGCACATAAGAACGAGACTCCAAAGGACCTCTAACGTCGTGTGCACAGTCTGTAAAAGAGCGATTGGCAGTTGAATGTCGACGATGGTCATGTCTTGACTGAAACGGTTCAATATGATACCACTATCAGTATTCGTGAAGAAACTCAAAGGCGCTGCAAATACGACGCGAGTGAGAATCCAATGCAACCGTCGGCCAGCAAGGGGACCCATGCTGACCAGTATAGTGCTAGGACGGGTTAGCAGCTTCAACCACAGATCTTCAATTATCTGTTGCTAACCGTAAGTAAGCTACTTGCGAAGATAGTGCCAAGCAAGGCAGTAGAAAAGCGGCACAAATAAACAAGTTAGTATGGCCACCACTTGCGTCACTCCACCATCCGACCAGGAGCTCTTCACTGAAGTCAGCCATGAACCAAAAACACTTAGCGGGAAACTCACGTATTAGTTTATAAGCAGAAACAGAAAATATCTCAAGGCTTACAAACAGACCTAGTCGTGATAAAGACAGTGCTTTCCGGTAGTAGTTGTATACTGAGAAGTCTCCAAGTCTTCGTGCATCGTTTCCCGTATCGCCTGTTGGAATTGAAGCCGGAGCTGTGAAAGAGCGGAGATTACGCATTTCTTCTTTTCCCAAATCGCTAGATTGATCTAGGCATTTCTGTGACTCTGCAATAGCTAATGATTTGATATATCCATCCGTCGACTCAAGCTCGGCGACATTGCCCTGCTCAACGATGCTTCCATCGGGGCCGAGAGCAATAATGTGATCTGCTGAACGCATGTGATGGACTAGGATTGTCAGAATGAGCCTGATCTTCGAGATTGAGGTCCGAATTTACCTGCGTGTGTGGCCAAAATGATTGTTGTCCTCTGTTGTCGCAAGATACCTGAATTCGAGAACAGGCGAGAGAACACGAGTGCCTCGGTCTTCGCATCCAAAGCGCTGAGAATATCATCCAATATAAGTAGAATTTGTCTTTGATAAACTGCTCGGGCAAGAGCGAGACGTTGTCGTTGACCCCCACTCAAAGTTAGACCACGGCTGCCGATCAGAGAATGTTCTCCCCGAGGAAAGAGCTCGATGTCGACATCAAGTGCACAAGCGTAAATTACACTTCGAAGCCATACTTCATCGACATCTTCTAAATCATCTTCGGTACCAGCTATTATTTGCCTTACTGTACCATTTGGCAGCCAGGCACTCTGACTGCAATATCCGATATTTTGAGCATCCAACCGGATGAAACCCTTATTACTCCTCAGTTCCCCCAGCAACCCGAGAAGCAGACTCGTCTTTCCCGAGCCTACAGGTCCAACAATCATGGTAATTGTGCCCCTTTTTAGACTCGAGGTTGCGGATTGAACAACATTTGTATTCTTTGAGTAACCTAGGGACAGACTGTCCAGTAAAATTGCATGCTCATTCTGAGACAGTCCCCCTCGGGGTGGTAGGATTTGCATCTCGATTCCTGAGGTTGATGCAGCAGGACTGCCACTCACTGGAAGATTCAATAATCTGTCGTCCGCTTGCTCCTCTCGTAGAAGGAATTGCTGAATCCTGTCGAAGCAGGCAAGAGATGACATTGTGGATGGAATCATTGTGATTACCATCGACAATGGGTTTACTATTAGCCCTAGTATAGAGAGGATAGTGTAAGCCTGCGCTGTGTTCAGAGGATGCCCTCTACCTGACCTCGCACGAACAACATAAACCATGAAGACAAAAGGCGGCGAGTACAATCTTGCCAGCCCCCCAAAAACATTCATCCAAATGATCATCCAACGAAGTCCCTTCATGCGATGCAGTTCTCGGACGCGCTGGCTTTGAAGGAGAGCCTGTATACGCGGTCCAAGTCCCATCATCCTCGTGCTTACTATTTCGCGGAGGGCAGATGCAGCAAGAGCTACCCTTTTCTGAGTGGCTTCGTTCCAAGTCTTGCGATACCCTACCATTTTCTTTCCAATCACAAAGTAATTGATGCCTCCAGAAACGAAAGCGAGAATGAGGGGCACAACGAAGCCTACTCCAGCATAGAGCCATAACAGGTACACGCCAATAGCGACTTCAACCGTGCACGCCCATATATCATGGAGCGAGTCGAGAGAGGTTGTGATACCGCCAACATCAGTAGACATCAAAGTTACTGCAGGAGCATCTTTAGATCCCACTAAATTCAACTTCAAGGTCTTAGAATAAATCATGGAAACCAAGGCACCGCGCAGCACTGTCATACCACGATACGTTGCATGCTTGTATCGCCCAGTCGCCACAGCGCGACCGATGTAGACGATCGCAGTGGCGCCAATCAAGCCATATCCGACGTTCGTGTTATCTAGAGACAATGGTTCAGTGACGAATCTTGTCGTTCTATTGATAAGGAACGGTTGAGCATAGTTGAACCCAATCAAGCAAAGCCGAGGAAACACGGGTGCTAGAAACTGCCACTTTAATGCCGTAAAAGTGCTCTTGACAAGAGGATGCTTGGTGTCCTTGTTTACTGCAACCATTAGTGTAAGTACCATAATCAATGATAATGAAAAGACATACCTCGATCCCAAGAAGCCTGTGATAGAACGTGTAGCTTTTCAGATTGTAGATTAGGATCAAGCGTGTACAAATCCTCGAAAGCAATGACCTTCCTGAACCCAGTCCTGAACAGTCGGTTAAGCCACCAGAAGACGCTCACATTGTATACACTACTCAATGCTTCTGGTGTTGTCCAGCGATAAGGCGGTGCTAGATATGGACCTTTCTCTACTGCTTCAAGAATGAGCAGTGTTGCTTTGGCCGAAAATGATGCCGAGAAAACACCAGCAATTGTGTCTAAACCAGGAATCATCCAGAGTGTCCTGAGCTGTACCGCATCAAACAGAACAGAGAAGAAGAGATAGAGGTTGATGATCGCTGAAGGCCGGATAGATTTAACGTGCTCGAAATGAGACAAGACGCAGATGAATGCTGCTCCTGCAAAGGACAAGACAGCGGCCGAGATGGAGACTTCGGTTCGCTCAGTAGGTGAGAGGCACCAAAGCACCAGCAGAACAATCTGCAGGATAGCATAAACTACGGCTATGACCTGAGAGTGTCAGTATCTCTAATTCTCCACCAAATATATGAAAGCCATACGATCTTCGATGAATGGATGGGACTTGACACAGCCTTGACTTCGCCTCGGATGACGGTTGCCAGGCGAATCGGGGATAATAGAATAAGGAATAGTGATGGAATGAGTGACAAGAAGATCTGTTCGAATAGCAAAGTGAAATCGAAAGAACGACAGTTGAGGGCAATAGCTGGCCCAAAGCTGTTGTCACTGCCGATCCGACATGTTTGATTGGGAAGCAGCGTCTGAATCGAAGTGTTCATTGTGCTAGATGCATTCAGATAGCAAGTTGAGAGACTCTTATAAAGCTAACGAACATCACAAAGATACTTTCTGTGCCTCTTAAGGCACTCTATATCGAAGCGCAAGTAGCAGTACATGAAGCAAGCATGTAAGCACTTGTTCGGATAAATCCAACCCCACTTTGCCGAGGCCTCTAGTATTTTTTTGAGGTACACACGTGACACGCGATAACCAAATTTAACACCAAGAGAAAGAAAGGAGAGTCGCAATGGGATTGCACCCCTGTATTCATCCCAGTGAACAATTAAGCCGTTTCATTTGGCCGCATTTTTGATCAACTGAAACCGGGCCGTGAGTTCTACTTGGCAGCCTCAACCCATCCACCACGCCTGCCCCCCTTTCAATCCATTCCCACCTACTTCTCGCACCCAAAACTTCCAATTCTTCCTCCCCCTTACGCTCGCGATAACAACAGATAACTTGGAGCAAAGCAAGGGGAACAACAATCTAAGTGGCTAGTGCTGTGAAAGAGAGACAGAATCGAGCGAAAGAAGGGAATTGGAAGTCGATGCTAGGTACCTATTGACTTCAAGGTCAATATGCTTCCTTTCCTTGAGGGATAATGTCCTTATGAAATGCTACCAAAGTAGTGGTTGGCCTTGAGATTCGAATCAATGCATGACGTCTGACAGGGATCGAGAAATGAAGACCTTCACTTCTAAGTTGAAGTTCCCTGGTGGGATGGACGATCCTTTCTTCACAGACAAGATGCATCTTTTGCTAAAGTCTCTACTATTCTCATTCAATCAACTCTCGCCCATGAATTTACTCTCAACGTTGAACTTTGCAAATTTTTTGCTTGGAAGCCCTCTGGCGGGATCATTAGTCTTCATTGCTGCCCTGAACTCGCATTCATTCTTTTCTTCCGTTAAACTCGGTGCACCCATCAAGACCTCCACCACTGGCTCACTACTGAGCAGCCTGTATAGCAAGAGAACTAAGAATCACAATCTCATCCCACTTCCGGCCTCCAAGATCACACAAAATCTCCACATCCCCCATCTTCCCCGGCCAAGTTAGCGGACAATGCATGAACCTCGCAACAATACCACCAGATTCCAGATCAACAAGCTTAAGATGCCGATGGTCGATCTTGTAGGTGAAGGCATCCACCTTTCTCACGAACGCAAATGGACTTTGAGGAATATCGTGGACGTCGTGAGTCATCCTCCATTCGAATAGACGTCTTTCGCCGGTGGGAAGGTCTATGCAGAGCATGTATTGGTTCTTTCCCACCCAGAGTTTCCTCTCCATGTCTTCCCATCTTGGGCACTTAGTTTCTGGGTCGCCGAATGTTAGTTTGATGGTGTTGGTAATCATCGAGAGTCGAGCTGCTCCGACGATTGGGTCCTGTTCGGAACATCCGGAGTGTATGGTTAAGTTGTATTTGTGGTTCTTCGTCTTTATGTTTCCGGTGTGGATTGTGTATAATGCAATCGATGAGCTGGGCTCAAATACGTGGTGAACGTGCCGATTTTTTGAGTTTGCGATAGTATATTGTCGAATTATGTCTGGTATGCCTTCGCTCTTGTCAAGACTTGTTGTCGACATTTGCTGGTAAGCGTCAGGAAGAGGTGGGATTATAAAGAATGGTGGCGATCCTCGATTTGATAGATAGAAGTTAAATGAGGCTCGAAAGACAATCGAGAGGAATCTTCTTTTACTCTTCAGAATGTAAAGTTGGAGCCTGACTGTATATCAATCATGGAATCAGGTAATATCATTGTGCATGAAGGTCAAAAGAGTTTGGATACAAGTGTGTGGGCGCTTGCCCAACTAATCGCGATGTAATAATTTTACATTTGCCAACAAATCTGCTTCGAGATGTTTCAAATAGTCAATGTTGGCTCAAAAATAGCCAGGATTAATCAGGTGGTTGTTGGTGGTCGTAACTTTGGCCTTCAGACGTCCAGGGCGTATGCAATCCAGGTCCAACGGTGATGATCAACGTTTCAGGGGCTCGCGTAAAACGCACCCTATTGTTCGATTTGAGCAGAATCAAAAACTTCGAACAGGAACAGATGCAGAAGCAAAATTTCAACATTAACAAGGCACACACATTGGATGTATTAACAACAGAAGAAGAAGTCCTGACTATAGAACTGCGTACCACGAGAAAAACCTGCGAGACTTGCAAATATGATAAATAAGTGAAGATCTATTATGTCATACATATATACATATACAAATATTTGTTACAGTACAGTACACACTTTTGCAAAACCGTTACTCATCTATCTTCGCTTCTGGTCCGACATCTTGTCGACCATTGCGGCTCCGTTCTTTCGAAATCAAGTATATGTTAAGACTTTTTGTCTGTCCGGGTCAAGGCCACTTTGAGAGCCTCGACCGCCGATGTCATCCAGCTCTTGTTCGTGGAGTCCTCTTGATTCAGATTTCCTGGAGCATCGCCTTGCTGATCTTGTTCGTTGTTTTCAGGGTCCTTCTCAAGCAAGTTTGGATCTGATTGTTTCATACGCTGAGCCTCGGTCACCTTTTCCGTCTCAGATGCGAATTTCTCATCTTGTCCTAGACTCTCGGGATCAAGCGGTCGCTCGGAAGCCCGCCGTCTTGGTTGAGCTCGTTATTTTCAGGCACGTTGTCTTGCAAACCGTACTGATCTTTGGTCGCTTTTTCCACGCCGTCCATGATTTCAGATGGAGCTATCTCATCGTCCTTGACACGATGCCGGGATAGATCCTCAGAGACTGGCGCTTGAGCCCCAGCGTCTCGGTCTTGCTCATTATTTTCGAGGATTTTGTCGTGCAAGTCATCCTCGTCTTGCGATGCTTTTTCCGCGTTGTCCATGATCTCAGATGCGGCTTTATCTTCTTCCCCGATGTCATCTCGACTCAGATCCTCAGAGTCTAACAGTCTTTCTGAAGCAGTGTCTTGACCATCGTTCTCAGGCGCCTGATCATACAAAGCTCGATAGTCTTGCTTCGCATGTTGGTCCTCAACCACTTATCCTACATCTTCCATGAGCTCAGATGCAACTCCTTCATCAGCTCTGCTGGGGTCTGGATTCAGATCCTCAGGATTGAGAGATCTTATTCCGGCGATGTCCTGTTGGTCCTCCGCATCATTTTCAACCGGTTTGTCCTGCATCTGTTGGCCTCCTTGCTTGGTTCGCTGACCTTCGGCGAGCTTTTCCGCATCGTCCGTATTTCCAGGTACAACTTTCTCGTCTTCCCTCATGTTTCCGGTCTCCACTACCTCCACAGATCTCTCATCTTCAGCCACATGCTCAGAACTAACTTCCAACGGAGGAACGTGCTCTTCCTTGGTCTGTCGGGGGCGCACAAAGGTATTCAGATGATTAGTCAGACGTGTCAACGCAGATGTAGATTTTGCCGTGCCAAGAACGATCTCGATATCATCCGCTACCGGATTTTCTGATGCTGGTTGGTGGTTGTCAGAAGTCACTTCGTCTGCAGCGTCTGAATCCATTGAATCAGCAGTCTCCTTTGCAGAATCATGCGCTTCAAAATTCTTGGTTCCATATCCGAGATATCTGCAACCAAGGACACGTCCTTGAAAAAATTTCTGGTCAATTTGACTTTCCATCGCTATCGCCTCAGCTGGGGTATCAAACACCAATGTGGCGTGGAGAGCAAATAATTTCAGACCACGAGGTTTCCTCATATAACATTTGACTGTTTGTGGAATTCGAAACGCATCCCGTAAATTTTGTTCGGCCTCTTTCATAATTCTTTCTCCGGAGGATGGCAGATTGGTGACAATAACGCTGTTTCTCATTGTTTTCCATGTTAACCCAGGGTCTGTAAACTTCATCACAAGTCCCTTCTCTTGCGAGATTCGCAGCGCTTCGTCCAATTCCTCCAGGTCAGGATCCTTTGTGGGATCTGTAATTGACAGCTCATTGGAGACTTGGCTGGAGGACTCTGAAATGCCAGGCTGCTCGTTCGTAGTAACATGCTTCGATCCATGGAGCAGTATCTCAGAGCTGCTTGAAAGAAGCTCATCCGCTTTATGAAACTTCACAAGTTCGATCAAATTGCTTAAAGCCGTCCCAAACTCGTTACCATCAAGATCAGATCGATTGAGAAGCTGCCGAGCAGCCTTCAAGTCTATTCTTGGGTCCATGTAAGAGCACTCGACAAGCTGGCCACTTGGGCCGGAAAATTCGGGGTGCATAGCTGCAACCATAATAGCGGAAGATGGTTTTGTAAAGTATACGAAAATAGAGTTGCTATCAGGAAATCTGTACCACGCTCGCCTTTTGTGAGGATCTCCATATTTCTCACCCCTGACAGAGGAAAGTTTGATGGAAAGCCATCAAGCCTGATCGTATGGCGGGCGGGTAATGCTGATGCGTTTAAAGGCATATGAGTAGGATCGGACTTCAAACGCCGGTCGAGCTCAGCATTCTTCAATGCGTCCACGATCATAGCATGTACAATCGGCTTCAGTCCAGAACCATCGTAAGGGATGTTGTTGAGACGATTTTCGGTTCTGAGGCAGGCAAAGACCACATGGGAATAAAGTTTTTCTAGGTCTACTTCGCTACCTAGATATGTGCACAGTAGTTGATTCCTTTCGCCTTTGATAAAGGCCTTGTGACACCTCGCTGCCTCAAACATAGCTGTGCGAGGGTCAACATGAGTAACAAATGCATAACTGGTATTTTGAGGCTGATGGATCTCAATTGCTCTGAGAAACATAGCACGTAACTGCCATTCGTCCATCTTATGGGGAAGATGCACTCTGATAGTACAGTCGCTAGCGAAGTTCGTAGGCTCCTGAGGAGGTGTCTCTCACACAATTCGTTCGTCTCCCACTTGTGGAGGGGAGTTCAGTTCAACTCCACTGTCCGGTACACATTCGGCAATCCTGATGTTATCCGATTGAACTTCTTCGTGCTGGGACTTCACTTCACCGTCTTCAGAGCTTTTAGTCTGACTTCCAGTAGAGGGCATCTGGTCGGCTAAGATTCTGAGACGACACTGGAGAAGGCCCCATGGACTATCAATGGGCGTATTATCATATCTAGCAATCGCATCGAGTGCTTCTTGCTTACTGTGAAAGAGCACATAGCCACATACCCAATCTGGCCCCCGTTTTCCTGCGATTTGGCAAAAGCCATTGGCCTGGCTTTTGAGGTGAAACATCACGTATCTTAAACGCTCACAAGAGTTTGGTGGCTGAAATGTCGAAGATATAACTTCGACGGTATGATATCGGGTAAGTCTGCCAGGTCCAATTATGTCGACGGCATCCTGGTACCTTTCCTCCAAATTCGTTTCAACCAGAGACCTTTGAACAAAGCATGAGGATGACTTCAAATGTGTACAAGGCCCAATGTGGCCGCGTCTGTATTGATGACCTTCGTTGGCTTGAAAGGTGCTAGCTGCCACATGAGCCTCATACTCAGTCTTGAAGATAGCAATAGCCCATCTGGACATCCCAGAGTCCTCCTTGGGATTCTGTATATGTACGTTGATTGGTCTTGATTGAAAGAGGGAATTGAGTTGTTCTGTCGAAATTTCCGGTGGAAAATCCTCGATGAGAACAGCATTTTCTCGGTGAGATCCATAATGCACCTTCACGATTTGTATGGCACGTGCGTACGCATCAAGGGTCCGCTTCAATGCATCGTTGACAGATGGCAGCATCCCTCCTGGAGTTCCAACTTTGAGATGGCGAGTAGCAAGAGATGAGCTTTGATAATAACGAACACTTGGAGCTGGCGCCGCCGCAATGTCTGCTCCGGTGGGAGCCAGACACACCGCGGTAGCAAAGTCTGTATCATGACTGATGCTTATCTTGACCACTTGCCCGTCTTCTTCTTTCCCGCTTTGTGGTAAAACAATCGCAAGCGGGGCTTTGGAACCCAATGCATCGTCCGGAGGTCGACGAATAATAATATCATGGAAAGTAAGGCGTCCTTCGTGGGCTTTTATGATGGCCTCCTTCGCTGCAAATCTGCGGCATGTCCCATTAGATCTAGTTGTGAAGAAAAACCAGGACTTGAGGGGGAAACGCTCACCTCCCAGCCATGAAAGTAGCTACTTTCGCCAGACTCTTTTCCGCCTCAGGTGTGTCCTGCTCAATCATCCTCTGCAGATGTCTTGCAACAACCTCATCGGAAATGCCTTTGGTCTTCTCGACCACCACTGAACCCTTCTCTCGCTTCCATGCGTGTAATTCCTTCATGTTCGCGACCTTTCTCCATTTCTCAAGAGCATCATCACATCTCGCCTTATTTTCCAATATTTCCTCCGGTCGCAGAACTCGTCTTATGAGGCTGTTGCCATTCTTGCGGGCGAGAAGCTCCCGGATTCGAGAGACAGAGCAAATATCTGTTGCAATTGCGAGGGAAAATGGAAAGGGTTTCGGCATTGTGCTGCTCGTCGTGCATGTGCTCGCGTTTGTGGCCGCATTGTGGTTGTGATGGTGGCAGTACCATACAATCTGCGTGTGAGGGAGAGGGAGACCGTGGGATATTATCTCATTAAAGACTTCATGGGATGGGGATATGCCGTATCATTGCGTATGTTGTGGTTGTCCTGAGAAAAATGTTGGAGCTTTCGTCCTATCCTCGAAAGTTTTTGGAGCTCGGACCACGACATGGGTGTCGGGAACGCTAGAATGACATGAAGTGGGTACTATTTTAGATCACATATATAAACTTCACTCTATCCTTCGAATGCGGCTCTTGATTCTTTCAATTTACGTTTTATTTTTGAAAGTCGAGCATCTCTTCATCAATCATACCCCATGCGAAACTGCAAAACCTGCGAATATACCCTCAAGGCCCCAGATGCACACCATTGTTTGTATCTCCATCGGAAAGCAATTACTTAGAAAAGAATTTTTGTCCCAAACCCCATACTGAAAGAAGCGGAGTGGTATCAAGAATCAGAAAAACAAGTCGTCCCAACGCACTCTTCGCCCTTAATGCAATTTTCGACGGTCTCTAGTCCTCCCTCACCTTCGCACATCTCCCCTTGTAATACTAAGCAGGATTCGCTTAGGCGTCGTCCAAAAGTGGAGCTCTCTCTTGGTCGGATGGTACGACATCTTGCTCTCTCCGGAAGCTGATCTCCTTGCCAAAGATGCCTGGGACGGCAACGAGCAGAGTAGTGATGAAAAGGGTAGCCATAATCGTGAAAGCAAAGATCCACTGGAATGCAATAGCTCTAATGAAGAATTGATGAACACCCAGCGAGGCAGTGATAATGGAAAGTGCGAAGCCCATAGTATAGTCCTGAAACATATGTAAGTATAACTCCGTGGATGATTGCTGAATACGTACCTTGTAGATGACAAGGAAGAACCATCCATAGACCAAGATACCCCAGATGGCGATATTAGCCAGGATGCGAGCAGGTAGCGAATGAGCGTTGACAGCGATGGCTCCATTCCAGTATAAAGCGAAAAATGTCCATGCCAAAGGTCCAGATACGGCTGGAATATGGATCAATCGAGGATGCGTTGCATGACGGAAGTAGAGGGAGGAGAGGTTGAAGAAGTTGATGATCACGATGATCTCAGCAATGACAAAATGTCCGCGGACGAACAGCATGACAAAGGCGAATTGTAGGAGGTTGTTGAAAATGAAGTGGCTTCCGACTCCAGCAGCAGCCTGAACCTTCTCAGTGGACTTGGAGAACAGGTGCCAGAGGTAGGCGATCTGAAAGAGGAAGAGGGCGAGCCTGGTACTGTCAGCAGTGCTTCTTGCTTTGGTATACGGATTGCATTGGCCATGGCCAGAAGTTCGTTCAAAAGAAAGGCGGGGCGTACCAGTACAGAGAGGCCATCAGAGAATTGACAGAGAATGGCGTAGGATAGCGATTATTTTGACCCCAGATCGTGCCTCGCCTGGACACTTTATCATCCTGAGGGACGCCATAGGTATAGTAGATGCTGGTGATGACTGTGAGAAGCCATGTAAGAATCGTCAAGATCTTGTAGGTCCAGACAGCTTGGGCATTGTGGCTCTCGCGATAGGCGAAAGGATTGGCTACGGACGTCAGCTAACTGGAGCATCTCTGAGGCCAAAGAGAACTGGTCTCCAAGCTCGACTGGAATCACTTACCGTCCGAGATAGGCATTTTGATGTTGTTGTACGAGTGGTACCTTTGGCTTCGTGTACGACGTTTGTGTATTTGGGAATTTGAGTTTTAAGGACCTTGATGGTTGCTCAAGGACAGCTGGCTGGTGGTTACCTGTCAAAAAGATGTCTCAGAGGGGAGAGCTCCCTTTTGACTCACCACGAAAACGACGTCACAACGAAACCACTATGCAAATTCACAGATGATTGTTCGCAAAGAGGAAGGAGAATTGAAAAGCAATAAAGAGGGAAGTTCCCTCGCCGTAAGAAAAGCAATCCAAGGCACTCGCAGCTTCCGATTGTGACGTACGAACAGAAAGATGCACGAGGGAATCTTACTGGCCAACACGCTGCAGGTTCCACAGTATGCAGCTCAGCCCACGCGGAAGAGAATTTCCCCGCAAAGAATTGTACACGGTCCTATCGATTATTCATAATACGGCTTGTCTACCCACACCCAGCAAGGTCACACAGCATGAATTGAGAGAGACGCGTTTCATGGGGGGGGGGATGCAACATGTAGATGGCCGCGAATTGAGGGGTGTTGTTGTGCCGATTTGACCTGGTTTGAGTAAGTGCGGGGCAAAACCTGGTCAGCTGTGCATTGCGGATCCTTTGCAATTCCCATGATTTGCATGCAAGAGATTTCTATGTGTAATTTTGCAGTCTCTTACAGAGGTGAGTCTATTCAGCCATCTTTGACAAGAGAGTTGTGCCATTTATCGAAATATGAGACCATTGTCTGTCACACGACAGGAAAAATGAGTGAGACCTCATTGACTTCTCTATCGTTCAATTGTACCCTGATCTGCAGCTTGAAGAACTGGTCCCAGGTTGTCGGAGCCTGGTCCGGGAGCCTGGTCGCCGAGCTGAAGACAATCAAAGCCTGATTCAGATACGAAGAACTTGTATCGAACTGGGTATTTTCAGTCGAGCTCGACTTGGACAGATACATCGATGTATTCCTTATCTCTCCTCTGTATCTTTCAGCTGTTCCTGAATCGTCGTATGAAACATCTCCAACTATGGTCGTCATTTTCATGTATCACCAGCCACCTGTGGCACATTCGGAGCTTGCCGCGGTAGTGGCGCCGCGTATCATCGTAGCCCTGCTGCTATCATCTATCTACAGGGACAAGTAAACAGTGCTTTCTATCTCTCATTATCAAAACAAATCCATCTACAATATGAAGTTCTCCACGGTCTCACTACTAGCTCTGTCTGCGGCAGCTGTCAATGCTCGATTTATTGAAGCTCACGAACAGGACCAAGTGGTGATCAGCAATGTCAAAGCCGAGAAGTACCTTATTGAACTTGCTCCTGGAGAGACAAGATGGGTGACTGAGGATGAGAAGTGGGAGCTACGACGAGTGAGCATTCTTCGGGATGTACTCGAATTATACTGATGATAGTGCAGAATGGCCAGAACTTCATGGACATCACGACCACCCAAGACCTCGGAGCACTCAAAGCGTCATCGAAGAAGGAACCCAAGTTCCCAGCTAAAGTAGCATACAGTAAGGACCTCAAGCCAATGTTCAAAGAGCTCGATAAGAAGAATATGGAAAAGAACCTCGAGAAGTTTACTTCCTTCCATACCCGATACTACAAGTCCGATTACGGCAGACAATCGTCGGAGTGGTTGCTAGAGCAGGTCAAGAAGATGATCAAGGATTCTGGAGCAGACAAATATGGAGCTGCGGCAGAGCCATTCGAGCATCCTTGGGGACAAAACAGTATTATTGCGACGATTCCAGGGAAGCACAATAGCACGGTCGTCGTGGGAGGACACCAAGATAGCATCAACCTCTTCTTCCCCTCCTTCATGTCCGCGCCAGGTGCTGATGACGACGGAAGCGGAACTGTAACGATTCTCGAAGCTTTCCGAGTCCTTCTCAAGTCGGAGGATATCATCAAGGGCAAGGGAGAAAACACTGTTGAATTCCACTGGTACTCTGCCGAAGAAGGTGGGCTTCTCGGAAGCCAGGCCATCTTCTCAGAATACGAGAAGACGGGCAGGGATGTCAAAGCCATGTTGCAGCAAGATATGACTGGATATGTGCAGGGTACGCTTGATGCTGGCAAACCCGAGAGCGTGGGAGTCATCACCGATTTCGTGGATCCTGCTTTAACCGAATTCATCAAGGAGGTTGTGACTGAGGTAGGCATATCCCGACCTTTTGTTGGTCATTGCTAATGATTTGTTAGTATTGCGAAATTCCGTACATTGAGACGAAGTGTGGATATGCATGCTCAGATCATGCTTCTGCTTCCAAGGCTGGGTATCCTTCGGCTTTTGTTATTGAGTCTGCGTTCGCGGATTCTGACAAAAAGATCCATACTTCGGACGATACTATCAAGTATCTCAGCTTTGATCATATGCTTCAGCACGCCAGGTTGACTTTGGGACTTGCTTATGAGTTGGCGTTTGCGAAGTTGTGAGAGGACAACAAGATCTTGTAACAGCAAGAAGTTATGATGCTATTCTGCCGGGCTGAATATGCAGCAGCGTCCTGCAGAACTTGCAATACATGGCAGAAGTGCCACAAATGACAGTGATCGCTCGTCAGGCTATGTACATTAGCAGGACTCCAAATGCGATGTCTCTGCAGATATTGAAAGCTTGCATCACTGCCTAATGAATCGTGAGCTAACCTTGCCTGTGATCAAAGCCGCAGACATTTCGGCAACTGCATGTTCCTTCCACTGCATATCAACTCATTCATGTACCCATCCACACTTATAATTCGACTCATCCTTACAGTCATACATGGATCTTGAAGGCCGCCTCTGAATGGCTGGATCGCTGTGACCGTGCACGATACGATTATGCAATGGACTTAGACTAAGTGGGAGCTTCCGGCTTATCGCGAGATGCACCATCCATTACTCCTCTCCTTTGCAATTCCCCAGTCCTTCATCCCTTTCATCTCTTCAGGCAAGAGATCATCTTTCATCGCATCTTCCAGCTCTTACTTCCATCCTACTTTACCTTTCTCTTTGTGAGCAGTCATACATAATATCAGAAGTCTGATAACCAAGACGCGACAATGGCAATCTACTCCTCAGTCCCACCACCTGCCCAAGCTCCTGCAGCTGCCCCCGCGCAGCCGGGAATCGATATCGAATCCTGGACCATCTCGGCTCTGGAATCTCTCTCCGTTTCTCCATCTGCGAGAGGAACAGGCGTTACTCTATCCATCCCCCTCGATGCCGCCGCGAAACGCGACCTCCAAGATGCGTCGGAAAAGGATACGCGTGACAAGGTCCACACTGTGTACAAACGCAAAGAGCCGCTGAGAAGGGACAGCCAAAAGCGGAGAGAAGCTCTCTTGAAGGGCAAAGAAGGCAGCAGGAGACGACAACGCTGGGAGAATGGTGAGTTATGTCCCTACACCAACCATACATCTGCAACTCTCTTGAACGAAAGGGAGGATCGAGGACAAGAGTCACAACGCCATACTGGCACAGAGGAACCTGCCAGTGCGACGACTATACGGACTCTAACACCCCCATAGATCAACTCCTCCACGTCCCCAACGCCCAACCACCCCTCCCCTCCGACTGGGCTCCTCACCCTACGTACCCCGTCCACAACGTCCCATACTACCTGGCGCCGCTCTGGGACGCGGGAATCCGCCACCGCGCCGAGGAAATCGCTGCGCAGAAGAAACTCGCCGCAGCGCAACGAGCGGGCTTCAGCGAGAGCTCTCCCAGCAAAGGACGCGTGCCTCAAGACTTGCGCCAGAAACTGAAGAAGAGCAAGGGTGCTAAGACTTTACTCCAGGACCTTGAAATGGAGGTTAGGAAATTCGTCAAGGAGTACGAGGCGCGGGAATATAAGCTTTTGAATAAGAACAAGGATCAGGACTCAGAGGTTGATTCTGAGGATGAGGAGATTGTGTTTATTGGGAGGGATGCGAATGGGAACGGGATCACGATGTCGGATGAGGTGAAGGATGTCATGGAGGAGGAGTTGGAGAGGGAGAAGAAGGTTTATGAGGGCTTGGTGGGCACGCCTGAGGGCAGTTTTGCAAGGTGGTTGGTTCATTGCGTGGCGGGGTATTATGGGTTGAGTAGTCGGAGTGTGACTGTTGGAGTCAGAAGAGAAGCCTATGTGGGGATCAGGGAGATGAGGAGTGGTGTGGAAGGTGTGGAGGGAAGGGAGATGCCGAGACCGCTTTGGGGGTTGATTTGAGTGTTCTTCTCCTTAGTACGAGAGGTTTGGCTATCAGTGCCTGAATGATTTGCTTTTATTTGAGATGTTTTTTGTTTGAGTATGTTGCTTGAATTCAGATTTGTTGTAAGATTATACATACATTTATAGATTATAGATCTAGAAGTCTGTTGGGTCTAATATATATTCACACTTGCATTCAACATCAAGTTCTAAAACATGCTATCGGACGTCATAAACTATCCCATGTCTTCATCTCATTCACGACAGACCGTTCGCTCAATTCCTCCTCCCCTCCCTATATCTTCAACATCTCACTTCCTTCACATTCCAGCTCAAACCAACCCGAATCAAACATGGACGAATACCCAAACCCATACGGATGGCAAAACCCACAGGAAAACGCAACATATTGGGAGACATGGCGCTGCTGCGGTGGTAACGGAAACTGGGTACTCAACCCTCCTCCATTGTTATCTCGTACTGAGCTAACGTTCTGTATATAGTGCGGAAATGCTAATCCAAAGTGGCTCGAGTGGTGCGAATGTCGGCACCACAGGTGTGGAGGGTGCTGGAGGTATTGATGAGATGGGGGAGGAGGGAGGAGGAGAGTTGGAATGAGGAAACGTGTGAGAGATAGATAGGTATATTATAATTGATGCATGGTTTATGTTGATATATAGGGGATTGTGCTAAGTGATGGTGAGGTTCAGGTTGAATACCCCTTTTCGTTAAGCGAGACGAGGGGTGTGCAATTTTGCGTCGAGTGAAGTAAACTTGGAAGGTTTCGACGCTCTGGATTATGTCAAAACATGATCTTTCGAATAATTATACTTGGGTTCATTGATGATTAGACCCAGGCTCCTGATTCACTGCTTCCTCAACGCCTTTAATCACGACTCGTGACTGATATGGGGCCTCTCGACGTGATTGAGTCGAATACTTCTATTGATTCGAATCGTAATGCAGTGATTCGATTTTTGAGTTGATTAATATGCCTCGGTCTCTAATCTGGTCTATAAATTAAGCTCTCATTTGTATGAGATGCAGACTCCACTCCGGGACTTTCGTCGATCAACCAAACACCACAACACAGAAACCAAGCAATGTGTCTCTCCATCACCACAATCCTCGAGTGTAAGTGCGAATACTACACAGGGAAAACTTGCGGCCGTTGGGAAGGAAGATATGCAAAATGCCCATATGGGGTGGAAGAAAAGACAGTGAAGACATCCTTGAGATGCATTCCGCACGGGGGGACGGTACTTTTACGTTGTGTTGCGACGTTGTGCTGGCCGGGAATTCGGAGCTAGACTCTGGGGAGGAAATGGGATCGTGGTATGGGCATTCAGATCTGGTCAACTTTGGGGTTGTCCTTTGTTGTTGAGGGAGTTTTTCTGTTTAGAGAGTAGAACATTGCTAGTATTGTGCTATCAGTTCAATATTTAGCTACTATCTACCATCTCGTACGACTTTGAATGGTTACTGAAAGTTCCAACTCCAGCCAGTGAACATCCCATTCTAAGGAGCAGAAACGGAACGCTCATGACTCAAGGCCAACTTCTCTTTCGAAATATAAAGCATCTTATTCACTTTCTGACCTTCTCCGTCCAACCTAAGCCCAGTGGATGGAAAATATCGTTTAGTGGTGATGAAGTTCGTATTGAATGCCTTTGTCATTAAGCGAACAAAGGGATGAGCAGGAGGACGAGCACATAGGCAAAGATATCGCTACACAAAACTAAATCATTCGCTTTGGATTCAAATACATAAAATAATCACAAGATTTCTTCCTCCCCTCGAGTCAGACAGAAGAATCGTAGCAATCAGCTTCCGCAGAAACATCCGATACCTGCACCAGCTCAATGCCCACAATTGTAGCAAGTCCCGTCATGAGTTGCAGGAGTGTGGACACATCCACGGGAACACCTATCGCAGCAATAATTTCCTTGGTCTTCTAGACCTCAATTAGTCAGTTTGTTCTCCGATATCTGACAAAACTGCTATAATCAAGTCATGCTCACCAGGTGCGCGCTTTTTCTCCCCATTAGGGAATTGTTCATCTACAACAAAATCAGTAAACATTACCAGTAAGATACCTCATTATGGATACTTACGGTACAGGCAGACTTGAAGAAATCTTTTGGTACCAAGATCATAATTAACACTTTCGCGACAATCACCTACGACGCAAGTATCTAATACATTAACTTAGCATTGGATGGGAAGTGGATTCGATTCAATACTCACGGCTTGGACAGTAATGGTGAATCGTGTCTTTGGACATGTTTGTACACGGAGGGAAGCTGACCAGTTGGCATTTCCAAGTCCCGTTTCCGTCAGCTGCGTAAGCCATGATTTCGTTCGGCTTTGGAGTGTTGATGCTCAAGATTTAGACGAAATTCTTTTCTTGTAAGCAATGAAGAGCGTGCGAATGGAAAGAGCAATGTGCGAAAACTCTCTCTGATTTATGTACTTGCTAACGAATGATTATGAGGGATTATATTTACCCCCACTCGCCTTCAACCCGATGAGGCTCTCGATGGGGCCGCTATGCATACTCTTGATCGGTTTTGTCTCTATCCGGGTGCGATTCCGTTGTGGCTTGTTAATGTAGAGTTCTGGGCCAATCAATCGACTGAGTGTCTCATCCGCATCGCATTTGAACGGAGATGGAAGCAATTGAGGATTTTGAGACCAAAATAGCATGGACAGCACTAAGAAGTTCACAGATCTGACCTTGGCCAATAAGACAAGAACGGATGTCTCAGAATGGAATCTTAAACCGAATATATTTCAAGAGCTCCACAACTATAAGCAAGCTTGAGCATAAAATCTCGAAAACTAATGAATCATTAAAATACAAGTAACGTTGGAAAATGTTAGATAAAAAATTGGCAGCCAATCTCGAGGTGAACGAGCGGGGGTGTTATCTGCAAGATTGGGATTCTGTGTTGGTAAACCACTCTCTAGCAACAATCACGATCACCAGTTATTCACCGCTTATTAACTTGTAGGTACTGTGATGATTAGGTACTTGACCTGGGTCTCCATTCAGAGATTCATACCACCAGTACCTCACGTCAATTCCATAAAAAGTGTTCAACATTCGCGCACCCACAAAACAACATCTTATCAAAACTCCTAAGAACAACATATCTTCCTCGTCATCCGCCAAACCGATAATCAATCTAATTTGTATCATTGAAAGAACTCGCTTCCCTTGCGGCTGTCGGTATGAGAGGACTTGGGAACGTTGCAAGCAAATTCCAAGAGGCATCGATTCAAGCAATTGCATGGTGCATAGTTACGTCTTGAAACTCGAAAGACCGTTCTTCTTCAAATGCAACCAGTCTGAGCATGGCGGGAAGATCCATGATTTGGGCTTGATGAAGACGTCGTTCACCTCATGGTTGAAAACGCCACATCTTGGCCTCCTGCGCTATCCACGGAAAAATACTTGGGATGATCTAATAGATGGTGCGGGTTGAGAACTCTTGAGTGAGCTTGGCTGGTAGAGAATTGGTCCTGTTGTTAGTCAAGTCAGGTACCAGCACAAATGCATGATAATCCCTGTAGATCATTCTTCACTAAAAAAAGTATTGCAGTGCCACCTTATGGTAAATCCATTCAAAATCTATATGCCAAAAAGTATTCACAAGAAATTCAAAGACGAATAAATGAAACAGAACGAGCGATCTCTCTCGAGACATCCGTCCTCATGCTCATCTGTCAAGAGCTTGTGATTGGCACTGAAAAAAAATTAGTCTATGACTTGTCGATTAGTACACGGGAAGACTTACCATCTGATAATACAAACCCCTGCTTCTCAACAACGCAGCATGAGTCCCTTTCTCAACCACCCTCCCATCCCCAATCACGAAAATGACATCAGCATTCTGGACAGTAGCAAGTCTGTGAGCAACAACCACCATAGTCCGACCTCGACCCGTCTTCTCAAAGACAGCTTGAACGGATTTTTCGGTTTCAGAGTCAAGATTCGACGTTGCTTCATCGAGGAGCAAGACTCTTGGATTTCTGATGAGTGCGCGTGCAATGGCGAGTCGTTGCTTCTGGCCACCTGAGAGCGCGACACCTTTCGTTCCAACTTCTGTGTCATAGCCTTCTGGTAAGGATGAAATGAAGTCGTGTATCTCGGCATCACGACATGCTTGTCGAAGAACCTCGTCTGGTGTGGTATGTTCATCGACACCAAGAAGGATGTTATCCCGAATGGAGCCTTCGAAGATTGAAGCTTCCTGTGCGACAAGAGAAATTGACTTTCGATAGTCTACCAGATTCAGATCATTGATATCAGTACCGTTATACATAATTCTTCCAGTCTGGCAACGATAGAACCTCTCAAGTAGAGAGATGATGCTGGTCTTTCCAGAGCCGGAAGGGCCGACTAAAGCTGCGAATTGACCTTTCTCGATCGTCATGTTCAAGCCTTGTAGGACTGGGACATCACGAGTAGGATATTTGAAGAAGACGTTCCGAAGCTCGAGTTTAACTCCCCGAGTCGTTGAGTGTTTCTCTTCGTCTTCGGTTTCGTCGAATTCCAGTGGCATCTTGTCTTCTTCTTTGTCGCCTCTTTGTCTCATACTTCTAATCCTATTTGCTGCTGCTGATGCTTGTGCAATGTCTGTTGATGGTGTTAGCTAAATATTATCTGGTGCGGGGTAATGTGCCATACTTGGGCCAAAACTCAGCCATTGACCAGCACTTATGCTGCCTTGCACAACTGCTAAATATATGACCACTATATAGTCATTAGCATCTTCTAGAATACTCGCAAATGAAACTTACGGTATTGGAAAGGCCAGTACTCGTAGGTAGCAAGAAGTCTCCCTCCATACCTAGCTTTCGTCAAATCAGGGGTTTCTCGCTTAGGCGGAGCGGACTTACCACAGCACGAACGCCATGCACAGTAAAGCAATACTATCGCTCATCGCAAACACCAGTGTAGAGAACCTGGCTTTATGGAAGGCTTCTTTGATATGAGTCTGAAGTAACTTCTCGTATCTGCCGCAAATCTCATCTTCAAGTGTGAGCGCCGTCACAGTTCTGATGGCACCAATTGATTCAGTGGCGAACTTTGCGCTCTCTGCAAAGACTTCGAAGTTCATCTTCTCGAATTGGGTCTCGTAACGGATTCGAAAGAAGCCTGCCGCGAGAATGATGGGCATTGACGAGCAGACGGTCACGAGCGTGAGCTTCCAACCAAAGTAAAACGACATGGCAATGCAGCCCACGACATTAAAGATTGAGATGAAGACGAATGCCATATTGATGCCGAGTAGCTGTTGAAGTTGTGTGGGATCATTGGCCATACGGCCTGTGAGACTACCGATGGAGTTCTCTTCTTCGTCGTAATAAGCGACCGGTTTGTGAAGAACGTTTTCAAAATACTCTTTTCGATAGGCCGAGGTGATGTGCTAGATATATCAGTGGTCAAGTGAGAGTAGTGTCAAGGAAACTAGCACTTACATATGATACAGTATTCGAAGACCATCCTAGCACAAAATAACTGACCCCCACGCCCGCTGCCAGGACGGTGAACATCAAGCACCACCAATCAGTCTGCTGTTTAAGATACCAGCCCCAGAAGCTGAAGACTGATATTAACTTTGCAAATAAGAATGATTGGAGTGGAAATGCAGCTAGAATCTCCCATCAGCACGAAGTTTTTCCTGCCACTCGAATGATCAGACTTACCTCCTGCCCCGAAACTCGCTAACAGCATCAACAGATACCAAGGCCAATGTGACTTTTGTTCCAGCAACAAAGAGCCGAAGCTTCCAAAGAAGCCTCTCTTCTCATATTCAGGTTCTTCAAACAGCTTGTTATATGCCTCAAGCTCCACGCTAAACTTATCTAGCACTAGTATTTTCCTATGTTCGGTATCGAAATTGATCCACTCCATATCTTTCTTTTCTTCCACACCCAAAGAAAGATGTTGCGCGTTAGCAAGAGCATAATAAGCTCCCTCACGATCAGCTAATAGCTCGGTATGAGTTCCTTGCTGGACGACTTTGCCTTTCTTCAACACCACGATATTATCAGCTTTCATGATCGTGGATAAGCGATGGGCGATCATGATGGTGGTTCTGTTCTTCGACACTTTATCGAGAGCTGCTTGCACGATTTTCTCGCCCCGAACATCGATGGCACTGGTAGCCTCATCGAGGATCAAGATCTTGGGCTGTTTAACGATACTTCTTGCAATTGCTAGTCTCTGGCGTTGGCCACCGCTGAGCTTGATTCCTGCATCTCCGCATTGGGTGTCGTATCCCTGAAACTTGTTACTAATGATCACGGAACAGCAGGTATAGGAACATACATCTGGGAGACGAGTAATAAATTCATCTGCAAAAGCTTCCTTACAAGCGTACTCCACAAGCTCTCGTTTCTTTTCCTCGGTCTCGTGTTCCCATTCGGTGCCGATGAGGCCATATTCTACGTTCTTGAATATAGTGTCATTGAACAAGAACGGCTCTTGCTGCACGAGACCAATCTGAGATCTCCACCATTTAAGATCGATTTTATGTAGTTGAGTTCCGGCTGTAGTGATGGTGCCAGTTCGGAAGAAAAGAGTCTAAGACGAATTTAGTCAGTGGTATTTATGATGTCAGGCATTCGACTCACCAGGATATTCTCAGCCAGGTCTCCATCAAGCTCGTACCATCGCTCGATAAGTCCTACGATCGTACTCTTTCCAGAACCAGAAGGGCCGACAATAGCAGTCATTTTGCCTGCTGGAAAGCGTAGAGTCACATCATCAAGAACTTTGACATCGGGTCGGATCGGATATGCAAAGTTGACATTCTCAAGGACGATATCTTCTGATGCAGTTGCCTCAGGGGGCTTGAGGTTCCCGAATTTCGGAAGTGGATGGTCAATGATTGTGAAAAATATACTAGCTGAGCTAGCTGAGCGAGCAGCCGCGGAAATTGGTGTAGCAATGCTACCGATCGACATTGTGATGGTCATAATGGACATTAAAACACTGACCTTCATCAGTTGAGAAACTCGAAAATCAGTAGGAAATACTCACATAATCATAGTAACGACGCTATGGATTTTCCATTCCATATACAGGTGGATGGCGTACCAAAAAGAAAGGGCAAAAGTTCTGCAAATAGGTTAGAAATGTTGGTAGAAGGGTTAAAATCAACCTTACGCATGAATGGCAAAGAACACTTGAACTGTCAGCGATAATAATGGCAGGATCTAAAGCTTGACTTACCAGGAGCTTGTTGCATCGCAACCCAAGGAGACATCATGAGGCCTCTTCGCTTCGACTCATCGACCCAGCTCGCGTATCGCTTAGCCATCTTTCCCTCAGCACCACAAGCAGCGACCATCCTGATCGATGAGAAAACTTCACTCGCAACACCAGATGTCATCCGGTCAGCATGCTCGACTTCTTTCGACTTCTTCACCAGAAAAGGGATAGTAGCACTATAAAATATAGTAATGAACAGTAAACCACTACTAGTCACGAGCGTGAGACGCCAGCTATACTTGAAAGCTATGACTAGTGCTGTAACGACAAGAGAGGTGCTTTGAAAAAGCATGGAGAGGCGGTCTGAGATACCGATTTGGAGAATATTGGCGGTGATGGTTATTATGGCAGATGTTTGACCCGGAGGTATGGCATCGAGTACTGAGATAGGTTGGGCAAAAAGAGCTCGCATGTATGCTAATCTCATCGCTGCTGAGATTCGGAGACTGATCATGCGGAATCCAAGCTTTTTGTTTGTCAGCGTCCTTTCATCAACTCTGAGATGTACAAACTTACAATTGCGACGTAGTCAAGAAACAGTCTGCCAATGAAGAGATACACCATGTAAAGTCTGAGATCCGATTAGCATCATATTGACATAATAGAATTCGATGCTTACACATTTTTGTTGATCGTATGCGTGAACATAGCTGTTGTCTCGCCGGACCATGGGTTGTAATGTGCTCCAAAGGCGCCGACAAGCTGACCTATGCCAAGAGCTTAGCAATTGAGAAGAAAAACATGCTGTTTCACTCACCAAATACCACGTTCATCAGAGGAAGTGTTACACCCGTACATATCGAGCAGAATATTGCACCAGCCAGCATGAACCTATCTTTTGTCGTTGAATATGAGAAGATCCGCTGTCATGAGTGTCAGCAGAGTCGCTCTCACGGAGGCTTTTCTACTTACGAAGAAATGCGAGAATGCAACTTTGTACTCGGCCGTACTAAAAACCTTCTTCTTCGCCACCTTTGGAGGATCTGGTATCTTTTTCTCCTCTTCCGCTCCATGATTTTCAAGCTCGGGCTCAGGAGACACAGGAAGCGTTGCTGATGTTGACCATGGTGTCGGAGAGATTTCTTCTGTTCGATGATTTTCGTTCGCAGCTACAGATGGGCCTTTCTCTTGGACTTCGGGCTCCAGAGAGACTGGCAGAGTTGCTGAAGTTGACCATGGATTCGGCAACGGCGGAGTGGCAGGTCTATCATCGTCTGGTGGTGTCTCCGACATCGTCTCGTTACGGGTATCACTTGCTATCTCAGGATCATGAAGTCCATTCTCGATATCGGCGTCCTCAAAGAATCGTAAGGTCGCCGACGGTGACCATGGATGAGAGGAGTCTGAAGTTACTGGACGGCTTTGCGCCGGTCCGTCATCGATCACTTCGTTTTCCATGACCATAATGAGATGCACTACATCTCCCACGCACGGAAGAATTACTTCAACGAAAGCATCTCCAGAATCACGGCAAGAGACAACGTGGATCAAATTCAGTCATCAAAAAAACGCAACCGGGTAAAGAGAAATCGGACGATGGTACAATCAGGAGGAACTTCTGGAAGAGGACAACTGCACCTGCCTCTCAGGCACACTATATGAAGCTGCTGGCAGAAAGAATGTTGCTCTTTAATCTATCGGATAAGAAAAGATAGCGCCAGGTACAAGCGATTATGCAGCAAGGTAGCTCCGGGAGAACATTCCAAGTTTCTCGCCACCGCGCACCTGCAGGGTACTATCAATGATAAGGCTTGTTGATCTTGCTATAGATTGTAAGATGAACGTGGATGCCAGTTACCCCTGCATCTGGCAGAAGTCGTGCAGCTGGGTTTCCCCGCTCGGCAGCGTCCACCCCCACTATAAATTAAACAAGCCACATGTAATGCTATACAACGGCCCCAATCAATTCTTCGATCCGCACCAGACGCCACACTCGTGAGAACTGGTATTGGAGGTAAATCTCATGCTTGTATTAAGCAATATCAAGGTGAGATCTTTCCATTGTAGTGTTCAGCCTGAAACGAAACTCCGTTTGTCCGTCAAATTACACCGAAGGTTGGTATCGGCTTACAGTACAGTCTTTCACTGCTCTTGTGACTCTTTCAATACATTGAGAGAAGATACTGGACATTGTAGAGCTCGAGCCTGGAATTAGTTTAGACCCTTATCCAATATCCACGAACTTGTAGCGCCCTACCCCGCAAAGAGATCTTACGTGCAGTATTCCCTGAGGACAATTGGTACTTCTGTACGGGGGCATCTAATCGAATTTCTCATAGCCTCTTTGTGAGATAAATTATATGACGCAAAATTTTGGGGCATCTATAGAGCTTGAAAAAGTGCTCAGAGCACTGAGAAGAATACGTTGTAGCAATTTGATTTCTCCCTACCCCATTGAAAAAGTAGCCCATGCTGAAACGTTTGAACTCTGGCGATCAACAAATACTACATGTTGCTAATCAAACTACCTAAATGTATCTGGTCGAGGACGTGACAAATTTGAGGCCCATCGACAGCCAATTTTTGAAAAACAGTAAACTCGGTCTCCAAGCCATCAAGCCAATCTGTAAACTCCATATCACTTGACAGAATGATTTCAATCGAGCGCCAAAAGTGCCCGACGCGAAAGTAACTCCACCTCATCTTGAATAATAAATTTAACAATCGGAGTCCGAGGAATCATTTATATTAGCAATCATGGTGCGGACGATATCTCCGAGCTCTCTCACGGTCTCCTTGTCTCGTGGCAAAGTATGGCCCTTGGCATGATCAAAGAGGTACGCATTATCTAAATCGCTACGAAAAGTCAGCACTAGGTTTTCTCTTTATGATGAGACTTCGAGAAGATAAAACCCTTCTTCGGCAATACAATGGAGCAAACTCGACGGCTACCGAGAACGAAGAACAAAAGAAATTGCTGCTAACCAGATGTTGTAAAGGGCGATAGATCCTGCGAGATACGGGTCCAAAGATCCAACTGTCGCGAAGTTAGTTGGGTGGAGGAGAATGGAGATGGGCACCGCTTACTAATGTGGCAGGTCGGAATAGTTATGGTCAAATCAGACTCGTCTGCAAGGACAATAGAATCTAGATCAGGGCTCATGGGTGGCCATCCTGCGAAAAAGAGGGCGCATTTGAACATGGTCGGGATACCTTGAGTTTCGAATCTCCGTTGTTCATGCAACAGGAGTGTTGCAGCAACAGTGGCTCCCTCCGAATACCCAATGATCCCATCGAATGGACCATCCTTTTCCATAATGTTGTATAGATAGTCGATAGCATCTTGTGCGCTCTGGTTTGCTCCCCAGCTCCCATCAGTGGGGATCTCCACGGCGGCCGAGGCATCGAACTTCATGAGCTCGCGCATTTGATCCTCGGCAGTCGCACCCTCTGGGAAGTTTCGGATTCTATCGAGCACATCGTTCTCGCCGTCCTCGCCTTTGTAAGGCTCAATGAATCGAAAGTATGGACCCAGTCCAAAAAATTCTTCAAATCCGTCTGGCGGAAATGCTTGTACCGGCCCGTGAATGAAATGTAGCTCGGCAGTATCGTCGGAGCGCAGCTCGTTGACAAGAGGAGCTACAGCATGTGAGTACGACCGTTCATTGACAGTAGCATCATGATTTCTTACCTAGCTGGACCTGGAATTTCTGTATCGTGTCAGCGTGGCCTGTATTTATGCAGTGTGGAGCACGAGGAAGGACTTACGTCTGAGCTTCCGTAGGCTCCGCAGAGACACAAGAATCTCATGATGCAGAAATTTGGATCTTGATCAACGGTAAACTATGAGGCAGGTGCAGGTTTGGTGGTTGCGATCAAAGGACAAAGATCATCAAATATGGGATTGCACGAAATTTCTAGGTTGGACTGGTCAGGGCACTTAAACACTTTTCGTTACAGGGCCAGATCATACTACATTCATGGCCTTAGTCACCAAGAGCCGTAATTCCACGGTAAGTGCGTGAAGTAAAACGATGAAACGAGGACGGCACCACCGTACTCTTATGACACGAACAGCCGGTAATACAGAGTCTGGCATATGCCCTCCGTCCGGGATTACCTGTCATGTGCCACGCCAGGCTGTTCGCCACAAATGGGAAGCAACTATGCTTTGCGAGGCTGATAGAATGGCACGCAACGGAGTTCAGCGGCCCCGAAAGACGGAGGGCTAGAACGATCCCCTTCACCTCCATTAGCCAAGGGCACCATAGGATGCCTGCCGCAAATCCTCGGGCCGCTGACCGATGGGAAAGCTCAACCGAGATTTGGATCGGTCGTGATATACATCCCCAAGTTCATAAGTCGATCGGAGAATCGAGCATATAGCTCCAGATTTGCCCTACGTTCGAGCCCAGGTCTAGTCGAAGCCAGGTGTGTCATTTAGGCTGAGGAAGGCTAAGTGAGAGATCTCAGGAACATGGAGATAAGTCTGATAAAGGTCCTCGGAAGCTCGGTCCTGGCGGAGAGCGCGAGCAATATACGTTATCTGCTCTGCTGTGCTCGAAGTGAGAAATGAGAAGTATTGAGATAGTGCGCTTAGGTGGGGGTGGTACAAGCGATAAGGCAAGCCGGGGACAGACGAAGGGAGAGGGAGGGAAAAGGAGGGATGAAGTGAAGTGAAGTGAGGTTGAAAGAAGCGTCCACAACCGCGGGCGCAGGAGGCGCTTGACCATTTATGATTTAGACTGAGATTACCCGAGGGCGAATAGGAACGCCACCACCACGCGTCGCCCCCAGACCGAAACTTTAAATCTCTTGACTTACTTTGCCTCAAGCTCCCTCCTGCTGCCTCCTGCCTATGTACAACACCGGTGCGATACCGATCCCAGCTCTGGAGTTCGACATCCTTTCTGCGAGTATGCAGACGCTCGCTTCGGCCTGATCCATGTTTCCCCAAGGGACAAGTGTTCCCTCTTACCTAGTCTGCATGAAAGGACAGATGCAAAGAATGTATAACCATCTTGGCGTTGTGGCAGCTAGCACTCTACCTCCACATCAATATATTTGGCAGTTCCGACTTGTTCGGCGCCCGATTAATCTTTCTTCCTAACGGCGAGGCGGCGCGCCACAGCTCGGAATGTCCACACGGCAATTGATAAGACATCGATGCATGTTCTCGAGCGAATAGATTGAATATATCGGAGCTTCAAGCGAGATTTCGACATTTCGGGCCCGATAGAGTAGTCTACCTCGGGCCCTCATTCATCAAAATCGTCTCATGTTTTTCCATCTCTACCCTGGTAGCACACACTATTTCCACAGCATTTCAGGAAAACCCCCGACCCAGCGGCACTTCAGGACCTTGCGGGCAGATCTGCCGGAAATACTCCTCTCGGCAAAGATCCAGGATCATTAAGATAAGGCACGCCAAAGGCACTCGTCCAGCATGTGATGAATGCTGTACCTGCCCCTGAAAATCACATCTCGTTGCTTTTGGTGTCTGCTTGCAATATGGGGTTGAAATTGCGAAAGTTGTGTTCAGACTCACACTTCTCCACGATCGTCCTTTCATCCGCAAATATGCAAAATAGAGCCACCTTGCTCAAAAAAAGACAGCATGGTGTCATCGTTCCAGTATGCTGTCTTGAGTGTTTTTAATATACTATCGATTACCACTATCCTTACCGTGCGTGTAATGCTCTTTCCGCCCCCTTTCTCCAGACAGGAATAGGTTGCTGATAAGCATAGTTGCTGTTACCAGATTCAGACGCGTGTCCGTTGAAAGTTCTCTAGCTACTGGCGGCACGATTTCTAGTCGGCGTATGGGAAATTGCTCCGCCACATGAATCTATAAAGACTGAATTCCTTCTTCCGCTCTTCTTTCGTACTTCGGCGTGCTAATACCTGGTGTTTTGTAACGAAGACAAGTCCAAGTGACAGTACGACTGTCATGGCGCCTTCTGCGACTTCTTGGACCCCGAATGGGGACGGCAATGGCTCCGAAGGAACCGTGGACACTCCTTCAAATGGATACACAAGCGGCCTTGCAGCTAGCAGCAACAATGCCCATATGGGTACCGACCCTAATCTCTACACCAATGGTTACACACATGGCTTCACCAATGGCTACATCACTGGCTACGCTCAATCAGAAATGCCAAAGCAGATGCCCATCGCAATCGTTGGAATGTCCTGCCGCTTGCCTGGCAATGTGAGCACACCAGACGAGTTTTGGGAGCTGTGCTCTCGTGCACGCCATGGGTGGACCGAGATTCCAAAAGAAAGATTCGAATCCGCACCTTTCTCTCACCCAAATCCAGGGAAAGGTGGATGTTTTAACGCTGCCGGCGGAAACTTCCTGAAAGAGGACCTCGGACTATTTGATGCACCTTTCTTCTCTCTCACTGCTCAAGAGGCGACATCCATGGATCCTCAACAACGTTTACTGCTTGAATGCACTTTTGAGGCTCTCGACAGTGCTGGTATTCCTAAGCATCAAGTGGTCGGAAAGGAGGTTGGAGTTTTTATTGGTGGTTCATTCTCAGAATATGAGTCTCAATTATTTTCTGATACAGAGACAATTCCTATGTATCAAGCCACTGGTGGGTCGATCCTATTGGAATCATAGTTCTAGCCACTAAATTTTCCAGGTTGTGCTTTTGCAATGCAGTCGAACAGACTTTCTCACTTCTTTGACCTTCGAGGTCCCAGTTTTACGATGGACACTGCCTGTTCATCCAGTCTTGTAGCTTTACATTTGGCATGTCAAAGTCTGCGTAATGGAGAGTCGAAGACGGCGATTGTGGGAGGATGCCATCTCAATACCCTACCCGAATTTTGGGTTTCCATGTCCAAGTCACGGTATGTTAAGTCTGTCACTAAGATCACAGAAGCTGACAAAAAGAAGCTTGTTTTCTGATGAGGGTCGATCATTTTCTTTCGATAGTAGAGGTACAGGATATGGACGAGGGGAGGGATGTGGTATGGTCATCTTAAAGCCTTTACAACAAGCTTTACAAGACAACGACACAATCAGATCGGTGATCGTTGGCACTGGTATCAACCAGGATGGTAAAACGCCTGGTATCACCATGCCAAATGGTTCTGCACAAGGTGAGAATTACTTTAATACAGATAATTTCAGGATTCTTGAAATGATACTGTACTGATATTTTTCTAGAGGAGCTTATGCGGGCCGTGTACAGAAGTGCAGGCATCAATCCCAAGGATACTGGATATGTCGAAGCCCATGGGACTGGCACCAAAGTTGGCGATCCAATTGAGGCAACAGCTTTGCATAATGTGTTTGGTGAGGACAGAACGGCTAGGAATCCGTTGTACATTGGTTCCGTGAAGTCTAATGTAGGCCATCTTGAAGCAGCTTCTGGTATGTATCCCTTTTATTCCTAATTTATACCATACTAATACTTTCCTTAGGCATTATATCCGTCATCAAGACAGCAATGATGCTCGAGAGAGGTTTCATATTGCCCAACTATGATTTCAAGAAGCCAAATGACAAGATCCCTTTTAGCAAGTGGAACCTCAAGGTGCGATTTGCAATCTCTTCCCGTCTTCGGTCTGTCTCTAATCATACATAGGTACCAACAACGCAGCGTCCATGGCCGAGACCAAAGAAGTATGCTAGCGTCAACAACTTTGGTTTCGGAGGAACGAATGCCCACGTGGTTCTAGAACGAGCGCCTTTCCTGAAGAAATACGAAGGCGATAACTCGCCCGACCAAGCAATCCAATTGAGGAAGCTCTTTGTCCTTTCCGCTAATGACAAGGCTGCCCTGGAGTCCATGATGCAAAAGATTGGCATCTATTTGGAGCAAAGGCCCGAGATCTTCCAAAACGATCTGATGAGCAATGTCGCCTACACTCTTGGACAGCGTCGATCCCTTCTCCAATGGAGAGTCGCCATTTCAGCACCAACATCCTTCGAACTGATCCAGGCACTCAACGCTGGCAAGCTAACCCCTGTCAGAGAGACTGAGGCTCCCCGAATTGGCTTCATATTTACTGGCCAAGGAGCTCAGTGGCACGCAATGGGACGGGAGCTCTATGAGCAATATCCCATCTTTGCGGCCACTGTCGATGCGTGCGATAAATGCTTGGCTGCCTTCGGCGCCCCTTTCTCTCTCGTGGATGAGTTGAGTAAAGATGCCGAGAGTTCAAACGTCAACGATGCGAACATCAGTCAACCTGCATGCACAGCAATTCAACTGGCTTTGACCGACCTTCTTCGAGCCTGGGGTGTATATCCTACCGCTGTCGCGGGTCACTCGAGTGGTGAAATCGGAGCTGCCTACGCTGCTGGAATACTTCCCCTCGATGCCTGCATGGCAATCTCCTATTACAGAGGTATGGTAACGGTGGATTTAAAGACAAAGTTCCCAGATCTCAAGGGATCTATGATGGCTGTTGGAGGTAGCCAAGAAGAGATCGCGCCTCTCATTAAGCAACTAAAGAACAGAGAAGTCCGAATTGCTTGTTTCAACAGCCCGACCAGCTTGACAATTTCAGGTGATGAACCGGCGATCGATGAACTCCAGGTCCTACTTGAAGAGCGAGGAATGTTCAACAGAAAGCTTCAAGTCGATGTCGCTTACCATTCGCACCATATGAGACTGGTCGCAAGCGAGTACCAAGCGTGTCTTCAGTGGCTCGAGCCCCCAAAGAATTCAGCAGTCAAATTCCACTCGTCCTTACTTGGACATCTCGTTGACGGAAATACACTTCAACCATCCTACTGGGTCGCCAATCTTACACAAGCTGTGAGGTTCTCCGAAGCTCTCACGACAATGTGCGAACCTGCCAATGGCCACAAGACTGGTGTTAACATGCTGATTGAGCTCGGTCCTCACTCGGCCTTAGCAGGTCCAGTCAAGCAGATCTTGAAGTCATGTGGACCAAACGCAATGAAAATTCCGTACGGATCCGCACTGATCAGAAAGAAAGATGCTGTCCAGACCGCACTCGACTTGGCGGGCACTTTGTTCACGAAGGGCGTCAATATCAACTTTGGTACTGTCAACTTCCCCAAGGTTGGCAAACCACCTGCACTATTGGTCGACTTGCCGAGATATCCATGGAACCACTCCAACAAGTACTGGCACGAGGGCCGCATGCAATTAAAGCATAAGAACAGAACTACGCAACGAAACGATATTCTCGGCGTGGAAGCCATTTATTCGAATGACCTCGAGCCGACTTGGCGAAATATGATCCGAACAGATGACCTACCATGGCTACGACACCACAAAATCCAATCACTTACCCTATTTCCCATGTCTGGGTTCGTCGCGATGGCTGTTGAAGCCGCATCTCAACGAGCAGCTGCAAAGGGCGTTCAATTTGACAAATACGAGCTTCGAAATATTGTTGTCAGCACACCTCTGATGATCACGGACGATGATGTTGAAATGACTACTCAGCTCCGACCGTATCAAGAAGGTAATCTCGTTACCTCAGATGTTTGGAACGAGTTCCGTATACATTCTTGGGCAGCCAACAAGGGCTGGACGGAGCACTGCAAAGGTCTCGTCTCTGTCAAGGCCAATGATACAAATGAAATCGATGGCGCTCGTCTCGCCGAAAAGTCCGGTGCATGGCTACAATCTACCATCTCCGAGATCAATGGTACCACCTTATCACCTGTAGACAAGGTCAAGATGTATGACTTTTTGTCGGATCTGGGCGTCTCCTATGGCCCAACATTCCAAGGCATGAATAACTGCCAGGCTGCCGAAAGCTGCTCCGTGGCTGATATCACTGTTTCGGACACGACCCAAGAAATGCCACAAGGCCATCAGACCAGCAATATTGTCCATCCTGCATTCTTGGAGCAGTTGATTGAGATGTACTGGCCTATCCTTGGAGCTGGACGCACATCTGTGGATACTGTCTATCTTCCCTCTTCCATTGGACGCTTGACCATTTCCCGCGACATCACCGAACTTACTAAGACTCCAGGAAGCTCTCTGCGAGCATTCTGTAAGGGATCAGCTCCCTCGACGCACCCAAAACCAATCCAAGTCTCCATGTTCGCAACGACCACAGACGACTCGAGAGAGGCTGTCATCATGATGGATGATTTGACCATCTCACCAATCGTGGAGCGCGATATGGCTTCTGACACTGAGGCCCACAGAGAGCTTTGCTACAAGATCCAATGGGAGCCAATTTTACACCCACTTACCCACGCTTTGAAGAACGGAACAATGACTGGTACATCCAATGGCATTTCTACTCCAAGTGAGGCATCGGAGACATCCAACGACAACTCAAATGGTGTCTTGACTCCAGAAACTAATGCTACTTCCGTGTCCGGTGAAGGCAGCGAGGTGTCTAGTTTCCCCGATGGTCAAGTTGTGATTGTGCACGGAGAATCGGATGCTCAAAAGGTGCTGGCCTCGAAGATCGCTGATACTCTTGAGAACTCAACTGGAAGGAAACCAGAGATTGGCACGCTTGCAGATGTCAATGTCGATGACAAGCTCTGCTTGTTCCTTTCAGAGCTTGACAAGCCACTCCTACCGACTCTCACTCCAGAACAATTTTCATCCTTGCAGAAGGTGATCACCACCGTCCAAGGAGTCCTCTGGGTTGTGCGCGGTGCATACGAGAACTCTGACAATCCCGATTCCAACATGGTTGCCGGATTAAGCAGAACCATTCGCTCCGAAACTCTGCTGAAGTTCGCTACGCTTGACTTGGATTCAAAGGCCCAACTGTCTGACGAAGACACCATGGTAGCAATTCTCGACATTTTCAAGGCTGTCTTTGGTCCCAAGGCTGAGACTAATTGCGAGTTGGAGTTTATGGAGAGACAAGGAGCATTCCTCACTCCACGAATCATCAACGATCCGGAGATGAACGAGTACGTGCACAAGCAGACCCAAGCATCGACCATTGAATCGGCACCATTCGCTCAAGAGGGCAGGCCCTTGAAGATGACGATTGGAACACCTGGTGCTTTCGAGACTCTCCATTTCAATGATGATATTGCAGCAGAGGAGCCTCTCTTCGACGACGAGATTGAAATCGAGGTCAAGGCTATTGGCATGAATCCCAAGGATGTCACTGTCGCTATGGGCCAACTCGACTCATTCAACTTTGGTGTTGAGTGCAGTGGTATCGTTACCAAGAGTGGAAGCATCACTAAGTTTGCTGTTGGCGACCGTGTCGCTGCAATTTCGCTGTCACAAGGTGTCTATTCAACACTTGCACGTACAAAGGCCGCTCTGGCACTTAAGATTGGTGGCGACTTGTCTTTCGAGGCTGCTGCTTCGCTTCCAGTTGCTTACTGTACAGCACAATACGGCTTGTCGAATCTCGGACATCTCGCTGCTGATGAAAGCATCTTGGTTCATGGTGCTGCTAGTACAGCGGGCCAAGCTGCCATCTCGATTGCTCAGTCTATTGGTTCTAAAATCTTTGCAACAGTCGCCACCGTTGAGGAGAAAGAGATTCTTACTAGCGTATATGGTCTTGCTGATGATCGCATCTTTTCCACCAAGAACGCATCATTCGGACCCGTCATTCGCCAAGACACAAACATGCAAGGAGTCGACGTTGTCTTTAATTCCACAGCAACAGATTCGGATACCATGCGAGAGACATGGGATTGTCTAAGCAGCTTTGGACGCTTCATTGAGGTTGGAAAGGGAGATTCTAATACAAGACTAGAGACATCTCGAAGCAATACTAGCTTCATGTCTGTCGATATACTATCCCTCGCTGCCGAAAGACCAAAGGTCATGCAGAAACTTCTCTCAGATGTAGCTGAGCTGCTGAAGAAGGGTAGTCTGAAGACTGCAAGTCCCATAACTGTTTTCCCAATCTCGGATGTTGAGACTGCATTCAAGGTTTTGCAAAGTGGTAACACGAATGGAAAGCTCGTCGTCTCACCACAACCTGAAGACGAGGTCAAGGTAAGTGAACTCCCGGTTCCTTTGAATACCATTGCTAACAATATCATAGGCAACGCCATCAAAGAAGCAGACTCAACTACTGCGACCAGATGCATCATACATCTTAATTGGTGGTACTGGTGGTCTCGGTCGAAGCATGTCAAGATGGATGGTCAGCAAGGGTGCCAGGAATATCGTCCTTGTTTCCAGAAGTGGAGCAGCGACAGGTAAAGTGAAGGAGATGATTGACGAGCTTGCTCTTCTCGGTGCCAATGTCGTTGTTCGACGATGTGACGTCGCAGACAGTGCCTCAGTAGACAACTTGATTGCCAACGAGCTCTCGGACCTGCCACCTGTCAAGGGTCTCGTCCATGGCGCCATGGTGCTTCGCGTAAGTCGTCCAAATCCCCTCTACTCAATACATACTGACATCAACAGGATGTCCTCTTCGAAAAGATGACCTTCGAAGAATACAACACAGTCATGGAATCCAAAGTCCGAGGCGCCTGGAACTTCCACAACGCGCTCAAGAACCAACCCCTCGACTTCTTCGTCGCCATCTCCTCCGCAGCCGGCGCCGTAGGAAACAGAGGCCAAGCCGCCTATTCCGCCGCCAACACCTTCCTGAACGGCTTCGTGCAGTACCGCAACGCCCGCGGCCTCCCCTCCGCATCCATCGATCTAACAGCCGTCTCAGACACCGGCTACCTAGCCGAGAACGCCGAAGCCGCCGCAGAAGTAGCTCGTAACCTGGGAAGCGATACCATCTGCGAAGCCGAAGTCCTCGCTTTACTCGGCGCAGCGATCAGCGGGCGTCTTGCTTCCGCTTGTAATAGTCATACCATCACTGGTATGCGGATCGTCACCCCAGCTCCTTTCTGGACTCCCGACGCGAAGTTCAAGCATCTCCGACTCGCGGCCGAAGCTGCTGCAGCCGAGAACTCCAGCGGCGAAGCAGTGGCTATCTCTTTCAACGCTGCGCTCAAAGCTGCCAAGTCGTTGGAAGAGGCGCAGGAAGTGGTGTGCAAGGGCTTGGTTGATAAGCTGTCCTCTGTGCTCATGCTTGAGGCGGAGGATATGGACATCACGAAGTCGCTTTCGGGATATGCTCTCGATTCCTTGGTCGCGATCGAAGTGCGAGGCTTCATTACGAGGGAATTCGAAGCGAACCTGCAAGTCCTGGAACTTTTGTCTAGCGGCTCGATCGAGACGCTCGCTAAGGCTATCTGTGGGAAGAGTAAATTGGTTTCCTTCTAATTCGCATTCTTCGCTTCTTTCTGATTTGAGGAAGGAGGGGTTTTTGGTACGATGGCTTTTGGTATATATGATTGACTTCTCTCTTCTTCTTCGCGGGAGACTTCTTGGGGGTTAGAAGTTTTTTTTCTTCTTCTTGTTGTATGGTTGTATATATTGCGTTCTCTCTTTCCCCTCTACCTTTTCGCCTTGTTGATATTCTACTTCTTTGGGGGACCCTTTTTGGAGAACATGTTTTTTATATCTTTCTTACCCTCGCTTATCATATAAGATTCATGAGTAGCATTAGATTTCAATCCAGCATTGCGTATGAACAATTCTGGTCTTTTGACTTTCCCATTCCTTTTTTTTCCCTTATCCACACCGTCTCCATTGTAATCGAGCTCACTTCTACCGTTCACTGCAAATGCTGTTGAATGAGATTCCTTGGTAGACTAACCATTGGGTCAAAGTGTGAAAGTTAAGAACTAACAGCTCGAGATCATGGCAACATTCGAAGACCTCCTACCGATCAATCAAACCCTCGTACCTATTCGCTTCTTGCACTTAAACCATCCCGTCCCCTCTCTCCAAGCCACCTCTCGCAAGCCACCACACACCAAACTCCGCAATCGACAAAACCAACTCTTCGAAAAATACACGCTAAGAGAAATTCTAAAATAATAGCAAGCAAGCAAGCTTACGCTCCCAACCCAAGAAAACGACCAATTCGCTAGATGAATGATACCATTCAAACCCCCCTCTTCCGTGCTTGAAGCTTCCACACCCAACCAGTAAGATCTTACTGCTGTATCTGATCTCTCGCACCACAAAGCAAAGCAAAGCAAAGCAGCAAATCCACCATCCATCTACATCCATCCACCCCCCTCCTGCTGCATCCAAGCAAGCAAGCACATCCCTCACCTACCTACCTACCTACCTACCTCTGTACCCACCACCTCTTCCGGATCCCCCCCTTTAGCCGCGCACAACCACCAACTCAACTCAACTCAAACTTTCCTATTAATTAATCCTCTTCCAAAGCGATAGATAGTCTAATCAGAATACACGATCGAGCCTGCTGCAATCACAAAACACCTCCCCCCCCCCCTCACTGCAAGCTCTTCTTTCCTCGCAGGAAACCCTCCCTCACATCAAATAAAAATAATATTTA